TGAGCCCTATGCCGTCTAGCGAGTGAAACTAACAGGCGAGAGATGCCAGGGGTTAACGAGTGAATGACTTCTCTGTGTGGCAAGTCTGATGTTGCAGCGCTCTAAATGCAACCAATATTCGCTTCTGCATCTATATATATAAACAGATTTCTATTCGTAGCAGGGGATAACCCTACCGCTGCAGGGTTAATTTATATTTGCCAGTAATAATGAATTCACATGGCCAAAAGCTAGAGTGAGCTCGGTTCCTCCAGCGATGAATGTACAGTATCGCCATCACTTGGGCCAATGCCATCTTTGCTATCAAAGGATTCGTAAGTCATGAGAGGAAGAGAATAGGCTTCTAAGATTTATGCAGTAGGAATGAGTTCCGCAACCGAAGACGAGCACGAGGGAATGAAAATTATATTGAACTTCCTGTTATGACCAACTTGCCGTATGTAGGATAGCATACGGAATCGAAGAAGCTAAGAGGGTCTCACTTATAAGCATACGGTAGACTTTTACCAGTCAAGTTAACAGAGTTGCTCCAATTTTATGGGCTCCGATCGTTACACTAGGAGCAGGTTCGGAGGCAGTGAGCTCGTGTGGAACAAAACTGTAGCACAAGCTTCATTTATATGGTAGGATGACTGGCACACCAGTGGGCAGCCTCTTATGAGGACTCGTAACCCTCCATTTGCATTATAGACGAAGTATTTGCTTGGTTCTGAAACAAGACTTGGCCGGTTTTGTCATACAGAAAACTGTCAGGAGGAATTAAATTTCCAGAATAGGAATATTCTAGACGTGTGCAGCATTGGTGAAGTCGGTTTAGCATCCGATAAGTTTAATTTCGCAGGTAAAGAGTGAGTAGTTGAAAAGTGGGTTCCTGCAAAAGAAGTTAGTCTAATGTATGGGGAAAAGGTCGTTAGTCGTAATTTGCCCGACATGACTGTCTTGAGAGCATAGGCGAATAGACATCAATTTACAGGGATTCCATAAAAAGCTCGCAAGATGGCCAGCGGCTGATTTGCTGTATATGTAAACGGCATGAACCCTATGCGGACCCTGATGATCATTAGATATGATTCAATTGGTACCCAGTCCGTTCTCGTTATTAAAAGGAGGCTGATATCAAACTGCTCCAAAATCCATAAGATATCATGACAGAAGATGGGTTTGCGCTAAGCCTCAAGGCCCGGCATCTTCTGCCTATAACATATCCGCAGAGCAATAAACTTTGACTTCAAACCATCATCTGTCGATAGTGCAAGGGTATAAAGGGTATATAAGCTGCCGTGAAACCCAAGTGTGGAAACCTGCTCGACTTCATTTCCTTTATCACCACTTCACTCATATATCAGAAAATTCTTGCACCTACTTTAAATAATGGCTTGTCAACAGAAGGTTGTGGTTGTTGGAGGGGGCCCTGTCGGGGCGTTAGCGGCTCTATATGCAGCTAGAAGGGGTTATCAAGTCGAATTGTATGAGCTTAGAGATGGTAAGTGCCGATTAGCAAGTGTATTTGTGGTATCAACTAACCACAGCTTCTTTAGATCCAAATTATGGGGACCCAAATGCCAGGCCAGATATTGCTGTCATCCCTCTCGCGCTCTCTGAACGTGGTATCAGAGCCATTGCTGCCGCAGAAGTTCCGGGGTTGCTTGACGATATCCTGGACAACTCGCGGCCGGTATATAAACGGATGGTGCATACATGGGGCACTCACGGCAAGCACGTGGAAATCCCAATGACATATGGCCCCCAAGGGCAGGTGTGTTGAATAATGAGCTGTGCAGTTTTCCAAATTATTAATCAGTATCCATATAGTGCCTACATACCCTGCAGCGCGAAAAGATCACAAAACATGTCATGTTGGCACTTCTTAGAGAGCCTACCGCAAAGCTCTTTTTCAACCAAAGGCTGTCAGCATGCGATTTCGAAGGAAAATTCGCTACCTTTGAGACAGTGGCTTGGCAAGAAAAATCTCGCTATTCTGAACAAGAACTTGCAAATACTGTCAAAGGCCAGGTAAAGCCAAGTCCCCGCGAGGATGAAGTCGAGAGTGTAAAGATATCTTCATTGTCAGGAAAGACAAAGCGAGTCGAGTTTGACTTCCTGATTGGAGCAGATGGAACTTATTCAAGTGTTCGACAAAGCATGATGCGAAGCCTTGAGATGGATTTTTCACAAACGTACGCCAACGCAATGTGGTGCGACTTGATATTCCCTCCAGATGAGAATGGGAACTATCCAATGGATCCTAAATGCCTTCATATCTGGCCAGCTAACCAGAGCATTGTTATTGCGCAAACAGATATTGTATGTACCTTACTCCATATCTTATTATACTTTCTTAAGTTTTGATATGGGCTTCGTTGACTCTCCGCAGGATGGATCATTTAGGGCTGGGATGGTTTGCGATACACAAAAGCTCAGGTATTTTGAAGCGCATCCTGAGACTTTCTCGGATTTTTTTGCTAAGGAATTTGCTGGAATTGTACCTGAACTCCTTTCTGCGGAAGAAGTAACAAGACAATTCCTTGCACATCAGAAAATTCCTTTAAAATCAATCAAATGCGGGAAGCTTGGATATAAGGATAACGCGGTTCTCTTAGGAGACAGTTGTCATACTATGACCCCTTTCCATGCCATGGGTATGATTACCGGCCTTGAGGATGTGCGTGTGTTTTTCGAGAAGTTCCGTGACCCTGCAGTGGCTGCTTTGCCGGAAGAAATTGACAGCAATGGTGTCGCGAAGGAGAAGCCATTCTGTGCTCCGGGTACTGTCCAGGCTTATACAGAATTCAGACTTCCTGATATTCATACCATGGTTGACTTTGCGAGTGAACATTACCATGAGCTTCGAATCGGTGTCAGATCTCGAGTAACAAGGGCAATGAACGTGATTGACCGCTTCCTTGGTGGATGGCTACCAGCGTTAGGTTGGACGTCGTTGTATGCGAGGATTCAATTCGAGCATGACCGGTTTAGTGTCGTGAAGAAAAAAGAAGAAAGACAGAGGAAGATACTTGGAATGGTAGTTGCTAGCGGTGCTATGGTAGCTGCTAGCATTGCCGCAGCAGGGATTATGGCTTTGCACCCTATAGTCACAGCTGTACTTCCAGTCCTCGCCAGCTCTCATTCCTCCCAAGAATTCTCGCTGTCGACCTGATTTGTGTCAATAAATGCAATGGTTCAGTTGATGAAGTACAACTAGTGAGGTTGAAACAGGCTGTTACTAAATAGTTGCGGAGTGGGACAAGCGCCAAGCTTTGGCGCGGGATCTAAGCGCTTAGATATAAGAATGTAAATTTGATCTCTTTTAGTAGCACCTAGAGTTTACAGTCACGATATAAGTGTGCAGGAAAGATATAGAATACGTCGTTTCATTAGGATATTTCAGAGACATAAGTCAGCGTTCCGCCTAACTAGCTATGCAGTAAGCACCAAGTGAATCTATACCGGACATCGAGGATAATAACACATGATATCATGACATGAAACGAAAGAAAGCCAATAATGGAATGATTTGAGAGAGAAAAAAGGGATGGAGAGCCATAAAGTACTGTATGCGAGCTCACTACCATGCACCGGGGTCGTGATCAAACCTTGCGAGCTCTTTCTCTGAGTCTTCGACGTCTTTTTTAGCCTTCATCCTCATGTAGAAAATGGGGCAATCTCGACTTGAACAAATGACTTCGCCATGCAAACTGCCTTGACAACGTTGACACTGCGTCCAGAGACGACCAAATCTGACTTCCAGTTCTGATACCTTATTCAAAGTTCGTGTGTATAGTTCCCTAAGTCTGGGCCGACAGTTGGCGCACACAGCACCCAACATCTCTTCCTTACCAACCAGTGGTTTCTTGCAGCCCATGCAAGTTTGTGTCTTCTTGGCAAACTTCATTAGCCCTCCTAAAGTTGGCGCCGCGACGGTAATAGAACGGGTATGATCACCTCTCAGCAGTTGAGCAGCTTTCTTTTCGCCAAGTATAGGTTCGAAGATACGAGTCAAGGGCTTTGCAAGCTGGTTTTCGAGATAATACCTGGTATCAATGGGAATGTTGTTCTCGAGAACATAAATTGGGTCCTCAGATTTTTCGTAGTTTTTATCTCCTGCGGCGCCGCCAACGATAACGTATGCAACACGGTCGCCTAGAGTGGGCGCAGACCCAGCGTCACGTTTTCTCATACGTTCAACCAACTCTACGTGAGCTTGTTTCCCCGAATATTTATCCTTGGTTAAGGCTTTAGTAATCACCAGTTTTGACATGTCAACCTTGTTCTGAAGCAGGTCTGAGATTGTGTTTTTGACGTAACTAAAGCAAGAAAACGTCATTTCTCATTAGTATACGCTTCCGCATATGAAAGATGCAAAAAGGAGTATGGAAAGCTTACGTTTCTGCTCCACTAACATTCCGGTCAATGAGAATTTTGTTCAAAACTGTTTCAATCACAGTTTGTACCAAAAGACAATTATCCCTTCGGACGGTTTCTATACCCTTGGTATCCATTTTATCATATTTATCCGGGTTGGTCCAATAAAGCCCAGCATAACGTTTCTTATTAATAAGAAGATACGGATAATAGACCTTTTCGAACTCAAGTTTAATCGGTTTCATGAATTTGGAGGACACGTATCCTGCAGCTTCTTCACCAAGTTTCATAGCTTCCGCAAGATCTTTAGTTCCAAACTTGACCATGACAGAGTCAGTATCTCCGTATATAACTTTGGCATCATGCGTATAACCATTAGATATAGTGTATCTGGCCTCGACTTCATCCTTGGTTTTCTCAATCATTTGGCGCCCATAACTAGTAGTACTACTGGCAATAGGGAGACATGGTAATTTGCCATTCGTGGCACCAGTGATGCCATAAACACTGTTAGCACTAATTTTCAACGCCAGCTGTCGTCCGTTCAGCACCGCTTTTTTGAATGGGTCCTTTTCAACAGCCAACTCCCGTTTTGCCCGTTTTCTTGCTGAAAGAAGTTCCTCTAAAATCTGGGAAAGAAGGCCTTTGCGAACCTTGGCCGTGCAAAACATATCATCATTGGGCGTGACGATATAATCTTCACCCTTTTTCAACCCCAGCTTTTCAACAGTGCGTTTATTTAAAAGAGTCGTGTAACATAGGTTGTGCGCTTGGATAATACTAGGGTATAGAGACGCGAAATCAAGGGTGGCAATGGGGACAGGATAATAATCTCGCACAGGTTCAATAACCGTTGCCCCCTCGTACTGCTGGTTACTATTCTCATCATTCTTCAGATCAGGAATGACAAGTTTTTGTTCAAGCGCCTTTCGGAAAAGCTGAGAGATGAACTTGATCTGCTGACCCCTTGCAAGAAGAAAGTTAAACGGTACTCCCGTCACCCTTGCCATTTCAGTGTAATTCACCAAACACATTAGCTTGTCCATGAGTCTTTGAGGTAAATAGGCATCTTTTAAGCAGTAGACAGCGAGACGTCTTCTTGAGTCCGGTGTCCCATTGTAGAGCTCAGTTATCATAGTATGATGAACGTCTTCCTTTTGCTCTCCCAGAAATTCAGCACACACAGAGTTTAATGTGTAGCTTCGCAAGTGATGGTCCCGTTGAACCAGCTGTAGCAAGTCTAGCTGAATTCTTCCGTTGGTATTAGTGGCTTTAGAGTCCCGCTTGCCCATTTGTTTACTAGAAAAGGACGCCTTTATCGCGTGAGACTGAACGCCCTTTAATCGTGACCAATAAGGAAACTTTGTGCAGCCCAAATGTTCTGCTCGATCCAGCAAGTATGGAAAGTCGAAATTGGCGATGTTATATCCAATGATAACGTCAGGGTCAACTTTTTCCACGAAATCCCTCCATGCTATCAGCATTTTCTCTTCCTTGTCGAACTCCAATACCTGTGTGTTGACAATTGAGCTGCAAGTATCCATAACAAATACATTACGGACAAAAGGCTTCGACTCGCCGTATCGAGTGACTATATTGGCAATCTGGATAACTGGGTCGATATTTGGTTCAGGGAAAATGCCTTTTCTACCAGCGCATTCAATATCAAAGGATAGGATGCGAAGAGGTGCCATTTTTGCCCACTCGCCATCGTTAGGGTGGGCGATCATGTCACGGTAATGTACTGACGCTTCGATTTGGCAGTTTGAGTGACGTTGGTGCGGCGGTAAAATTTCGTATTTTGATGCAGGTACCTCAACCCATGACATGCCCGAGATCTGTTTTGTAGTAAAGGTTAGCCTGCTGTGTGGAGAAGTAGAGTATAGGGAACATCTTTACCCCTGTATCAATCATAAATCGCAAAAGGTATTGAATGTTGTCGAATGTTAGAATTTCACCCTCAATTCCTTTCCACATGCCTTTATAATTGGCCGACCCACTCATAATTGTAGACCGAACGGTGACGATGGATTTTGGATTTGTCACGGTTATTTTAAGGTAGGGGCTCTGCTGATTGCCTTGAAACTCGTACAGGTTTTCTCTCATAGTCATCTGGACAGAATGGATCACTGGCTCTGTGATGGCCAGCTGATCTTCGAGATAGGCTCTGAAAGGTGCACAATCAGCTTGGGTGAAAGCCACGGGTGCGGCCACGTAGAGATAGTGCATGAAACCGGTTACATGAAGAAGTACCGAGTGTCCGCTCTGGTACCAGAATAGTAAATGTTAGGAAGCCATACCCATATCAGTCAAGAGACACCAATGTAGAAGGGATAAACATACCTCTGTGACACCAAATAATTTAACGGCGGTTCCCCCACCTAAATAACCTTCCTGAACATCAATCTGCTGAAAGCATAGGTTGTCCCTAGAGGGGTCAAAGTCACCCAGAGGTGGACGTTCCCATTCCTGATCTTTCTCTGCATTGTTCTCCTTGAGGTCGCCGATATCCTGAGTTAATTTCTCAAGCACATCCTCGACGAATTGGCTTTTGGGTTGAGACCGCGAAGCCGACCCGAATGAGTTTTTGAGTCCATTTTGCGAAGACAATAAATGCGGTGCCTGAATATTAGCTTGTGGTAGACTGGTTTCGAGCTTTCGCTTTTTGGCAGAGGTAGGAGAGGTTGATTGAACCTGGACGTTTCTGCGGCTGACGCTTGCATCGCCCAATATCCTCTTCTGAGGTTTGAGATACTCAGGCATATTGTTAATTTGCCTAGTCTGTAAGAAACGTAAGTTGATTCTCTTTGCCAAATCGTAAGAAAGGCAGCATACTTGAGAGAAGTGGCCTTGTAAAAATACGCGCTTCGATTAAACTGATGATGGCCATCCCAGCCGCGTCGTGGAGCTAGTCCTAATATAGAATAGTCTCTGCTCTTTGTCCAATAACATGCGATTCACCTATTACATAATCATCACCTCAATAATTTTCGCGTTACTGAGGCGCGTTTCCCGATTTAGCAAGTTTTGCAAAGGTCGAAAAGCTGCTTCTTGAATATAAAAAGACGGCCTGCCATGCTCAGATTTTAAGCTAGTCAGGTCAGTAAAACTCGATGATGCAGAATATACCATTGGAAGTACATGCTGTAGGTCTAGACACCCTCTCAAAAATTCCAGTAATGCTCTAACAACACTTTTCAACCCATTAATAGGCCCACTTAGCTGTCTCGCTTCTTAGCTCGGTGTACGGAGTACAATATCTCCTACCAGGCGTACGTGGCCCGGGCCGTTGATGCCACCGGATATATGTTAATCCGCTCCCAATCCGACCGGGAAGAATCGCGGGCGGGGAAAAATAATTAGCCGTCCAACTTTAAAATAATGACTAAGCGTCTTAATTTAGATACGAGCTGGGTAGCAAGACCCTGAGATCAAACAACAAACGCGCATTCGCCAGCACCAAAGACAGCTGGGCCTGGTCAGCATCGCATATAAGCATGGAAAGTCGCTGGTTTTTAAGCATAAGGGTGCCAGGATAATCTGCACCAGTCGATATTAGGAGGCTATCATTATGGTTTATTCTATCCAATCAACCTCAGCCAGTGTTAGATTGTGATTCTATATTAAAATGTCTTCCAGACGTAGCCACCGCAAATCGCGAACGGGCTGTTACCAATGCAAACGACGCAGAATAAAGGTATGCTTAGCTAAGTGATCCAATTGAAAGCATGAAACGGCTCCTACAACACCACCAGCACTTAATTCAGCGCTGCACTGTTAACTGACTTCCAGCCCATAGTGTGATGAGTCCCCAGCTCCATGTGGAAATTGTCGAAAACACAATGTTTTTGACTGCCAGTTTCCAAACCAACCTCCTAATCCATATTATGCCTCATTCGTTCCATTACCTACTACCCAATCCGAAGCTACGGCCGATTCTCCAGCTTCAGTAGCTCCAGGGAACGCTCCCATAGCTTCAACAACTGCTCCTATAGCTTCCACAATTGGCCCCATAGCTTCAACAACTACTTCTGCGGAGCCCTCGGTAAACGCCGCCGCGAGTACTCCGAGGCACACTCCTACAAGCCTCCCAACAACTACTCCTCCAACCCAGTTTCGAGCCATTGCCGCCGCGGCCCAACTTCCAGCTATTTCAATTCTGAATCAGGGCCCTCCTGCTCTTCCGTCAAGTTCACTTCGGCCCTCTGGAATAGAAAGACATAGCATATTTGCTTCGGTTCAAGGTCGTGGACAGGAAGACACCTTGAATCTTGACGATCTAGAACTACTGCACCACTACACAACGAAAACATACCAAACTCTATCTAATAATAACGAGCATGAGAACATTTGGAAGAATGTCATTCCTGCAGAAGCTATAAAACACCCTTTCTTAATGCACGGCCTATTAGCCCTGGCCGCCCTTCACATAATTGAATGCAGTGATCCTGATGACGAAGAAAGCCATCGAAAGTACTCTGCACTGGCTAACAGGCATCAAAGTCTAGCATTGAATGCTTTTCGCCCCCAATTGGACAACATATCATCCTCAAATTGTCACGCCGTTTTTGCTTTCTCAAGTCTAATCGCAGCACTTGCATTTGCTTTCTCGAAGTCAGGGCGAAACACTCAACCTGCAGACCCAGTTGAGCAAGCTGTTCAAGACTTTTATCTTTTTCGTGGCGTTGATAAGGTCCTCCATACTCAATGGACACGCATTGTCAAGGGTAAACTTGGCGCACTGGTTCGGCGCCCAGCTGACTCCGGTGCTGTCTACCCGCTGTCAAAAGACGTCATAGATCACCTCGACTATCTTCATGGCTGTAACGGCGATAGCGCAGCGCACATCTTCGCTGAGGACAGGGCTGTATACAACCATGCAATCCGCGAATTACGAATGTCATTTGAACGATCCCCATCGAGTTGGGAAGGTGTCTTTCGGTGGCCTATGGTTGTTCCCGAGACATACTTGGGGCTTTTGCACACTCGGAAACCAATGGCATTGGTGATACTTGCTCACTATTGTGTAATATTAAGTCGGCTTGATATGTGTTGGTGGTCAGAAGGATGGAGCCGCCACTTGTTCGAAGCCATATATAAATCACTGCATTCATCTTGGCACCGGATGGTTGAATGGCCTATGCAAATGATCGGCTTATCAGAGGTACTTGCGCATGTCTCCTGACTGTGTCGGAACTCGCAGTTGCCTTAATCTCTTGGTCTTCTTTTTACATTTCTTACGATGACAGAGTTGTACATTATTAACTAAAAAATGCACGAATAGAGAGAGGGGGGATTATGTTCATTTCCTTCCTAATGGTTAACATCTACTTCTTATCTTTTTCTTCGTTTTCTTTTTCTCTTTTTTTTGTTTATTATTTTGAAATATTATTAGGGCTCATTGATAACTCAAGTTGTGTCGGGTATCACTCGATTAAGACATTTAATCAGTCGCTCGCAAAATTGCAGTAACAATCATTCTCTCTTCAGTAGACGCTCAGCCAGATCACATATCGTCTCCAGTTCTTCTCTAACTCTCTTGCAGGTTGATCGACGTTGAATATCCGGGTCCACCATTCCAGTGATGCACATTTCCAAACGTTTTGCAATATCCTTCGCTGTGACGTCAACATGGTTACTACCGTTGTCAGTGCTATCCTTGGAAAGTCTGTGATTAATACAGTTGTGTATGATCTTATCTGTGAAATCCGGTGGTAGGACAGGGGACGATAGGCCGGATTCTTTTTTTGGGGATACAGATTCTCCAAAGTGAGATAAACTATTGGGAGAGCAGGTCAAGTTTGACAGTACCATTTGTCGCTCCATGCGAGTATCGATCTTATATAAAAGCTCGAACAAGATGACTCCAAGTGCGTAAATATCTAGTGAATTGTCCGCATACGGATGTAGGCTGGTAGAACCTTGGGTACGGAATGAGTGAGCTGGTGGGCGATAGAACTCTGTTCCAACTGGGCGTATGGGCGCAGAAGGAAGCTCCTCTGATACCGGATTCTTCCCATAAGTTGGCGACTCGGCAACCAAACCGAAATCACCAATCCGTGGGATAGAGTAGAAGATTTTGTGGTCATGTCCGTGGTGACTACAGATCGGACATAAATGTGTATCTAGTTCTGTATCTGAGGGAGATAAAAACACATTTGCAGGTTTTAAATCTCTGTGCACTATTCCTTTTGCGTGTAGGTAGTCTACCCCTGAGAGAATTCCAAGAAGTAATTTGACGGATGGTACGATATGGTAGCAATGGTGGGGGGTGTTCGTAGGGCCATTGTCAACTTGTGGAGCTAGGTACTTTGCAAGGCTCAGTGGATGAAGCGACATTTGAATATGTAGGATGACTGGCGCAGTAGGGTCCGCTCTAGATTTTCTATCGAGTTGCATATTTGACCCTCCGCCTCCTAGTCCGTCACTGAAGATGTCAGGCCCTGATTCACTGACAGAAGTTTGGCCCGAATACGAAAAACTGAGCTGGCGGGGTATAGATTCGACATGTTCATCGTCATTTGTGTCTGTTTCGTCTTCTTCGACACTAGCCACAAAAGACTTCATCGACCTCTCTGAGGAGACTGTAGCAAAACTTCCCCTTCGACGGTCATGTTCACCAGCAGACAACCTATCATTCGATGGTCCTGAGTGTTCCTCGTGCGCCTGTGAAGAGCCAGATGGTTCTTCAAACACAACCCCATGGTCTGACTCTTCAAACACAATCCCACAACTGGATGTACCACCGTCATACTCAGAGAAGGGCTGGTTGAGTAGTGTCTGTTGCCGCTTGGGAGGAGAAGAGGAACGAGAGGCTACGGGAGTGGGTGAGTATTCTGCCCATGCTCCGTAATAACGAACAACGTTTGTATGTTCTAGTTTCGCCAGCGTTCTAATCTCCTTTAATATATTGTCAACCTCTCTCAGGCCTCTTTCTTGCAGCTGCTGTAGCTTCTTAGAGCTGAGTGGGATTTTCTTCACAGCGTAACCTTGCCCGTCAACATGGTGTCTGACTCTGTATACAACGCCATATGAACCTCTCCCTATCAGTGCTTCTTCCTCGAACTCAGTTGCGTACCGAGACCCTCCTACCCCTGACGGGTGAGAGTATAGGAAAGGTATACTGATTGGTCGTGTAAGCGGGGTGGCTTGACGCTGCAGCCGGTTCAACAACCCTGAAGCAAACTGGTTTTGACCTTGTGGGACACCAGTTTTACCGGTTATCAGCCGTTGGAAACTGATGTTCGTCGACTGCTTCATCGTAAACACCGTGTCTTCCATCGAGTGCTCTTTTGCATCTAGAGCCATGAACGAATCTTGAGGTGTATCCCGAGGAGATTGTACCGCTCTAGAGCTTAGATTTAATCCCTCCAACGCAGCCATGCCGATGGTATCAAGTCCTTCCCTATAGTACTGTCTCGTACTCTCCCAATTATCGTTATCGACCCCCGGAGCCACGATTCCATGAGATGACAGGAACTTGGATTGGTATGTATATAGACGCCGTCCCAGCAGCTTGACCTCTGGTGATTCATGCGTATACTGTCCACGATTCCCCGACTGCTCGTTTAGGATGCCGCATGCTTTGGTTAGACAGTAGTGTTCAAGAAGAGCTGCAGTCATGAGAGCAGCATGGCCTTCGGCGTCCACATCAGGGATATCACGGAAGCCCAGGTCTCCGTATATCGAGCTTCCTCCAAGTATCTCTGCGGCCGTAGACTCCGTATCCAAGCTACCGGCGGGCTCAACATCATGGACGGAGCTAGAATTGCCACGCTGCCTGGGTGTATGGCTACTCTCATGTTCCTCTTCTGAAGATATAAAGCTTGACTCGGAAGAGGAAGAATCATCTTGAGGAGAACGAAACATAGACATGGTCAATCAGGATGAGCACAAAACACACACTCAGGGTAGACGAACAGCTCGTCATTCCCAACCAAGCCAAGTTTCAGCGCATTTGGAGAGGCGGAAAATGCCGATAAACACAGGCGGAGGAGTTGGATATTATTGATAACTGCGAACAATAACGTGTGTATTGCTTTGCTACACAGCATTCACTTCTCTCTCTCTCTCTCTCTCGCTCTCTTTCCGACGTAAATAAAAACGAAACAAGTTTGAGTCAACCCTATTTTTTTTAACTTGGAGCTTCGAGAAAAGAACACATCTCTGGATCTTCTTCCTTTTACCCCACGCGAATCGCTGAGTTTCGAGTATCTTCCACGCAACAAGCCACACGAGCAAAGTAACTAACTGGTGATGACAGCGTCGACTTGACTTTCCATGCGCCCTACTGATGTCATCCGGCCGTTGGACCAGCTGGGTAACTAGACGTTTCGGGCGGGATGTTTTTGCTGTCGAAAGCTGGTTCTTGTCAACAGCGGATTCTTCAGTGAGATACAGAGTGAAAGCTCATTGCCGGTCCTTTTGAAGCAGACTAACAATAAGCGATGAAGCGAAGGCCTCCTTAAAAAGGACAAAGGGCTGTCAATAAGTAATAAGTACGGAGTATACTGCCTGGCAAAGATGTTCTATCTGCAGGCTATCCTGACGGCTTCTCCCAACGGAACGGCCTACACGATGGCCTTCCAGAGGCTACGACACCTTCATACCACCCAGACTATCCCGTCTTTCTTTATATCTCTCTCTTTTGAATAGCCAGCACATAAATCTCCATCTCAGCTCGACTTTTCTTACCAACCTGTCACCAAGACATGAATGTCACATGATATAACTGGCACCAGGCATTCCTTGCAGTTTAAGGGGAAAACTATTCCTGGCTCTACTATTCTGTAGTTACTGATATAAAGTGCTGACATAGGATATTCTATTAGATATCAACCAGTTTGAACGGCGGTTATATGTATAATTTGGTGACCTTGGTAACCTCAGGAGCCTCTCTCGAGACAGGAATAAAGGTTTCGTCTGAAAGACGAAGCATGATCCATAGTGATCCGGACGATAGCAGATATCTTCTCTTTCCTCCGCCCTGTTCAAGGTCCACGATTTACGGTATGCCTGGTTACGGCAGAAGTGCTCCGTAGCCCTACGTACTTAGCATAAGCAGGATAAAAACTCCATGGCTACAAGTAGGATATGCCAACAACCAATACTTCCAGACTCACCCACGCTGCCTAGTTAAACCACTATCTGCGTACTTGCATGTCCAGGGGTGTGTCGCTGGACCTCGGTACCTGAAAAAGGCCAGGGGCCAGAAAAGTCTGGCGACAAGATCAAAATACTTTAACCACCCCAACTTCTTCTGCTTCATCGGAATCCATCTTGTATCTTCGCCTCCACCCTTCATCTAGATAGCCCGATCGAGACTCCTGGTTTTATCTACACATCAAATATGAACGGACGACGGGCAGGGCTGAGTCAAGCTCTCCACCAGCTGCATCATCATGGGGCGACTCTTGGCTTCTTCTCCTGAAGCTGGAACTTGCTGGATGACGAATATTACAGCATCAGTGTGATTGTTTCACTCTGCCCTCTCTTTTCCTTCCTGTAGGTGTTCTTTCATTATTATTGTTTCTTTCGTTATCATACAGTCTTTATCAATTCTTATTCCCTCCTCTCCTTTTTTTCTTTGGTTCTGATCTGATATGGGCCTCATCCGTCGAAGATTTATACTACCAATATTATTATCGTCCTTCTTCGTTTTAAGCCTACTTCGTAAGAAATCGGTGGTATCAAATGGCTCCGTGTCCACTTCTCGGCAGCAGCGTTTTCATCATTGGTGGAAGGACTATGTCCCAGATCACCCTGTTACCTCGATGATCCCGCTACCTGATCAGAAACCGGCAGAGATTCCGCCTATCCAATACGGCTTTGAGGAAGAAGAAGATGGAGATGCAAAGGCACTGCGCTTGAAGAGAAGAGATGCAATAAAATTGGCCTTCCTCCATTCCTGGAAAGGATATAGAGACCATGCTTGGGGGACGGACGAGGTTGGCCCTCTCTCCGGGAAGAGCAAGCATACGTTTGGTGGGTGGGGGGCAACATTGATTGATAGCCTGGACACGCTCTGGATCATGGGGCTAAAGGAGGAATTCGAAGAAGCGGTTGCTACAGTCTCCAGTATCGATTTTTCCTCCTCAGAGACTCTTACCCTCAACATCTTTGAGGTCACGATTCGTTATCTGGGTGGCTTGTTGGCTGCTCACGACTTGACGGATGGAGCGTATCCTGTCCTCCTCCAAAAGGCCGTCGATCTGGGCGATATGCTGTATATCGCATTTGATACACCAAACAGGATGCCTGTCCTTCGTTGGTTCTGGTTGGCATCAAAGGAGAAACGAGACCAGGATGCTAGCAACGTCAACGTTCTTGCTGAACTTGGTTCGCTTTCACTAGAGTTTACTCATCTGACTCAGTTGACGGGGGATCCAAAATATTATGATGCGATTCAGCGTATCACCAACGTATTGGATAAGAACCAGGATTATACTGCACTCCCCGGGCTCTGGCCTATATCCATCGATGCCCTGACACCCAACTTTCAGGTTGATAACAGATTCTCCTTTGGCGGGCTAGCAGATTCTCTCTACGAATATCTGCCCAAGGTATGGGTATAATGATGTCCTTTATATTAAACAACACATCCAGTAAAACACAGTAACTTACTCAATTAGGAATATCTCATGCTTGGTGGACGATCGCCGCAGTATCGCAAGATGTATGAAAAAGCTGTTGACGTGGCCAAGAAGCATATGTTCTTCCGACCCATGACGGAAGATGGGGACGATATTTTGATTTCTGGTACACTGCGCGCCAGGGGAAAGTCTATCAGTTTAGAACCCGAGAGCCAACATCTAACCTGCTTTGTTGGAGGGATGCTGGCGATCGGTTCCAAAATCTTTAATCGTCCGGATGAACTCGCCATTGGCAGGAAGCTTGTAGACGGTTGCATCTGGGCTTACAAGAGCATGCCTACAGGGGTTATGCCAGAAACCTATCGCGCCGTCACTTGCATGGACGAACACGCTGGATGTAGTTGGAATATACGTGAATGGCTCAATAGCGATGAAGATAACCAACAACCAATAGATGAGCTTAAACAGCGGGCAAAGGAAAAGGGAATATATCCTGGGTTCAGGTTGATATCCGATCCCACATATCATCTTCGGTGAGCATTCTTGGTTTTAAAAATTTTTTGGCATGGCGTGGTTAATTCTGACACACTGCGGCTTCAGCCCGGAAGCCATTGAATCAGTATTTATCCTATACCGAATTACGGGGGACACAGCTCTCCAGGATAAAGGCTGGGAGATGTTCACTGCAATTGACAAAATCTCCAAGACCAAGATCGGTTATGGTGCCGTTGAAGATGTCACTGCATCTCATCCCATCATTAAAGACGAGATGGAGTCCTTTTGGACGGGTGAAACCTTGAAATATTTCTACCTTCTATTCAGTGAGCCGGACCTCATTAGTTTGGATAAATATATTTTTAACACGGAAGCACACCCATTGCTACGCCCGACCTAGGCTTCCATTTCACCCACCTTTCTCTCTCTTTTCCCACATGCAATATCTTCTCATCTCTTTATCAATTCAAAGAGATTCTGTTATATAATCAAGCATCCGGACAGGTTCTTGTCTACAAAATACGAAGCAATGCTTATAGCCACGGAAGCAACTGACAATCCGAAGGCCGCGCCCATGTGAATCTCGGATCATCTTTTTCGGTCCCTGCTCCTCTATCGGGCCCCTTTTCAACTTCTAGTCATCTTTTTTCTTCATCTTGTGTGTTTCCCCCGCTGGCGCAGCGCTGGTCGGTGTCGCTGCACCGAAAAGCCTAACTCTATTAAAGGATGACTAAATCCGGGGATAATCCGACGCTGGTAACAAGCTTGGTGAGATGAGTAACTATGGAGACGACCCTGCTCAAGAAAAAACCTTACTCGATCGTAAACCTGTAGGTTTGTGTATCCACATACACTCCCATTTTCGGGCCACAGGGATACTGGCTTCACAAAATCCTGCACTTCACATTAATGTATGTACCCTCTACTTATGCCTTAACTGCATGGTAAACTTACACAAATGTGTGGAGGAGGTGGCCTTTAACTTTGTAACTTTAGGCAAATCTGGGGACGCACCAATTGACTCTTGATGAACTTGCAAACTCCAGGGGCCAGGGACTTGAACCCAAATTTAAACTCGGATCCCGGGGTTTTCTCCATAAATCCATCACTTCTCGTGACCTCGTTGTTGGCGACTGGCATTGGAGTACATAGTGTCGTAACAACAATAACGAAACCGGTCGTACGGTTGGGGCCTGGCTACTCTCTATACAGTTCAGATTGGAAATGTAGATCGAGTAGCCGAGCAGTCACCATGTTTCGCACAATACAACTGTAGAGAATCATCAATTTCGTAATCATTGCTCAGCGCCACTTGCCTTATAGCCTCAAGGGCCGCTACTAGGACCAAATCTTTAAAGCTCGTACCGAGTTCTTGGCTCTATCAGCTGCCTTTTTGATCATTTAGACCGAGGTTGACACCAAAAACCACCACCAAAAATTGCAATGTAGTTGTCGTCCCGGGCGGCCTGTCTCGTCGGGGCCGCTTTGGTGCGAATATTAAGGTATCCGCACTGTGGAGGACTCCTTAGAGTTAGAGTAAAATTCATACCCCATGAGGGGTTGAAGAGAAAGAGCCATAAAAATCCGGGGAAAGTAAGAGGGCTCAAAACATTGTCTCTTGCTGTGGATAGGATATAAAGTGCACTGGTTGCTCGCCTCCTTAATCTTCGTCTCCCTAGGGGTCTTCAAACCATTTCTTTCCCCCATTGGTACCATCTCTCCTTTTCTGAAGCCTTACTCCTCATCGACCATCTAATTAAAAAAAATTGTCAGCATGATCGTCTACCTCAAGCTCTGGCTTGGCCTGCTGTTTTTCGCTCTCACTGTCCAAGCCCTGCCACCATGGCGTCTTCAGCTCCGTGGTACAGCTCCATTGCCGTCTGAAGACCCTTTTTACCAACCACCCGAAGGCTATGAGAATGCTCAGCCAGGTGCCATTTTGAAGCAACGAAAAGTACCCAATCCTGTTGCAGTTATAGGCAAAATTCCTGTGAGATTGCAGAGTGCCCATCATGTCATGTATCGCACATCCGATAACTTTGCCAACGCAACCGTCGCCGTAACCACGATTTTGGTTCCTAAGAATCCCAACTACAAGAAACTACTCTCCTTCCAGGTTGCAGAGGATGCTGCCTCTCCAAATTGCGGTGTCTCCTATGCCATCCAGAAGGACCATCAGACTGGACCAAAACTGGGTACAATCATCACTGAAGCTGAATTTCTCCTAATGATTGCTGCCCTTAATAATGGATGGGTATTGACAGCCCCTGACTTTGAAGGGCTGCAAGGCTCATGGTTAGCAAACTCTCGTGCCGGATATGCCGTGCTTGACGGTATCCGTGCAACTCTTGCCTCAACCAGTTTCAGCGGCGTAGCAAAAGATGCCACTATCACAATGTGGGGTTATTCCGGGGGCAGCCTGGCGTCTGGTTTTGCTGCTGAACTTCAGCCAAGCTATGCTCCAGAACTGAAAATTGCGGGCGCTGCACTGGGAGGAACGGTGCCTAGGGTCAAAACAGTTATTCAATCCGCGAACAAGAGCATCTGGACTGGTCTGATAGCTGGAGGTATCTATGGGCTGAGCAAAGACTACCCGGTAATACAGAAGGTTGTTGAAGAAGACATACTTCCCGAAAAGAAAAAGGATTTTTTGAGGGCGGCAGATCAGTGTTTTCTGGCGAACATTCTCGATTTTGCATACCAAGACATACTTACATATGTGAAAGATCCGAAGATATTAGAGCGACCAGATTTGGTGGCCATTATGGATGAAAACTCGATGGGAAAGAATATCCCCAAGATCCCTCTCTTCGTCTACAAGGCTGATAGAGACGAAGTCAGTCGTGCGGACGACACCAATGCTCTTGTCAAACATTATTGCGACAATGGTGCCATCGTCCACCATAACCGCGATTTGACAGCAAACCACATCATTCTGGCGGTCACCGGGGCCCCCGATGCCCTAAACTGGCTCGCCGATAGATTTGAGGGCAAATCCGTTGGTACTAAATGCAGAGAGTCCAAGGAGTTTATCAGTTTCTTGGACCCCCGGGCCCTAAGGGTTATGAGCTTGACTCTTATCAAGGAATTCCTGGTGCTGTTAGGCAGGCCTATTATGGGCCCTGCCAGTCTCAACTTTCCTCATTAACGAATAATGAATGGGTTTTAACACATCTGTATATATTCATGATGCTTTTCGCACAGTGTGTGCCTTTGGACTAAAACCAGTTGGAAACGAATTAATTCTTGAGAAGCGCGTATTTTTTCTGAAGTTTGAAACTTTTAAATGGTCAATATATTTCTATTTCCACTTTAGGTAGTGCAGAAAGTAATTGATTACTTAATTGATAAATATTGACCAGTTAGGTTCTCTAGCGCATTCAATATTGCGATCTTAATATATTATTGGCTCCTGATGGATTAATTATATCCTTATCTTATCTTGGTGACTAAGCATACCTTGGACCGCAGCCCTCAAATCTCGTTGGCAAAGCAGCTAGAAATATGGAAAGTGAGCTTTCTTCCATCTTTCCGGGGCTATTTTATAAAATTTCTTGGCCTGTCTAAGGCTGCAAGCTCAAGAGAATGGAGAGTTTTGATGATGTAGCTCTATCTCTAAACGCTGTAGCGGAAATGGGCTCATTCTGCGAGCAATCAGCTGCTTGTCAGCCACAACCGCACGAGCCTACAGATATCAAGAAGACATCATTTGATAGTGTCATTCGACGTGAAGGTGGTGGAGGACTTACTAATGCTATAGAAGACAATAATAGTGCTAATTTGCCCCTGACTGACTCCCCGGCAACCGCCCTGAACCTGCCTGAATCACAACGACGACGAATTGAAGATACACGTACCCCAACTTCGCAGCAGGCATTCGATTCTAAAGCATCAAATCATTCCTTCGAGGAACGCCGTGGCTCAGCCAGCATGCTAATATTTGATGATGACGGAGAAGGCGGTGATGAGGAACCCTATATTGCCAAATCATTCGAGAGAACCACTTCGCCAACCAGTGCAGCACATAGAAGCCGAGATGATACTGAAATCAGGAGTGATGGCAATAGTGTCAGAGATGCTGAGAAAGATGGAGAGCTTCCGTTTGCGAAAATGCACAAATTCTCGCTCTACGAAACAGCTACAAGATATTACTTGGTCGGGATGGATCTCCTAGACCGACGTTTTCGGATGCTGAAGATCGATCGTACCTCAGACCCAGATGAAGATCTTGTCATTGCAGAAGATGAAACTATATATTCGAAGAAGGAGATGAATCAACTCCTCGATGCTGTAGATGATGGCAATAAAATCTCCGGCGGATTGAAGCTACGCTGCAGCACATGGGGCCTTCTAGGTTTTATACGTTTTACAGGCTCCTACTATATGCTCTTGATTACCAAACGAAGCCAGGTTGCCATGCTTGGGGGACATTATATTTATCAAATAGACGGAACTGAGCTTATACCCTTGGATTCCCCGGCCACAACAAAACAACGGCCTGAAAAGCATGCAGACGAGGCTAGGTTCATTGCGGTCATGAATAACATTGACTTAACACGGTCATTCTATTTCAGTTACTCGTATAACATCTCCCGAACGCTACAAGACAATATTGTTTCAGAGCGACAAGCTATTAGGAATGGTCAACGTAGCTACGAAAATCAGAACCATAATTCTATGTTCGTCTGGAACCAATATTTTCTTAACCCTGCCATCAAGTTGCTCAAAAACGTATATGATTGGTTTCTGCCAATTACCCACGGATATGTTGACCAGTCAGCTATATCAATATATGGAAGGCTTGTATACCTGACTCTCATTGCTCGCCGATCCAGGTTTTTCGCTGGTGCACGCTATCTCAAACGTGGCGTGAATGACCTTGGCTATGTTGCAAATGATGTTGAAACCGAACAAATTGTTTCTGATATGTTGACCACGTCATTCCATGCACCTGGGCCTGAGCTATTTGCAAATCCACAATACACATCTTACGTCCAGCACCGTGGGAGTATCCCTTTAGCTTGGACACAAGATAGTACCGGGGTTACTCCCAAGCCAGATATTTCGCTAAGCCTTGTTGACCCGTTTTACTCGGCAGCAGCTCTCCATTTCAACAACCTCTTCGAAAGATACGGTACCCCCGTCTATGTCCTAAATCTTATTAAGGCAAGGGAAAAGATTCCTCGTGAGTCGAAGCTATTAACCGAGTACACCAATGCTGTAAATTATTTGAATCAATTCCTTCCAGATGGTAAGAAAATCATATACCGTGCCTGGGATATGAGCAGGGCATCGAAGAGTCGGGATCAGGATGTCATCGGGACATTGGAATCAATAGCAGATGATATAATACCAAAAACTGGATTTTTCCGAAATGGCGAGGACGAAGAATCTGGACTACGCATGCAAAATGGAATCGCAAGAACAAACTGTATCGATTGTCTCGATCGAACAAATGCGGCACAATTTGTCATTGCAAAACGTGCTTTAGGATATCAACTGCAAGCCCTTGGAATAATTGACCACACATACATAGAGTATGACACTGATGCTATTAATATATTCACAAATATGTGGCATGGCCATGGTGATACCATTGCAGTGCAGTATGGCGGTTCCCATCTTGTGAATACAATGGCCACATATCGGAAATTAAACCAGTGGACAGGCCACTCCAGAGACATGGTGGAGAGTTTTAAACGGTACTACAATAATTCTTTCCTTGATGCTCAGAGACAAGAAGCATACAATTTATTTTTAGGAAACTATGTGTTTTCTGAAAATATTCCCATGCTCTGGAACCTCACCACTGATTATTATCTACATCATTCGGATCCACGAGCGCGGCTCGCAACACACAAGCAAAATTACATACATTGGTTTAATGAAGAACATCTTCAAAAGCGAGGAATGCCACCCGCGCCTTCAGCTTCCTCAACTCTGGCAAGCAAACGTATCCGGGAATTCGATGATTATTGGCTTGAGTATTACAGACCGAGAGCAATATCGTCATTTTCTAAAATGTTCTCGTTCAAGATGAGAACTAAACTCCCGGATTATCGGTTACAATCTATGCATCCCGGAGAACACGACCTTAGCCCCTTTATTGTTAGAACAGACCACGAACCGGAACACCAGCGTGACAGAAAGAATCCGCCAAATAAACGACTTACGATTCAAGAACCTTCTGATGAATCAAAAGACCACAAAAGTGGACCAAATAATGTTTATTCGGGTGCAATGCCACTGCAGCATTGGCTTCAACCCTCTTCCGGACGGCTCGCACCTCAATCTGGCATTCTAAAGGGAGCACAAAAGCCTCCAACCACAGATTCTCTTCAGCCTAATGATCCGGTCTCTTTAACAAATGCATATAGCCATCCTCCGTATAACGCTACTAAAGCTCAAATTTCCCAATGGAGTTTTGGCCAGTTGATTGCTGATTCTCTCAACCCATCCATCTCTTCCGCAGAAGCAGAAGAGTACGAACGCTATGTCAACCACCCACTCAAGGTGCCGTTGGTTGTGACATCGGAGGCGTCCCCAACGGCTACCTCGTTGGCAGAAAGGAGTTCTAATCTGGACCTTTTTGAATACGCAAATAGGAGCAATCTAGAAAATGCGAGTTTAAATACAATCGCTGAGAGTAGCATGGCGGATTACACAGACTTCTTAACTGTTGGAGATGAAGGGCTAACCGTTAACAAGGATGACTATGACAAAAAGCGTTATAAGCGCTATAGACAATGGCTGAGGGGAAAGAGTTTGTTCAAACAAGGTGTTGAGGTGTGATACTTCTTGCTCTATAGAATCAGTCATTACATTTCTTGCAAATTTTTGCTATATGACCTTGATTTTTGATACCCTAGTTAGCCTAGTAAATTATCATATAAAGTCAACATGTCTACCCTCCAAGTAAACATTAATATTGTCGACAAACTATATCTATCATATGGTGGTCAACGGTTTAATGAACACGCTAAAAGCCATCACGGAGACATGAGCAGAAGATTTTCCAGCCTAGCATCGGCATTAGCCAAAGACTTGAGCTCAGTATCGAGATCAACGACTTCCTCGGCCTCAATAACCTTCAAAAGAGAAACTAAGCGCTGTAGAATTGAACGAAGATACGTCCTGTCCTCTAGCTTCTCATCACTCAAGGATAGGCCGTCCTCTTCGTCGTCACATAAATGAAGCCAGCATGCGCATACTCCAGCAAGTATGTCTCCTCTCCACCTTGACAAGCGTGGCCAACAATTCAAAATAACCGACTGATAGCACTCAGCAGCTGTGATAAGTAATGGTATATATGCTACCCCAAAGGGGTTGGTAAGAGTTGAGGTGAGCATTGGAATGATGTCTTGTAAATATTTCGTTGCTTCAATTTCAAGGGCGTCGATGGATTCGGTTAACTGCTTAAGCAATAGTGTGGAAAGTAATGGGTGTGGATATGAAGATATGGATGTGTCTTCGGCCGGCCGCGGGCTGCTGGTGTGAAGATAGGAGGACATAATATGATGTCTCAGGATTCGCGAAATGGATATAGCACGTAATTGAGCGTCCTTTTCGACTTCAGCCTTAGTTTTCGAAGGTAGTTGTCCGCCGGTATCCGCCCTATGTGTAGTAACAGAGGAAAACCGAGTTCGAATAACGCTGAATATAGCTGGGTATGCAAAGTTTAGGAGATAGACAGATTCATTCTCTGGAGTAATAGTGGGGATGAATAAGAGGCAATTAGACAGCGCATCTTGAAATACAGAGTCAAGATTTGTTCGGCGTAGGATATCAGACTTGGCCTGTTCAAGAGGGCTAAGGAGATTCCCAAGTAAACTGCAACCCACGGCTTTGAATGCAAGGCACTCATCGTCAATGAAGGATAAGATTGCAGGAACAAGCAGTGGGAAATGTCGTTCAATCATACTGAGATCTGTTGCCTATATTCCCATTTCATCAGCCTCTAAATACCAAAAGAATACCACCATGGGAATCTTACATACCTGGTATTGACCGATAATCCATCTAAGGATTGATACAATATATCCTTCTTTAAACTTCCATGGCTTTGACCCAGTATCAAATAACGTAGGGTCAAAACTGGGCTGTGGAATGGGATGGACGTTCTTGCGCCCTGCAGGGGTGATTGCGGGAGTCTTAGTTTTGGAAAAGGCGGGTTTCACCTTCTTTAGAAGAATATTTTCTATAGTAGTTTCAAATAAGCCCTGCTCATGACGGAGTTTCAACTCATACTTTTGAAGAAAGCTGTTGGCCATTTGAGAGCCTTCGTTCGTTGTCCAAGGGTCACAGGGTGAATTGAATACTGCAACGGCCGAGAGGATATCTTCTGTGTTTTCAACCAAAATAATGGGCTCAATAAGGCTTATGATACGTATTCCCACGGTCGATTTAACCCGCTCCTCTCGATATTTCGATAAAATCGATGCTCGTCGTTCCTCTATGTATAGTTAATATATCAAATCGTCCGTCAAGGGTGGGTGATGCGAACCATCTGCAAGCTGAAACTCGTCCCAGGTCGCTGCAAGATTCTCCCCTGGAGGGATAACTCCCAATGTCCACTGTAGAATTGAATTCGCTGCACTTCTATCTTGGTCATCATGTGGTATTTCAGCCTTTCTGTCCCGAAGGCAAGCCTCTACAATGAGGAGATTTTCCAAGACCTGTTGTTTCGTTAGCTTTTCAATCTTAGAAACAAGAATATGGGCACTGACATAATTGCTATCTCTATATCCATCAAGATCTGACCAGAGATCATAGAGTTCTATGTTGTATGGTGTTGCATCTTGGATATAAATGTTTGGGTCATCGTTGCCTTGGGCCCGCTGGAGACAACTTCTAGCTGCTTCACGGCACGCGTCCATATTTTCCACTGCAGCTTAGGTACAGCTAATAAGATGATGGTCACTAGAAATTCTGAAGAGGTATAGACACATAATAAATACGTGCTCTTTTACTAACTCGGGGTCGGAGAAATTCGTTGTTTACTAGTGAGATAAAACAGAGTGGCGCGCTAGTTAACGTTAAAACTAGTCAAATAATTATGCGCGATGTACAAATGCTTATCCAGACGTATCGACCATGCTATTACTTCGTAGTCAATATACTATTAGAGCGTTTGATAATCGAGGGCTGGTTGGTTATTTGTCATTGAAGTGACACGTTAGAAATGATTTAACAAGATTGATACATAACTAGTATTCTTCTTTGCGGAAGTTGTTTTCTGAATCTATGCTTGCAGGAGGTATGCTTGAAATGCCTATTGTTTGAACTCTTCTCTCCTCCGAATAGCTTCGTCTATTGCGCCCTCTGCATCTGACCGATCTGGATTCCGAATTTGCCATTCCACGGTAATTTCCAGGGCGGAAGTTAGCCATGCTCCTGGCTTCGCATTCAAGGCTGCTATCATATCACGTCCGTTCACAAGAGGCCGGAGGTTATATACATCAAGGAGATTCTGTTCTTCGAGAAACTGCAGCATCTTAAGGTAATCTTTCAATACTATACAAAGAGCATTAGTATGGTTAGACTCATCAGTTCGGAGATAGTTGCACTTACCAAGTTCAGCAGCTTTCCCTTGCATGACATCCAAGAGCATTGCCTGGATAAAACAGAGTCTCCAGTCAGCCCCTAAAGTTCGGATAAGTTTTGCAAGTTTCCAGCGGGTATCAGCCAGACAAGTATTAAGCTCCCCATTGACAAAGGCTGTCTTCACGTCAGAGATAAGTCCGTAGTGGGTGATTGCGACGCTTAGCAAGGTTGTCAATTTCTTTTCGCATCTTAGACTATCCCGGGCAACCCTTGCTGGGTGTGGTGCCATTTTCTTAACCTCATCTTCGGTTAAGGGATTTTTAACATCGACCATTGCCCAAGGGGAAAGTGCAGCAATCATCCATGATCGGTACTTTTCATCTTTATCACGGACGAGGAAGCCTTTGACAGACTTTCGTAGCTCATGTGATATTCCAGAGTTCAATTCATCATTTAAGATGCTGTTGAGTAACGTATAGACAACCGGCCATGGAGATGTATCAACAGTTGCCTCACTCTGATGGTCCGAAAAGATAGTGTCATATAAACCTAGCCGATTTATAATTTCTAATGAGCCTAGTGGGTCAGGACCTAAATAAGGCTCTGTGTGAGTATTGATACGGGTTAGGACGTGATACTCAAAACATACCGCGGAGCATCTTCTCAATCTCGATGCCAATCCTCTCTTGACTTATTTTTAATTTGAGGGAATGTTTGATGTCATCGTTATACATCGACGTCTCTGTATCGGGATCGATGGTGTATCCAAGTCTACTGGCAAACCGAATTAACCTCAGGACTCTCAATGGGTCATCTTTGAAAGTTTGATAGGGCGCCAGTGGTGTGCGAATCAGTTTTGATTCCATGTCACTCAGCCCTCTGCCGGTGAAGTCTTCTACTTCGTCAGTATGTAAGTTGTAAAACAATGCATTCACGGTGGCATCGCGGCGAAGGGCATCCTCTTCCGCGGTTCCAAACTCAACTTGGGGGTTCCGGCTGTCATCGGTATAGGTTTCTTTCCTCAAGTTCACCAAATCCACGTCAAACCCGAAGACTCGAATGGTAGTTGTCTCGAGATGTTTAGATTTCTTCGGATTTGCGGCAATTTTATGCAGTCCGCCAATGATGCCCTTGAGAGCGTGCACTGGATAGTGCGCTTTGTACTTCTCGAGTTTTTCGGGGATATCAAGATATTCCTTCAATGCAAGACCAAAATCGTAACCAGTCATGGTGCTGATCCCTACATCAATATCTTGACTGTCAACGCCCAAGAGTTTATCACGAACCCATCCTCCAGTAAAACGGAGAACAAGATCTGGGCCATTGACTTTATTCTTCTGTCTGAGACATATATGCTCAACAGTGTCAAGCAGTAGTCTCCGTAGGAGTGCTTCTTCTGAGCTTAGGTGCACCCGCGGTGTCTGCCCTCCAGTCCCCTGTGCCATTGCACTGTCGGGTACAGCCGAGTTCACGATGCGTCTCCGTTTGTTTGGTCTCTCAGCTTTGCTAAAGAGGTCACTCATAGACAAAACAGCCGTCCGTTTGGTATGGTTAAAGCGGTTCGCAAGAGGGCAGAGAACTTTCGAGCCAGGTCTTTGGCGCGCAGGAAGAGTTCGTAGACAGAGGGCTCCCGGTAATCTGAGCCCTAGGCGCATCGATTCGATGTCCACCTAGAGATATATCTCCTTATATATCTTTTTTAGGAGTGCTAATTGGTGTGGACAGAAGCAGGTTCTTCATCTATATACACATGAGTCAGTGGCAGCCATTTCTTCACAATAGCCAGGAATAAGAGTCGCACCTAAAGATGTCATATGTAGAATGAGAATAGCGAGACTGGGTAGAAATTAGTTAACTGCATGTTTATCTAGCACAGCGTTGGTGCATTCAAAATAAAATATAGAAAGCAAAAAAAAATACCATCCAGCGAAATGAAGTCATCCTCGTTGGGCTGAACAACAACAACGCCAGCATCAAACTTGCCGACCTCAATACTTGACTTTAATCTCTCAACCACAAGACTCTCTTCTCTTAGGTACAAGCATAGGCTACATGTTCACGGAAAGCAGTCGAGCCAGCATACTCAAGCCTCCGTCAGACATTATACCAAGTTGTCCATGACAACCCCCGAGGATGCTCCGATCAAACCGCCGCCCTCCTTCTCGCCGGCTTCACCTCTTCCCACCAAGTCCAGATACGCCGAGCGTCTGCAAAACTCGCAGCAATCGGCGCTGACCTCTCTATCTGAAACCGCCCTGAACAACTCTTTGGCCTCCGAGGTACAGTCCTCACCCTCGTCCCGGGCCAGCTCGCCTGACCGGCGTCTTTCTCGCTCCTCCCAGCGGCTCTCCAGATCCTCGACTCTCTCACCAGCTAGGCATCATATTGATGCTTCGGATGATATACGGTCAACTATAATTCGAGCCTTCTCCCCGGCTATCAGTGTTTATGCTTCACAAGAGACGAACGAGCTTGTACAAAGAAAGGGGCTTAAGGGCGGGTTTTGTGAACTCCTACGGCCGTTTGGCGAGAAAATCATCGGAAAGGTTATCATACGGGATGGAGTAGGCTCTAGTCGGAGCTGGGATGACTACGGAGTTCGATTTGTGCACTCAAATGGTTGTCGGCAGGCTTCTGCGGCTGGGGCTGAAGATATAGATAAGATATCCCCTCTAGCACAAATTGAAAAGGTACTGGAGAGCCATCTGGAACTATCTAATCGAGCAGGGGGTGGTTCAATATTCGCACGCCAGCCTACTCCCAAGGGCATCACGTTGTCATCTCCGCTGTACAAGCTGTTTCTAAGGCGCATGTTATCTGCGGACTCTCCTACTCCTCATGAAACGTTTCTTCACCCTGTGGCCTGTGTCATAGCCATCAGTTCCAGTACACCTTCTCCTCTGGAAGCCCTACGGCAGCTATATGCCAGCACAAGCCATGGAGAACAAGGGCCCCAGCCCTGGATTCATCCAGAGTATCTCCGATATTATGTTCTCGTTCATGACGAAGATAGAGATGACATCGCTCAATCAACTGCATTATTTGACCAGATGAAAAGACATTTTGGTCTACACTGCCACATGTTGAGGCTTCGAAGTAACCAATGTGTTTTGACAGATGACGACAGCATGCCATTTCCCCCCTGTGAGTGGCAAAGTTCACGAGAGGAACTAATAGAGATGAAAGAGCAAGGTATACCCCCTATTACTGCAAAGCTGTAATGTATTGCAACTTGTATTGATACTTGTATTGATTACAGTCAAGCTAACGTTCGCATTATCTGCAGAGCCGTTGATAGACGTCGGGTGGGAATCTCCCTATATATTTGAGTCTGATGTAACAGCAATCATATCTTTTATCAGGGAACTGGTAGCTCAGTCTGTTATCCCACACATGGAGAACCGCGTGGCCTTCTGGAATGAACAGGTTGCCTCCCGGAGAAGAGGTTTGAGTGGTCGTTTCATGTCTATCTCTAAACGCTGGACTGGATTTGGCTCCAGCTCAAAGTCCTCCGGCGCTTTTGGTGGTGGCGGGGCTGGAAGTAATTATGATCCTTACCAGGGTTGTTATAAGCCTGATTCTCCCGAAGCACTTCTACGGAAGATGGCGGACTATTCCTTTATGCTACGTGACTTCAAGCTTGCTTCATCCACGTACGACCTGCTCAGAAGCGACTTCGGAAACGACAAGGCATGGAGATACCATGCCGGGGCCCATGAGATGTGCGCAATTAGCATGCTACTTAACCCCTTAACATCGACAATCAAATCAAAACTCGACACTATCGACCAATTATTGGACATTGCCTGCTACTCTTATCTAACTCGATGCTCAGACGGCCAAAACACCTTACGCACTATCCTACTTGGAGCTGAGCTTCTAAAATCCCGAGGAGGTTCAGCCGCCGAAAATGCCGCTAAATGGAACATGAAAGTTTTGAACATGAACCTCGTCGGCCCAATCGGCAGAATCCTTGTATTCGAACGGACATCTGCCTGTTTCGCAGCCAAAGTCGCAACAGAAGGCACCAAATGGGGAACCCGACGAAGAAAAGCGGGGATGTTGTCACTTATCGCTGCTGACTATTGGCTAGCAATTGGGAAACCCGCGCTTGCGTCTAGCTGCCTGGAGGAAGCTGAAAGGCATTACGGTCATATCCTGGAGGAAGGCTTATTTGCATTTCCTGATTTACGGAATTTTGTTGAGGAACTGAGGCTGTCTGTGAAGATGGGTTGTCTCCAAGCTCAGGGGTTAGAAGGAGAGGAACAACAGTCTACTGACGAACAACTTGACACTACCGAAGAGATGAATGAGAGGCTCGACTTTCGCCATCATCGGCGGTCTTTCCTGGGGTCTGTTGGGCCCCTGGAGGCTACACAACCACCCACACGCCTGAAAACAGAAGACGAGGAGCCTGCAGATGACGACTTTGAATGAGCAACTGTTGATGGCCACTGCTGCGATTAACTGATACACCATATATCGATATATCGGGATGTATCCTTGAATAATGGGTGAGCTTTATCTAACCACATTTAACTTGCGTGCCCTCCTTGGCGGCCACGGCCGGACTGCCCAATTTCTGTTTTATATCCTCTAGTGGCTCACCTATAATACCATGGGTAATCAATGTGTCTTTTCCTCTCCTAATTGCTACGCTTTCCGCCCGGCCTAAAACATTTATTTGATCTATATGTTACGTCGAGTTAGATACCTAGCCGGAAGGCCAGTTTACTAAACTTACAATTGCTTTCTTGTTTGGATGTTACTCGAATCACGAAAGGATTGCTTTTCATTCGGAAACCTGCAGGCGACTCCTCGTCTCTCGCCATACCATGTACTGGCGGGTGAGCAGCTGGCTTCCTTCACTTCTATATTTTCTCTTTCTGAGAGTTCAATTGCCCTGCAGTGGTCGACATTCCTGCCGGCCCATACCGTCTTTCGTAGTTTCGGATATTTGCAGCGGTTTCTGGGTCTCTCTTAGGATCTGAGTGCAAATATGTTGTCCGCCGTCGCGCAGACAAGCTTGGTTCTGTTTATTATTATTAATAAGGCTCGGGAGGTGCGGCTATAGCTTGTTGAAGGTTATTAAGAGCGTCTTTTTGGGCTCCAGAACTCGAGTATTTCCTTCACGACGCAAACAGCTTCATCTCATCGAAGCATTCCTGCGCGTCATCGCTCCTTTTTTTACAGTTTAATTTGATGGTCAGGATCTTGTTCGTCACAATATCCAACGCGGCATGTTCTCTCGTTGAGAGAGAGTTTGCTGGTCGAGAATAGAGAATGTCATCTCCGCAAAATCCTGGACAGCGGTGATGTCGCACCCAATCGCGGATTTCATTATCTGCCTTGTTTAGGAATGGAGATTTAAGTTTAGCCATAGGCTTACGGGAGCCATGGGAGATCGAACTTAGGTCAGTTGTCTGGAGAATACATGGAGCACCCGGAGGACCAGTATCGTCCTCACTAAGAAGTATTTCTCTGTATGCTTCATCTATGAAATTACCAAGCGCCTGAGAGTAATTTAGTGAAGTGGCTAGAGTCATAGAAGTTGCTTGGCCGTCTCTACCATACCTCCGAAGGAATATTCGCGGTACAGAACACAACGTACATTATCTGATATGAAGATACTCGATCGTCTATTTTTACGTAGAGTTCACCGCATCACCGCGCTTGATTTCTCGTCACTACCGGTATTGTGTGTCATTACCAGCTGCTTTATTGCTGGTTTTTTGCAAGTGGTGTGAGAATTTGCGCATCGTGGGCGTTATAATAGCAGCTTAGCTATGACTTCAGCTGTGTATAGTTTAGTGTTGATTTAGTATGCGGTGATATTTCTTCGCGGCATATTTGAGTAGCTCAATAGTTAGCTGAAAGGTGCTTTAAGAAGTAACAAACTAGACATTAATATATGGTTGTTCTGGTATGTAGAAATGCAAATGTTCGTCATTGTAAAATCTCCACTGAGGCGTAAACTAACTAGTTAACTAGTTATTAGCTTGATGGTTTCCGATAAGCGCGGCGCAGCAACGATAAGCGCGGCAACGTCGACGTCAACGTCAAAACAACAACAAACCTCAGCTTATCCTTGTCCAGCTAAGTCTATCACAGGACGAGATTATACTCCAACGATTTTATTCTTCTTGCACTCATATGGAAGTGAAAACGCGATGAGTGAGCTCTTATCATATATCCTTAGCCATGAGGATGCCTTCCGCAAGTATGGATTGTTATTTCTTCTCCCACTAAACTCTCTTTTGTCATGCTCTGACCCTGCCTTGTTATCCAAAGGGCTCGTTTACCATCACTATACTCCGACTTTTCTCCCCAAAAACAGACGAATCCAGATGGCTACAATAGCAATGTAACCGCATGGCAACGGGCTTTAGCGAACGCCGCTCTAGCGGGACACGTTTCCTCTTTATCATCCAGTACTGCGCAAAAACTAGGCTCTAGGAAAGAGAGCTTATCACATAGAAACAATCTTCTCGTTCTGCGAACAGGCAATACCCTCATGGCGGACCTGGAAATGCGAGAATGGGGAAGGCCGCTGTCACTACAGTGTGCTATTGTAGGTGCCAAGAGAGCCTATCAGACTGTTCAGTTAACTGTTGGCATTGACATATTCTAATGTTTGATAGGACGAGGCAATACGCAGTGGAAACATGATTTTTCTCGACACGTTTTTGAATAGTCAGACAAGCCCTTTCAAGAGCGGTTGGCTACGACTACCAAGTCCTCCAAGCCTCTCCCAGGTTGTCACATGGGGCATGAAACAGGCGCGTGGTCTGGTTATGGGCTCAGATAGTGATCATCTAGCTGGCACTGGCATGTTACAGACCAGTGAATTGGTGCTTGTAGATAACGTCAAGGTATGCATGCTCCCTCAGATTTTAGATAAACCCTAGGGCGAAAATTGAAATTTTCGATACTGACGCTAGATGCTGTTTTACCAGCAAGCAGCCAGTAGGCTCATGAAAGGGGTCGTTGGCCACCATAACTCGAGTGTTGACCGTATATACTCAAAAGAAATGTTCATGTTACAATTTGCTCATATTTTTGGAGAAGAGACATTACTATCCACCACTGATTTTAATGTGCTACTTACTTATCTATCGAGAGATCGAAATATAGTGTTATATGATGGAAAGGTATTTATTTGCATTACGTTGCTTTCATTATACATTGTCGGAATTGTTGACAGATGTGCAGACCGTGAAATTTAGAGACACGAGCGATACATCAGATCGCATCACACAGGAAGACGGGGCAATCGCCTCCCTCAAGACAACGATTGCCCGACTAACATTGCAAGTGACCACCTTGGGTGAGAAGATAAAAGAGCTCACTGCCAGCGCACAGAACGCTCTCGCAAGCAAGAACCGAATCCTAGCCCTATCATCACTTAGGCTAAGGAAACTTGCAGAGCGTAACCTTCAACAACGTACCGATACTCTATGGCAGCTTGAAGAGATATACTCAAAGGTTGAACAAGCTGCTACTCAAGTTGACATTGTGCGGGTGATGCAGGCAAGTACAGGGGCACTTCGGCAACTCAACTCCCAGCTCGGCGGTGTGGACAAGGTTGAGGATGTAGTCGAAGAGTTGAGAAAGGAAATGGATAACGTGGACGAGCTTGGAGGTGTAATGAACGAGGCTGGGCCTGTTATCGACGAGACCGAGCTAGACGATGAGCTGCAAGAACTCGAGGACCAGGAGCGCGAAGCTAGGGAAGAGAAGGAAACAGAAGAGACTCGTCAACGACTAGCAGAGCTGGAGAAGAACCAAGGGGTAATAAGAACCCCCGCCAGTGGAGGCACTGACAATGATTTGAAAGAGAGCATTGACAAATTGTCACAGATGTCAATCGGTGATAAACGATCAGAAAGGGAGAAACTGGACACCAAGCCGCTACCAGAATCTGCGGAGTAGCCATCGCTTCCACTCTCTTCTCCAAGCAGACGCACTCTACGTGATGTATATGAGAGTGGCTATAATCACTGTATACCTTTGAGGGTAACGGCAACCGGAAGGAAATAACAGCCGTTGCCACCAACTAGAGCTACGGCGCCATTACAGCCACCTGCACTGTCTTGTCCGTGCTGCCGGCTTCTATCTCAGTAGGGCCTTCCTTACCACTCGCTTCCGCTAGTTCACCCGTTTCTTCTGGAACCGGGTCGTCGGCAGTTGTAGTTGTAGTGGTTTGTATTTGTGCTGCAGGTTGGGGTGACTGCTCCTTGCCCTCTTGTTCGTTTGACTGACCGCCCTCAGCTTCATCGGACGCTATTGCACGCTTAGCCCTCATACTGCGTGCATTTGCAATGAGCTTTCTATAATCGTCATCATGCGCCTCCGACCAAGCAGTCACATCAAAATCTTTCTTCATAATTGCAGAGCTGGCTCTTGACGAAGGCTGCGAGGCGGCAAGACCACCCTGGGTTCTCTCCCAAATATCAAGGTCTCGAAGTAGGTCACGCTTTGATTTGGGATTTACAGAATCACAATTTGCATTCCATAAATTCATCCACTCAGTGTGCCGTTTCTGTAATATAGGTTTGGGGCCCCAATCTGGAATGCCAAGTTCCTTGAGCTTTTTGCGCAGGGAGTTATCTTTGAAAAGCGCGTAATTTATGGCCGGGAGACGAGTTGGGGGCTTTGGAGCGCGAGAAAGGTCCGTAGAGCCTTGAAATCCAAGTAGCCTAGATTATGACGTTAACTGTATTCAAGGGTGTAGTGGCAGTAAAGAACCATACCCATTGGCCTTGGAGATGCTCTCCTTCTCCGGTGCACCTGTGCAGCTATCCAGGTGAACAAACACTGACTCATTCTTCATTCTCCTTCCGCACACAGGGCAAGCCACGAGACCATCATCTACAGTATGTTAACCCTATGTTTAAGTGCATCAGACAGCTAAGCGGAATATCGTACCTGGTTCATATTCTTCTTCATCGGCACTGTCCTGGATAATCACCGGCTCATCTTCCGGCTCTGACTTCCTAGCTTGTGACCTAGTCCTCCTACCGGTGGCCAATGGTGTAGCAGTATCCCCTTCAGAAGAATCAATCTTTCTCCTCTTCGACGCTGGGCCTTCCACGGCTTCCTCTGACCCAGGCCTGGAAACCAAAGCTGCATGGATTGTATTATTCTTTGCAAACGCTAGTATCGACGGCCGCGCTGCCTTGAACGACTCAACCAGGTCACCAACGGCCCAGTTTCGACGTAGTTTTAGTTCCTGATCGCTACTACGACAAACAGGGCATTTCCCCTCAGCGCTTAGACACCGCCGAATACATAGTGAGCAGAACGTATGGCAACAAGAGGTGATGACTGGGTTGTCGAAGAAATCCTTGCATATCTGACATCGTAGAGCGGATTCGAAACGCGCGACTTCAGGGAGTGGCGTGGCCGTCCAGTCGGTGGAATCAGGGATATCAAAGTTGCGGTCCATCAAGAGAGACGGCAGAGTCAGTCCGCTCTCTATTGCTTCTTAATTAATCGGCCGGTTGGTTCGTTGTAGTAAGAAAAGTGACGAGTCGTCGCAGAGAGAAAAACATCAAGGCCGCCAAGCCTGCGGCTGACTAGTTAACTACGCGTTAATTGGTTTTCTCACGCGTTTCTTAGTTTAAAAGAGCAAAACGTCGAAGGAGTTCAAGAAGCAAAGAAGAAAAGGAAAACGGCACAATGGCGGCTGACTACAGGAAGTTTCTTGCTGAGAAAGTGTTTAGTGATGAGGAGTTTGTATGTAGGAAGCTTTTCTGTATATTCCGGCTCGCAGCGTCATTGACAGACAGGCATCTAGGTGACATACAGAGCCCTCAGTCGAGCACAGAGAGTACACAGCAACCAAGCCAAGCGGTACGTGTAGAGATGATGCAAGGGGTAGTTACAGAGGGAACATGGACTAATACCCTCCTACAGGATGTTATACGAGTTTCACCGCTCTGAAAATGAGAAGAAACCGAATTCAGTGCATGCAACTTATCTCTTGACGGGCATATCCGGATATATCAAACCCTCGCCGTTAGGTGAGCACCGTTTGAAAGACGGTGAAGATGAAGTCATGCAGAGCAGCCCATTTATGAGCAGTCAGCCAGCTCAGCCGGAGGTTGTAGCGCCAGTGAACACATCTACCGTGACATCTATAATGCTTGTTCGAGAAGAGCAACTGGCAGGTATGAGTCTGGAGATGGAGACTTGTCATCTACTAGGCTACAAACCATCCTAATGCGTATTATAGATGCAAAAAACCAGTTGAAAAAGATATTGTCTATCTTTATATACAGTGTGCAGCCGTCATCGCCTCCAGACTTGAATATCCTGGCGGATATAGGACAAGCATCGTCCACAACTCGCATTGAGAATCCTCTTCAATATAGTGAACAGTACGGAATGATCCAGAACAAGAATGTCAAGGTATGTATGATTCCATGGAGCTGGATAGGACCAAACACTAACTCTTTACTCTAGAGACGATCGGGTGTACCAGTTACTCTACCTGCACCGGTTAAGGAAGAGAAAGCAGTGCTGCAGTCACTGACGAGGAAACCAGCACAAGAGCCCTTAGATAAGAAGCCAGAGCCTTCTTCGACGCCTTTCCGGACATTGGGGAGCTCGCAGGCTACCGCCAAGCCGTCTCAAGGGAAGCCTACACTCAAACGTGATTCTTCAAGTATATTCAAGGCATTTGCCAAAACGAGACCAAAGCAGCCAAAGGAAGAAGAGACCGATGTAAGGATGGTTCTTCATGCACTCATTAAACATGCGCTGATTGACGGATTTTATAGTCTACACCAAATGAATCTCAGAATAGTATGGATTACCATCTCAACCTTCCCAAAGTTATGACTACTAACTGTCTAAAAAGCTATGCTAGATGATGAATCGGAAGAAGAGAGAGAGGATCTCTTCCTAGATACGGGGAAACGAACAAACAATAAAGAACGAGAATTAAAGAAGGACCGAGAAGAACGGCTAAGGAAGATGATGGAAGGTAATGACGCGTAGCTTCCCTTTATCAACGGATTTTGCGTTACTAACATCATTCAAGGCGACGATATGCCAGATGCACCTGAATCGCCGTCTAAGGAAGAGACACCGGTGGAAAGCGACAAGGCGCCTCTGACCCCAACCCCAGCCCCCTCACAGAAGCAAGAGACAGAGCCTGAACCAGAGTCCAGCGTACCAGAGAAACCGTCGACAGGTCAACGGCGGAGAGGCAGACGGCAGGTGATGAAAAAGAAGGTATCCAAGGATGCAGAAGGATACCTAGGTAAGTTCAAAGCTGACCTCCTCGACAATGTCTATATTACATCTTATCTAACAAACTAACCCCCGCGTAGTTACAAAAGAAGAGCCAGTATGGGAATCCTTCTCGGAAGACGAACCCGAGCCCCCGAAACGAAAACCGCTGCCATCTTCCTCTGCAAAGTCGACAAAAGGTGGTAGCAAATCCAGTCAGGGTAGCATCATGTCGTTCTTCGGTAAGAAATAGCCTACTTTTGAGATGCGACTCTGCATGTACGGATGGGAAAAGAAACCTTCCAATACTCCATATTTCTTAGAAATCAAAGTCGACAACCCGTTGGGCACTCCTACCTCTTCCTTGTGATCAAAATACCTGTCATCTCGTACAGGAACAAGGATAAAGCAGTTCTTTTTGCACCTTCTCCACCATTTGTAACTCGGCTAGAGTACGGAATATACTGATCTCATCAACCAACTCCGAAGCCTGCACTGCAGATCGATGATCAAAATAATATCGATCACAAGCCGGTGCAACCAGCCATCGTCACACATCCAACATGCATCAAGTAGACAAAGCGCAGGGCTCTGGCCTCGTCGTGTGTCCGTAAAGAACGGCCATCACAACTAATATCGCTTAAAAGGCCGCTGCAAAAATGAACTTTTTGTATCGTCCCTTCACGGCAAAGAGAAAAGGCAAAGAAAAAGCAAAAGTGCCCCTTGCAACTTCTCCACGCCAACTCCACCAGCTTTTTCCTAGTTCCACCAGATTCTGATATTCCTTCGTACTTGGACCACAGGAGCTTTTTGCACGGCCTGGACGCAAGCCGGGATGGAGGGTACGACGATGATAATAAATAGCATGCGCAGAGCCAAATAAAAGTCGCTGTGGTTCTATGATATCTTTGTTCCATTGTCTGGCAGACTTGTCTCGGAGTAACTCAACAAAAACACAACTCGTGCAGCCATGAGGTTTCTTGACCTTGCCGTCCTTGGGGCGCTCGCCTGTCACGAAGCATCGGCTGCGGACAGCTGGGTCGCAGGCTTGCATGCGCGCAAGCAAGATATCAGTGATGCTTGCCCGGATTATGTCGCATACTCGCAGACAAAGCAGTACGCAGTATCCACCAAGTTCTAACCCATTAACTACTAGATCAAGTATCGCTAATCTGTCGCATCTCTATAGTCCGCCTTACAGTGAAGGGCCTCTCAAGCTTTCGTACCAGCGCCCCATTCCAGAATGCCGGACATTCTCCTCTCCATTAGTTGAGAAGGTGATAAAGGATGTCACCTCGCGCATGGTTGACAAGGACCTGGCCCGGATATTTGAGAATGCGTTCCCAAACACACTCGACACAACGGTTCGATGGCATGTCGATGGCACACAGAAGAACAAAAAACGGAGCTCGAAGAACAAACGTGCTGGTGTTTGGGACGGCCCACAGTCGTTCATCGTTACTGGTGATATAAACGCAGAGTGGCTTCGGGACTCGACAAATCAGTTGGCGCAATACCAGAAATTGGCGAATGGGGACCCCAAGATAAAGAGTTTGATACTAGGAGCTATAAATACGCAGGCCGAATTTGTGATCCAGTCGCCATATTGCAATGCATTCCAACCACCTCCCCCAAGCAACCTGCCGCCAACAAACAATGGCCAGATGGACCAGGTTCACCCGGCATACGAACCGAGCGTGGTGTTTGAGTGCAAGTATGAGCTTGACTCTATTGCCAACTTCCTTTCCCTCGGAAATCAATTCTACCAAGAGACCAAATCAAACGCGTTCCTTACGCCGAGATGGTACGAAGCCCTGAATACAGTCTTGAGAGTGTTGGACGAGCAGAGCCAGTCTACGTTCGATAATAACGGCCAATACACGCGCAATCAATACACCTTCCAGCGCCAAACCAGTTCTGGTACGGAAACCCTTAGTTTAATGGGTGTCGGTAACCCGTTAGGCAACGGCACTGGGCTTGTTCGCAGCGCTTTCCGTCCAAGCGACGATACTTCTATCCTAGGATTCCTCATCCCTGCTAATGCAATGATGTCCGTCGAACTTGGGCGAACAGCAGAGACACTCTCAAAAGCTGGAGGGAACAAAGACCTGATTCAAAAGCTCAAGCAATACTCTGAAAGGATCAAGGAAGGTATTTATAACCATGCGGTCGTGACACATAAAACGTTCGGTCGAGTCTTTGCTTTTGAAGTTGATGGCTACGGGTCAAGCATTTTCATGGACGACGCCAACCTCCCATCGCTTCTCGCCCTGCCACTGCTTGGATTCATCGACCAGAACGATGAAATCTACAAAAACACCCGAAAAATGATTCTCTCCAAGACTGGAAACCCTTACTACTTAACCGGGTCGGCGTTTCATGGTATCGGTGGACCCCATAGTAAGTCGTTAACCCCCACAATATCCTCCTTTCTCCAATCGACATCTAACCACAGCCGTGATAGTTGGCCTACAAAACGCCTGGCCGATGTCCGTACTTGTGCGTGCGCGCACAGCAACCTCCGATGCTGAGGTTATGGAGTCTATCAACATGGTGCGCGACTCATGTCTCCTTGGTCTAGTCCATGAGAGCGTGGACGTAAACCGTATAGTCAGATACACACGCAGCTGGTTTGCGTGGGCGAACAGTGTCTTCGCGCAAACTATTCTCGATCTGGCGGAGAATAAACCACATCTGATCTTTGGCAAAGGCGCAAAGCCGTACAAAGTCACCTCTGATGCCCAGATGAATGGGTAACTGTTGAATGGATATTGCATTTGTTTCATGTCGGTTTATTGTCACCTGGCGATAGTTTTTACTACGGCCATCTCGTTTCCTTAGCAGCTCAGCCTGATTATATATCTTGTCTGTCCTAATAATAATTGATAAGTCGGGATCCGCCCAGTCATCAGCTAAAGATAATGCTCCATCCTGGTATTGGTCAAATGCCCTTTCAACCCGTCAAGAATGGCGTCTATCTCTTCTCTGTAGATGTGCGTACGAAGTAGAAGCGTTGATATTTGATATTCGGATGACAAGAAGTTGATTGGTGGAAAGTCGATATCGAATTTGATTGGCTGGCAAATTCAAGGTCGAACTTAAGAAAAATATTTCAACTTTTCAACAGTAAAGAAGCATTTTTATTCAAAGTACAAGCCAATAACAGCAACAATGTCGGAAAAGAGGCCGAACGACTTCCTGGACATAGGGTCTGAGGATGAAGGGAGCGATGCCGGTTATAACTCTGAAGATTTCCAGGAATCAAAAGGGAGAAGCAACAATAAACGAAAGCATGCCAGCAGCACAGGCTCACAGTCAAAACGGCGAAGGCGTTCAGACGACGATGAATCCGAAGCCAGCGACAATAATGAGCGATCAGACATGCTGGATCTAGCATCCTCAGTCGATGATATAACTCGGACAAGTAAGGACAAGGACCCCTCGTCTAGTCGTCCAACCGATCCAGCACCCACGAATGACTCTGCCGCTATAAAACCACCGTCGACGAGCAAAGCAGCTACAAAAAAACGGAAAAACAAGACAGGCGTTATATATATGTCCTCCTTACCGCCATATCTGAAACCATCCGCCCTCAAGTCTATGCTAGTCGCACGAGGTTTCGGTCCAATTACCAAAATCTTCCTATCGCCTTATGTCCCTTCAACCAGCACTTCCAGGGCCGCTATGAAGGCAAGCCGCAATAAAAGACGCATGTACACCGACGGATGGGTCGAATTTGCATCCAAGCGAACTGCAAAGATATGCGCCGAGACCCTTAACGCTTCGATCGTAGGAGGCAAAAAGGGCGGATGGTACCATGACGACGTATGGAATATGAAGTATCTACGAGGTTTCAAATGGACAGATCTCATGGAACAAGTGCAAAGAGAGAAGAGAGAGGCAGAAGCTAGAAGACGAATCGAGGACACCAAGGCAAGAAAAGAGGAGAAGTCATTCCTGCAGGGACTTGAGCAGGGAAAGATAGTAGAAGGTATTAGGAAGAAGAGAGAGGCAAAGGAACAGTTGAAGGGTGATAGCGAAGAGCCGGTGCAGAAGAAACCAGAGATTAAGAGGGTGTTCAGACAAAATGAGGTTAAGGGAGGTGGTGACGGTTCTAGTGGTGCCGGCAGTTCGAAGAAAGTCGACTCGGATACACAGAGGGTCTTATCGAAAATTTTCTAGTCACCAATCGCTCAACGGCGCCACGACTATTTTATGCTCCAGCCTTTGAGTTGGCGTTTTATGGGCCAACTTTAAGGCTCAAATACTCTAAATATTTGACCCTCTAAGATATACAGGAGATACCTTTTCCGTGAGTGGCAGATATTCATTCGAGCCACAGAAACCTGCACTTTTACCAGCACTGTCTGCTAACTCTCTTTTATAACCCACCCTCTCGTGCCCGGATCTATGACTTAGCTATATTAAGCGGCGGGCAAGGGACATACAATCCCCGTTGTCGATGAAGGCGTTGTGCAATTAACTAGGGCTTCTAACTAACCATATAATACCAAGGGGATACCAATTCGGGGAAACTTTTCCTATTTTTAAGCGTTAGCCCTATCTAGAAGTTAAGAGCCTCAATGCCAAAGGTATCCCTGTAGCAACCGCAAGGGGACGAATGATGGTGAACCTCGTTATGCCAGCTCTACAATTACTCGCATTGATTATTGTGGCTGGATATGTACAGTTTAAGAAGGCCCTTATTTGATTTCTCAATAGTATAATAGGTCCCTTTTTCTTCCTTACACAGAAAGTGATTTCAGGCAGACAGAAAAATCTTTTGTATATAACTATTTAACCCAACGCCGCTGTGCTCTCTGAGAAAAAGATCAAACTTGGGAACTGCGTAATCTCACACCGGAGACTTGTCGTATGGGAAGGAAATAAACGATCTGTTCAGTCATTAAATAATTCATCATACTCCATGCCATATTCCCCCTTTTTTTGAAGCCGTATAACACCTCTTTTTATTCGCTCATGTTGAGATCCTCAAAATCTTCCAGTAGTTCGTCCACGTCAATCTTTGGAACCTCATCGTCATCTTCTTCTTCTTCCTCTTCCACCATATCCATGGCATCGGTCTCCACATTCTTCGGCTTCTGACTATGTTTTGCTTTGTAAAGTGCCAAAGTGCTTCGTAATTCAGCATCCTCTTCAACATCACGCAAAAACAACTCAAAGTCATCTTCCAATCGGTTATGGCTTTGCTTCTTTGAAGGTCGTTCATCTTCCTCTTCCCTATCCAAACGTTTTAGGCGCCAGTTACGGTTTTTATTCTTTTTCTTCCTTGGGTAATGTTTCTTGACCAATATCACATCAGGAATGGTAGAACCGTAAGTATTACTTGCTTCTATTTCTTCAAAATTGGCATTGTTAAAATTGGTTCCGGTCAGGTGGTAGCCCATGACAGTGTCTCCAGGGTGTAGAACGCCACCGAGGTGTGTGCGAGCGAAATATGTTGTATCATTCACACCCAAGTCGGAAGATCTAGCGACGGTCGCTTCGGCCAGATGGTACCGACCGCTGGTTTGGCCAATAGCTTCTATATCCATGACAACGTATTCAACAAGTTCTTGGATATCAGCAAGGTTCGCAAAGGGTGATCTCCAATAGATAGGAGCAGGGATATCAGCAGTCTGAAGAGTTGCAGGATCCAAGAGGTTGATGGATGTGCCAACCCGGTAGCAAAGAGTGAGTGGAGATATGTTCCCAAGAGACCTAGCAAGTTTAATCGGTAGTGCTACGAGGTCATCTTTGCAAATTGGTATCAATTCCGCAGAAAATGTGATCTTGTAAGACTTTGAAGAAGTGTGCACATCCATAGAAATCAATTGTTGTGACTTCTTCACTCTTATTGGGGCAACGGATGCCAAAAAATCAACCATCTTTTCGGCATGATTCCGCGCAGAAAAGTAAAAGTCTAAACCATCCTTCACTTCCTTTATATTTATTGTGTCTTTGTGCGCCCCGTGCTTGAGGATGAGCTGTTCAAGGTAAAGAAAGGTTCGCTTATGAGGCACTTTTTGTCTGACTTGGACCGATGCACGCCATGTGTTGACCGTATAGGATTTGGCGCATTCGGGGCATTGCTGCGAAGCAACCACATACTCGACCTCAAACGCTTGTTGTAATATTGTGCCCTGAAAAGCTTCTTGTTGAATGGTGATTTTGACCCTAAGTCGTTTTGAATGTGGCTCAGTCCAAATAAATCCAGCATCTATAATCCGAACTTTTGCAAGACCCCTCAGTTTACGCAGACATAGGGCAAGGAGTTCTCGCGATTCTAGGGCCGCACTGATCCACTGGGCGGGGGGTTGCAGCCAGCGTTCACAGTCTTTGCAGCAGTGTAAAGTGGCTTCTCGTTGAACACCCTCTGAAATATCGATCGTGAGTTTAACACAGTCTTCACACAGTGCACCGGCAGCAGTTGTTCCATCTATAGGGGCGCCACAGTTGCAGCAAAGAATCCTGTCAAAACCCTTATCAGTATTATTGCGGCTGTGATAAGAATATATTCCGTGGGGGTGAACATACGTTGCGGCTTGTTGTTGAGGATGAAACTCGACCGGTTGCATAGACACCGGAGCATCCAGATCCATCGACATGGCGAAAGCTGTAAATTAAATAAAATCAAAAATCCCTATATTATATTAATAAATATAAACTTGAATACAAGAAAACTGTCGAAGTGGGAGCGAAAAAGAATCAATATATAAAAGTAAAAATTCCTTAAGTGGGTTGTGTTTGTCTTGTTTGTCTTATATTAGTCAGAGTGTATTATTAATGTATTACTAATATAGAGCGTATATCACGTGAGCCTGCTTAAACATTTTCAGATAAAAAAAATATCGAAAAGGAAGAAAAGAATTATGAGAACCACAATTGATAACCAAGTTAACTGTTTGTTTTGTGAATTGAGAGAATGAGTGGCATAGCTCTACAAGGCCTCAGGTGTCATGCTTGTCGAAATGCCGCATTTCGCTCTTTTGTTGCCCTGAGCGGTGTCTCAATACCTCCACGACCCCGGTCCTCTGTATCCTACTATGGTTCCCGGCTTTATCAAAAAGATATTCAGGCAACTGGAAGACGCCAATTTTCTGCCCTGAATTCAGTGAATTCCCAAGCTGAAAGCGACCTCTCAACGAAAACTGAAGCAAAAGAGACAGAAAATCCCGAAGTCCATATCCCATGGTATCTACAAGACGAGTCCCATACGCCTACTGCCCACCCTCTTAAACAGCAAGAGTTACCTCCCCTTCCGGAGAATCCACCTCCTTTATTAGAGAAATTATTAACCTACGTATCCGTTGATGCTGGCCTCGATGATATTTCCCTCCTTGACCTCCGAGGTCTTGATCCTCCGCCTGCCCTTGGTGCAAACCTCATTATGATAATTGGGACAGCCCGCGGTGTAAAACACCTGAATGTTGCAGGTGATAGGATGTGCCGGTGGTTACGAAGCAACTTTCAACTCAAACCAACAGCTGATGGGCTCTTGGGGAGAAACGAACTGAAGATAAAATTACGGCGGAGGGCGAGGAAGGCTAAAGTAGCCAGCGATGCGGCCTCCCTGAACTCTCGTGATGATGGAATAACGACGGGTTGGATATGCGTTAATGTAGGAGATGTTGAGAATGGCCCAATGAAGACCAGTGATGCTCATACACGACAGTTTATTGGATTTGGGGGCCCCGGAGACAAAGTTCGTATCGTTGTGCAGATGCTTGTTGAGGAAAAGAGAGCCGAACTTCAACTTGAAACCCTTTGGGGAAATCTTCTTAACCCAGAAGCTGGGGAGAGGAGCACGGAGCTTCGTGATGATGTTTGGGGTAAATCGTCCCCAGAAGGAACCAGTTCTGGGAAGGTTGGCGATAGCATTGCCTCTACGTTCAATCAACGGTTTCCCGGGAGGAGACATATGCACACTCAAGCTCGCCCTGAGATACTCGAACGGCTACCCCAGGGATTGTTCAATGAGAATATTCAGCACTCCAAATCTGAACAATTAACTACAATAGTAAGCACATCTATGGCATCCCCAAATGTCTCTTCTCTGTTAGAGAAATTATCTCAGCTACCGGAGGAAGAAGCCCGTCGGGAGCTTGGTTTTGGGCCCGGCGATAGAGATTCTACTCTGTTTTTACGGCTGTTTTACGAGGCAGTGTCGAAATCTGACACAAAAACAGTCCTTATAGATAAGCTCTCATTCATCCGCGCCGCTGTTCTTCTAAAACACCCCGCGTATAGCAAAACGGATCTATACCAAGCATTCAAAAATATGGCCACGTCGGGATGCGATATTTCGGAAGAGCTGGCAATGGACACCGTTCGCACTCTCTTATCATTCCAGGGCTCTAATATTGTTCTTGTGGAACGCGTCCCTGACCACGATATTGACCTGGCCCTGAGAGTTCTCGATCATATGAGCCTTCGTGGGATTCAAATATTTAACGGAGAAGTTTTTTACTTACTCCACAAAGCGTCGGCATTTCGAACCCATGTTCGTCCAGCGCGGGCCGTCTCCAATGACGAGAATACCTCTGTGGACACGAGCGCAGCTTTAGAAGTACCGGCCGAAGAATTCGACCACGTCAACACTGTCCACCAACGGCTGAGCAAGATCATGGCTTCAGCAGATGTAGAATTTAACTACAAAGACTATCCAGACTTGTTGCAGATGTACTTTGAACATGGAAACTACCGAAAATTTTGGAGCCTATGGCAACGGATATCTCTCATGCAAATTCCACGGTCGAAGGAGCTCTATATTCTTTTGTTCCGCCTACACGCCAAATTGGGTCACCAACGTCAAGCTGCCGAATGCCTTTCATCTTGGGTACCGATGATGGCCCGAGAGGAACCACCAGTCGAGAATGATGCCGAATTAACAAAAGCTATTATGGCCTGCATGTTAGTGGCAGATCCTGCCATTGACCAAAAGGTCGATGATGGAACTATGAGCCAGTTTACTCGCCTGTGGAAACAATGTCTGCGTGACCTTGAAGATTCAAAGGCTACAAAGGCCCAATAACCGCTGCATCTATTTCACCTAATCACTCTGTGACATGCTGTATTATTATTTTTAAACCCATTGAATGTGCTACCGGATTAGATTTCAGGCGGGTGTTGGTTAAATAATCATGTACTATATAATTCCCCCATGTATAATCGAGATTAGAGCACTTATGCAACATCATCTATTAAATAGCTATTGAATGTTGATGCTAAAGATGTTGTATTTGATGCTTTCATAAGGCTGAAGTTTGGACCTCGGCATAAATTCTCCAGCCAAACTCAAATCTTACTCCATGTTTTTTTTTTTTGGCGGCTCGAAGTTCATCGTTGGCATCTACAACGCCAGAGCTGCTCTGCGGATTGAAAAAACGCTGGTGCTAGGCCAATATGGAGTATATGTCGGCATTGCAGAACAATTTTGACGATTTCAAGCCGTCGCTCTTTGGTACACCCCCCCTCTAAGCATCGCGGCGGTAGCCCCTAGCTAATAACCTCAAATAGAACTCCTATCGGAACAACAGCTCTCCTCTCTCCTCCCTCCCTCTCTACGTTATCTCCTCGCAGTCGCTACTCACAGGCATCCCCGATACCTCCTCCGGATATTAAACTCTTACGACGAACTCTACGCTCTGGTGTCGCTACTTGTCGAAGGGTATTACCTACGAAACTTTGGCGGTTCGTTCACAGAGAACTTCTATTCTTTGAAACGCGAGCGCGTACTAGCATTAAGAGATGGTGAGGTCCCTCGCGCTCAGCTTGGGGCTGGTGGCCCCGTTCGAGAGACATTAAAACTGCGCGAATCGGATATATGGCGAAACCTGGTGGTTATGGTTGGCATACCGTACTTGAAGCGCAAGCTTGACGAAGGATATGACATACACGCCGCTCCACATGCCGCACTCGTCTCAGGGCTGGGAGGAGGCCCACGGTATCATCCATCAGATGATATGCCTCATAACCCGACAATAAAGCAACGGCTATTGTTTTATTATAAGTGGTTTTTGAGAAACGTTTACCCCTCAATAAACGGAGCCTATTACTTTTCAATATTGGCATTTAACCTAGCTTACCTATTTGATAACACCAAATACTCGTCTCCGTTTTTATGGCTGATTGGGACACGGATCAGGAGGTTGAGCCCAGCAGATCATAAGGCTATTGCGATGGCAACGGCGGCGAATACACCGCACACAGGCAGTGCCGCGGCACGATCACGGCCACGATCGAGTGCTTTTAGTCTTATAAACCCAGAAGTGATTTATCCTCATCTGCTAGGCTCGCTTAAAGTCCTCTTGCCAGCATCAATTTTTGCCCTCAAATTCCTTGAATGGTGGCATGCGAGCGATTTCTCAAGGCAATTAGCCAAACAGGCAACCCAATCCATCGAACTTCCAGCTCCGGTGGTAACTGGAATACCCCCCTCAAAATCAACTGCGATAGAACCTACCGCAGTAAGCGAGAAATCCGCATTGGAAGGATCGAACAAACAAAGGCAAACCCGTACCAAATCCCCAGTATCATCGATAACCCTACTGCCAATTTTTACCGTTCCAATACCCCCCGTTGATCAAGATACTTCCCAAGCCCCATGCCCAATATGCCTTAACTTACTCATCAACCCTACTGCTTGCCAAACCGGATACGTGTATTGCTACACCTGCATATTTAAATGGCTGAACGGTGAACATGATCGTCAAATTGACTTCATGAATGGGGCTGGGGATGGCGCTGCCTGGGAAGACGATGCTAAAAACAACCGTGAGAGTGAGAAAGGTGACAGGGGCGAGAAGGCGAGGAGTAGGGAAGGGAGCTGGGAGAATGGAAAAGGGCGGTGTCCAATTACCGGAAGAAGGGTTCTTGGTGGAACAGACGGACTACGGAGAGTACTTGTTTAGATATATATACCTTTCTTCTATGTACAATTTTATTGTATGTTCATAATAACTATATTGATTACGCCATCTCATAGCTCAATCGGTGTATACATGATCACTTGGGATTCGGGTGCAAAGTTAATGCCGAGCAAATGTATATGCGGTTTATATTTGTATAAATTTATATGCATGTAACTGCGCAATCCCGGTATGTAGACATGGTATAACCCTATGAAAAAGGCCTATTCAGTTCGTCTATTTCAAAATAAGTTGAATGCTTAGTGCCCAGAAACGCCACCCTCAACATGCCTTCATCGTAATTCCCAAAAAAGAATAAGTAGGAAATTTTTCAACGAACGGAAAACGTGCGCAGTGGCAGAGGCATAGAGGCTAATATCCCAGTACTAAAAGGAGGTCATGGCATATGTGAGTGATGATACATAGGGGTATCAATCATATTCCCAGCCACCATTTCCCTCTCTCGTAGACAAAGAAACTGGTCGCTACCATCGGTATCACTTTCATGTAGCCGATAGTCAAACCAACGAAAAACCCTTTGAATCCACGTTCAAGGAAGATCTTCTGCGCAGTTTCTCTGATACTGAGAACATGACCGTCACCTACCACACCTCCAACCTGCATCCGCCGCCGGATAACTTCCAATGGGTATGAGCATGTCTGGGATATGAGTCCTGCAACGGCACCAGAGAATAATTCGGCAGAGGCCGTTAATTGTGGCCGATGAGAGCGCGACTGTTCCTGGCCGTGTGGGGTGTCTTTTCCTGAATTCGGAATGGTGGTGAATTTTTCTATACTGGAGTGACGCAGCCAATCGCCAACTGTGTCGTGTGTGAGAAAAGACATGCCTGCGTATGGTAGCATACCGAGCATGGTAGGCGAGAAACCGCGGTAGAAATTTGCAAGTCCAAGCCGAGGTTTAACTTTCTCAACCGCAGAAGATACTGTCGATGTGGCAGCGTCAGTGGAAGCAGTAACAGAACTTCTTTCGTTATATATCTGGTTGAATATATTTCGCAAGGACGATCTAGATCCTTGCTTTGTTTCGAATGCCAATCGTACTCTAATAAGTTCTAGGGGATAAGTGAAAAATACGGAGGTGATGCCGGCTAAACTACCGCTAATCAGTCGTCGGAAGGGAGTTTCGTGCTTCTTTGAGGGTATTATAACGGCACGAATCTGCTCGTATGCTATGAATTTAATGGCAGCATAAGGGAATATCCGAAGTAAGGTAGCCGAATGGCCTCTGAACAGGCCGCGAACTCCTTCAGTGTTGTTAATAGTCTTCATCGCCGAAGCTACGCCAAACCAACTGTTCGAATATTTCGCGAATTGGGGGTTCGAGGTTTGAAACAGGATTTTGACCCGATCTAGGGGGCCTACGATAGTTTTTGCCTAATTCAAATATCCAACCGGTCAGCCTTCTTGCGCCCAACATGGCATAACAACGCTATATACTACTTACTGCACATCCTGCCAGCCCCCCCGCCAAACCGCTGCGTATTAAATAGTCCCAGCTTCTCTTGTCCACTGGTTTAACCGTGACCGTTCCAGGGTTTGTCATCGATTTTTGTTTACCAGTTCCTAGGTCCGAAAGTGTCCCACGAGTCGATGTAAGGAGGTCATGGCTTCTATCTGTAGCCGTCGAACTGGAATCCTTGGCCGTCGACGTAGCTAAGGGGCTATGCGTCATCATCATATGGATACCGGCGTGGCCGTCCGTGGCACTCTCCCACACACTCCCTCTCCGCGTTCCCTTTCGCGAAATACAATGCGGGATATTAAAGAGAAGTTGGAGAATCCGCGGCAGACATCATATAAGATAAGTAGAATGAGCAGTGTGTTATCGAGACGAGTAAAGAGGTGTACGGGTCACTGTTGCGTAGAGCGAAAGGGAAGAAAAGTAGAAGGCTCCAAAAAAATAATAAAGGCGGGTATATTCAGTGTCTGTTGGTTAACGTCATGAGTTTCTTTTTGCTTCGCCTTTTTCTCTCTCTTTGGATTGGCGGGTGGTCGCGGCGCAAGGCCAGGGCACGTGAGTAGCTACCCCCGATGTGGTTTAGCGTCGCTGAAAACTCCCGACGAGCCGCGGTAAATTATCACGTGAGTAAACATTCCCGGAAGTCGGTGCCGAAGAGCCGAAGCCCTGCTTTGGGGAAGAAAAAAGAGAAGCCAAAGAGTTCAATTGCTAACAAGCAGATACCAACCAATATCCCGCCAAACCAGATAGATATACACCTGACTACTCCTACCAGGATAGACATATACACGGTATTATTCTTCCAATATAAGAGACGGGGGAAAAAAAATTGTGCTCCAGCCCACACCAAAATGTCGCTAAGTGCAGTCAGTCACAAGTACAAAAAGAAGAGAAGCAATATATATATATCTCTTTTGCAAGCCACCTTCGCCGATAGAAAGTCGTTAGTCGTTAAATCCCCGTGGTTTTAGTCTAGTAATGCAAAATAAAGATAATATCCAAATGAAATAATGCTCCTGTTAAGTAAAGGCGTGGTGGTTGAAAGGATGATAAGGGAAGATGGAACGGATAAACGGAGTAAGAAGATGGCGAGAACATGGATGACTATTTCGTTCCCTGTCGACCAAGTGGCTTGCCCTGGCGATTAGTCATTCTGGTTTCCTTTGCAGATTCTGTGGCTGCGGCTTTCTTAGCTCGTTTCGACGGCCGTTCAGATTCGACATGTAAATGACCGCATTCCTTCAAAGCTGTAAGGTTTCGCCATTTGAGGCAGCCATGTTTTTGATCAGTGGGCTGCCCCTTGGTTCGCGTTGACATGCGCATCGCTGGCTGTTCCTTGGACTCTTCCGCCGGGGTGCTATTCTCTGCGAGGTAGGTTGCTCGGTTCTCCATGTATTTGGCGATATTGTTGCGCTGAAGTTTTAGCTCTTTGTGAAGTTTCAACTCTCTCACGCCACGGGTATCAAGCCATTCCATCAATTTGTCCAGGTCTTCTGGGGTGTCATAGTAGCCCCATTCCTGGGCAGAAGAAACGCCAGGGGATCCTTCTTCAGCGCGTTTGCGTTTCGCTACGGTGGTTCCAAAACGTTGCATGTATTCTTGGCTCACTTCTTCTGGAACATCAATGAAGCCCTCTCGCTCCATTTCGTCAGGGCCTTGTACCCAAAGACGGCCGTTAGCGTAGCTTGCGGCAGCTGTGGAGCTGTCAGGCAGGCCTTCATAAGGCATGCCGTTCCGCTCAAACCAATAATAACGATTCCAGAAGCGATCTTTGCCCAAGACCCTTGTTCGTGGGCAATCTGCCTCCCGCAAGTCGTTGTCCAGAACGGCGATCTCGCTTTCGATCGATGCAACCTTGCTCTTTTCTTCTTCTATCTTTTTCATTACTCGTTGGTATTGTTTCGAGCCTTTAGGTTGCTTGGTTGCTTGCTCCTTTCTTTCTTTCTCGGCTTCCTGTCTCCGCTTACGCTCCAGGGCTCGGTCTACTCCGCCCCTGAGCGAGGGACCAGATGGTTCGTCTGAATCAGTTGCGCTCTCGGTGTCATCCGTAGCATCAATTTGAGCATCCAACATTTCTTCGTCTTGTTGAGTGGGAGTATCCCGCTGTTCAGGTTCGAGCTGCTTTCTCTCTTCATGGAGAAGTCGAATTTCTTCGAGACTGTTATAAAGGCAAGGCCATGAGTAATGTTCAAATAGTCACAATAGTTGTTGGTTTCACTTACACAACCTTCCGTGCACGTTGGAGTTCAATCTTCTCCTTGCGGAATTCTGTCATTTGGTTACTGCACTCCTCCATATAGTTCTTTACTGCCCTTGTTTCAACGGTCAGCATACAGATGATCTGCAGCACTTGAATCCGGAGATTAACATCGAGAGTAGCATATTGTGCTCGAGCAGTTTCCTGAGTTGGTTCCGCATCCAAGGGCGCCATATGAATTAAAATCTCTTCGCAAGTCTCATGCAGCCTGGGCTTCAAAGATAACCGGTTCAGCAGACCAACAAGGATTATTTCCCAGCCGCCATTCTTAAAATCACGTTTTCGCAAACGATCAATCCAGTCATATTCCACAAACATGTCAGCCGCACGGTGTTTCTTGATTTCCGTAGCTCCATCATCAGCGGGTTTCTGTTCTTCCATTTCAGCAAGCTCCGCCTGCGCTTTTGCAAAGCTACTCCTGGTGGTTCGTCTTGGGGGCTCAGGCTCAGGCTCAGGCTCCGGTTCGTCTTCTTCTTCCTCCTCTTCTGATTCCTCTTCAGGCAGAGGGGGGAGAGTAACTTGAATTGCCCCGTCTTGGTCTGATTCTGCATTGACCAACGTTTTCAACACAGCACAGTGTATCTCTACCAATAGCTCACAGTCCACGTCGTCCGAGGAGAATTGTATTGCTTCCACAAAATCATCAAAGGTAAACGAGTCAAGCTGAAAAACTTCGCAATACACGTTCAAAGTGTTCCAGGTTTCCAGTAAGGAACCAATTGAGTTCATATTTATGCTCGAGCCTTCTTCATGGGCTTCGTCTTTGTGTAAGAATTTCAACGGGGGTCGCGGTTGACAGTCAGTAGCGGGGGCCAAGTCTAGATCCTCAATGGGATATTTAATCGGTGGTGGTAATGGTGTCGGAGATTTCTGTTTGATAACAACAGTGAGGTCATGGAAGGAATTCTCATGCGGATCAGGAGGTGGAAGGGTATCTTTCGCATAGCCCTTTTTATCCACCCTAAAGGATGGATTCCCATTCAGAGCTCGTCGGTAGGCTAGGTACTGTTCTTCCTTAGCCTTGGCGAGTTCATGGGCGGACTTTGTCTTTTGACCCTTATTGCCAGACCTAGAATTTATCGGCCGGCTCTGGGAGGCAAAGAAACCAAACATGGCTTCATCTTCTTCCTTTTCCGCTGACACATTGGCTTTCTTGCCAGCTTTGTTCCCATATTGCAGATGTTTGGGTACTTCGGTGTCAATGTGGAAATGCTCTGCGATTTGGGGCTTAACTAGCCAAGGAGCACCGCTCCATGATTCTCGCGTGACTGTATTCTTGATGAAGGAGCGTAGCATCTGTTTCGTGAATACCTTCCGATCACGGACGAGGTGTTCGTCGTCCACGAGAGCCTCCTCATTATTGCGATGCGTAAGTTTAACAAGGTAGCGGGAACATGCACGACGTTCGACCCTGCCTTCATGTAGGACTTCTGGAAACTTTGCCTTCTCCCTGACTACGCCGTGTATTCGCGATCCATTAGACAGGAGTACTGTTACTCGCTCCCCGGGGTAGAAATCTTGCTTAAAGTCCTACTTCATGTAAGTCACTGTCATATTAAGAGCCTTAGATCAACTAACCTCGAATACTTGGTCCACTAAACAAATACCAGCTTAGTTAGCACAAAGGTTCTAGTATTTTTACCATAAACTTATAGACATCGTAGTCAGAGGGGAACTTACCAAGACTGTCTATCCGTGAGATGGTAGAGAATTGAACCCTGCGCAAAACTGGTTCTTTTAGGGACTCCGGAAATGCACTGTTGACTTCTCTTGATCCTTCGGTCTGCGAAAAAGTATTCGATAAGCTGGCTGTACCCCGTAATTTATTGTCCCTGGTCGATGGATTCCCCCATACCTCGCTCGTCAAGGCCTCGAAGAACGTCAGGGAGGAGTGGCCGGTGATTTCGCAAATAAATCGCCTCTAAAAATCGCACTTAGCGGGAGTTTTCGTATTCTAACAATCAAAATTACCTGTTTATAAAAATTCATTCTAGATACCAATTACGTTAGCAAGGTAGCCTTTAAACCAAGACAGGATGTAACAGGGCATAAGTAGTCCTTACCGCTGCAGGAAGTGTTCATAATTGGTAAACACTTCATTGGTTTCCGGGATAACCCAAACCTATATGTATGGTCAATATGGGTCAAGCTCCGCAGAAACGGAGGGAAAAACAAAGGATTCCCGGTGTAATAGCGAACCTCGGAGTTATCATCATCAATTGTCGGTTTGGGCAGGTATTGCACCGGTTTCCGCTTAAACAACACCTAAAATAAAGGATATGTTAGCTATAAGTAGAGATAAAAGTGCACCCGCAAAAGGACGTACCATCTTCAACTTCAGATACCAAAATCTACCAGGAAGTGTATAATGCGGTCACACATGCAATCAATGGCACACAGCCCCTTCCAAAGACTGGAGCAAGCTCAGAAACGCGAAAAGCTGGTGGTAACCAATCATGTGCAAAATCCTCGAAGCTGTGCGGATAGCAAGGTGTGGTGTGCGTTGGGGGAAAAAAAAGATATAAGGAGAGAGAGAGAGACCGAGTAGAAAGGCGGCTGTCTATGTGTGTTTGATACTCTAGGAAACAAGGCGCAGGAAGGTCAGCGAGGGAATATTCCCCATGAATAAGAGCTTCAACCCCGGGGGCTGAGGTAAATTCCGGTGAAGTATAGACCGGTCACGGATATCTCGACGCGTATAAAGGGGATTATGGCTTCTGCTCACGGGAGAATTAGGTGGTGGACGCGTCGTTCCTGAGGCCTCGCATGTCTATGTCCCAAAAGAGAAAAAAGGAAAAAAGAGGGAAAAAAGCCTATTGATACCGCGCCGGGAGAGCTGATCTATAGAGAGTAGAAGCAGCTCTGATAGAGAGAGAGACAAGACAGGATGCGCGTCGGCTGCTGTCTTTGGCGGTGCTGGCTGGGTTGTCGATGGTTGGTTGTCGTTGTGTGAAGAGGAAGAAGAAGAGGAAGAGAAAAAAAAAAGAGGCGGCAGAAAAAAAAACCGTAGGAGGGAAAAGGGAAGGCGGCGGAGGGAAACCTTAGCCTGGCCAGTGCGGAAACTCCCTCAACTTAGCTTTACACGCACAACACACACCACGTACATTAAGACTACACCATCTGCGCCGTATATACCAACATATGCGGATGTATGTATGGAGAATAACGGTTGAGAGGCTGCAGAAGTTCGTCGAGGGCTCGATATGCGCTCCTGATCGACGGACTCCTGGTTTCAGCGGAGCTTAGAGGCCAGGGACGGAGGGGGGTCCACGGCGATGGGTGGACGGGCAAGACACGCCGGAAAACGAAGACGAAGGGAAGACAGAGGCTGCTGAGCAGATACATTGCTGATGGGACTATTCAATGGCAGCAGACGAAGATATATTCCAGTTCTATACACCAATGCCGTTGACTCTTTCTCAATCTATACCGAGTACTAACATATGCAGTTATACACCCTTACATATATATACGCGCCCCCAACATGGACAACCTACTATTGAATCCTTCATCCTGCTTCCTGCTTTCCTACACTTTTATTATGCTGCAAAAACTAACAATCTGCCCTCCTCCCCCACCGTCTGGTCTTCTGTCGTCGTCCTCTACGGTTGTATCGTGTAGACTTGGCATGCTGAAGCCGAGAAAGTCTCGATCCGGTTTGAAGACAAGAAGTGTACATACACTTGTACCTATATGCGGGCTTCTCGCCACCGGAATAGCGTATACAGGTCAATATACGTTCATACAACTCAGTTTTGCTGACGACGTCTTTATTATCGCGCCCTTTAGTCGCCCTTTAGCCGTCTTCTGGCCTGCCGAGATGTGACTCTTTGGGGGGGGTTCAAGCCTTGATCTCAGCTACTTTTCCCCGTCCATCCGCCTCCAGCCACCAGAAACACCCCGTATAAGCACTCTTTCCGCTCGGGAGATCCTCCACAACTAGATTGTCTCTGTCTCTTTTTTAGTATTATATTTTCTAGACGTCTGCTTGTCTAGTCATGACGGGATGACGGAAATCCCCTTTGGACTTCCCTACCGGGATGAAGTAACGGTGTGGAAAAAATCACTCTCTATGTTGATTGTCACTCTAGGGTGCGCCCGTGTCGATGGGTTTTGCTTGTAGGCCGCTCTAAGAAGTAAAATAGACTACCATAAACCCTGCCCAGCTCCCCAGGATACCCACAGCAGCATATGCACTGGTAAACATCAGCGGTAAAAACTCATATCGCTTCCCAAACACCATCCCATGCACCAACGAACAATAGACAATCAACGGTATCGACACGGTGTCGTACAGAAGTGAAAATCTATCAAGAAGAAATACACGAGGCCTCAATGGAGCTGGTGCAAGTCGGCCAAAGACGAAGAGAAACAGCACCAGCCAGAGAATGGTATAAACCGTCTTAATAGGGAACTCTGCTGCGGTAAATAGAAGAGGGAACAGAGATACATGGCCTGCTACTGCAAGTGGGCGGAAAGCACCTAGGTATCGTCGGTCCTTGATGGCCAGCAAGCTGAACGGGATGATGATGAGGAGCACAGCCTTCTCGTGGACATGCCAACCGAAGAGAAAGGCGGCAAAGGCACAGTTCGTCACCGCTCCCACAAAGGTATCCCAGTCTGGTTGGAACCACAGTTTCGCAAGGCACAGCTGGAAAAAAATAATGTTAGTCTTCTATATTTTTGACTCCATCTGACGGACGGGCGAGAGTGAACTCACTATTTGAAATACAAAAGTCAGCCCAAAGGTATACTCTTTTGTGATCTCTGGGAGAACAGCAAAAGAAGTATCTCCGACTAAACCTCTGGTCACACTAGCCAGAGCGTCAGTCTTAACAGGCAATCCTAGTCTCGGTGCAACTTTAAGAGCTCAGGTTAGTGAATTACTGGAGTAGCAACTATAGATAGAGACATACCTAGAATAAATACCCGATCAATAAAGGAGTACATGGCCCAGATATTAGGTGCCCAGTAAGCATGGCACAAACCCCTAGAGAATGGGAAAAGCCTGTCCTTGACTTGCAACAGCTGACCCCAATTTGCAAACGGTCCAAATGCTGCTGCAAAGACACCAACAACGCCTATTCCCAGCTTCAGAATGTTGCTAAACTGAGGCCTAAACATAGAGCTAGGATGCAGACAGTAGGCTCGTAGGAGGTAAACGAACCATGCTAGCGAGAGGTAGAGGTATATGTGCTTGAAACAGAGCAAAATGGCAAAAGTGAGGCCACTATAGAATAGCGTAGACTGCTTCCGCGCCAGAACAATTGAGAGAATAAGAATCCCATACAAGAAGCCGTTGTATTGGAAATGAACATGATCAATTATCAGCAAGCCAGGAGAGAGAAGAATCGACAAGCTGACAGCATGAGCCAGCTCCTTGGCTCCTTGAGATGGCGCAGACTTGATATATCTTCAAAACAGGCCAGAAGAAGTCCCAGTCAGCAACTCGGTACTCATGTAAAACGGATAAACGGAAAGAAATCTCACCTATTTAGGGCATATACGAGCACCAGTTCAAGAACAATCACTGAGCTGCGTTGGAAATACACTGTTTGCCAGGAGTCATAGTTCAGGTTCTGCACCTTGAGCATTTCGGGGTCCATCAATGCAGCAATCTGGGAAAGACACCATTCCAGCCCGGCAAAGAACGGAGGATAATCCAGCGTCCATTCTGATGTTTTCTATTCATATTATTCTTCATTAGCTAGATATCCCGGAACTCCGTTCACTGCTGCACACATACCTCGTAATACCATTCCTTGGCTGGAAGTGAATGAGTAATCGCAAGCCAGTTGCGATGAACTTCAAAGTCGGTAGATTTGCTTTTGAAATACGCCTATTAGTTCATCTTCATTTGCTTCTACATTGCTCTAGAATCGTGCTGAAACAGGAGAATGTGACATACTATGCCGGGAACAAGAGGATCTTAAACGCAGCGGCCACGAGGGCGCATTGAGTCAACGAAGGATAGAACTCAGCCATAGTCAGCTAATCATGATTAACCAGCAATCAACTCATGCAGATGTCTGTGGCCGGCGACGAGCTGTTGAGTTGTTACTTGACAACGTTGTCAGTTGTTGATTTTCAGTGTGCAAACCGAACTAAATATCTACAAGCGCGACCCCTTTTTTCTCCCTTCCACCGTCAACTCCCTCTCATACCACGGTACGACGTAGGCTCTGGTGTTAATCAATATTTATATCTCATTATTACTTGTCGCACTAAGTTTTCTCTCATACGATCAACCAACTTCCAGTATATAAGAAGGAGGAGAAAGAAAGGTACACGGTAAAAAAGAGCCATGAAATTGCCTATCCTGGTTACTTTGCTCTGTTTGCACTTAGTTATCCAACGCCAAAAAGGACAAGCTGGCTCGACATCAAGAAACAAAACGGCGTTGCGGATGACAGAACCAGCGGAAGAGAAGAGCAATTCTTTTGTTTTGTTTTCTTTTTCTTTTCTTTCATAGAGGACTATTTATGACAACCACTGTTCTACGAAGCAATTGGGCCTGACACCCTTTTCTAGCCATTCTATATCGGACTTCCGCGGGGAGAGACATAGCTACCTTGTCGGTGAAAAGACAGCTACCAGAACACAAGACACCACGATTAAATATCTCTTGAATATACCGTATGATCGAGGCTATATATCCATAGAGAGACATCCCCGCTTTGCCTCTTGGATTTTGTGGCGTGGCCACCTACCAATCCACACTCAACGGCCGGTTGTATACTTCGATATAGCTCGTTTATGATGACACGATCTCAGAGCATTAGCAAGTCCGTTGTCTTGGCTTTGATATCCACCGCCCTCACCCAGGCAAGCTCGGTTATTGAAAGGTCTAGCTTCGGAAATGGACGACGGTACGTTTAGGATTCAAGTTTAGATCTTTATTGCGCGAAATATCCCAAGCTGACGGTTAATCAATTCTAGAGCCTCTCACGGTGCTGGTGGCATGCCAGGATGGACTGTATCTGGCTCAGGATTTCTCCCAGAAATGGTCCGGTTTCCTTCTTAGCTTATGGTTGCTTTATTGTACAGCTCGCTAACACACATCTGTCTCATTAGCTATCTGATCGAATTATCCTGACTCCTCCGTACCCCGGTAACAAAAGAGGCGCACTATGGGCTGAAGACATGTGAGATTTGCGCGAGGGCCTAACGAATATATCATAAAGAAGAAGGGCTAACAGAATACATAGAATACATGACCTTGAATGGAATGTAGCCTTCGATTTCAGGGCAAATGGCGAGGAAAGAAGCGGCGGCAATATTCAGATTTGGTACGTTAAGCAACCGGCATCTGTTGGAACATCGAGCATATATACCGTTGGAAAATTTGATGGTTTAGCCATCACAATCGACACACACGGAGGCAGGGTTAGTTCAACCCCTTATATATGAGCAGACAATCCCCTGACATGGCTAACATGATAATAACTAGCCTGGAATTCGAGGCTTTTTGAATGATGGAACCATAGACTACAAGGCTAATAATGTTGACGCTCTCGCATTTGGGCATTGTGATTATCACTACCGCAACCTGGGACGGCCATCAAAGCTCCAAATAAAACAATCAACGCGAGAATTTGAGGTTTTGATAGATGGACATACTTGCTTCAAAACACCAAAGGTGAATCCCCTTAATCCATCTTTACTAGAGTAGGGATATTCATATTAACCTATTGTCACCAAAGGCTTTCATCCCTCCAGGGAACGTGTTTGGTATCACAGCTGCATCGGCAGAGAGCCCTGACTCCTTCGAGGCTTTCCGCTTTGTAGCTACCACTTCTTCCAGCGGTAATAGCAAGCAAAACGAAAGAGGCCGTGAACCTCAACATAGGCCGGCTCAGGCCAACAACGACAAACCCCTTAGTGGTGGCAACATCGATTCTCAGGTCAAGGATCTTCAGAACCGACTCCAGATGATTTCCAGTACAACAAACAAGTTAATGGAAGAGTTGCACGCTCTGTCAGCCACCAGTGAGGATCGGATGAAGGAGATCATCCGCATAATTGCCCACCGCGACCAAGTGAGCAGTGTAGACCAGAGGCTTCAAAGAGTAGAACGAATGGTCGAGTCGATGCAGAGAGAAATAGAGGGCAAGGATTATCAACATCATTTCAAGCAACTGCAGGATTTGCTCCATAATTCCCATTCTGGTCTACTAGATACTCTCCACGATTCATCACACCGTACGTTCTGCCCCTTTTCTAAAACATGTTACGCTTTCAGAGCTGTACTAACATATTATCCAAAAACCAGGCATTATCTCCTCGGCACCACGCATGGGCTTCTTCATTTTCCTTATGGTTGCCGTCCAGCTACTACTCGCAGTTGCCTATGTCGTCTACAAAAAACGCAGAGCAGGCATGCCGAAGAAGTTTCTATAGATAATAAACTGCTATATAACGTCTTGCATTTACGTAGCTTACTTTTTTTTTTTTTTTTTTTCTCGGGTTCTTAGCTTGAATGTTCATAATTTCATAGCTTTTTCATATTCATCTGTCTCTCTATTTACGTTTTTAGGCTTACTGTTGACGGCTTTTTCTTCATATTCCTATCATTTGCTATTTGGACATGTAAACTAACCAGGTGCTTGAATACTATTTGTGTTAATAGCAATAAAAAAAGGAGGGCAAACCTACGCTATCGATCCTACGGTATCTATGCCTATGCTAGTTACCCATTTTTTCCTATATTGGTGGACAATTCTTAAAATGAATGTATTTCTCTAGCCTAACCTAGTTACTGCCTACTTTTTGCCTACGGTCCAAAGCCTACGAAGGAAGACAATTTGACGCCAGAAATTAGCAAGCTTTAGCTCGCTGTCATATTGATGCTTTTGACAAAATAATGTACAAGATAATGGGACAACTATAAAAGCAGGCACAGGTATAAACAGATACAAAGCAAAACCAGAAACTAAAGCAAACAATGTCCTTTGGGTGTGTGCGGAATGTAAACCCCAAACTCGCTGTAATCAGCGTATGAGTGGGAATACTCTGAAAGAGTGGACAAATGGGTATAAAGGCACAGAAAGCAGACAAAACCCGGAACAAAAACGCCGTACCATCTTTTATTTCGCTTCAGAGTCCCAGGTAAAAAGGAAAAGGAAAAGTAAAGAGCAATGCTATGCATGCTTTGATAAAACGAAAAGGAAAATCCCATAAACTCCGCCTTTTAGGCCCATGCAATGACGCTCAATCTAATATGTCAGTTCCGGAAGAAAACAGGGTGAAGACGGGGAAGCCAGATGACGATCGGATTCAAGTGGGTGTATGGCTGTATGGCGGTACGGCGGTATGGCAGCAACCTGGAGCAGGCTTTGTAAAAGTGAGTATCCCCTTAAAGGGGGCTTGCTGCGAGGCTGTGATTGTAATTGAAAGCAGGGGTTGACAGCGTCCTGGTGTGCTTCTAGGGTCGCCTGGTCCTGTAGCATGTTGTGGACGTGGGTATCAGCGAACGAGCACCTGCGGCCAGTCTCATGGGGTATTTTACTGCCTTATCGTTAAGCAGAGCTAGGTGGATTCTCTGCCCTTATCCCATGTGTGGGTAATAGTGGGTTATGGGAGTTTGGCAAAAAAGGTTTTTGTTTTGCGCTCTTTTTGCTTTCTGTTATCGACCTTAGAGGCAGGGTGACCATGCAAGGTCAATTGTCATGGTTGCAGAGGAACCATACGGCCTGCCCCTAAGGAAGTCGAAAGTTGCTGTAACGGGCACCGAGTTGAGCGCTCCATGCCTTTTTTTTCTCTCTGATGGCTAGTGGGTAATGGGCGGCATGGAGATGAACAAGGGCTTGAAAATTGGCTTTTACCCCCTTCTTGAAAGGCCGCAGGGAACTCGACGCTGTCATGCTTGGACTTTGGTGACTCACTGGCTGGCTGCTGATGGTAGTGGTGGATGCTGCTGTCGAATTCTCTTTGCGCCGGAGAGGAAAATTATGATGATATCGTGGCTTCCCTGTCTTCACCCTGTAGTCAACCAGGAACACAAAAAAAACACAAAAAGGGAGATATAAAAACACAACGGTAAGGGGATGCAACACCAGGAACACCTTACTCAACTCACAGTTACCCGAACAGAGGAGACCAACCAAAACCGTAACTTATTATCTCGCAACCAAGGTAGGTTGCGTATTGCCGCGAGCAGAGAGACATGAGGTGGCCGCGGATATGACGAAGCCAAAATAGACATAGGTACATCATTCCAATTGGAGAGAATTGACAAGATTGGTCAGTACCTCGAAGAACGCAGCCAGCGAAGACACATATTGATCGAATCTTCAAACTATTCAACGAGCTGGCACCAACGCATGGAAGCATTGGAACAGCTCTGAATCTAGACCAAACACCTGCTTATGGACATTTCGTTTCGTTATCCATGTGAACATGGAGAGGCTAATCTGAGGTCAAAAAAACGGCCTCAGTTGGTAGATTCAGAGGTCGGAGTAAGCGCTTGAATGCGCTTTCCTACCAACTCGTGAACAGCTTGAAGAATTTCAAGCTCACTGGAGGCATTGCGGAACCCATCGGGCGCTCCGGCAATGAGGCCAGAAACGACCTGCTCCGCTCGCTCGACCCCTGAGCAGCCTGTGATGTCCATCAAGCCCAACACAGCCTGCTGCTCGGTCGGCCCAAGTTGCTCGAAGGTAGGCACCGTTTCCGGCACCTCATCCACTCTCGCTTGTTGGGCACGAGTTTCATTGCGAGTCTTTCTGTTTCTGGCCCATTCCTCCATCGCACGCTCGCTCTTAGCGTACGTAATGAACTTTTGGACGAGTCCGCTCTCCTTCACACGATAGACGACGCCCTCTTGGTCCTGCTCGTCGACGCTCTCCTCGTCGCTGTCGGGCAAGACCTCGATGTCTACATACTTGGGGTTACGGGGTCGTCGGACCCTACCCGGGTAGTATTCTTCGAGGGCGTCTTCAATGTGATTCGGGCATCTCCAGTAATGGTATGGCTTGTCACTACCCGGTTTCTGGCGAGGGGGATTCGCCATAGGCGGGTCGAGACAATCCAGATGCCAGGCGGACGGGCAGTAGTCGCAGATGATGACCGGTCGCCGGTTCTCTGAGGTTAGACCACATCGAACACAGGCTATGATCTTGCCTTGAGAGTCAACGATCCGTAAAGGATCGTTCTCTTCAACGGCAATTCCACGACTGCCCCGGACTGGTTTTGCCCGGGTACTGCTGCCCTCGGGAAGTGCACGCACATCCCTATACTCTCCTCCAGGGCCAGTCTCGACTTCAGCAAAGTATTCGCGCACCTCAGTCGGTAAGGTGAAGCCGGTCTGCGGGACACTTTCCATCACCTCCGCTAGCCCGCCCAGAAGGCCCTTCTTCTCACAGGTGGGACAGAACCACTGTCCCGCCGGTGGAGAGTTGGGGTCAACTGGGGGTTGGAGGCAGGTGAAGTGGAATGAGTCCACGCAGCCGTCGCAGCATAGAAGCTGACCATTACCGTTGCACGCCCGGCAGAAATCGATGTTATCGATTTCATCAGCTTGTGCTCTCGGTTTGCGAATGCGTTTGTTGGAGGAGCTCCCAGCGGGCTTACTGGCAGCTTTGTCCTTTGGTACAGGGGCCACCACAGGTCTAGTCCCTTGACCCTCACTGTCCGAAGGGACAGAAGGGCCCGGGAAGATCCATCCCTGTGGTGGCTCCAAGACTGTCCGGACATTGCTTTCTTCGGCCTCGCTAGTCATGGCGATGGTGGCCTCCTCTAAAGCTCTGCGTTTCGCAGCCACGGCTTCTTCCGAGAACTCTGGGTCCTCCTCCAATTTGCGCTTCCGTGAGAAAGCCGAATTGGTTGGGGGAACCGCATGAGCTTTCGAGGGACCAGCTCGCCCTCTACCCTTTGCCTTGGGCTTGGGAGCTTTCGCTCCTTTGCCTTTGGAAGAGGTGAGTGCGTTGGCTGGATCCTGCTCAGCCGCTGCAGGGGCGAAGGCGTCGGCATCTAGGGACTTTGCCGTGGAGAGCGACGACGTGGTTGTCGCCGATGCAGTGCGTACCATCTCCGTGGCAGCGGCACTGTCGTCCAGTTGCTGGGCTTGGACGCGCTTGACTGCGTCCCTCATCAGGGCTTGGAAGGCGGATCGGTGGTGAGCTTCCGCCGATCTGTTGATGGCGCCCTCCAAGACACCAAGGAGATATGGATCGGAGGCCGAAGCCTCCTTGATCCAGCGGAGGCCACCTGCGACTTTGGAGTCCTGAGACTCCTCAGCACGCAGGATGGCTGATCCGAGGATATCCATGAGTTTCTCCGAGGTGAATTTCCTCGATGAGGGCACGGATGGACCGGCTGACTGGCTGTCAGCGGAGTCATCAAGCTTGTCCTTGCCAGCTTTCGATCGTGTCATTCTGCTGGCTGGTGCTGGCTCTGACCGCTCTTCACGCTCGAGGACTCCCTGGATAATTCCCTCCGCACGGGAACTATCAGAGATGGCGGCAGCGTCCTCAGCTGAAGTCGAAGCGGTGCTTGGCCGTTCATCGACGTTCTTCGTTGTCTGTTTTGGCTTCGTGGACCGGCCCCCCTTTCTTTTGGTGACTTTGCTGGTGGTGTTGGGGGCGGGGGGCTCGAGTCCAACTCGACGGCGGGTGGCCAGGGTAGGCCGTGTGCCTAGGGGTAGCATTGAAGTGTACTGGCCACCTCTATTCAAGCCATACCCGCGGAAGGTGGTCTTTGGCGTAACTGGGGTGGGTTCCACCCATGTCTCTGGATCTGCTCGCGGAGCTACGGTCTGTGGTGGCTCGAGACTCTGTTCTGCTGGCAGCGCAGACGACGGCTGGCCGGCAAGCTGGCTGCCCTGGCTCGTGGACAGCTCAGCAGCCGTAGCCAGTGGCTGGGAGCTCTGCAGGTCTGCTATCTGGTGGTTTGCAGCCTGCTCTGATTGCTCTAGCGTGGCGTCCGTCTGGCTGCCAGCTGGTTTGCGCTCTACCTGGCGCTCTTCCTCCTCCACGACGTCTACCGGCGAACGCGTTTCGATGCCGGTCCTGCGCTGTTTCTTTGGCCGCGCGGTGTCTGAGGTGGAGGAGGAGGGCCGGGTAGCAGGCGCACTGTGAGGAGATGATGGCCTGGTGTTGTTGCGCGAGGTGTTGCGCGAGGAGGAACGAAGACGAGGAGCCATCTCGTCAGCTTTTTTTTTATTAAAAAAAAGCTATTCCCTCGGAGATCTGTAGACACCGCGATTAGCTTCAGGGCACGTAAATTAAAGCAGAGACAGCGACTCACTGAGGGTATTTTCTTTCGAGTTTGCTTTAAAAGCTCGAAACTCGAAGCGCGGGCAATGTTGGCAACCGCGCAGTCCGGCGGTGGTTGGTGGTTTTTTTTTTTTTGGCGGAAGATGAGAAGAAGTTGAAGTTCTTCTCTTTGGTCGGAGAAGAAGAGCTAAAGCAACCAAAAAGTCAGCCACACAGAACGCAGAAACAAGCACACAAACAAAAAAACAGGAGAGAAGACTTACGAGAGAGGTAGAAAGGTGTAGCTTGAGGAGAAAGAGAGGGTGGAATATGTAGATTTTCGAGATTTGCTCGTCTCAGCGCTGTGCTGTGGTATTCGTTCTCGACTCAGGGGTTGCCTCCGGATGTAGGCAGGAAGAAGTAGGATAGAGAAGAAGGAAGATAGAGAGGTGGAAGTACAGAGGATGACAGTATAGGCTCTGTTTGATAGAAAGAGAGAGAGAAGAAGAAGATTATGAAGAAAGAGGATGACTGTATAGGCTCTTTCTTGTGGCGTAGAGAAGAGGGAGAGAGAGAGAGAGGACAAGAGGATGACAGTATAGTCTCTTGATAGAGGAGAAGAGAGAGAAGAAGATATGAACAAGTCCTGTTGTCTAGGCCTGTTGTTGACACGGAGAGGGAGAAGAGTTGATCTCGACTCTGTGAAGAGGAGATATGAGGATGAGGACGGAGGTTAGGTCTTTGATATGGTGAGTAAAGAGAAGAGAGAGTCCTGGCCGTTCTCGACCGGATGGAAGAGGTTTTATGTCTTGTAAGGAGGAAGACAGGCAGCTCGAAGGCGCGTCTTGTCGTTGGTAGAGAGACGTTGTTGATACCAGGGGGGTTCGGCGTGAGAAGAAGAAGGGAGAAGAGAGAGTCAAGAGACGAAGATATCAACGAGAGTAACGAGCTGGATAGTCGAGAAGGTGATTATCGTGATTGAAGCTGCTGCTGTACGCGAGGAAGAAGAAGAAGAAGAAGAGAAAAGGAAGAAGAAGAGGAAGAAGTGAGATTTTATAGAAGAACAGGAGGAGTTCCCGATTAGGAAATAGGTTGATTTTTTTTTTCTGTGTTGATGCTCGGGATTTTCCAGCGTGTGAGAAGAAGAAACGAAGAAAAACTCTGCCCAGGAGGTTCTATCAGCTTCGAACAAGGTGAAAGAGTTGATCAGGACAAGCAACACAGTGAGAAGAGGACCGTTTTTACTGGTTGATCTGGTTGATCTAGAGGGGAGGCCGGAGGACGTTTTGTTTACTAGTTTGATATACGCTACTGTTCTGGAAGAGTCTCTGGCCAAAGTGAGGCCAAGGGGGACGCCGGCGGAGGCTCAGGTGGGTGTATAAGGCAGGACAAAGAGTCGAGGTTGGCCTCACTTCGTCTGGTACTGCTTGTGGTATCAGGGGGTAGTGATATGTATGATTTGGTATGATCTGTATGATATATTACCAGGCCTTTTTTGCCTGGCAGGTCTTCATTTGCTATTGTGCAATACTTGTTCGTTTAAACAAACAGAGGAGCTCTCTCCCGTGAGGAAAAAAGGAGATATAATAAAAAAAAGGAGGATAAAACAGGTCATCGACTCTCCCTGAAAGGCCAGGTTATCAAAGAGGCTGATATCAACAACTTCAACGAGACAGGTAACTCGCGCCTAGGAGGTATATGAGAGCACCTGAAGCATATGAAGCAATTAAGCACAAAAAGGGGGAGTGGAGAGTCCAGAGTACGCACTGCTCCGGTAGAAGAGCATTGTAGAAGCTGTATGGTTGTGCTGTTTACTCTTCGTCAGAGTCCTCGTCGTCGTCGTCGTCGTCTTCTTCCTCCTGGACGACCTTCTTGGCCGGCTTCTTCTTCTTCTTGTTCTTCTTACCCTTGGATCCGGTAGACTTGGCCAGTGGGCGCTCAAGGATGGCCAGCACCTCTTCGTCTGTGATCCTCTTGTCAGACTGGACCTTCTCCAGGTCGAGAGGTGGTGGAGCAGCCAGCCTGCTCAGGCCATTCTTCGTAATGACTGATTGCCGGTCAGTATATATACACACACATAAAGAGTAAAAAGCAAAGGGAACGTACCGACAGTGGTTAGTAGTCTGGAAACAGGGGAGCCGTCTGCCTCTCCAGCAGGCTCGTACTGGCGCACGACGCCTCCGCGGACACACTCGACGACACCGACCTTGCCGGCCCTCTCGTCGTCCAGCTGGCGCAAGCTAAAGGGGAAGGTTCCAAACTTCTTGACAATCTCGGATAGCGTTTGTCTGGAGCTGGGCCTCTTGAGGATGTAGGTGGTGGTGGTGCGGCGGTGCAGGGTTGGCCTGTGCTCGAGAGTCTTCACCTTGCCGGATCCCAAGCTGAGACCGACCTCGACTCCCCAGACCTCCTGGACCTCCGGGGTACCCTCTCCCTTGACTCCGGTTCCAGGGGCCACGATGATCTTCTTGGCTCCCTCGATCTCGTTGCGCTCGAACAGCCAGCTGGTGGTGTTCTCGACCACTGTACAGTCATATGCCTTGGCAACCTTCTCGAGCAAGCTGGATATCTTGGCCTGGGTTGGCGGCTTCTCGGCTGCAGCCTTCTTCTTCTCTTCTTCGGTTCCCTGAGCAACGAGCCCGGGAGGAACCATGAGCCTGAGCAGGAGCTCGTTGGCGTAGTAGGTAGCCAGCAGCAGGTCGGCTTCGCGGCCGGTGACGGTTCCTCCAACAACGACAGTGTCACAGACTATGGTTCCGAATCCATCGATCTGAGCACCTAATTGGATCTTGACGACTTCGTTGGCCTTGAGCTCCGTGGCAGCTTCCGCCGCATCTGACGTGAGCGGAGTGTATGGAGTCACAAACGAGCTGGGAGAGACGGTGGTCGGATGAGATATCCCTGCTCCAATCGTCAATCCCCTTTTCTTCTACAACAAAGGCCCGGTATAAAGGGGGAACAAGGGGGGGTATATAGAGAGGCGGACCTTTTGACACTTTCTTGCCCTTGTATACCTTGGCCACCTCCTCATCCAGCATCTTGTCGCCCTTCTCGCATAGCTCTATGATCTTTGCTCCCTCGACACACCATCCTATTATCTCCAGTCAACAATGCTCATTGAGCGGGTATACAGACATGCTTTGTTCGCCAGACACGCACACACACCTGAAACAGCCTCGAGAACCTTGTGTGAGATCTGAGCGGCAGTCTTATACTTGGTCAGAGTGTCGGGGTTGTTGAGCGTGTAGTCTAGGATATCCGTTAGCCATGGCTCACCCATACCAAGCTACAACATATAAACATGCGGAGAGTATCCAGGCAGCATCAAATACTGGCTATCTATAGAATCGACCATGGACGGCAGGAAGAAGCACTCCCATCTCTACTTGCTGGGGGGTGGCTGGTAGTAACTGACCTATCTCTGTGTTTTCGGCCATATCGACGGGCGACTTTGGACGACCCAGCAACGACAAAACGGAGGGACGAAGAGGTCGACTAGACGGAGCAGCAGCTTCAAGAGTGCAAAGCTAGGATTATCTTCTCTTCTTCTTCTAATATTACCTTCCTCTTCCTCTTCGGTGGGGTTGTTTGTTTTTTTATTTTTTGTTCGGAGGGGGAAAAACGAAGTGGGATTAATTGTGGGAAATTCTACCTTTCCTGCCCAATGACGTCGATGCAGAAGTACTTCTTTGTGCACCAACATTTGGTGGCGCAAGAAGTACCTTTCCACACCTGCCATGGACCTTGTTTACTGCAACCACCGAAGTAAAAACGAAGTACATATGAAGTACGGAGTCGAACCGTCCATGGATGTGCTCACCCCCAGGCTTCGGTCTCTCTTCTTAAGACCAGGATCAGAGAAGAACCGCTTTACGAGAGAACCAACCACTCCGGCACATGGACGTCATGACCCGCGCTGTGGTATATCTGAATGAAAGCCAGGGAGGAAAAGGAGGTAAGAGAGAAGAGGGACGGAGACGATGGGGGACGTCGAGCATGGCTCTCCCTATTTAATCTCCCTTCTCTGCTCCCGGTTGTCTCTTTGTTCGTTCTGTTCATCGAAGCAGTCGGCTGGCGATATTGGTTGCATCCTCGTATTCGATAGACAGGCGTTAACATGAAGCTAGGAAACTTGCTCTTCCGCATCCTCACGCATAACATTCGGTATGCAACCACCTCGCCGTCCGCGGGCGAGCAGCCGTGGAGTGTTCGAGCACCGCTGATTGTGAATGAGCTCGACTATCACACCCGTACGAGCCCGGAGAGCTTCGTCTGCCTGCAGGAAGCGCTGCACAAGCAGGTCCAGGACGTCCTCTCCGGCCTCAACTCGCACGTCCAGGATGAATGGGCCTACATTGGCGTGGGCAGAGACGACGGCAGACAGGGCGGAGAGTACTCTCCCATCTTCTACCGCCCTGGAGTCTGGGAGCTGATGGAAAAGGAGACCGTCTGGCTGTCGGAGACGCCCACGGTCCCGTCCAGGGGCTGGGACGCTGCCACCATCCGCATCGTTAACGTCGGGGTCTTCAGCCACCGCGCGTCCAACCAGACCGTCCTCGCCATGAACACCCACCTGGACCACAAGGGCACAAAGGCACGCTACGAGTCGGCCAAGCTGATCCTCGCACTCATCGACAAGTACCTCAGCAGTCGCTCCGACATCGCCGGCAACTTCCTGGCCGGAGACTTCAACAGCGAGGAGAACCAGGAGGCGTACAAGGAGTTCACCAAGCCCGGCTCGCCCATCGTCGACGCCTACAAGCAGGTCCCCAAGGCGAAGCACTACGGGAACGAGGCCTCCTTCACCGACTTCCAGGACAAAACTCCCGGCAGCCGTATCGACTATGTCATGCTTGGCCCCAAGAGGGGCTCTGCCCTCCCCTGGGCCTTCAACGGCTATGCCGTCCTCCCAAGCAAGTTCGACGACGGCATCTTCAACTCTGACCATCGCGCCGTCGTCGCCGACGTGACCCTGAAATAGTCTCCTCCTCTTTTCTACCATCTCTACGGCACCGGGCGCTATCCGCCCCTGCCCAGGCTGTCCGTATCCCATGCCTTAGTCCATAGCCATATACTCTGCATGCTCTGTATACTCCGTCTGTATGTCTGTATATTCCGTATATAAAAACCATCTCCTTTTTTTTTTATATCTTAGTCAGCAACACGTGGCGCTTAGTCATCCCAGCGCAAAGAAACACTTTTTTTGCGTTCTTCAAACACGCAAAGAAAAAGCGAACATTTTGGACGAAGAAACAAGCAAAGAAAAGAAGAAGAAAAAAAGGAGAAGAAGAAGCTGAATGATGTATACAAGTTTCGCATCGCATCTCGGTGTTTCTCCTCGCTGACTGAGGCCAATTCCTGACCTTTAGAATCTCTTCTCTTTTCCTTGCCTCGCCCCTTCGTTCATTGGATGCAAGCTTGTCCGCCTTCGACCGCGTCGTCAAGAAGGGCCCTCGGGGGATACTCTCTCTCTCTCACGTCGCATTCACTGCGCGATTCCGGTATGCCCTGATCTCTGTAATCTGTACCGTCTTGCCCCTTCGTCTTCACTGGAGCTTCGTGTTTTGTGATGTTATACCGGGTGTTGGACGCGGACTGAAAGGCGTCAGCCAGCTTGTTACAGATAGCGACTACATACATACATCGACTTTCAACCCACCATGCCTTGGCCAGAAAATTCCGAGGACGGTACGGTCCAGCCTGGTGTTGCGCTGATGGATTCACCGCAAGGTGCAGGCGCTGCCGGCAGCTCGTTGCAGCTCGAGCAGTCGGGCGAGCAGCCGACAGAGTCGCCACAGGAACAGCAATCACACAACGGATCCATACCGGCAGGTATCTTGGAAGGGAAACAGAACGCAAGAGCTGTAATGGGTGCTTCGGAGCTACCGGACGGCTCAGCTCAGCCTGCGGATAGCGAGGACGCCGTCAGACCCGCTGCCGGCAGCTCGAGCTCCCCTCCGCCAGACGCTGGCGTCACAAATGGAAACGGGGTGAGTCGGAAGCGGTCTCGTTCCGGTTCGATTATACAGTCTGTTCCTCCCGCAGTGGAGAACGATGGCCTGCCGCGCAAGACTCCGCTCGATAAGGTCCTCCTCGAAGATTACCTTTACCGGGAATGGGGCCATTCCGCGCTCGCTGCAACGAGGAACACCAGCCAGGAAATCCTTCGACAAAAGTTCCAGGAAAGGGAGTATTACCTTGCCCTCAACCAAGAGAGGCAGATGAATCCTGCTGCCATCTTCGGGCCGGGCTATGAGGGCTATGGCAACCCCAGGACGGACCTCAGGTCGCAGCATCCACAGCTTCTCTACCCTTCCAACCGAAGGCGGCCAGGCGGGAGGAAGGCGAAAGAGCTGCGGATACCGCGAGAGGACATGCTCACTCAATCCGACCAGGACGAACACCTCGTTCCAATTCGGCTAGATATCGATTGGGAAAAGGTCAAGGTGCGGGATACGTTTACATGGAATCTTCATGATCGCGTCACCCCCGTGGACGTCTTTTCTGAGAAGCTAGTGGAAGATCTGGGCCTGCCGCTCGAGTCTTGCGGTCCTCTGGTACGGCAAATAACCCAGAGCATCCATGAGCAGCTAGCCGACTTCTATCCTCAGGTCTTTATCGAAGACGAACCTCTGGACCCACATCTGCCGTATTCTGCCTACAAGAATGACGAGCTGAGAGTTCTGATAAAACTGAATATCACCATCGGGCAACATACGCTGATAGATCAATTCGAATGGGAGCTGAATGACCCGCATAACTCGCCGGAAGGGTTTGCAATCCAAATGTCTCAGGACCTGTCGCTACCCGGGGAATTTACAACTGCAATCGCGCATTCTATCCGCGAGCAGGTACAACTGTTTACCAAGAGTCTATACGTAGTCGCTTATCCATTCGATGGACGACCTATCGACGATCCAGAGTTGAGAGACGCATTCCAGCCATCTCCAATCCCATCTACCTTCCGCCCCTTTAACGTCGCCAAGGAATACACCCCATATCTCTACGAACTTAACGAAGCTGAGCTCGATCGGACTGAAGGCTCTATCTCCCGTGAACAACGACGACAGAAGCGTGTCAACCGACGAGGCGGACCGATCCTTCCCGAGCTTAAGGACCGCCAACGAACAATTCGGACCATGGTCGTTTCCTCGGTTATACCTGGATGCGCGTCTTCTATAGAAGAGAGCCGACTCTTCAAACGATCGAGCACCGGCCGACGTGGTAGGACGTCAGCCGGCCACCGCGATGGTCTGGATGACTCGGATTCTTCCGAGAGTGAAGAGTCTTCCATTGGATCTCCGGCCATGTCTCGTCTCAGCCAGGGAACCGCCAGGACAAGGGGAATGAGGCAAGCTTCTTCTATGGCCCAGTCAGCCATACGAGGCCAAATGGGTCGTTCTGCCACCCCAGAGACAACCGTAACTCACACGCACGAAACGAGAACTTCCGCTAGACGACAAAACTATCGAGAGGAGAGCTCAGAAGCCCCCGAAAGCCTCATTGTCCGATTAAAGATAAATCCAGACAAGCTACGCCGTTTCCTTCGTGACCTCAAGTCTAGCTCAAGGCAGTATACGGCATCTCCTGGCGGACCGTCGACTACTCCTACAGGGAAATCTAGCACTCGTGGGTCCATGGGACCTCCGCCTTCTCAAGGCCAGCCAGGCTCAGCTGTCAAGAAACCAATCAACCCACCACAATTCCATGGAGTCATTGATGCGCCACATCCATTGCCACCAGGAACCCAGCCGGTGAGTACTCCTCCATCCTTTTAAATATGTCCCTTTTTCTATTATAACAAGCTTGACTAACGAGAATGATATAGCCACCTCCCCCCCAGTGGCTCACCCAAGGCCTTGTAGGCCTGAAACGGCAATACCCCAATGACTCCTTTGAAGGAACAATGCGCTATACAGCGGTGGACCCAATTACAAACCTACCCATCCCCAACGCTGCGCAGACACATCCCGGGCAGAAATTACCATACAAATACTTCCCTCGAATTCGATGTAACGACTGTCCTGGAAAACTCTATACCCCCGGCCCAGCAATGACAGTTGAAAACTTTGAAGTCCATCTCAAAAACAGAAATCACAAGGAGGCCGTTGCAGCACGACTAGCCAGAGAATCAAAAGGAGGCTCAGGCAGCACCACTATCCCAAGGCGCACAGCAACCAACGCCACAGCAAGAGAAACCGATTCTTCCAGCGGACAGGCGACAGGCGATTCAACCGGTGCCGCATAACGCAATAATGAATTAAAATAATAATGCAAATGGACCGAATCGTCCTTTAGATTCCCTTGACAACAGTACGTTTTCATTCTTGGTTTCCATACTCGGCTACAACCGTGGCAGTGGTCGTGTTCATGTTTATTTCCTTGTGGGTTCTCGACGGAATTCGAGCGGATTTTCAATATCTTGGCATCATGCATATTTGTACGCTCCTTAAATGTTTCCATTAATACTTTTTTTTTTTTTGGTTCCTTGTTATTAGAATGGGATGCTCGCACCCTTGTTCCAGGCTACTGAGGGGAGTTGGTGTAGATGTTTCAATCAAAGTAACTTGTGAGATGTTCCCCTTGATGATGGACATGAGTAAATTCGAGTAATTAGTCGTTCAGACAGATATATCTCCTTGCTAGGTTGTATGTATCCCTTGAACGTCGAGGAAATGCTGTTTGGAATAGGAATTTATTGAACCTGGAAGCATCTAATACCGTAGGCTATGTACTGTTAACTACAAGCAACTAAATTGCAAGGAAATACAGACGGCCTTAAGGCCAAATAGAAGGAATCAGAGCAGCAGAAAAAGACACATATGTATATATTCACACAAAGATAATGCGGAGAGACCAGAGGCACATAAAAGGAAAAGAAGAAAGGCATGGTGAGCATTAACAAAGACACAATGTTCGGATCATGCTTTGGTGCTTTTCTTAGACCTGCCAGGTTTATTTTTCAATGGCTTGGATGTAGACTTTGTAGGCCGCCCTCGTTTGGGCTTTGGAGTATCAGCAAGCGGCGAGGATAGCTGAGGTGCTGGGGATGAAGATACAGCTGGAGTAGATAGGTCTTGGGGTACATCACTCATTTCGGTGTCCTCAGCTGTTTTGGGTGGCTTGTTATCTTGATCCTCATCATCATCTTCATCCTCTTCGGAGCCGTCATTATCACTTTCATCTACCGAATCTGGGACTCTTTCCGATTGCTTTCCTTTTCGTGTCGGCCGTTCATTCCACGTCTGCATTTCTCTATCGTCTTCTTCGCTGTCACCCTCGGCATAGCTGACGTTCATCCTCTTTGTACCTCTGCCACTCCTCCGTCGGTTTGCTGGTGAAGGTTGGATATCTTCACCCGCTTCAGAGCCCCAGTCATCATCACCCTTCGTTTTCTTACGTCTTGGTTCCTTTGAACGATCGCCACCAGCTGCCTTCTGGCGTATGGGAACAGCTCGGGATGTTTGATTTCCCCCCTTTCGTACCTTTTTTGACGATCCCCCATTCGCGTATGCTTCGTCATCATCATCACCGGCAGCCTGATTATTATTGTTAGATTTCGATTCGAGCTTTCGCTTCTTTCCCGCCACTACAGAGTTGGAGGAAGTCTTTGGTTTCATGAATTTCCGGACAACACGGTCTAATCTGTCTTCAACTTCCTCAGGCAGGAAGTTCTTCTCGGCCGTTGATTGAGCTACTTGGTGACTTGGTATATTTGCAAAGAGACTGCTTGGAAGTCGTATCTTTCCTGGAAATGTTTGAAGGATGTTAGCTACTCCGCTACCACCACTTCCTCCGATTTTGTGCTGCTGAGAATAACATTCTGAAAACATCCGAATGGTAGCTTGGGATAGATCTGAAAGGGTATGTAGCCGCGCTGACATAATTGGGGCCATATCGGGATCTGAGATTGCATCCTGTGCCTGCTTGACGCGCTGTGCAATATGAAAAATTAAGGAGAGATTATTTTCATTAGCAACTGCGGAGAGATAGAAGAGGATATATCGGGTGAAATCAAGTAGGTCATCAACTGTGGTAGCTTCGTCAGACGATTCAGGTGGGTAGTCAGGGTGATGCGCAAGGAGAGAGAGAAGACGAGCGAAGAGAGCCTCCATCGTCGTTTGAGATGATTGCTGGTCCTGGCCAGCCGCGGAAGTGCTTGGTCGGCGGGAAAAGAAAGAGGCTCTTGATCGGATCCATGTGAGTGTACTATCATAAAGGTTTCCGTTGGGTTCAAATGCGACAAGGAACGTAATGATGTACCATCTGGGATTGAGATTTGGTGTTTGTACAAGTCTCTTTTTGACTTGCCCAATGAACCCTCGTCTCACTTCGAGTAGAGGATCTTGGGTCACTAGTGCAATGGCATTGAAATTCTGGGGGGTAAACATCCGGTCACAGACCGTTTTCGAGGCGCAGAGTTTAACTACTAAATTTGCAGCTAGCAGACGAAGCCTAGACTTTTGTGAGGAAGGGGTATCATTGGTTTTGGAGAGCTCTCCTTGTTTCCCTATTAGAGTATTTAGGATCGCATAGACAGTGTCTGCATATTGCCTGAAATCTTCGTCCTTGTCAGAATGATCTCTTGAACGGACACGGTTCACAAGAATTTTGAGAGCCCACTCCTTCGCCTGCAGCTCTTCATCTACCTCTTCAGACCATGAGTATCCAGATTTTGCTTTTGGGTTGCGGTTTTTAAATAGGATCTGATCGGTAGCGATGTTGAGGATGGTATCTTCTTCCCGATCAATCTCCTTAGATGCGAGGAGGGTGAGTTGAGAGAGAGCCGCCAATTTCGTGAGGAAATGGTCTGATCCATAGCTGAACTTTTGAATGCTCTTCTTAACTAGATCTCGTGCATACATTTCTTTCTTTTCTGCGGTTGCCATAATTATAGAAACCGCACACTTTGCAGCAACCGGGGAGGAGCTGTACATCGCGTAATTGGTGAGAGCGACCTGAAATTGCTTATGAGTTGGGAGTTTTGCAGGTAACTTTTTAGCAAATCCAGCGCAGGCTTTCAGGATTTCCTCAACACTCGGATCGTCACTGTTTTGTGCGCTGGGAGCCTGTGACTCTAGATCTTTGCACATTTCTTGAACGTGAGTTTCAAGCACTTCTGGATTCTGTGAGGACGTTTCTCGGAGAATTTCATGCGCTGTATTGCCCAATCCATGCTCATCGGTTCTTGATATTTTCATAATACAGGGTATGTGGCTTCTGTTGAAAATCAAAGAGCTGCTGCGGTATATCAAAGGCATCAAGGATTCTAGCATGGTTGTAGTTGCAGTTGTACTTGAGGAAACGCGGTTAGAGAGTTCTCTTATGGCTCTGGCTACAATACGATAGTCGCTTGCAGCAGCCATGGCGAACCGGATGAGATGGTAACTGCGCCTATCGTGCATCTTCGCAAATTTCCAAAGATCTGCAGAAGCTCGCGAGGACTCCGGGAGCATTTTAGAGAGCTGATCAATGACTCTTGTTAGTTTGGCTTTAACAGCCTCTTCATTTTCATCCATAACACCACCCTATCAATTATGCATGTTAACCTAAAAGTGATTCATCTTTACTTTGTCAGGTTGTTTGGGAGAAACTTACGTTGTACTCCTCGCATGCAGTCAGGTAAAAGTCCATGAAAGCCCCCATTTTTAACTGTCGGGATTGAAAAGCGAAGAATACAATCTTTGATTTTTCATCTAGTCCATTGACTAATGTGAGTATGCGGCGAGCGCGGATAGAATCTGCATCGGAGTCATTGCCCTGGTTGTCTTTGGGTGTCTTGGGCTTTCCTTTGGCCTGTTTCGATTTTATTGGAGGGTAAGTAAGGGGCAAAAGCACCTCGAAGATCACATGGTCCAGCAGTACTTGAAGATCAAGGTCATTCGTATAATAAGCGTCAAAAATCTTTGAAGGTGCGTCTTTAAGGATGGTTATAACCTCTTCGTTATTTGCTTCGATATCTCCCGATGCAACTGCCCACATTTTGCCCAGCACGTTCATTGCTTGTTCACGTACCACATGTTTCCTGTCTTTGACTCGCTCTGCTAACACTGAAAGAAGAGAATCTGGCGCGGAAAGGCCGCCGTCAGCTCCAAGTTTCTTGATGACATCCTTATAGCCAAACTTGGCGATGGCCTCTACCGCAGCAATTCGAACCTTTTCATCAGCATCTCCAAGGGCCTTCGTAAGTCCGCTTACTAAGCTCTTTGATGCGGCAGTATTCAACCCAGTACCTCCCGCTGAAGTGAGTAGTATCCTTCCAATGGCTGTGGCCCAGGAGGCTCGTACGGAAGCAGACTTATCCTGGCGGCGGGTCAGGAAGCTTTCATAGGTCGAGGAATGGACTTGTGAAAAGGGCTTAGGAGATATAGGGGTTAGAAGAGCATTCACTGGTGAGAGGGCCTCCGTATCCTCGTTTAATGAATGGTGAGGATAAGCAGCAGGGTCCATGGGCGGATCGGCAGGTGGACCTGCAATACCGATGCCAGCTGCTAGATCACCGATAGTCTGTGTTGCGAGCAGACGAAGAGATATGGAGTCTGCGGATAACTCGGCCTCAAGCTGGGGGATGACGTTCTGCAGCACATCAGGACAAGCTCGCCATAATTCTCGTATTAATCTATGGGCCTTGTTCAGATCCTTAATGTTCTCTCCCTCGTCTTCCGAGTCGTCCAAACTATTCCGGCGTTGCTTCATCCCGTTCATGCCCGAGGAGCCAGAAGCATCCAGGATAACGTTGTTAAAGTATTGGCTGATGTAGCTTGTCAGTTTCTCCGGACAAGCATTACATATCGCTTTCGCCATATTATAAGCCGGGGGGTAGTCTTTCATTAATAGAGTGCCTTGTTTGGCGTCAATAACCCCAGTTGCACCTTTTTTACCTTTGCCAGCGGAGGTAGCTAACGACTGGTCTATAGCTCGAGGATCAACGCGTAAGAATTGTGCAACAATCACGTCAATCACCTCCGGCGCTAAGTTCGGTGCCTCGTCAATAATTGGGGCAAGAAGTCTCGTCATATCATATTCAACGTTCTTGGCTAAATCCTCTCCGGTTGATGCCTTTGAGGACCCTGATACTATATCGAAACATGATGAGAAAAGGGGAAGGATCAAGGTATCGGGTGCATGAACATCTGTAAGCAACACAATACTTTTGACATCCGCCAATGATGAAAGGACATATATGTGCTGGTCATTATATGCATTGGACGGGTCTGCTAGCGCGGGTATTATCGAGGTCACGATCAAGGTGAAGATGTCCTATAATCGCATGAAAAGGATAAGTCACGGTAACAATGTATATGAAAAGATGAGCCATATATAAGTACCTTTAATTGATTGACGGTAAAAGGAGCATTGGGGGCACATAAGCGCAATATATCAACAACGCAACAGGCTGTCCATGCGCGAACACCTTTATCCCTATGTCCCAGTAGGTGTCCTTCCGCAAGCTCTTGTGAGACCTTAGTCAATGAGCTTCGATCTGTATCTTCCTGATCTAGCGTTCGCAATTCAGAACCTAGTTCCTCAAGGCGTTGGAGGAGGTGTGCAACAGGTATAGCCTTCCCAGCCCGCCATGAGAGCGTCTGATTAAATTGAAGTTGGTGCAACGAAGTATTCCCGCCCTGCTCCTGCGCAGATTGTTCTTCTTCTTCCTCCTCCTCCTCTTCCACATCCACAGTTTCTTCTACAACTTTGGCCGGCGCCTTTGCGGCTTTCGCGTGTCTTGTGCGCGCGGGCATCGTATTACGGGCTCCTGACGGTGACCAAGCTCTAAGATGGTATAAAATAGTACTCTTAGGGTTTAACGGGATTCAATCGACCATGCGCCCCCCTGGAGAAGGCCCTCGTAGTATGAAGTGTCAAGTTTTCCGCTCGCGGATGGTTGGCTCCTTCACCGTCCAGCTCGGTGTTGGCCCAGGGCGCCCTTGGGGTACGCTTATGACAGATTCGAAGATGCCGGAGTGAGAGAGCCTTGAACAACTCAACACAGCCGACCAGATATCCCAATATACCTCACGAGGAGCCGTACTTATCAGCTTCAACTTGCGGAACCCGCTTCTTTACTCTCGTTCAAGCTTGCCCAGTTCAAAAGTTATCTCGATGCGCGAGCGCGTTTCGTCTTATGTAACCCAAATAGTATATCACGTGAGCGGCTTTACACGTGATTAGGTATCGACCGTTTTGAAGCTTAAAAATCAGCGTTTTATATTCAATATATGCAATAGTAATTCTAGGAGAGAGTAAGAATGGCTGAGGTAGGAATGTGATATATATTATGATAATTATGTCAAAGCTGGTAACAAATCTAAAAGAACACCGTCCATATATGCATACATACAAAACTCCATGAACACCCAACCTTTCCGCTTTTTAGTGATGAGAGAAGAAAAGAATACAAAAAATGTATATACCCTCACACTTTCGGAACGAAGCGACTCATAGCCCTGATTCTAGCCCCGTATACATAAAACAGTATGGGAACAGGAATCATGGCCACCGTTATAAAGCCCAACAGACTGCCAGCCCATGCAACTCCAAGGTTGTGGAACATCTGTGAGGCGAACATAGGAAAGGCAGCTCCCAGAAGACTGCGGATGAATGTGTTCGCTGCCAGTGCTGAATTGGCATACACAAGATAGACGTCGACGACATAGTTAATGCCTTGCAAGAAAATGATGATCAAGCCAAAGCCGATGGGTATACCAGCGATCACTTGGGGCACCCATGTGATATGTGGTGATGATGTCCAAGAGAACCAGAACAAGCCTGCAGGTAGAGTGAAGGCAGCGAATATCATAGGTGGTAGACGATCTTCTGGAACAAGGCGTCCGGTTGCTTTGAATTTTCGCGCGTATTGATGTTTGCTTATGTAGATGAGAACAGCACATCCCAGTAGGATGCCAATAGCGAGGCCAATAAATGGAAGAGCTGCGACACCAGGGTGTTTCCAGCCTCGGACTTCCTGGAAAGAGATTGGGTAGGCGAAGAAAAAGAGGTAGAGGATTCCGTAAACGATAGCAAGGTAGAGGGTGGTTAGAGAGAGAATTGGCTCTAGGATCAACATCTCAAACGGACGACTTAGATATTTATTGATTATATCGTTGAATGTCAGGGGTGATTCGTCAAGGGTCGAATGGAGAGCCCAGTTCTTCGTTTCGTATCGAAGTCGTGCAGCTCGATTCTGTAAAATCACTGGTGCGAAGGTCTCGGGAAGGGTGAAAACAGCAGCAAGTCCAACAGCGGCATCGATGATGAGTGTAATCCAAGAGGTCCATCGCCAACCCAGGTGTGAAGGGACGATGAAGCCGCCAATGATCGGCCCAGCAGTCGGTCCCAAGAATGTTGCGGCGCAGAAACCAGCTGCTGCGATGCCACGGTCAACAGGCTCCCAAATATCAACCAGAGCGCCACCAACGACTGCAAGAGTAACAGAGCCAAATGCTCCGACCAAAAATCGACATATCAGGATAGTTGCGAGGTTCTGTGCTACAGCAACGGGAATCTGGAAAATAGCTGCAATGATAAAGCAGATGAGCATGGGAAGACGTCGACCATATACTTCGGAAAGGGGTCCCCAGATTATAGGCCCAAGAGCAAATCCCTTTCATCCCAATTAGTAACCTTTTTGGCTTCACCGGCAGGCATCATATTGTATGCACTCACCAATACGATAAGACTCGTTGCAAGGGTAGTAACTTCTACTGATACACCATAAATCTCTGCCGTTACCGCCGTGGCTTGACTGAAGACGCTGCTCGCGAAGGTGATACAGAAGGTCAAGAGGGATAGCATCATAGTGATGTACCATTTTCGCATACGGCTGAAATTCCTTGGGTTCTCGGGGTCGTCAGGGCCATCCCAGGTCACAATATCCGGATTCTTTGGAGGTTCATCGTGTATTGATTGTGGAGGCGAGACAATGGATCCGGGTCTTTCCCCTTTTTCAAGGTCTCTCTCGCCTAAGGCCGACTCTTCGGATGAGTTGATGTTATTCTGAGATGCTTCTAAGCCATGAGGCTGGGTTTTTGGATCCATCGAGTAAGATGCGTTTGTATTCTCTGCCATGTATACCACACTGAGTATGCTAACTAGTAGCGTAAGTATAATAGAAAGCTAGACAACTAGAGAAATGGTCTTTGGTTATTCACATCCATAATTAGCCAACAACTGAATACATACACGGATATATATATATCCAAGAGGACTATTCGAAATGCATCAGGGGCTTTGACAGCACTCGGAGCCGACTTATCCAGGACCGACAGCTGTCCCGAGATGACATATCCTCTCGAGTGTGCGGACGCAAAGGAGCGTATCGATTAATAAAACAGAGTTCCTCTGATGCTTGTACTCGATACTTCGCATCCTTCGGATGCTAGCACAGTAAGTTGCATATCCATACATGTAGCTTGGACATGATATTAGGTATACACCCCGGCAGAAGTTTGCCGGTGAAAAGGACAAGTTATTTTCTAGCCCCGGAAGTCTAGAAAAGAAATAAAATAGATCAGCAGTAGCCAACGTCCAGTATGCAGTTGGGTATAAAACATCATTCGTCCATGGTCTTTCGAACAGACAAGGGCCTACCAAAGAACTCCGGGCCTGCTGACATGACGTCACAGCCATGTCCATTTCGCTCCGAAAAGATGCATATTATTATGAACTGCTTCTCGTATCATATCTGTCTGCAGACTTATCATTTAATTCCTGCACAGATGAAGGCTTGGGCCAAACAGCTCCTGTAGGCATGCCGTCCCCGGCCGGCCCACGACCGACGGTGTCATAACTAGCGCTGTCCCATATATATAAGGTTGACAATCGGACTTAAGAGGATTCGGCCCACGTTATCAACCTGGTAAGTCCGATAGTTAAATAAAACGACATGTTGGAGGAAGATGGTTATTGTTGTCAGTCGCTCGAAAAGTGGCTCGCATAACTAGTACCTAAGCTCACCAGGTTCCCCAACTTGTTCTTCTGAGTGAGGCTGCAACGTCGGCAGTCAAAAGGCGAGCGTCTCTCCGTTTATGCCGCTATGTATAGGATTTGCTCTGCTGAGAATGCGCCCGCCGTGCCCGTATTCTAGAGTCTATTATCCGATTAGCTATAGCGCAACGACCAGAATGCACGCGAAATTAGGCAAACATTTAAACAGCTTCTGAGTATGTACAAGCCCACCCTTCTCAGACCAGGTAAGCCTTTAAAACGAAAAGATGCTGATAGTTTGCAGACAAGATGAATGAGAATATGCACAGGAGAAAGGAATCGCCTCGTTAATATTATTTAAATATAATACATGCTGGTGTATATGAATCAATTCCAAATATTTTCTTTCGCCGATGCCGCGTAGGAGTTCATTCAGTCTTGATGGGTCGTTAATATATTCATTAAAAGAGGGATCAGGACGAAGCCAGCGCCGATCCCGCGCCACTACTATCGCTGGCTTCGTTGGACCTTAGATCCCGTAGAATTGAAATTGCTTTGTTGACCTCCTCACTTGCAATGATAGCGAGTTTTGACTTGGTCTCAGAGTCAAGAACACCAGAAGCATCCACCTGGTCGTACAGAAGGCGGGATATCCTGCGGTTGATATCGGTATATTCTTCTTTAGATACCTCGTTCCGACGATAATACGGCTTCAAAACAGAGCTGACCATCTTTTGGAGACGAGATTTGGTAGAGAGAGATAGGCCGCGAGCCGGTGAAGTTTCATCAGAACGCAGATGAGGAGGTGAAGGGGAGAGGTCGTGGTGGGCTGAGAAGGCGGCGGAAATGCGGCCCCGGGGATGTTTTGTGTTTTCTGTTGATAATGGATTTGGTGGGGGTGGAGGAGAGCGGGAAGGAGAGAATTCTGGAGAGGAGAAGTCGGGGTCGCTTGGGACAGGGTCGAGGGGGTTCGAAGAATGGTTGTGAGGAGGTGGTGTGATAGATGATGGGCGGGAAGAGGAGCGGCTGGAGGAAAGTGGGGATAGTGCAGGTGACGATGGGCCGGAAGAGCTTATGTTGGTAGGGTTATAGGATAAGGGGGTAAGCCGATATGGAGGATTATTCACGTTGGGTGTGGAGGACTCTTCAACTTCCTTGAGTAAGGATTGAAGGAAACTAGGTCCGGAAGGTGGAGAGTGGCCGGGGAGGCTGTGGTCATCGGTATTGGCTAGTCGGCTACGGCTTGATGACTCTCCTCCGTGGTCAAGGATGTCTGCCAGGGCCTCTGGGCGTTTAGTCCGCGGCCGTTTTAGCTTTCTTTCCGGCTGAGTTGGCTCCGGCTCAACTGGAGACGCAGTTGGGGATTTTCTCTTTCGTCGGTTGAGAGTTGGCCCTTCTTGAATAGCATTGGCTCGCTCAAAAGCGTTCCATGCTCTGATTTCATCCACAGATTCCGGCTCAGGGGTTTGAATTCTAGGCCGCGGGCGCGATGGCCAGCCTCTTCGCATCTCGAGTAGAGCAGGGACGGCTTCCCTGAATCGATTCGATCCACCTTGCCGTTCAGCAACTCGAGATCTCTGTTCCCAAGCTCTAGACTCTCTCGTATCCGAAGCATCGTATCTCTGTTGCTGTAGAATACGCTCTGCCGCATCCTCGTCATCAAATGGAAAATCAAGGTCGAGGTTGAGCTGGTACCAGACGGATTGCCACACTCGGGCCCAGTTAAAGGCATGCACCTGGTTGTTATTCCGAGCCCTACGTTGATCTGCCCGGGTGCGTCGACGGCTCCGGGATTGGGAGAGCTGGGCAGGCGTGCGGACGCGCCGGGACTCACATTGGACGCAAAACCATTCTCCAGAAGGGACGGAATCCAGGCCAACGCAATAAGTATGAGACGCAATATTGCATCCATCGCATAGGACGAGCACAGTCTCGTTGTCGTCATCACCACAGATTGGGCACGGCTGAAAGTCATCCGGTTGATCAAGCAAATCATCCACTATCATAGATGGATCGATATCGGCAACCTGAACGCGATCTTCAACAACGTATGACGAGATGGCAGGGCCTGCAAATCGAAACCACAGAGTCAGCACCCGGCTCCATCAATCAATGAGGTCTCTCGCATGGAAGATGAAATACACATACCTCCGACCTTGGATAATAATTCGACCACATTGAAGTTCTGTCTACAAATGGGACAGCTGTTTGCCCGTTCCACCCATGGCTTCAGGCAATCGTTATGCAGGTTATGGCCGCAAGGAAGTAGGTGGGCGACCTCGACAGCCTCTGTGCCCCTGCTCTCCTTGGAGGCGTCGCTCTCTTCTGTGTCTGGTCTTGGCACAACGTCAGCGGCATCGATACTGTGGTTGTCGCCTTCGCCAAGGTCGCCTAAGCACACAATACATGTGTCTGACATTGTGGATGTAAAGGATGTCGGGAGTGCAGCTTGCAGGCGTGGTGAGCGGCATGAAGAGCAGAGAAGGTGAGCAAGAGCAGCTTTTCGCGCAACAAGTAAAAAAGGTCGGAAACAAGATGTAAGAAGTTGTGGGGGACGAACAAGCGGCCGTTCTTTTTGAAGGCCTGGGCGGATGGCGCGCTAGGCCGCTTTAGGCATAGCGCGGCCAACGTGACTTGCACTCATGACTTTTAAGGTTAGGTCAGCATCACCTGACTTAGCTTAGTAAGAGGCCCGGTGCGGCCTCAAGGGCAGGGGTAGCGAGGGAGTAAAGGAGAGTAGCAAGTTAGCAGCATAGCGGAGGAAGAAAATAAAAAGACTGGTTGAGGCTTCGACTGACCTGGGTTACAGGTTGCCTCTATATCGACACTACGAGGTGCTGCTTTCGCTGCCAAAAGTCCGCGCCGGGGGCAGATATTATCCATGAGGGAACGCGGCTGGTTGATGGGTCGCCAGGACTAGGTAAGAGAATTAATAAGAAAGAGAGGTAGGAGATGGAGAGAGATAGCCAAGGACGTATGGCGGCGCCGGCCAGGTAAAGCAATGGTATTTTTTTATATTTTGTGTCTTTTTATTGCGTTAACATCTATTGGTAACAGTCGATTCGCCGGAACCTTGTTTTCTTGGGATTGAGCCTGGGCATTTGTGTGCTATCGACATAGAGATAAGCAGGCGACCTATATTCGATCCGTTGCTTTTTGCTTTTGCGCTCCTCCTAGCTCATATAAAAGAGTGTGGAGGGACTGTTTTGAGGGCGTCATCGTCATATGTTATTCTGATATGGAAAATGCAAGAGAGAATCCCCATGTATTAAAACTAGCAACTCCTAATTCCAAACCCAAACTTATACCTCAGCGATTTCTCGTAGACGTCGGATGGTAGATCTGGTGGTGGCAGCTGCTGCGGTGCTATATGTTGCGAACCTCCACGTCAGCCGATTCGAGTCCTTGCGTACTCATCCAAGCATCTCCCCCCCCTTTCAACAAATACCAAAAACTTCGTAGTTCATATAACAGCCTTTTTAACAGAGACCTAGGAATCGACTTACGAGACAGTCCAGGCACCTCCAGCAACGGTCTTGCGGCAGGAGCGGCACTCCCAGATACCAACGGCGGTGCGCTTTACCGAGTTCTTGCCGCAGAATGTGCAGATGTAACGGGCGTGCTGGGTGACTTCCATCTTCTTCACCTGCTTTCGGAGCGAGGCACCGTATCTATAGATCGCCAGGTCAAATTCAGAGTCCATCCATCTTCGTTTGGCGGTTTCGCGTAGTTCGTTTCACCCGTCAAGGAAATTCTGCAAAATCGTACCTGACACCATATTTACCGGTAACACCGACCTCTGCAGAAATCAGTTAGCAAATCTATCAGCCTAGGGCAATGAATTCACAAACTCGTAACGTACTCTTGGTGCGCTTCGTCATCTTGTCGCGCTGGCTATGTGATGCAAGGACAGCGAAAGTTGAGATGTGATGATTGAAAAATCGAAGTGCGACTTTTTTTCCCTCCTTTGATGTTGTGTGTGTTCGCTTACTTGATGGCGAGACTTGGCGAGATCCCGTGATGTATTATACCACGTGATTAAAGCCTCGGCTTGGCCACTAAAGCTTGGCATAGATCTTATCTTAGAGCAGATAAATCAGGGAAAAAGGGGATATACCACCAGAGTACGGAGTGAACGGTCAAGAAAAGCAGACAAGAGGTGCTGTTCCAGTAATTGGATATTGAAGTCCTGCAAATTGAAGCCGTTTTATTGTCTTTGACTCCTCCGTCCACATCACTGGCCAACTTCAATCGGCATGTCTTCCCCTCGGGACCTTGAGATCGTGCTTCTTGGAGCAACTGGGTATACCGGAAAGCTGTGTGCTGAACACATTGCTAAGAGTCTCCCTACCAACCTTGCATGGGGAATTGCAGGTCGGTCCTCCGAAAAGTTGGAGAATTTATCTACGAAGCTGCAGGCACTCAACAAAGATCGCAAACCTCCAGGTATTATATGCTTGCCTGTTTTCCTTCGACCAGACGGGGTATTCGGAAGATTTGATGCTAATTTTATGCTAGAACTGCTGCCGGTTCAATTTAATGACGCTGAATTGAAAACACTTGCCTGCAAAACCAAAGTTGTTATCAACTGTGTCGGTCCATATCGCAAACACTCTACTCCTGTGGTGAAGGCCTGTGCTGAAAATGGCACTCATTATGTTGATGTGTACGGTTAATCAGTTTATTACTTCCACTTTTTTCATACTTACGAATTTCTACCTGTAGGACGGGCGAGGCTCCTTGGGTCAGGGATATGGTCAGCAGGTTCCATGAAGTCGCCAAGTCTACCGGCGCAATTGTACGTACATTCTAACTATACTGTGTCTTCTTAGAGTGCACTATGTCTGACTAGATTCTAGTTGATATCGGCGAACGGTGTTGAGAGTGCACCGGCCGATTTGTTGACCTATGTGATGGCCAAGTCCATCAAAGATCAATTTGGGGTTGTCACAGACGAGACGACAATGTCTCTTTACCACATAAAGTATGCTTCATCCACAGTTTCATCGAGTTGGTTAACAATCTCTAACACTAAAAGCAGGGGCAAATTCAGTGGTGGCACGCTCTCAACTGTTCTTGATTTCTTTGACAACATTGATTCTCAATCCAGTGAGCCCTACTGTATCTCCCTCTCCAAGCCTGCTAAGCCAAAGTCTGTCTCTATCCTGCGCCGAATCTTTGGCGTGCATTATGTTCCAGACATCGGAGTTGGCACCACCTGTGTCTGTGAGGCATGTGACACCGCGATTGTTCACCGTACTAGCTCCCTGATGCCTCAGCTCTTCAATCCGGACTTCAGGTTCTGGGAAAGTATGAAAACCCGCAATATCCTCACCGGTCTTGCCGTGCATTTCACTCTCATAACTGCGGCCGTCGTTTTGCTACTATCCCCTGTTCGGTGGCTGCTACCTAGGTACATATATGCTCCTGGTGAAGGAGTAGCCGAAGACGACAAGGCTGGCTTTTCAATTGAGTACAGAGGTGTTTCGACTGCTAAGCAAGACAAGCCGGGGAAAAAGGATATCAGAATCCTTGGATCCTTCCGTTATGATGGGTGTCCGTACGTGCTCACAGGAATTTTCCTTGCCGAGGCAGCCATCGTTTTGGCTAGGAGTAACAGAGTCGGCCAGGATATTACGGCGGGATATCTCACCCCCGCCTCATTGGAAGTCGAGTATATTGAGAATCTAGAGAAGGCTGGTGCACACTTCAAGACTACAGTATTGGAGCAGTAATTTTGGCCGGGGCAAAATAATTGGACGAATACGTTTTAATGAATATGCTGCATAGGAACAACATGCTGTAATTATCAATCCAGGGTGAAAATGTCATTTTGTGAATATTGTTTAACGTGCTTGCAGGAATAAATGTCTGTTTCTATAGTCCACAGTAGCTCAGTTCTTAAAGTTTTTCCTTTCCTGCAAACACGACACTTTCAAACCACCTCTTAATAAGCGCATTGCATGCTTCTGGGGCCTGCCAGAGAGCCCAATGCGAAGCAACAACCTCGCCTTTGGTTAAATTTTTGAGGTTTCGGTCAATATTTCGCGAAAGCTCTGGTCGTAGGGCTGTATCATTGGTTGCTAAGATGAAAAGAACGGGGATATCAATAGATCTGCCGAGGAATCCCTGTTCTTCCTTCCAGTTTTGCTCTCGAGTCCGATACCAGCTCACTATTCATAATTAGTTTATGATAGGTCTCTAGAAATGAAACGGGGATAACTTACATGGCCCATGTAAGCCGGTCCTTGAAAATTCATCAACATAGTAGTCTATTTCCTGTACAAGAAATCCATTAGATTCCCAAAAGACATTGGTGATGAGATTTCATATGCCAGGAGGAGGCTCGAATACATACCGATTTACTAAGTAACGGAGTCTGCTGGATGCCCGGTAACTTTTCCAAAAGTACACCCTTCTCAATACTAAGAGCTCCTTCACCATTTGCTGTCCGGCCACCGTATATGGCATTTAGAAACTGGCGAATCTGTTCCTTAGACCGAAGGATGTTTTCCAAACCGCCATTCGCAAACTGAACCTGATAGCCAAAGAATGGTATTTTTTCCACTACCTTTTCAAGTGGCTGAAACTCTTTGGTCGGCGGCCAGTAAGGGGTGCAGACTGAAAATAAGTGGGTGACAAATGCCGGCTCATAAAGAGCAATACGATAAACGACTGCACCGCCCCTAAAGAATGTATGAGTTCCTGACTTTATTGACACGAAATATGGAATATTTTACCAGTCATGGCCTCCCAGAATAACTTGCGAGGAGCCCAGTTGGCGTGCAAGCTCCTTCATGTCTTTGGCACATTGCATGTAGCCATATCGCCAGGCGGATTCGGGGGTAAACTGCGGAGCTTCCTGTGAATGGTCAACTAAACCTGCTGCCAACTAGAATGAATGATGATATACATACAGTCCGTCCATAACCAATACAGTCAGGCGCAACTACCCTTAGGCCAAGATCGAGAAGGGTGGGAATTTGGTATCTCCAGCCCATGGACAGATCCGGAAAACCATGAATCTATTTCCGGGCCATAGCATTAGAGATGCTTGAAGATAATGAAATACACGTGGTATGAAAGGCCATTACGCACCAAAAAGACTGTTGCTTGATACTTTCCATCTGGAGGCGTTGCAAGAATGTATCCTGTTCCACCGTTAGTGAATCTGTGTATATACGAGCTAGAAGGATATAGAGCTAGCTGATGTGGCCATCAAACAGCCCATTAAACGGAGGAGCAGTACCGTATGTTGTTCCGTTAACGATTGAAGAACAATGCTTGATTCTCGGGTCATCCGGAATATGTATCTTATCAACAGGCATGGTGTCCGATATATGTAGAACAGCTGGATAAAATATGCCGGTTGCGCAACATTAATTTGCAAATAACTGTTTCCCACTATATACTAAATGGCTGCTTCGATGGAAAGACTGGTATATCCAGAGTGAACTGAAGTTGGAAACGGTTTGATTTTATAATGTTGTCGCTACGTACACGGTACCTTGGGAAATAAAGCGGCAATGGTGGTCAGCCGAGGTTAAATTTGAAATCTACACCATAACAACAACAATTGCCGGATTAACGGGCAGATTAGATAATTCTGTTTGCTTAATGTGATTAATCGTACATCCCTTTGAAAAGCTATTCAGCTTGGAAGAGGGCTAGAGGAAAGGCACCTGTTATAGATTGGTGACACGTTCGGGTAATGCCGGCGCTGCCGTTGGAATAGGGTCGCGCATGTACACACAACATGTGAACAGATACCACTATCATGGTACGAGACCTGGTAACCTGCAAGAATTTTGAGAGGTGCTGGGAAAGCGGCTGGTCGGATAGCAGCCCAGTGCAACTTGGATATGCGGAGAGGACATGGGGGTGTATGTAGAGCGCATTAAACGAAGAGAAAAGGGAGAATGGAGAAGGGGAAGGGAGTAGAAGGCGGATAGTCCAACAACCTAGTAAATCACGGCGTCCTCCGTATTCTCCATTAGTACCTCACCAGAGTGTTCTTCATCAAATCCACTTGAGCCCAGGGACTGTGCGGGAGGAGCGGGAACAGATGTTGTGCTGTTTAAGGTTGTCTGCGGAGCCTCACTGGTCTGTTCAAGTGTGTTGTTAGTATTAGAATCCATAGAGTTTGTGGTATCTTCTGTAGCCTTATCCTCAACGGTGTTCAGATCAGGCTGTGTAACAGTATTATCCCGTTTGTCAGTAACTGGCTCGTGCTGTAGTCTAACACGTTGATTCATGTTCGCTTTTTCCTTCTCTATGTTTGTTTTCGCTTCAGCAATCTGATCCTGAATCCTTGCCTCGTCTTGAGGCCGAAGGTACCACGGCCGATAATACTATAGCGCATAGCAATGTCAGCCAGAGTTATATATACATGATGCATGCGGGAAGGCCATTACCAATGGAGGCTCCGCTTTGGTTCGGAGGAAGTGTGCCATTGCAAGCATATTCGAATGACGTATTTCCAGCTGTTTGAGATATTAGTAAAAATAGTAAGAAGGGAGACCTTTGCAGAGTTCGCCCACCGATTGATCATCATATAGAATCTGATCCTTTCTCCTCGCCGCCATAATATCTTCGTATTTCTTTTTGGTTAGCTCATTGTATTCTTTATCTTGCAACTTCAGCTTTGCTTGTTGCTTTTTATCGATCTCAGAGCGCTTTCTTTGCGCCGGCGAGGAAGAGCTTTGAGAAAGGGTCCCAAGTAAAGCACCAAAGAGCCTCCGGCCACGCTTCCGCTCCTCTTCTTTTCCCAATTTATGCTGATTCGCTGCCTTCCCATCTGCTGAACTATTCGCCCGCTGTGTGTTGGAGGTGTTCGACGGTGCTTCAGCCTCAGCAGCGTTTTCGGAGGCCCCGTCTGCACTGAGTCGCCTTCTTTTGCTGCCATTCTCACTTGATGTGCTCTGTCTTCGCTTTGGTGTGTCTGAGTTGGGATACTGTGGAGGTTCTGGGAACGCAACCGCGGACGCAATCGAGCTGTATTTGTATAAGCAAAGTAATATGGAACTCGAGAAACATGAGAATTAGAGTGTAGTACCTACCTTTCTGCCATGAGTAAAAACTATAGCTGAATTTGTCATGAAACGCCGTGCTATTTCGTTATGCTTATGGTGTTTAGCCCTCTTTTACTCTGTCTGTCTTGTGGAGCCTTTTTGGCCTTGAAAAATGCCTGATTATATAAGCAGAACCACCATGCGTTTAGTTCAGCCGCTTGGCTACGTACATATATCAAGGAGTTCATATACCAGATTTGACATTCATAGCAAATGATATGCGGTGGTTGCCCATTGCCGTTTCATACGTCACGAAGCAGCAAGTGAAGTAAAGATACCGAGATAATTAGTTTTATTCCTTGGAAGTTGACGGCTTGGAACTTATGGCCCGAACGAATATTGGGATCTAAACACTGAAGGTGTCCTCGTTATGCCTGGGGTCCTTGCCCTCCTTTGCATAGCTCATTGATAACCGTTCAATCATATGTTGCTCCACCGTTTTGTGAGAGTCTGCAATCCCACCCTCCGGATGCCCAAACTCCTCTATCGGCCGCAGACATGCGTCCAAACAGCCATCAAGAAAGAATACAATGCTATACCTCTCTCTTTCCGGTCGTTTGCAGACAACACGGTGTATGCTACTTTTATATACCCCATTAGTAACCATACTAGCCATATCCCCTATATTGACAACGTAGGCGTCAGGGTTTGGGTTGATGGGCAGCCACACTTGTTTCCCATCTTTCTCCACAAGCACTTCGAGGCCAGGGTTGTCATCTTGAAGGAGTAGGGTAATTACGCCAAAGTCAGTGTGTGCGGACGCTCCATACTGTGGCTTACCGGCCACATCTCCGTGGCGAGCCGCTGATGGATAGTGTAGGAGACGAAGTGGGCATGCCGGGGTTTCGTCCAATCTGATTAAATCGTGCAGCACGGTTGGTACGCCACCAGTCATACTAATGGTGCTGCGCTCACAGGGTATCATTGTATCTCCGATCAATTGCAGGACTTTGAAAGCAAGCTGTTGAACGTTTTTATGGTATCGTTCGCATGGTTCTTGGAATTGTGAGGCAGAGAGCAACGTCGCCGGTGGCCAGACGTTAGAACCCATGAAAAAACGGCCATAGAGAGGATCAGACGGCAGGATATCACTGCCTACATAGTAACCCTGGTATGAACCAAATTTTAGCAAGGAGGAACTGGTAATTAATGGATCGGGCGCCCATCAGCGCAACACGAGTTACATGAGCAAAACGGTGACCAAGGAAAAGAAAGGTCCACACCAATCACAAAGATACATCTTTGGGCATCTCACCTCCTTTAAATCTGGTAATACACCTTCCTCGTATGACTGACTAGCCAACACATCATACCCCCTATGGCCAATGAAGTGTGCGGCATTGAGCTTCTTTTTTTCTTCCAAGGGCAACGCAAAAAAGGCGTGTGCTGCATCGAAGACACTCTTCTGCTGCTCCTTGGAGATGCCGTGTCCAGTTATCTGAAAGAAGCCCGTTGAAGTGCATGCTTCTCGCACATCATCAATAACTTTCCTGGCGGCTTTGGACTTGGGATCTTCGAGGTAAGGTGATATATCGACTGTGGGAACATTGGGAGAGCTGCCCTTCGTCATGTTTCTGCTGTTCCCGGTAGGCCGTGATACTATGCAGCTATATCTTTAAGCAGCAACTGTTTCGAATATTCCATCTGAACTAGCTGCTGGAGGCGAATGAAATATAACTTGCAGTTGCTCCTCGGATAACTCATAAACATGCTTCTCACTGTTGCACTAACAAAATAGCCGGGCCCATTTGAATATGCAAGCTCAATATTTTATACCTAAGTTTTTGCTGCTTAACAACTTATCCAGCCTACCACGGAAATTCATACACACATTCGCCATCTAGTCCGGATTCCGGAAATGAAGTGTTGGAATGTTGATTCCACCCGCTAATGAGGCTGTTGATGGACATCACTCAGTCCTCTGTGTAAATGTTGCGTCCTCGTTACACGTCCACTTGCAAAATGATATGACTAGGTTGATCAAGCAACGAGGCATTCGCACCGGAAGTAACGCCATAGTAAGCGTTGTGTAACATTTTCTGGAGGCCCAAGAGAGGGACCTGAGTATTACACATAGGCCTAGGCCATCCGGCTCTTTGGGAGTTCTGGAGTGAACGAGGCAAAAAGTGCTGAAGACGGGTAATGGTAGATGAGAAAAGAGTTAGGTAACCCTAGACTTAATGGGCGAGTAAATCTGCGGTTCATCTAAGAATAGCCTATCTTGAATGCGGCCCTCTCTTAAAATTGTAGCTCATATGCTAGATCCACGCACCGCTGAATTGAGCTCCATACTGGGAATATGGAAAGCTAAAAATGGATAAAGAATGGATGGTTGATATCTGGAGTTTTGACCTCTCCGATTGAAAAGTTAGAAATATTATTGAACATAGAGAAAATGAGTCTCCCTTTCCCAGCCGACAGACAATATGCTCCTATATATCAAATTGGACGTAAAAGGGAGGAACTTGATAATGATCTTAGTTACGTTTCAATTGGAAGGGTGTATCTATTCTAATGAAAAGCTATATTTTCCGTCAAACAAGCTATATGTAGCTTTTTTTATACCTTGCCCTTTAATCACCTACAAAGGAACCTCCTAAAATGATCTCCGTCAAGCCAAAGAAATTGAAGCTGAATGTAATTTCTTTTCATGCCTAGGTAATCATTTGATTTTAGTGTTGCAATAATCATGCGTTACGTTGAACGAGAAAACATTGAAAAAAGTTCTATTCTCACCTCTTGAACTTGCCAAAAAAGGAAGGACAAAACAATGATCGTATAATGAAATATATTAAGCCTCGGAATAGAGGAAATATGGCAGCTTTCATCTGATATCAAGATTTTGTGAGTCCTAGGCTGCCATCACCTGAACTGAAGCCTGAGCTGGCCCTCATGGATGAGGATGGCGACATGGGTATACCCCCGTCTCTGTTTCAAAGGAAAAAATTGGTACTATCCAGCTCCAATAGTCAGGGGCTATGGTGTAAATGCTTGCAGCAAACCGGAAAAATAACCACATGGTCTTATAATACAGAACGCCCATAGAACGATAGGATGGCCAAGATCTGTGTTTCCATCCTTCCCAAACGACAGGAAAAACAATGAACGTGTGGCATTTGGCCATCATCAAAGAGCGAAGAATTATTTGCCTGTTGTAAAAGACATCGGGTGCCGTCGTGAATATGGACAATATGCGAGAATTGAAGCCTCGAAAGCTGTGGTCCGAAAAGGAAGATAATGTGCTGCGAAGTGAGGTGGCCAGACAAGGTGAGTGGCCAGTCTTCTTGATAAAAACGTAAGATTGAGCCGAAAAGGAGAGGATTAAGATCACCATGAGTATGGCTGACGAATCCCTCAACTAGCGGAACAAGGAAAAGCAAAAGACTGGCGAACGATTGCTGAGAAACTTCCTGGTCGAAGCAATAAAGGTCACTTCAATTCTTGGATTTGTTTCTATACAAAGGGGTCCCTAAGTCTAATTTCTGATCAGACTGCAGAAAACGTTGGATCAAATTAGATGGTCCGGTAAAAAAAGGCCCATGGAGCCAGGAAGAAGACCAGCGTCTTCATAAAGCAGTATTGCTCCATTCAAACGTGTTAGTCCCCATCAGAGAAGTTCGAGTGTCGCAATTCTAACTCGAAGCCGAGCTGACAATCACTCGTGGAATATTAGCTGGACAGAAGTTGCGCAGGTCGTGGGTACACGACATGCTGATCGTTAGTTACCCCTAAGTTGTTTTGGACTATACCATAACGAGGGGTTCTTGGATAAATTATATATTTTGGAGAAGCTTTAGAAGCTAATGTATTCAACAGAATGCGCCAAACGTTGGCTGCATTTCCTCAATCCAAGTTTAAATCATGGTGAATGGAGTGAGCAGGAAGATGCGCGCCTCTTGGCCGCCGTTGAGAGAGGTGGACGCAACTGGAGAAAGATTGTGGACGAGATCCTGCAAGGACGATCAGCCACGGACGCTAAAAACAGGTAAGACGAGCGCATAAAACTAAAGGAAAAGAATTTGCCAGAATATTTACAGCCCTTACCTAGACACGCAATCCTCCAGAGGAATAGAAAGAATGGAGCCAGTACAGGCCCAGACCGTCAAAGAGCCTCCTTTTCTAGACGTCGCAGAAACGGCATCACTCTTGAAACTGCGGAGAATAATGACACGAATAGTTGGTGGCCAACCGACTCCATGGATCTGATGAGAGATATTCTCCATTATAATGTTCCTATAAGCTCAGCTGAGGCTGAACTTCCGAGTGGTAGTAATATCGATTCACCCCTCATAGAGCAGCCTAGCCAGGTGCTCGTCTCCCTACCCAAAGAGGCTCCAATGCACGAATATCCACAAAGCTATGGAAACATGGGGGAATCGTCTAGTTGGCAAGTCGGCCCCAGTAGCCATTCTTATCAGGAGAAAATGAACGATCATGGATTCGAGTTTCCGGCAAACTGTGTTCCTGGATCGTTCGGGAACGGCAATGATGGTTGCATGGGGATCACTGATACCTTTTTCGAAGCGCTGACAACTATGACGGAGATGGAAGGCGCAGTTGGCTTCCAAACGCCATCAGACTCTTCGCATTCAGCGGAATGCCTTCTAGCAACTCAGGAAACGAAGGGTGCAATCGGCCATACCGGAGGAGAAGAACCTGTTAAAGAAGGCGGAGAGGACGACGAAGAAGAAGAGAACGAGTGCATTCGTGGAGCATGGATGGAAAGAAGTGAAGAGTTACTTATCAATAGTGAGTACCATGATCCATCTATGCCCTCCATAGAGGAGATCCTAGGGACAGTTTCGAAGGAAAATCGCAAAAGCACAATGATATTGCAGCACATGCAGTCAGACCAGGTTGGACAGGTGTTGGGGTTTCTTTTCTCTTCAAGCTCTGCTGTAGATGTCAAAATCATCAGTGAGGATTAGCACCTGGGGAAAGAATATATCGGCCTGTGGATTATTATGAGTTAGGAGGATTTTCTAAATTTGAGCAATATCTAGATTAATAATGAGGCAAAGCGTACGTACAACCACTTACCCCCTCTTCTCAGTGTGAGAGACTTTCTTTCCGGAATTTCCTTCCAGGCTTTGTAAATAAACCCGTGTTGAGCCCCCAACAGGCTGAGCCATAGACGTGTAGCCCTTGGTACAAAACTCGCAGGATGTATTCCTATTATAACAGAAAGCTATGAACTTCTGTTCTATAAAGAACCGGAGGCTTGATTCCTGTCCTTGTTGAATATTACGATCACGCCCACTACACCACGGCTGGCGATCCTAGAGGAATCAGGTTAGCATTGATTTATCCAGGATTGCTAATAAGAGGGAAGAGAAAATACCGAAAACGTTTCCGAAGCTATTGTAGGCATATAAATGCTGTCTTTAGAGCATGATGAAACTCGGCATACCGACCTTCTGTTTTCACCTAGAATCGAGCACAAAATAAATGATACCCTCTCCTATCCCTTAACTATATACTAGCAGCAGTAAACAGCACCCACAGGTATATCATACCGCAATGTTTGGAGGTGGAGAGTATGTATAAGATATACTCCGTGAAATCGCTTCCTTAAAATATTCATTTTTTGTGTCAAGAAAAAAAAAATGTATATATAAATATATATATTAAAGTGCTGAATTCCCCCAAGATATTGTAGTTTCGATTGAAACAGTAGCGTCATTATTTATTGACCACATGAAGCTAGCCAAGCTGAGCTTGCCTATTGGAGGAACTGTCGACTTTGGCGCATAAAATGAGATTTGGGCTTGAAAGGACGACTCTTGCGAATGATGCAAATGATATATGGGTTTGTTGTACACCGTGAGAAGTAAAATGGTGTATCCTTGAGCAATCTTCCGGAATTAAGGCCACGCTGCACGATAACCCCGATATACTCAGCTCCCGCTTACACATGACCGCACGGAGACGGTGAGAATATGAGAAGCCGCAAGTAGACAAGATCGTTCGACAGCACAGGGGAAACACAGGATAGCAGAGTCAGTGTCCGCAATATCATGAAGGGATAGATTGCCTAGGTTCTTGACGCAATGGTGACAAGGTCGCAGGCAAGCCGTGGAGTTGCTGATAATCTGTGCTAGGTACGCGCGTATATGGGAGCCCTGCTCAACACTTACCTGAAATTTTTTCTGTTTCTCACACTTCCAGAAGTCTGGAGGCTCGAAGAGAAAAAGAAAAGGAAAAACACTGAGAGTCCTGTCCTCTATTCCGCCTCAGCTTTGCATTCGGCCTCTTTCAAGGCCCCCATAACCTGGCACACTCAGCACGCCTTTAAATGTTCATGGCCACACTGCAACATCATACGGAGTATCAACATACTATACCACCTCTTGTTAGTGGCAAATCTAGCTGTTCAAACGCTTTCTCAAGCATCGTCAGCAACAGCAGAGGCGGAAGAGACGACGTTGCGATAAGCATCACTAAGACGGAGCTTGTCAAATTGTTAGTTTTTAAGCATGACTAGTCCAAACGCCCCAGATCTTGGCGACCCGTCAACCGTCAACGAACACAACAACAATGCGAGCTTGAGGGGTGCAGACAGACATGGACGAGGAGAAGACTGCAGCGATGGAGGGGTTTTTCTTACACTGGAAGAGCAGCGGACTTCGGAAGATGAATTTTGCACCACAGGTTTGCGCCTGTTCTTTATTCTGAGCTCACTTCTGGTGTCAGTCTTCTGTCAGGCTCTGGATGATACCATTATCGCAACTGCAATTCCCCCAATTACCGACCATTTTCGCCGTCTCAGCCATGTTGGCTGGTACGGATCCGTTTATCTCCTAACAAACTGTGCCTTTCAACTATTCTATGGCAAACTCTACAAGATTTTCCCTCTCCGGTGGGTTTTCTTGAGCGCCCTTTTCATCTTTGAGCTTGGCTCGTTAGTCGCAGCTATAGCCCCTAAAAGCGAAACATTGATAACCGGCCGTGCTATTGCTGGGATCGGTGCGGCTGGAATAACCAGTGGCGCAATGACTATCATGGCACATACAGCGCCTGTTCGTTGGCGCCCGATATTTACTAGTCTGATAGGTGCTGTGTATGGGATTGCTAGCGTTGTTGGCCCAATATTAGGGGGAGTGTTCGCCGAGAAAGTCAGCTGGCGATGGATATTTTACCTAAATCTTCCCCTTGGCGGCGCTTCTGCTTTGATCCTCTCGCTGTCGCTCAAGAGCCTACCACCCAGTGCCCATGGCCAGAATTTATCGATCGCTATCATGATTAAACGACTAGACGTGGTAGGGACATTTACTTTTATTGCGAGTATTGCGTGTCTCCTCACAGCACTGCAGTATGGTGGAACAACAGCGCCGTGGTCATCTGGCCTTGTCGTTGCTCTTCTGACATTATTTTCAGTACTTTTGGCAACATTTGTTCTAGCTCAAATCCTCCAAAAAGACGAAAATGCAACAATTCCAACACATATTGCAAAAAACAGAAACATGGCGTTTGGGGCTTTGTTCGCAATCTGCCAGGGGGGTGCGTTCAACATCTTCATCTTTTACCTGCCGTTGTACTTTCAGGTCATAAAAGATGCAAGTCCAATTAGATCAGGAATCAATTATTTACCATTGATCCTGATTAACACCGTTGGTATTATCATATCTGGCATTCTGACTACAAAGCTTGGTTATTACATGCCATGGATTTGGTTCTCCAGCCTTACCATGCCTATTGGAGCTGGCCTTTTGACAACATTAGCAGTTGACTCGAGAACTAGCCAATGGGTAGGATATCAGTTTTTATTCGCAATTGGGTCAGGATTTGGCCTACAACAGCCGTTTGTGACCGCGCAGACGGCTTTACCACTTGAAGAAGTTAGTACCGGCATGGCAATTATGTTATTCTCCCAGCTTGGTGGAGGGGCCATTTTTGTTCCCGTTGCACAAAGCAGTTTTATATCCCAACTTGTGACCAGCGTCGGGGCAATGGGAATTCCAGGTTTGGACCCTCGTCAACTTATCAGCCTAGGTGCGACGCAATTCAGGCAAATTATCCCCGCTAAGGATATTCCGAGAGTGATTCTGGCATACAACGATGGTCTGCGAGAGGCATTCAAGATTGCGCTTATCCTAGCCTGCCTGTCTATTATTGGGCCTCTGGGCATGAAGTGGGTAGTAGTGAAACCACAGAGTAACAGGGAGAATATGGCAACGGTAAGCCAGGATAAGGAGTAGTTAGGTAAATATATGGGAGGGAAGTGCTGTTCTTTTATTTATATCTACCAAGCAAGCATCGGGCAAGCAAAGTAGACCTAAATATCACTCACTTTGCACCGTATAACTAAAATAAGACTTAATACCATTTCAGACGACATTATAATAACGTACTGATGAATCCACTGGAGTGTCACTATTACTATTCTCGTAACTTGCTTCCCATCCTAAGAGATGTCTAACCGGTAGTTACGTTGAACCTCTTCATACCCCTTATTACCTGCCAAGCCCCTGAAATACACCATCACGTGATTATTTTATCGGATAAACTCTTCTCCTTAGACGAACCTTAAACCCACGTTGAGTTACGAACCATCGGTTCATCACAACCCAGTCACCACCTTCATCAGGGTCGAGAAGTTCAAACTATTCGAGGAGATAGCGATATTAGCTAGCCATAATTGCTGGGGTGCTTCATAAAATTTACCTGGAAACGCCTTAACAATGTCGGCACAACTTTATATATCTCCAAAAGGGCGATATTCTTGCCTATACAGTTACGATGACCAGCACCAAACTAGATATAGATGAGCTTAGTTCGGCTGTTGAATAGACAAGACGTGATCAACCACTTACTGTGAGAAGGCATTTTTCCATATATTTTGCGTGCTCTGGCTCGCAGAGCCATCTCTCTGGCCGCCATTTATCACAATCGTCACCAAATGTTGCTTTGTGGTGATGGGTCACCCAAGAACTCATGCCAACCACAGTTCCACCCTCCAGCCGCTGGCCACAGACAGTGGCCCCTTCAGGAGGAACTACTCTCTCCATAGGAAGTCCAAGTGGAGGGTGCATTCGACCTGCTTCGTTGATGCACGCGTTGAAATATGGAAGGTCCTTTGCTTGCCTAAACCCAGCAAGTTCGTCAAGGTTTCCAGCATCTGCCGCTTCATCGAATTCTGAAACCAGGCGTTTAAGAGTACCTGGATTGTGGAGAAGATAATAGAACATGGCTCTTAGGAACATTGCAGTGCTGTCACTGCCTGCAGTAATATTTGAGGAAGTCCACACTAAGAGAGCGCTTTGAGAGCCCACGATTCATCTGTTAGCTTGTATACTCCATAAAAGGGTAGATTCGACTTACAATGGAGGCACTGCTGGGTCATTAGCTTCTACTTCCATGAAGCGTGAAAGCATGTCACGGCTGTTTATTTTCCACTCTTTCTGAAGTTCACCCTTTTCGATTTTCCGCCTTTCCTGGACTCTACGCATCGCAAAGATTACCCCAGGGCTTTGGATGTTCTTCCTAAAGAGGCGCAAAATGGGGTTATTTGTCCAGATGTCTCCTAACCAGGGCATTTGCGTGACCTTTCACCCCAAGTTAGATGTGGCCGAATTTTTTTGGAAACAGGAAGCATCTTACCAATGCAGTCTTTTGGAGTGTACTCCAAAGCTCCGCCATTACCCCGTCTATATCCTCTCCCTTTTCCATAAATCCAAATCGATGGGAAAATGTTAATTCTCCCATGACATCGAAAGCGAACATTTGCAACCACTGTCCAAAATCGCATGGAATTGTTTTCTCTCTTCCATTTTCTGTCCTGGAAAATCTATTCTCAAGCTGTTCACAGAAAACGTCCATTGCAGTATTGACATAAGGCTCGAAGGAGACCAGATGGCTCATCGAATAGACATTTGAGATGGGTCGTTTCAAGGCTCTATGAATCGCCTCATTTTGAGTGGCAAATATTCCTTCAACTGGTTTACTTCGTGTTTTCAGCAATAGGGATCGGTAGAAGTCAGACTGAGTCTATGTAAGTTCATATTTTCATAACCCCTTATCTTTTTTAAAAAAAACACACCTTTGACCATGGTTTTTTGAATGAATATATGGTTCCTATCTCTCTTGGATCTCCGACGCTCACCATGTTCGGACCGAAGCGTACAATGGGACCATACTTTTTGTGTAAGTCGATATGTATTTTATGAGCACGGAAACTCTTGACCCATAGTAAACGGGGAAGGTTGGTGAATCTAGCAAGAAATGGTCCGGGTATATGAGACAAATGATAGTATGATTTGGCTGATGAAATAAACAGGATTATAATAGGAACTAGGACAAAAAGACCCAAGACATGAATGGACTCGAATAGTAAGCCTGGTAATAGTCGAAGGAAATCCATGGCTGCTGTTCAGGAGTGTAGGGTCAATGGCCTCCAGTGGATGATGCAGCGATGGAGACTTTTCTACCAATACAGTAATGGCTGGCCATATTCAGCCAATATTTGGGAATATAAATCAGTATGTACCGCCTGAACTTGTGCCTACTCAGGTCCGGTTACTCAGGTTACCTTCCTTGCTGATAAATCTGCTAATCAGTTCCGGCTTTAAGTTCTTATGGAATGTCTTCTCCATCACAGTTATTGGGGACTATTCGGGTCCGACAGCATACTCAGGACCGCTGGGCGATAATTATGCCATTGGTTCCAAAGCCCGCAGATTGATGCATCCATCTTTCTACAGCACTTCGATCGTTACATCTGATGTTTATTTTATCCTTGATTTAATGGAACATCATCCTTTTGGACCTTTCAGCGCTCGTTCACTAATATTTTGACGTAAGTTGTACGAACACACAGCAAGTTCAACCCTAAGGCGTTCCAAGAGCTACCTGAGTTCGTCATGGTTGGTACAATGTCCGCACCCGCAATGGTCCCTACAATTCACCTATTTGGACCTCAGGCCCTTGCGTTCCGCGAAGAATCTTTCAATAATCTGAAAAACGCCCTAATTAGCACACCGTACAATCAGTGGATTCTAGATATTATAGAAACACTTCCAGGACTGTGGGAGACCGCTTCAAAGGAACTCCCAATTATACAATCACTACCTGGTGGACATCTACTTGAAAACCTAACTATCTGGATTAAAGAAAAAACAGTCACAGAAGCAACATTCCCGCTCCCTAATATCCTCCTTACACCCCTTGTTGTCATCACACATATAACCCAATATCTTCGGTACCTGGAACATATCGATCCTACATGCCTTGGGTTAAACCATCTCCAATCGTCTATCCATACTGAGTCGGAAACACTCGGCCTTTGTACGGGTCTGCTAACAGCTGTTACGGTGTCCAATTCCGCAAATGCAGAGCAATTTCGACACAATGGAGCTGTCGCAATCCGTTTGGCAATGCTTACTGGAGCTCTGGTTGATGCTGAGAATGAAAGTAATTCTGAAGGGGGGACAGTTTCCCTGTCTGTTACTTGGAATTCCTTAAAATCCCAGGTAAAGATGCTAGAAATTCTAAAGCAGTTTCCACAGGTAAGTTCTAAATATAAGCACGCTGCCTAAACTTCAATAATTAAAGTACTTATAATTGCATTTACAGGCCTATATTTCTGTTCTCTATGACGAGAAACGAGCCACAATTACATGCTCTAAGCTTAAGGTTGCAAAATTAGCCAGTCAGCTGAGAACCGATGGCCTTATAGTCGCGGAGCTCAACCTCCACGGATGTTTTCACTTCCAAGGCCACAAAGACGCAGTGGAGTTACTTATCAAATTCTGTAATTCAAAGCCCGAACTTCAATATACAGTCCGTAAAGAAGTAGGCTCCCCTAACCAGAGCTACAAATCGGATTCTGTTAATAATGATGCCAAACTTCATCAAATGGCGTTGAGGTCCATCCTTGTGGAGCAATGTGACTGGTATCGCACCTTCGCAGCTACTTATTCCTCCAATTCGAACAGTTCCCAGCCACAAGTCATTTTATTTGGTTACGATAATTGTGTTCCGCCATCGGTTGCAAGGAATCTTGGGAGAAAATTAATCAATGCCATGAACCTTGAAGAAATATCGTCTTCAATGCCCAGAATCCTGTTGGACCCAGAAGTTACATCTGGTTATACACGAACTACGGACGATATTGCGGTTGTTGGTATGGCTTGTAAAGTTGCCGGAGCCGATGATATTGAGCAGTTTTGGGATATCCTGAGTGCTGGGAAGTCACAGCACACTGAGCCACCTTCTGACCGTTTCCACTTCGGTACTTTCTGGCGCGAACTCGATCCAAAACGGAGATGGTATGGCAATTTTATCACAAATCCTGACACATTCGACCATAGGTTCTTCAAAAAGAGTCCTCGTGAAATGATATCGACAGACCCGCAGCAGCGATGGATGCTTCAAATTGCGTACCAGGCCCTACAGCAGTCGGGGTATTTTTTGTCACTAGACCAAGACAAACACATAGGTTGCTATATCGGTCTTGGATGTGTTGATTACGAACATAATATTGCATGTTATCCCGCGAACGCATTCTCTGCGACTGGAAATTTGAGAAGCTTTGTAGCTGGAAAAGTCAGTCATCATTTTGGTTGGACTGGCCCCTCACTTACTATTGACTCTGCTTGCTCGTCCTCTGCGGTGGCTATTCATCATGCCTGCAGGGCTATTCTTACTGGCGAATGTAGCGCTGCTATTGCTGGGGGTGTAACGATTCTGTCTAGCCCCATATGGTTTCAAAACTTGGCCGGTGCCTCTTTTTTGAGCCCCACAGGCAACTGCAAACCCTTTGATGCCAATGCTGATGGCTATTGTCGAGGAGAGGGGGTTGGTGCCGTGGTCCTAAAAAAGTCGTCCTTAGCCCTTGCGAATGGAGACCAGATACTAGGGATTATTCCCAGCAGTGCAGTTTACCAGAACCAGAACTGTACCCCAATTACTGTTCCTAACGCGGATTCTCTCTCAGGTCTCTTTCGGGATGTCACCCGTAAAGCAGGACTTGAACCAAAACATATCTCTGTTGTCGAGGCTCATGGAACAGGAACTCCGGTTGGTGATCCAGCAGAGTATGAAAGTATTCTTCGGGTATTTGGAGGCCCTAATCGTTTGGATACCCTTTCATTAGGTTCTGTGAAGGGTCTTGTCGGACATGCAGAAACTGCAGCAGGTATCATCTCGTTGATCAAAGTCCTTCTTATGATCCAAGAGAATTCTATTCCACCACAAGCAAGCTTCAACACGATCAATCCTGCTATTAAGCACTCTCCCTCAGACAACATTGAAATCACAACGACCCTGACAAAATGGGACACAGAATTTCGAGCAGCCTTAATCAATAACTACGGAGCATCTGGCTCTAATGCCTCACTTATTGTCACTCAATCACCGGGGCATAGATCACCTACAACAATCCATCAGTCAACTTTCCCCGCGGGGATTAGATACCCATTTTGGTTCTGCGGTAGTGATGAGAATAGTCTTCGAAGATACTTTGCTAGATTCCGCCAATTTTTAGAATCTAGGAAAGCGCTTTCAAAACCCATATCTGTTCCCGACTTAGCATTTAACCTCTATCGTCAATCTAATCGTATGCTTAGCCGCGCATTATTGTTTAGCTGTGAGTCAACAACCGAGATGGAGCAAATTCTCGAAAATTTTGATAACAGCGAGTCTGAAACCCAATCGATAGAACCCCTTACTACCAGGCCAGTTGTTCTATGCTTCGGCGGTCAAATATCTACTTTTATCGGCTTGGACAGAGAAATTTACGATACCTGTAAAATATTCCGCAGGCACCTTGATCAATGCAATCTAATATTCCAATCCCTTGGACTAGAGGACATATTCCCAGAAGTCTTCCAGAGAGAGCCAGTGAAAGACACGGTGAAGCTCCAAACCATGCTTTTTGCAACTCAATACTCTTGTGCCATGGCATGGATAGACTGTAGAATTAAACCAGTCGCTCTTGTTGGCCATAGTTTTGGAGAGTTAACCGCACTCTGTGTTTCCGGAGTGTTGTCTCTAGCTGGGGCGGCAAAAATGATTGCAGGGCGTGCAGGTCTCGTTCGGGATTTATGGGGTCCCGACAAGGGGTTTATGATGGCCATTGAAGCTGATATCCAAGATGTTGAATACCTTTTGCGCGAGTCCAATAGGAAAAACAGAAGTGATCAAGCTGTGGCAATTGCATGTTATAATGGCCCTCGCAGTTTCACCATTGCTGGGCCAGCTCAAGCCACCAAAGCCATTGAAGAATTAATGTCTAATAACTCGACCTTTTCTTCAATGAAGTGGAAAAAATTGAATGTCACGAATGCATATCATTCTACTCTTGTGGAGCCTCTTGTTGAATCTCTTGGCCAAATTGGGCAGGATTTGCTTTTTCGAAAAGCTAGAATCCCGATTGAGCGGTGCACAGAATACCCACTGTCTTCAGATGGGTTTGATTCTAGGTTTATATCACAACATATGAGGTGTCCAGTATATTTCAACCATGCAGTGCAAAGGCTCTCGCTTAAATATCCATCATCTATCTGGCTTGAAGCTGGATCCAATTCCACGATTACAGCTATGGCAGGTCGAGCATTGGGTCTACCCTCAGGCTCTCACTTTCAATCCATAAATATTACAAGCGGTAAAGGCTTACAAAGCCTTATTGATGCTATCATAAGCCTATGGAAGAATGGCTTAAACACCACATTCTGGGCCCACCATTCCTCGCAGACTCCTGAATATAGCCAAATACTTCTCCCACCATATCAATTTGACAAAACGAGTCATTGGGTGACTCTTAAAAAACCAGAGGAAGTCGTTCAGAAATTTCAAAACGGGATTCAATTTCGAGACGAACCATCTTTGGGGCTCTGGAAATTTGCCGGATATAAAGGAGATGACCAACAGCGCGCTCAATTTAGGATTAACACAGCAAGCAAAGAATTTGATGAGTATGTCTCTGGACACACTATCGCAAACGCTGCTCCCTTATGTCCCAGCACTCTTCAGCTTGATATCGTTATCGAAGCTCTTCTACAGCTGCGACCAGAATATTTATCGTCAAACCTCCAGCCACAGCTCCAAGGTCTTGAAAACCATGTCCCAATTTGCCTAGATCCAACTCTCTGTGTCTGGCTAGATGTTCAGTCCATAGACTCACAGTCTCACTGCTGGGAGTTCAAGATGATCAGTGAACCAACTAAAGGCAATGAAACCGCAACTTTACACGTTTCTGGAAAAATTATTTTTAAATCTAATGAGGATGTGCAACTTCAAAATGATTTTGCAAGGTATGAACGTCTTTCTGGCCACGAACGTTGTCTATCACTCCTCAATGGGGAGGATGGGGATGATATGATTCAAGGGCGCAACATCTATAAAATCTTTGCCGAGATTGTGGATTATAGCCAGATTTATCGTGGAGTCCAGAAACTCGTTGGAAAAGGAAATGAGTCCGCTGGAAAGGTGGTTAAGAAGTATACAGGCATAAGTTGGCTTGATACCCCGTTGGCTGACTCGTTCTGTCAATGTGCTGGTATTTTTGTCAACTGTATGACTGAAATATCAGACAAGGAAATGTATATTTCTACGAAAATAGAGCAATGGATTCGCTCGCCTAATCTACTCCCCAATGATCCACGCCCAGATGTTTGGCATGTCCTCGCATTCCATCGTCGCCCGTCTGAAAAGGAATTTATTAGCGACGTATTTATATTCGACCCACGAAACGGGGAACTGCTAGAAATTATTCTTGGAATTGGTTATAAGAAAGTATCGAAACGAAGCCTAGGGAAAATGTTATCCAGCCTCACTCCAGGAAAGCAGAAATCTGAAGCAAAAACTGTACAGTCATCGGCGAACATTGAAGATAGGAGTAAAGCTATATATTTCACTGAATCTCCACCGGCTGAAACTCCTTCCGATAAAACACCAATCAAGGACGTATCAGAGGACATAAGAATCCTCCTCGCAAATGTCTCTGGCCTGGAAGCCCACGAAATAAAAAATGACACTGGACTCTCTGATATTGGTATTGACTCACTGATGGGTATGGAGTTGGCTCGTGAAATCGAGACAACTTTCAAGTGTTCATTGGATACCGAAGTCTTGAACGCCATAACTGACTTCAAGAGCTTGATGAAATGTATCCAAGAGGCCCTGGGTTGCAGTGAACAAGAAAAGACCGCACCTGAAACTGGAACAAATACGGATACCATTGACATTAATACAGACATGAATATGGATATTATTGGAGTTGCTCATGCCAACAGTGGCTCCCCACAAATCAACGGCAGCCTTTCCGAGGACGAGATACTAAATATCCCAGCTAATACAATCCTCGAAGCCTTTAAAGAGTCAAAGCAACTTACCGACGAGTTTATATACAAATATAAATTTGCAAACTATGCCGACTACGTTCTGCCCAAGCAAACTGAGCTTTGCATCGCATATATTACTGAAGCCTTTGAGAAACTAGGATGCTCTCTTCGAAAGGCGAAAATGGGTGACAGATTGGATAGGATTAACTATCTCCCCAAACACGAGAAATTTGTGAACTATCTCTATATGATGCTAGAAAAGGAAGCTCGACTTGTGGATTTGAATGAAACTACCGGTATCGTTAGGACTGCCATCCAGCCACCTACCAAACCATCAGGCGTCTTATTACAAGAACTTATCAACGATTCCCCTGACCACGCTAATGACCACAAACTTACCCATCTTATTGGATCCAAATTAGCAGAATGTTTATCTGGTGGGTGTGATGGCGTTCAGTTAATCTTTGGCTCGCCAGAGGGAAGAGAGCTTGTTACTGGTTTGTACGGCAAGTCACCTATCAATATGGTGTGGCTCAGACAGATGGAAGATCTAATAAGGCGCATTATATTGAAACTTCCAACCAATAAAGGGCCTCTTAAAATACTAGAGATGGGGGCTGGTACCGGAGGAACCACAGCAATCCTTGGTCCTCTACTTTCCAGTCTTGGGGTCGCGGTTGAATATACCTTCACTGATCTCTCACCTTCCTTAGTTTCGGCTGCAAGGAAAAGGTTCAAGAGGCACTCTTTTATGAATTTTCGTGTCCATGATATCGAAAAAGCACCCGCCGCAGAATTGCTTCATAGCCAGCATATCGTCATTGCAAACAACTGCGTCCATGCCACTCATAACCTAGTGAACTCAACCCGGCAGATCCGTCAAGTTCTTAGGCCTGATGGATTTTTGATGATTCTAGAAATGACTGATACTCTGTATTGGGTCGACCTTGTTTTTGGCGTCCTCGAAGGCTGGTGGCTTTATGATGATGGGAGAAAGCATGTGGTGGCGCACCAATCCATCTGGGAGAGGTCTATGCAATCAGCTGGGTACGGCCACATTGACTGGACAGAAGGAAACCGCCCTGAAGCAAATATCCAACGAATTATTATTGCTTTAGCCTCTGGGCCTAGGTATGACCGCTTGCCTAAGACCCCAAACCACACTGAGAGTCAAGCAACTGACTGTGCTGCTCGTCAGGCCATAGTCGATAACTATGTCCGAGAATATACCAGATCATTCCCTACAACCATCCAAGTAACCGATCCAATACTTCCAACAGACCCCGGAGGGCATAGTGTGCTTGTCACAGGGGCAACAGGAAGCCTAGGATCCCACCTTGTGGCTCACTTTGCACGGCTGCCTGAGGTAAGGGAAGTAGTGTGCTTGAACCGACGAAACAGCGTGGATGCGCTGCTACGCCAGGTGCAGTCACTAGAAGGGAAAGGTATCCTTCTAGACGAGAAAGCCCTCTCGAAACTGAGAATACTGGCAACTCAGGGTGATAAAGAGAATTTGGGACTGCAAGAAGCCGAGTATCAATACTTAGCGAGATCAGTTACTCATATTATTCACGGAGCATGGCCAATGAGTATAAAGCGACCAGTAAAAGGGTTTGAGCCACAGTTCCAATTTATGAGGAATCTGATTAATTTGGCAGTTGAAATATCAAGCGCAAGGGCTAAAGCAACTGTTGGCTTCCAATTCATATCATCCATCGCTACCGTTGGATATCATCCAATTGAGACTGGCGAGGTTCGAGTGCCGGAAGAGAGAGTTACCGTTAAGTCGGTCCTTCCAAGCGGCTATGGCGATGCGAAATTGGTTTGTGAGAGAATGCTGGAGCAAACCCTTCATGAACATCCTGATAAGTTCCGGCCGATGTCTGTTCGTATAGGGCAAATAGCCGGATCCAAGGACAATGGGTATTGGAACCCGGTGGAGCACTTTTCATTTCTTGTCAAGTCATCACAGGTACTTCGGTTATTTCCTGATCTTCGAGGGGTATGTCAATATTCGATCGGTTGGCCAGCCTGCTCTGGAGCTACAAAAAGAATGTACTAATAAGTTAATAGGAGTTATCATGGTACCCAGTTGACGACGTTGCAGCAACGCTCAGCGACCTCCTTTTGTCAGAGAATGTGCCACACCCTATTTATCACATTGAGAACCCTGTCCGGCAGCCATGGAGTGAGATGACTCGTCTACTGGCTGATGCACTGGACATACCACGAGATGCTATCATCCCCTTCGATACATGGATGCGCCGAGTTCGTCATTTTACCGGTTCAACTGAGTCCAACAATCCTGCCAAAATGCTGCTAGATTTTTTCAAGGACCATTTTGCGCGCATGTCATGCGGAGGTCTGATTCTAGACACTACCAAGAGCAGGGAGCATTCTCAGACTTTGGCGAATGCAAGGCCTATCAGCCCTGAATTCGTAGCAAAATATATAACTCGGTGGAAGACTTCGGGCTTTCTGTGCTAAAAAACAATATTACCAGAGCTGTCGACTCTCCGGTCTTTGAGAATAGATATTCATTCTATATCTTTTCTTTCGTTGGTAGTTTTCACCATTACGAGTGTCTCTCGATTCATCAACTGTTGAGGCTCATGGGTGTTTTAGGCCGTTTAATATGTACTTGATACTTATATCACTTAGATATCTATTAACTAATTGATCTTGTTTAACTTATCTATATATTTAGATAGATTACTTATGGCTTCTAGACCCTCTATCTACCACTACTATGTATTTCTATATAATATTTAGGTTTGAACCCATAACCCAGCCCATGGACTCCGCTTCGCTTCATCAATCAACACTTTAAGCAAGCGGTGGCTTTAATGAGCTGATCCCAGTTCCTAACGGTTTGACTCACTGTTACTCGCTCATCCTCGTATCTAGCCATCCGCCCAAGCCCATAATGCCAGAAGTTTAGGGGGGTTATATTTATCATCGACCAAGCACCAAATATAGATCTGTTCCGCCGCTGTCTATCCGCGCTATTCTTCTTCCCAGGCTAGAAGTTTGGGCTTCGCAGGAGAAGAATAGAGAGAAGAAACAGAAGCTCTTCTTTTTGGATTTAATCTCCTCCGCCGCAACCTCCACCTCCACCTCCACCTCCGCAACCTCCGCCGCCGCCTCCGCCTCCGTCTCCGCCTCCACAACTTCCGCCTCTGCCTCCGCAAGCCGCACCCCCACAAGCGCTGTTGCCGCATCCTGAAGCTCCGCAGTTCGGAGCACCGCCATCATGGCACGTAGCGGCATCCGGCGCTGGTCCATAGCCACCCAATCCGGCGTCACAATGCGTCAACTCCGCTTCAAAGTTGTTTAAACCCGATGTAGTCGGGCTAGCGCTATCTTCATCGGCTAGACCTGCAGCGTCAATCCTACCGCCGAAACCAGAGAAACTTGAGGAGCCATCTTTGCTTAGGTGCTCGAATCTGCTCTGTGAGCTGAAGGCGTAAGGAACATCAGGGAGTTTGATGCGGCCATCCCGCATCAGTTCATAGGCCTCGATTTGGTCCCTTCGCGATAGGAGGGCCCACTCAGCAATGAAGTAATGACTATACGTCCCGGCCTCGAAGTAGTGACTGAATGGCTGTGCGCGATGGATTCCGCCGAGCTTTACCCGCGAAAGAGACGAGTCAGCAGCCCGCAAGCCGCCCTTATGCTTCGAATGTAGCCACGACGTTGCAGAACAGAGCCTCGGCGTCTTTGCCATGGCTACTGCTGCACGAGTTAGAAGGTACGAAGCAGTGAGAATTGACAGGCGGTTCTCCATCCAGGCCGCGGTTTTGGGTTTTCTCTCGGCTGGCTCTGAAAGGCCTGGCGCGTACAAGTGCTGGTCTCGAGTTAAGTGCAGCGCAGTCATGGACCACGAGTCAAAGGGAAATGCCCAGACATGCTTTGCAAGGTTACAATCCCCGCACCTTGTTGGATATTTCCCATATGCCTCCGTGCAATCCCAAGGGAAGAGATCCTGGTACTTGTATAGTGGCGCCGCGAACGCGCCCCAGTCATACCAGTATTCCAGCAGGGTATCGATGATATCCGCTTCATCGTGGCGGCCGAAGTGAAACTTCAGGAGGTACTCCTCAGTCAGCCCGATAGGCACGTCGAACTTGGTGCGAACTTTGCGTTTTATATATCCATCCTGAGGGCATACGAAACTCATGAGATACAATGGCTCTCTGTGCTGGCCAATCATTGTTTCGGGTCCATTGAGAAGGTGTTCGAATAAGTCGGGTTCAAGAATTGTGTTGCAAAAGCTTTGGCAGTTGTTTCCTGTGAGACTCCAGGAGAGCTTGGTCTTGGGATCCAAGAGCCGATTGGATATACTCTCCATATAGACTTTCACTCTCCAACCGATCAAAGCTTGGAGTTTTGCAAGCAGTGGGCCGATTGCAGAGTCCAACAAGCTACGTTGATCTGCGGCTGACAGCCCTGGGTCGTCAAAGGGCAGTTTGCTGGCTACCACAATGTCCTCAACGATCTGGTTTTCAAGAGATTCATTGTCTAGGATGCCCGAAAACGGAACGCCAACTACTTGTTTCATGATAGCTTTGAATCGTTTGGAAAGTCCCCGCGGTCGGGCCTTCTGCTGCCACAGTAATCTACCAGAGTCCCCTTCACTAACTGCGAAGCATCGGTCGCAGGAGTTAACCAAATCAAAGCGTTGGTGGAAAACTGGTGTTTCCCGGACAGTGACCAAGGCCCCTCGCTTTGTACTGCGGAAGAACTAGGCGTTAGTTGAACGGTCATGTTTCCTTCTCTGATAGTATTAATGATGGCCAAACTCACTGAGAGACACCGTTTTCGATGACGAGAGGCCCGACTCGAAGGGCCATATGGACATTTCCAAAAGGATACTTCTCGGTGAATTTCCTGAAAAATAGGGGTATATCTCCATCTGCCTGGGCCTCTGTCGCAACACTTGTAGAGCTTTCTGAAGGAGTTCGACTTGCGGAGTTGTGGAGGCTTCTGCTGGCGACTGTCGTTAGTTTGCCGGGTCTCCATCCAGGTATTTTCTTAGGTTTTGTGTTATCCTCCTTCGGTGTCCTTGTAACTCCTGAGATTGTGGCAGGGCGGTTTTTGTTGGCTTTTAGCCCAACGATAGTTTGCAACCCCTTGTATTTTGCGAGAGCCACATGTTCACCCAGTTTCAGGATGCCGCACTGGATGCTTCCAAACCCGCCAGCGCTGAGGTGATTCTCACCTTTGATAACTGGAAACAAACTTCTTGGATGCCCCGAGCTATCAAAGTGTGGAACATCCCGGCAGCGGCAGATCTTCCTGCTTCTAACTGGAGTGATAGCCTCAGAGAGGATACAGTGTTTGTAAGTCTTTGTATACCGCTTATTTCCGTAGAAGTGTAGCCAGTAGCACTGCTCACAGATGATGCTTGGATAAGTCGGATCTTTAGCTGTAAACATGCTGCCGCGAATGAAGCTCTTGCATTTTGTACAGGGTAGTGGCTCCAGTCTTGGTATCCAGGATTCGTTGAGCTTCGATAGAGTCACTGAAAACATCCATCAGCGCGAGGTTTAGGTCCCGGAGTAAAAAAAAAAAGAAAAAAGAGAAGAAGAAACAGGAAGGTAAAACGACAATTGCCTTACGCTGTGGGATCGCTGGTCGCTTCCAGAATGTAAACTCACTCGGAGGCGGCCGATGCTCTATCAGCTTTTCAATGTCGAGAAAGCCTTTTCACTGCTGTCAGCTCTTGCGCGGTCTCATAATCGAGCCGATCGAGGAAAATACCAACCAGCACTTTGCAGCAACATCCTCGCTCGTCTGATAGTACCAAGGTCTATAGGAAGGGCTGAATGTCGATCAGTATCCGCACTAATGAGAGAGAGCATCAAATTTCCTACCCTCTATCGCCTTTCTCACTCCGGACTTAAGTTCCGCGATCTTATACTCGGCCATTTGGTCCAAATATCGATCAACGAGGGCATCTTTGTAGGACACTTTTGGCGGGGGTAGGTTATTCTTCCTCGCATTTTCCCACTCTTCCCTTTTCTTTCCTATAGTGGTGTTAGCAAGACTTCTAGGAAGACATTGTAGGCAAGGACTTGAATAGGGGAAAGGCGGCAGTACTCACCGTATCGTATAGCAAACGCTCGAGACTCTTGGCTGACCTGATCGATGAAGGCGTCGAACCCATGGATGTGGTTATCCTGTTCTTCCTCAATAGCAACGGACGCTAGCTCTGGCTGTCCCCATGCTTTCAATGTGCGAATGATGTTCTCAAGCTCTCCTTTTATGCCTTCCCAGTAGAAATGCTCTAGCTGGTTGTGTAGGGTTTCATCTGCTGAGCCGACCAAGCTCCACGGGGTATCTGGAGCTGGAGTTATACTGTCCAGGCGAGAACTATGGAGTGATCTGTGGAAGAACGGCGTCCGCATCTTGGGACGAGAATGTGCGCGTATTCGTATCTCAAGATAATCAACATGTAGATAATAGCTTTGCTTTGCAGACACTGCTGGTGCCACTATTGATGAGCATTACAGCGATATGTCAGAAGCAAAGGGAGATAATAAACAAAACCTTCGCTAGCCGAAACGGTAGCCTCACAGCTTCAAGTGCAAGATATCTTTTGCGGCTCCGCATGAGAGATTCCTATAGCGTTTGCGCCTAAAGTTGATGCCAAGTGCTGAGCCACGGCCGCCTTGATGTTTAAAAATAGTATCTCGTATACAGAGTAAGCAGGGCCTGCTCTAAGGTTTTCACTAACCTAAAGTGCATGTCTTGTTATCGGTACATCTGAGCAATCAACGCTTTATCTTCACAGCTTGGACGCCCAAGGAGGGTGGATATGATCAAGACACTCTATGTTGCAGGCCGAGCACACCCACCAGCGAGGACCGCTCTGCGGGAGCATTTGCTTGCACCGAAAGCATGCCAATGGATGCTGTGCGAGCCGATAGACTTCCCGCCGATCTTGAAGCTCGATCACCTCCTGACGCTCTTCTTGAGTCTTGCTTGCGCATTGGCGACATACACCCTCCAATTGATGCGGTCGCACTGTTCCTTTAGCTAGTTGGCATTGATACGAATGCACTTTCCTCGTCCTTCCTCGTCTGCCGTCGCTTCGGCAATAGTACGCGTAGAAACAGCTGGTGCAGTACGGAGTGCATGTTTTCAGATGCGCAGATGCCACAGAGCTGGCGACGCGGAGGGTCGATGAACACGACTGGAGAAAAACGTTAGCCAATGCTAGGTATGCCCATATATCCCGCCACTACTTAAAACTTACTCGGCATATTTGGATGCGGCAGATCCTGCATTCTGACTTGCTCGCTTCGTTGCAAGTGAACCGGCGGAGTTCTTCCACCGACATGCCCTCAGCTCGTTGTTCAACCGGGGTAAGCTTGGATTGTACAGCATCTATGAAATGAAGCCTGGTGGAAGAATTTTGGCTAGCATTTTGGGTTAATTCGACCTGGAAATCGGCTCCCTCCAATGGATACTCGTCTTGAGTTTTGAATCCCATATCACGACTATGATATCTTCGAAGAAGTTTTGATAAATATCTGGAAGTATATCTCACGCCTGCGGAGGTGGCGCGCTTGATGATGACCAAAGGATGGAATATCACTTCAAAGTAGCGGCAACATCCGCAATCTACGATGTGGATGTGATGCGACGTACAAGTCAGGGTTCCAATAATCAAGTTAACCAGCGCGCACAGGAAATATAGAGCGCTTCGGGAGAGGCAACGTAGATGTTAGCGGGTTGCAGACAAGATGGGAGGTTCTCCAACCACCTACATGATCGCAATAGTCCATTTCATACTTGCTACCGCTTCAGAACAAATTTCGTTTGGAGATTTGTCTGGACTCCTTCGGTTCGCTTCGACGAAGATATTGCGGCCATCCGTCCCGTTTCTCCAATTTTCCGCGTAGGCACAAGGAGAGGACGAGAGAGGAAGATAACTGAGCTGGCTGCGTATGCCGAGAAGGAGAAGGGCAACAAGTGCCACGTCTATCAGCCCGATTATGAAGAGAAAGGGACCAAAGGCAAACCCTGAAATCCCAAACATGGCGATATTCCAGCCGAAAATGGTAAGCCCCTGTGTGTGAGTAGTGAGCAACAAGAGACTTGCGACAAAGATACATATACAAGTACGTACCACCTTGGAAACGAAGTTCAACCCCTTGAGAAACTCTTCGCCTTTGGGGAAGGCTTGGATATCGTACACTTTCTTGATCAGGTCGTACACTGCCTTGCCGTTGAAGCTGGCCATTCCTATCGGGATGTGATAGAGAAAGCGGAGGATGCAAGATGGGACGCCCGCCATGGCTCGTCTGATACGCTCGAAGAGCTCACCACCCTTTTTATAGCAATACCTCTGGTCAACCAAGGCCTCAGCGATGAGATATCAGGAGTTACTGCCGCAGTTTCTCAGGCGAGACTGTTCAAAGCAGCAGTCGGGACCTTAAATGGGTCCATCGAACATCCAGGTAGTGATCGATGACATGGTTTATGCGGCATGCCACGTCCTCTGCGTCAGGATGCGCCTTGGAGCAGCGGATGCGGGCGTTTTTGGTAGAGGCTCGTAACCATCGCCGTATCGAGGCCGTGAGGCTGGCGGCCCTCTTGAGCCTCACCGGGAGTGTATGTACAGCCTCGCCCAGGGGATGATCCCATAAGCTTACCGTGCTGTTCGCCAGTTACTCGACGCCCTGTACGGAGCAGCTGACTGGCCGTCTTTGGGTAAATGTCGTTACTCTTAACCGGTCACTTTGGCATGGCACTCTGCCGTCTTCACGCTTCCCTTGCAGAAAATCACCAGGCGTTTCGATCCGCCGGTGAAGGACCATGGCTCACACGATTGGCCCCCATCTGAACGCGCTCCATAATGCGGGAAAGGATGAAATCAGGAGAATCGCAGCTTCGACGTCGCGAGGTGCTAGTCAGGGCGGGCGGCGCAACGACGTCAAGATACCAGATCCGCGGCTCTTCCAAGCGCTGGGCGCAGCACCGATTCCAACGGACTGCACTGTTCCGATCCCCAGCATCAGCGAATGTGCCGTCCACTTGGAACTGCTTGAGGTGTTTTACTACTTGCGCGTGCGAGTTCTACAGTCCACTGAGCTGGACGCGGCGTTTGGAGTCTGCCCAAACAAGAGAACGGTTTTCCGCAAAAACTACTCGAGCCGTACGTACGAGCCGGTCGTTCTCAGAGACGGGACCTTTGAGGCCAGGAGGAGGGCAAAATGGCGTTACTTTCTGGATCTCGCAGTAATGCGGTTTATGAGATGGGCGAGAGCTCGCGGCCTTGAAGGGGAGACCGCACGCAGCCCTCTCCTCCCCCCTCTAGGTATGTACACCCACCAGACGCTGTACTCGGGGCCTGACGGGAGAATGTTGCAGATATCCTCATGGTTTGGCATGCACTGCTACTGAATCCGGTGCAGTTTCGAAAATACTGCGCTGACAATAGGCTGGTTTGGATTCGCAAACTGCCCTTCCCATGGCCAGAAATCGTGAGTTTCATGCTGGTCTCCGCCGTAGGCGACGAACGACTGACACAAAAGCTGAGCATAGCACAAGGCGATTGACTCCGAGAACTGGCTTTACACGCTGCCAAGTGACGACGTGCTAGAGTTTGCCTGTGACAGCTTATCGGTGTTGGATCTCTTTCGACATCTGGCCCAGGTTGGACGGACGGAGGGCAGGGCCAGGGCAGCGTTATCAGGGGCCAGCCCTCAGCCGTCTCAGGCCACTGCCCCAGGAGGAGGCGAGCTCCCCCCGGTCAGATCCGGATATATAACTTCTTTGCGTGCTACAGAGACTGGGCGGCCAGAATTCAGGGCGCTCAGGGAAAACGTCGAACGGCAAGTTTCGTTTGTCGACAAAATGCATGCGCACCTCTGGATTCGCAGCCCGGCGGTTGAGGGCACTCTTTGCCGCGCTATCGACCGGTATGTGAAATTCCTACGGCTGTTCAAGCACTATCCCGACACAACGCTTGTTCCTACGCTGGACATCGACCTCGTGTGGCATACACACCAGTGTTCTCCGGAGCACTACCGGCATTCTATGGCCGAGCGTACGGGGAGATTCATAAACCATGATGATACGATCGGCCAGCAGACCCTGGACGACGGCATGGACAAGACGGCGGAATTCTTTCTCGTGCGGTTCGGTCAGGATTACAAAGCCTGTAAATGCTGGGATTGTGAGGCTGTCGTGTTGGCGATTGAGGAAAGTGTTCACGGTGATAGGGACGGAGAGACGCCCCTGGAGAAGTCTATTGAGGATATGGTGCACCGGGTGCGGGCAGATGTGAACTACTACCGAGCAAGGGAATTGGAAAGGCGGCTAGCGAAGCCTCTCTCCTTCTAGTAGCTGCTTTCTGACCTTTGGACTATATAAGAATAACTACGAGTTTTGATACAGAGTAGGCTGTACCATAGCTTATCACCGGAATGAACAATCTAGAAAAACATAGCCCAACAATGGCATGCGGTAATACAACTCGCCTATACATCCCAACCGCTCCGTTCGTTGAACTTCCCCTCTTCAATCATCTGCACTCTCTCCGCATAACTTACTCTTCGGTGCACCGCCAATCTGCAAAATAGCAATTTCTCGAATTCTTCCGGTGGGACAATCATAGCTCCCAGCTTGAGCAAGTATCCCTCGGATTGAGAAGCTTGTTCGAGGCGTTTTAGAAGGATAATGCGAGGGCCAACATGATGGTAGTAGCATGGCGTTACTGGCCAAACGTTTGCTGAGTCGGAGGCTTTTGTCTCTGGGTTTAGGACCTCCGGAGCAGGGGCTACGTGAACATTCCCCTCATCCGAGCCAAAGGGCGGCATCCCGTGGAGTGACCGCAGGAGGTTGACCAGGCATATGATATATGGGTGATCCGCCCGACTAACCATGTCAAATTCGTTGATAAAGTTTATACAAACTCCGCCGGACTGCTGGTGCTGCGGATGGAAGGCCAGTGCCGGAGAGTCAACGACGGGTGGTGCCCCGAATGTGATGCAAGAAAGACGGATGGCGGAACTGGGCGCTAAGCATGGACGTATATAACCCGTTAGATGGCCCATTCCGGCAATGGATACAGCGCTTAAATTCTCCCTTACCAGGAATTTGGTTGGAAATATGGCGCAAGTAGAGTAAAGAGGCAACCGCGCCGCCGGCGGAGTGCCCAGTAAAGAGAATATGACAACGCTCGCTGCCAGCTTTGTGGATATACTCGTCGATTCTCTGGGAACATATGGCATTCAGGGTCTCGGCGCTGTTCAGGAATCCGGAATGGGCTTTGCAGTCAACGACAGCCGGAGTGTGAGATTTAGGGGAAATATGGCCGATATTCTCATTGCAGAGCTTCTGTCAGCTAATAGTCTCACATGGCTATTTCGGGGAACAGTTCTAGATCATGAATGGGCAAACTACCCACGATGAAGTTCGCAACGCTTTTTGGCTCCGCATTCGCGTTCACCATATGGTCCACAGGACTCGCACTCCCTCGAACTGCGATAACAAGCGTTGGCGAGAACTTGTTGTCCGGGTCGACGCCATCTCGCGGAGCTACAATAGTGGATATCATCGCTTTGACAGTGCCACCAACGGACGGCACGACGACATAATCGCGCGTGAATTCATAGTTCTGGCAACCATTCTGAGGAACTGAGGCTGAGGGATCATCATACACGTCCAGAGCGCACTTCCAGGCAATAGACACAAGATGCGCTTCTGATCGCGAGCTAGTCCCCCGCAATTAAACCAGACAGTTTGCTCAGTCAGTTTCGCCCAGGCGCTCGCAGGGGGACATATCATATTTCTTATTACCATGTCCAAGGCTCGCTTCGACTCCCCTTTCCTAGTTGCAACCGCGAGTTGTCAAACTTGGACGCTTCTCGATCCAGCAAATGCACCAAGGACTGGAACTGTTCAGGTACATTCCCTGAGGTGGAAACCCCCACGTAGTAAACCCCCCCCCCCCCCCCCCCCCCCGGCAACTAGAATTCTTCAAAACGAAACGAGGCTCGTACCATCTGGTTCAATCTGGTCTAGCACAGTATCAAGAGCCCTTGACAGGTCGGCTGTTGCAGCAGAGGCACCTCGCGAGTTATCAATAAACGCGAGGCCAGAAGACGTAGGCACCGCCGCAGACAGAGCCAAACCTTCAGCGCTTGCCGCATGGTGGCCCCGAATACTCTTCCAAAAGAATTTCTTCATGATCAGGACTCGATTGTTCAAGGGATCGAACCGTCGAAAAGTGTCGAGTTGTTACTGTAACGTTCTATAGAGGCTTCATATCATCACGTGATGCTTATAGCTCAACTTCGTGGATTAGTCAGCAGAAGAAGCGGAAAGAAAGAGAACAAAAAACGACGACTTGAAAACTCGCGGTTGGAAGAAGAAACAACTAAGAACTACTTTTGAAAGCAATTCTCTTCTAAAAGGCGAAAGGAAAAAAGAAGGCTCCGTCATGTCGCGTCACCATCCCGATCTCGTTATGTGCAGAAAGCAAACAGGCATCGCCATCGGCCGCCTTTGTGATAAATGTGATGGCAAGTGTCCAGTATGCGATTCCTACGTCCGGCCTACCACCCTAGTGCGCGTGTGTGATGAATGCTCCTTTGGCAATTTCCAGAATAAATGCATAGTGTGCGGCGGAGAAGGGATCAGTGACGCGTTCTACTGTTTCGAGTGTACCAGACTAGAGAAGGATAGGGATGGATGCCCAAAGATTATCAATCTGGGTAGTTCGAGGACGGATTTGTTCTTCCAACGGAAACAACATCGTGCTGGCGCTGGGGGTGGTGCGGGTGCGGTTGTGTGATACGACGGATACGGCCATCCTACATTTGACGGCTTCCTTGTGCTGTCCCGCATGCTTGGGGATATTTATTTAATGGAGCCGGAGATGTCTACACATATAGCCGTCCTCGAAACCCAACGAAGCTGGGATATCCATCTTATCCTAGGCTGATATTTATACCGCCATCTAAAGCTATCCATGGCATAACCATCTGTGTCTGGTTTTGTTGCTCTGAAAAGAAAGACCCAAAATATGCCTACCTTTTACCGGGCCTCTTTGGCCTTGCGAACGCTTTCTTGACCTCTTGGGCAGGAGGGCTTATCTCCTCTTTCAGTCTATCAGGTGTGATTTCATCAGCAGCGGATGCCTCGATCTATATGGATTCCACAAAACCACCGTCAGCATCTCGTCCATTCGCAATTTCATCTACAATCCCTTGCGGCAAATAGGCTTATAGACAGAGAAATAAACGCACCTTGTGATTTACAGATACACCGTTTTTAGCTGCCCACATCAACATTCCTGCGCGGCTGCTGGCGTGGAGCATACGTTGTTTGATAGAGGAGCCAGAAGGGCATGTATAAATGAAGATCAACTCGGAGGATTCAGGGTGACGGTAAAAGGTGTACTGCGGGTCGGAGGTTGGGATGAGGCCTGATAGAGAATCTGGTGCAACATTTGACTCTGTGCCCACAAGATTCAGCGTCTCCGTTTTCACATCGATGGCCTGTTATGATACACTAGTTAGAACCAATCGTAGAACATATGGCTATTTTTTCGATATCGTTGGGGTGGGTTATGGTACGAAGAAATGACTTACCAAGAGGACAGCAGCGCCATCTTGCCCTAGGCTCTGTAACGCCCCTTCGACCCCAACTCCGGTTTTGAACAGAACACTGCTATCTGAAGCCCCAGGGCCAGATAACTGACCAGCGCTGTTCGTGTCTGAACCAACAGTTCCTCCAATGCCGATGTCCATCCTCCTTTTCCACGTATCTCTCGCATCGTTTTCCTCTCTCTTCACAGCATTCAGCTCCCTCTCCTGTTCACCCATCAGTTCGTTCAACCTGTCATCGCCGCTCGACCCACCCGCACCGCTCTTAGCGTTCATATCCAGCTCCCTTTCCTTCCATTCCTCTTCGTCAAGCACCTCCTCGACGTCAGTAGCGAAAATGTTCTCCGCAAACTTCTCCGACCCGAGTTCACGGATAAGTGCGGTCCGGGTACTTGCAAAAAGTGTCTTGGAGCGCACTGGACTGTTTGAAGGGACAAATGTGAGTGCTATCAACCCCAAGTCTGCGTTTTCGGATGAGCGCCGGAGGAACAGGTATATCGGTGTCTTCGGCTGGAGGTGGTCGGAGAGAGAGGGCAGTGAGGTATAGAACTGGCTATTGAGGCCATTGCTTCCGCCAGTTGCTTGTGCGAAGGGGATCGGCTGCAGAGCAACAAGCTGTTCGCTGGTGATTGTTATGGGCAGACAGAACAGAGAGGGGTCAGACATGAAGCTCTCGAATGCATCGTGAACCTCCTTGGAAACTGTAAGAGTGTTAGCACAAGCCAAACAACGAAGATCGAGTGTCCTACCTGTTATTCCAGACTGCATCTTGAAATATTCATGGACTCGTGTTGGATATAATATGCAAACTGCGTTGTTGCTTCTATGAATGTAGCTTGTGAACCCCAGGCTGACATCGGCGGGACTTTAAACACCAAAAAACTTTCCCCACGCAGCTCCTCAACGTCAACCCATCTACAACTTCAAGACCATCAACAGTCAACAGCCACTACGGGGAGTATCAAGGATATTCTTTAAAGGCTGTAGTTTATTTATCACTGATCTATTTTCAACCTTTTGCAAGGCTGCCTTTTTATGCACCAAATCCAGACCCAGGAATCTATATACTAGCTCTGTCGCAACATGGCCAAAAATCATCCGACTGCAGAGCATCAAACAGAAGATACAAAATAAGAAAACGGAAAGAATAAAAAGAGACATGCGCGTACACTGGCTTCTAAATGGCCGCAGAGATGAAAAACAAGAACCAGCCGTGGATGAAAAAACAAGGCTCAAAGCCTATCGGTTCGAGGAAGATGCTGATAACCACAGAGAGCGCGCGCATATATATATATCGAACTGAAGGAGGTCGGGTATAAAAGGCTGAATGAACGATCCTAGACGTGGGAGAAACCGGTTTTTTCCCTGGTTCGCCAGAAGAAGGTTTTATTGTTTATTCTTCATACTTCCCACCCATGATGGCCCAATTGCTTCTCTCCAGCTTCTCCTTCAAGAACTCGTACACTGTGAAGGTGACGGCCTGACCGGGTGCGACTCTCATGACACGAGGCGTGATACCCTTATAGAATGCTCTAGCACCTTCTTGCTTGAACATCTCCTTTGAGATGGCTGTGATTCGCGATATGGCGGACTGTCCGGGCTCTCCGGGCGTCTTCTGCAGCCTGGTCTTGATGGTATCAATCGGCGCGTTTGAGAATGGACCCATAGCACCGGAGATGAGACCGATGCACATGGTCTGGTAGGATGGTAGCTCGTTGTACTGAGGCTGCCAGTCCTTCAAAAGCTTCTTAAGCTCAGAGTACGCCGTGAAATTGGCAGCTTGGTTGGTTCCCTGGCGGAGAGCCGTCAGGCTGACACCACGGTATATGGCGCCGAAGCCTTCCTCCCTAATCACGGTGAATAAGGCGTGGGGTGCACTTCGGTATTTTGGCTTATCGAGGGGGTCTGCCAAACTGTGGCTCTGGGCTTGTAGACGGATCTTGATGACTTCCATGGGTGTGACAACCGCCACGGCTTCGGTTACACCAGCAGCCAGACCAGCTAAAAGAGTGAATTGTTGTCAGTCAACGATTCTCTAGATCTGCAGAAAGCCTAGAGTTTGTTGCATTGCAAAACCGTTTCCCCCAATCTAATTACATACCAAGCATGTTGGCGGAACTTGAGAGCTTCCCCGTCTCGGGGTTCGTGAGGTATTGCTTATAATAACCATAGGATGTGAATCGGATGGCCATCTTCGGTATGATTCCACTGAGGACGGCTCCTAGACCCTTGTACAGTCCAAGGGCTGTTTCTCGTCTGATAATCTCTTGTCCAGTCGCAAGAAAGCCACGAGCTTTAACCTGCAACGATACCGTTAATACTCATGACCTTTGCAACACCAGAATATTTTTTACAAGCAAACTCACCCCCGGAGCTCGCGCCCGCTTCGAAAGCTGCATCCGTACTTTGATAGTATCTATAACTTACTGTCAGCAAAGAAGAAGCAAAAAAGGAGACGATCTTGAAACTTACCGAGAGGATGGCACACAAGAGCTTCCATCATTCCAGCACCACCGCCGGCTATACGATGAGAGAGTTAGACAAGTCTGCTTTCTTCCACGACCAAAGTGTGAACTGCGCGAATGCTCACCGATCAGGTTAACCGCCGCCGTGGCCGGCTGCTGCTTTTTGTCGTTTCCGTTTTTTGACGCCATTGCAGAGGATTGTGAGGGGTTGACGGTAGCTTGGAACTCGTACCAGAACAGCAGACTGGGGAGCAATTGAGTATATTAAGAAAGCCCGCGAGAAGGAAGAATGAGTCAAGAGTTGTCGAACTGAAGGGACAAGACGGAGTAAAAAAAGGGCAGGTTTCTCGCAAGACAATGCCGAGGATCTCTCACGCGGGCCTCCTCGCCCGGCGAATACAAGAGAGGAACGGGCATGACAGGGACCCCACGAAGGGGGTCACGGGCTAACGCAATTGAAGAGAGTTTACATGAGACGAAAGAGCCAAAAGTGCGCAGGACTGGGATATATTATTTTTTCCTACTGGCCAAACGCACCCCTCCAGGGAGGTGGAGCGGAAGCTTGGGGCAGGAACTGGATGCGCAGAAAAGCTCCCCGCATAGCCGCTGTTACAATACACATACGAGGGAAGGGCAGCAAGAGAGAGGGAGACAAGAGACGACAAGGGGCAGGCAATGCACCCAGAGAAATTAAACGATTATAAATGCTGAGCTGCAGCCAGTTCCAGAGCGGCCATTCGAGCTTTCTTCCACCCCTTCTTCATAGTATTATACCTGCCACTAACTTCTAGCAGGGCCAGCACCGGGTATTTCTTTTCTTTTTGCTGGGTGTATATCTGCATAAGAACATCACCAACTCCCACACTTTCTCCCAGGAATGCAGAACCATGAACCTCCCGAGGCTCAAGCCAGAAAGCAACCTTCGCCATGCAGCAAGATATCGAGAGCGTCGGCGATGCTTCTTCACATGTCGGCTCTTTTGCAAGGTCTTTTGCCATTTGCTATGTAATACCTTCGTGGGGCAAAAGAAGGAAGGCCAGAAAGTGCCGGCGCTAGTCCGGAGAACTTGTCTCCGCCCGTTCATAGCACAGCAAAGAAAAAGAGCCGAGGTTCATCCTTGCCTGGCCGCGCCCGGAAGAAGTTCCTCCGTCGCCGAGCGCCAAGACAGCAAGGAACAAGTCGGAACTGGCATTATGTAAGCACCGGTTTTATCCTTCCATCACTGACATATTTAGTTCGATAGAAGACGAAATATTTACTCTGCCATTTCAACGATGGCATTGGCAGGAAGAGGAGATACCACGCGGTGGAAGACCTACCATATAGTCATGTTAGATGCTATATCCTGACGGAATGAATTTACCCAAATGTTACTATGATACCATAGTAAAACGCACATATCGTGAGGTCCGGCGTGTTTCGGCGACGATCGTCTTTCGGCCGGTTAGCCCGACAGTTTTGCGATCTGCAGGAAATGAACAATACGATGACACGCAGGGATCAGTAGGAGCGCCCTTCTAGCAACAAAGCTAGCCCTTGAACAGGCCAGTCGCGATCTTGCTCCTCTGGATCAGCCAACGACCTGTCTTGTTAAGCAAACTGTATCCAATGCACGCCGGAGGTACTCATGCCAGATACGTGGACACTTCACACGCCAATTGCATACTCCCGGGACAAAGTATTAATTTTGGAAAAGACATTGGGCGTGCTGTACATAGTAAACAAATATACGGGGTAAGATACGATACAGTCAGTATACATAGTAAGCGCGTACCCTTTGAAATAAGCAATTAATAAGCAGTCTGTCATTGAAAAAGGGTATTCTCGGCATTTACTAAAAGACTCCAAGTACTAAATCAAAGGCTCTATTCAATGACTGCTCAAAGGAGGCTCAGCATTGAAAGGTATGGATTAATTAATAATTTTGGAATCTAGAGCTGCTGGACGCCCGCAAAGGTCGCACACTTCCTCTGATGTTCCAAAGACCCTGAGCTTGTTCACGTACTCTGCCCAAAATTCATCGTCAAATCGTGGAAGAAGCTTGCCTTCGATGACTTTCTGGACAATCAGGCTCTCTTGCTCCGAAGAAGGGCCCGTCGAGCCAGAACTGCTCTCTTCGTCTTCCATGCTCAGCAGGAGGTCAAACTTGGTTGCATGGCCGTACACGAGTTTTTTTTGCGTCTCCGTCTCCTTTGTGTCGTTCTTGGTCGGTTCCTCGGGTTCGGTTGAGAGATCCATCAAGTCGATCTCGGTAGCATCCCCATTGGTCCGATGGATAAGTGCCTCTCTTGAGGTGCTCGTCTCAAATAGTTGCACCGCGAGCTTGAGAAAAACCTGGGCTGTTATAAGGCTGTCGTACCCTGCTTCGTGCTGTGGGGCATTGGCTATGTATGCAGAGTGTTCAGAGTCGGTTTCTATAATGTGAAGAACATGTTAGTTGACGTGTTCTCCGAGGAGAAGAAAAAAATAATAATAAAAGAAGCGTCTGCAGGTGCATGGATTATAAATACCAAAATTAGGCACCTCCCTTGCTCCCAGGGTCTCATTTAATTTTGACAGGGCCGAAAATGCATCCCGTAATACACCCCCGTGTGTGGCCATATACTTCGTATCGACAACAACAGGGAACAGCTCATGAATCGCCTGCTGGAAGTCCTCCACACGTCCAGGCAGATCGCCAATGAAACACTTGTAAAAATTGACAAGGTCTGTGAAAAGGTTGTGGCCGACCAATACTGGTGGCCCTGCCCTCAGCTTCTCCCGGAGAGCCTCACTCCTCTTTGTGAGCATACTTCCTTCGGCCGCAGTGAACATTCCATCGGGCCTCCAGAGGAGTCTCAGGTCAAGCCTTGCTAACTCTCCGCCAGTTAAAGCTTCAATAACCCAACTGAGTCCTTTCTGACTAGTTATATTGGCACGTACTATCTGGAGCTTCTTTTCGGTGACCTTATTCTCCCGTTCCGCGTCGTACGGGATTATCTGAACAAAGGATTTCTTACCCACGCTCACATAACCAGGGTACTCACTGTTGATAATTTGGTGAACGAGCCGTTTTTGATAATTATCCAGCTCCAGTGGCAGCTTATGAGCATCCGTCATACCGGCGGGCTTTGGGATGTTCAGATAGCCATCCTAACTCGCGGGTTAGTCTAATATCCAACCTGCCGAAGAGTAGGCTTTTTCTACCTTTGGGCCATCCTTCTCAATCCATTCCTTGACGTCTTGCCGGACTTGCCTAAGGAACTCCGCTTGATCTGCCGCAAGTGTGTCTAGATTGATGGGAGATATCGCAGAATTGTGTTGGCGCACTCGGACCATTGCATCCTCTTCCTCTTTCCTCGAGATATAGGGAACCCCGTCTGTAAAAACGGACTCCATCCGAAAGCCATGGCTCACCAGGAATGTCACCGCTATGGTCACTCAGCACTGGTATCTCAACTGAGAGGAAAATTATAGGACTAACCGCTGTTTTGAAAGGACCATTTCCTCTCTACTTCAAGCCTTGGGTCCAGGAGGGGACTGAGAGGGATATTATATGGCCGCAGCAAATAAGTACCTATCTCGATTTAGTCCACACAATAGAGCAGGATAAAAACCAAAACAATCGCATCTATGTCGCTAGGATGCGGAAAAAAGGATTCTCCAACCATTCTCACTGTCTTCAGTCACCAGAGTGATGCCAACCTGAAGGATCTGATACTCCTCCGCAGCCTGCTTCACCTCTTCGTACCGCTTCTGCAAGCTCAAGTCGCCATCAGCATAAGACGAAGCCGGCCGCAGCTTCTGGTTGAATATGCCCGAGAATTCGAAGTCGAGGGCAACAAAGGAACAATCCCCTATGGCCTGCAGTATTTGGGGCAGCAGCTGTGTGAAGTTACGCTTCGTAACCTCCATGCTATGCCGGCTTTGCCTCTATAGAGAGATAAGAGACAAAAAAAGAGGAAAGACTGCAGATGTATGATGAAAAGACGTTCACATTCATGTAGGAACAAGCTCTACTTAAGAGAAACGAAAAAGGCACAAGAAGCAAAAGGAAGGACGTGAAGATATTATTTCGTCCTGCGTCAGGCGGCAAATATTTGGCTCTTGGTAGAATAGTTAACTAGACTATAGCTGGTTCACTAATGTCCACAAAGAAACTGATATATACAGCAGATAAAAGGGCAAACATCATGAAACTCCATGCTATTCCAATCTAGAATCAGACGGAAAGAATGAACGAACAGCTTTTAGTTTTTATATATCAGCCGTGGTCCCGTGATCGCAGAGACGAGCCGAGGATGTTTTTCTTAGGCGGCAAGCTTGCTTTTCTTACGGAAGAAGAAGACGGCGAAGACAGGTTGAAGAACCAGCAACGATCCCTCGACTGTCGCGTCCTGACCCTTCCTACAGCCATTGCAGAGACCTGACTTGTGCTATATCGCTGGGAGTTTGAAAAGCAGAGCTTTAACCATGGCAGACGAAGCTCACATGTCGCAATCCTACCTCTCGTCCTCGAGTTCATCGCCCATGTCCAACAAGCAGATATCACAGGTGTACAAGCAAGCATCTCAGCTGTTTCTCACACGCAGACTTCAGGAGTCTCTCTCACTACTCGAGCCTATCATCACACCGTCACCCGGCCAGGAAAGTGAACAGCAGAACGGAGAGGGCGACTCTCCAGCACCACCACTCGCACCTATTGCGACAGCCTCAAGCAATCTAAAGATCAAGATATGGAATCTATATATCACAATACTAAGCGCTATAGTCGATCTTGGACCTGAAGAAGGGAGGGCACAGCTCGGTCAGAAGGAATGGAAAGCTATCGCTACCACGGTCAGAGAAGGCAAGGTTTGGGATACCGTTGTAAACATGGGCTACCATGGAAGAGAAGGGTCTGTAGATGGAGATATCGTCTACAACCTGTAAGCCAACTCATTTCCCGCTATATGCCTGTGTCTGGTCTCTTTCTATTTTACTGACCACCATATCTCTCTAGAGCTACCCTTCTCTTGAACCATTCAGCTTCCCAAAAACTGAACCAAGAACGGCTTGAGACCTACTTATCTTCCTATGGTCAGCCAGATCTAGATGTCTCCGCGCACCTGCAGCACCTTTCTTCCGGCAAAAGAAAGCAACGGATGGCCTCTGCGGCAGGTGCTGATACGCCCAAAGATCTAGCAGTGCGCGTCAAGCTCCTGGAGATGTTCACCTTACACGTTCTTCCTCGAAATGATGAATGGGACTACGCTCGAGAGTTTATTAATCTCAGTGAAGCCTTGGACGACGATAGAAAGGAGACTTTCATTCAGACCCTAGATAACTTACTAGAAGAGAAAGAAAAAGGAGCGCAACGAGCGGCCGAAATTCAGCAAGAAAAGGAAGAAGAGCTTGAGCGGCAACGAAAACAAAGAGAAGATGAAGAAAGACAAAGCGCTGAAGAAGAGAAGAGGAAACAGGAGCGAGAACAGAAACAAAAGCAACAACAGGAGTCACTGGGAGGAAAGTCAACCGGCAATCACAGACGATCGAGTAGTGAAATCGACTACGGGATCGAGAAATCAAATCCAAACTCACCTATGAAAAATCGAGTCGTTAAACCGGCACTAAAGAAGACTCTTTCTTCAGAGCCATCGCCAGCCAAGCAAACGAAAAAGAGCACAACTGGGAAATCGCAACCCCTTGTGCTTGCGCGTATGCGAATATTGGCAAATTTACTGATTACCTTTATGAAGAACCTAGCTCGGTCACTAGTCTCGAATCCGCTATCATACTTAAAATCGCTTCTTGTTGTTTTAGGCGTTCTCATGGCGTTAGGGAGGCCGGATGTCCGCAACCGCATTCTTCAGGTCACCGGAGCTGGTTGGCAGAAGGTCAGAGGTACAATTGGGATGGGAGTCAAGGTCAGCTATATATAAGGTCGGGGCTCTACAGCCATTTTCTTTATTCCCTCTTTTTTTTTTTTTTTTTTAAAAAAAAAAAAAAAAAAAAAAAGATAAGTTCATTTGCCACTATATTATCCTTTCATTTTGGGGGCCCTGGAAGTTACAGGACGGTGAGCGCGGCATATGTCTTCTTTTATACGGCCACATATCGAAGCTACAAATAGTGAACACACATACCAACTACCATTATGGGGTTTCCTTTGTTTTACATTAGAATAACTTGAACAAGCTTGCTCCTCTATATACAGATATAGATACGGTATACCACATTAACAGGGTACCCTGTGAATATTCAATTTAAAACCTTTGTAATAATCCGTATCCAACGGGGGATTCATCCCCCCGCAGAGTAGGAGAGAAGCATCTGACCTGGCCTCTAAGATGCTCCTGGTCAGACCAAGGCCTTACTATTCTCTCAAGATCAATTTTCTCAAGGTTGATAGTGTCTACTGGACTAACTGGGTTTCTCGAGGAATCCGAACTTGACGCTCTAGTTGATTCCTCTTGATTTGCCCCTTTTCTGGCCACCTTGACATGCCGTTGTTGAAGTAGGGGAACCACAGAATTGGCACAAACTATTTGTTGTGTGGTTATATAGAACAACAGCAACAGATGTCTGCGCAGTTTGAAAGAGGTTCTCCGTTCTGTACATGGTGAATGGAAGCAGATTCTCAAGGCTGTTAGTCTTCGCAGCACCACAAAAACAGACGGCTATCACTTCTCTAGATGGGAGACGGTAGAACATATCGAAGCACTGGCCGTTCAGCGAGGAATTTTGGAGGATACGCTAGGATAAAGCATAAGCCTGTCAAAAACGTATACAGGGCAATGTTAAAGAATAAGGTTAAAATGACAGTCTCCATCCTAAGTGATTCAATGGCACGCGCGGCGAAGCAGGTAGAGAAACTCGTCCTGTCCTGACAAGGCGGCAGAGTAAGCAGATACATCGTAGTAAGGATCATAAAGTGAATAAACTCACCATACAAGCAAAACCATATAGATGGATAAAACTTTTGAAGTACAGTGTCCGTTTGTGCAACATATGCCTAGCGGATAATGTGGCCCACGGCCAAAGGAGATAGCACAGGCAACTCCGCCAACAGCCTTCGTCATAATCACATTTGACAAAAGAGTCGTTGGAAGACAGCTGGCAAAGATATATCCACCAATACAGCAACATCAAGCCGCTTGTTCGTATCAGTAATATATATCAGCCGTACAACAGTCGTCATAATCCCCGGCACAAGTCAAAAAGAAATGCCCTGGACCAGCAGATGAAGGGCCAGTTAAGGATATGCTCCTTTAGCTTTTGCCACGGGATGCTTAGCCCACTAACCAAGAAGATGGCGGCAACTGCTCCTATAGAATTGAATATTCCGCTCGTATAGTACCATGCGGTTTGGCAGAGTCAGGGAAAAGGTAGCCCAGCGCACATGCAACCCCTATAGCTATGATTATTAAAATTTCGAGGAAAATTGCCTTTAAAACAGAGGAGAAAGCTCCCTATCGAGGAATATTAGCCATTTAGCTCATATTTATCCTCAAAATGCAGATAGAGAGCATGTAAGGTGGTTTTTCCTGGCAGATCCGAAACAGAGCAGAGCGTAACCGTAACATAGAAAGAAAAAAAAGCAGCGAGAATAATAAGTGAAAGGCAACTGCTGGTCTATCAGACTACGGCTGTAGTTACAGCAGAGCCGTTCAAATGCATCCACTCATTAAGACATAGGGAGGCAGTTCCCGGCCTGACTTTTGCTCAGTATCCATACTGGAGATATACAGTGATGGAAAGGCAAACTGGGGGTATTAACAATATGCCAGAGAATCTATATCTGGCATCTTCTTGTTGCTTCCATCTACCACTATATAAGTACTAGGAAGAGAGGGGGGAAGGTAAGGAGTTACCAGGCATATCTCCTTCGCCCCCGAGCCATTTCCAAGGATGGTGCATATTTCCTTTACCAGTCATGCAAGTTCGAACTAGTTTCATCGTCGAGTTTGCCTATGGAATTGGCCGTTCGAACACAGTGATAATGCGAATATAAATTTTACGCCAGCCGAGATATGGTTTCTTTGATCATACTTGTTGTCTGCTTGGACAACGTTTGAGTGAAGAGAACCTCAAACTATATCTCCTGAAACACACAGCCAGTATTGTATGGTAGCATGAAGGAAGCAACTGATGGATATCATTCATTATATTTATAGACGTTTGCTATGGAAGAGATGAAGTAATATAACAGAGGATGGTACATTTAGATTTTAAGAGAGCGCACAATGCATGGAGCGTAAGGGGTACATCTTCTATTGAGTCTACCAAACGTTCCATCAGCTGCGCCTGCGGTATGCATAAATAACGACAACAACAGCCGAATCCTCTCATTTGCCTGAGTTTAATTCAAAGAGACTGGCAAATGCGCCTGTTTGCAGGGTCTATCTAACCGTACACCTTGAAAGAATGAAGGTACCGCTAGCGAAAAAAGACTGCAACTGGAAAAGTTCTTCTAGGCACTGTTATAATGGTCAAATACTTGTAGGAATGTAAGCAATTGATGATAAGGAAAGCGCCATGAGATTGAAGAAGAAGAAAAATCGAAGCCATAAAAAAAATATATATAAAAGCGCGAGACTGAATATATCACGTGACACTAGCGTGCCAAGGACGAAAATGGCTTCGATGGATTTTTCGATTCTGAAGCGGAAACGAAGAAGCAGAAACAAAGCTCTTTTTTTTTCGACCAAGGCATTGGGCTGCTGCATCGCTACAGGAAGGGGAGATGGCAGCAGGAAATAATGGGGCAAGGCAGATGGCCATGCTTCTCAGTACGTTACCTTGTCATGGCTCCTCTCTGGAGGCTCTTTCGATGGCTCTAACAAGAATATAGGGTCGAAGTCAAGGCTTGATTCAGCTGTTTGTAGGAATTGTCAGGAGGCACTGGGTCGTCGAGGTTTTGCTACAGCTACCGCATCTTCAGGAATAACTTCGGCCGCCAGCACTGTGCCGCCAGTCGAAGCTGCTGATGTTGTCCAAAAATTCCCTTACAGAATTAAAGCTGGTATCATCCTCTCGCGCGCACCCCGTATCACCCGCGATCTCACTCCCTTCGAAAAGTCATTCTATTTCTACCAGCGTCGACTGAACGAGCGTCTCGCTCTTCCTTTTACACGATACTTCTACTTCAAGCGTGGAACCCCAACGGACGTGGAATGGAAACGTAAATACAAAGATCGTCAGACACCCGCGAGAGACATTGGAAAATACAATGCTTATTCAGACACTGCTTGGAACGATGAACTGCTTGTTGGTGCAACCGAATCTGAACCACAGAACCAGGTAGAGGCTCTTGTCCGTGATGCGGAAGGATTTTCAGCCTCTGAGTCTGACGGAGACGCTATACACGAGGAGGTTCCAAAACCACTGCCAAGAATTACGGAGGCAGATAAGAGCGGTGACGAAAAGAGCTTGGATCGGGCAATGCAGCGTACATTGTACTTGCTGGTAAAGGTCAAGCAGGGTTACTGGAAGTTCCCAAGTGTAACTTTGAACGTTAAGGAGAACGTTCGAGCGGTAAGACACCTTAGTCCGAACAATGCTAGATAGTGGAGAACCAAAGACAAGTCTAACCGTTACATTTAATAGGGAGCTGAACGCAGTTTGATACAATCCGTTGGGCCAAACATGAACACCTGGACCGTGGGCTATCACCCCATTAGCCATTACGTTCAAAATTTCACCAAGCCTATAATAGACCCAGCAACGGGCGTTGAGCTTAAAGGCGAGAAGACATTCTTCCTCAAGGGCAGGATTCTTGCTGGCCAGGCCGATGTTACCGATAATTTGCATGATGTGGTCGACTTCAAGTGGCTCTCGAAGGAGGAGGTTGAGAAGCACGTAATGCTACCATATTGGAGTGCTGTTAAAAATGCGTTGGCGGAGAGATGAATGGTAGATTAACCTGGACTTTTCATCCCCTTGGCTAATCTATCACACACCCTGCATTTTACCTTGCGCAAGCGTTTGCAGGATCAAGAAGGTGTTTGGCTATCATACGCTTCGGCAGCCATCGATCCTTTTTAAACCTGATGTACTTTTAGACATTGTAAAAGACTTTTTTAAACCTGTGAATGTTTACGTTTATTTTATAATATATATCAAGACATTATTATGTAGAGCTTTGATTGATCTATATAAATATTCAAATAATACTCAAAACCCCTTCACACTCCGCACAAGACGCCTGCCAATTGTGTTTAATACAGAGTGTCAACATTATTTCGAGTTAAATTTTTGGCCTTGAACGACAGGCTGGGCTTTTGTAGTGCCAGCAGCATTCAAGCTCTTACCACACATCGCGCACACTGAATAGGTCTGCAGTCAGCCTTACTGTTGGTGGGAATAGCAAAGATAAAATACACAAAATAGGCTTGGCTGGATGTGGCACTTAAGAGCCGAATAAACTTACCATGTTTCCGGTAACTGCATTTCTGGCAATATTTCCATCCCTGATTCGTTTTCGTGCTGCAACTCTCGCAGGAGCTTGAATATGCAGCATATGGGTTCTGAGCTTTCTTACTGAGTAGCTTGTTCTATCACGGCGTTAGTGACGGGTTTCCTACCCACATACAGGGGCAAAAGGAGGGAATATGAGGATGAGAGGATGATTCGGAACAAAGGCTGTTATGGAACGAGGCAACAAAAATGAGCAATGATTCTCTTCGCATTCGGTCAAAACAAAACAAATATCATTCTGCAGTAGGCATACGTAAAGGCTAGAGTCCCTGTATACCGAGGAGCCGTTTATCCTTATGGATCATATATTATTTGACTTGTGCATTTGCATGTGAATGGTTGAGGCTTAGAAGAGCGAGAAGGGAATATAATCGAGACACTTGAATCAGGCAGAAGGGTCTGTATCATACCTTGGAGACACCAGTATTTCCTAGAGTCGCCGATGATTTTTTACTGTCGCCACTGCGGGCGCCACCGCCGCCAGCAGAAGAGGACATAGGAGACCCATAATACATCTCACTCTTTCTCTTAACCGCTGGCGTGGCAAGTTCGGTCTTTGCGACCTTTTTCTGACACTTTGAGCAGACCATCTTTGCCTTGCGGGTGAATGTCACGGGTCCTCGCTCTGCTGCCTGCTATGACAAATAAAGATGGTAAAATGAATGCGGAAGACCGTAGAGCCTGGTCATCGAGTGCCCAAACTCCCGACACTCCGCGTTGCAAATATGACAACAAGAGAGAGAAGATGCGCAAGAAAAGTTGGCTGTCGTTGTCGTGATGGACTGCGCCACAATGGCAACTCGGCTGCCTCCACCGCGCGTCTCGTGAGTGGCTGGTGTCTGTAGGGCTGACGGGGGTGATGTGGCTCGTGCTGAGACTTTTTTGACGACGTCCGATCTCAAGTCTTTTCTTACGATGTAATTACATACACCAGGCCTGCATCTGCATTCCCAGGGCCCCGTTGCGACCGCGAGGACGCATTCACTCTCTTGATGCCTGCAGAACCCCGCAATTCCAGTCTTAACATTGCAGGATTCAGTTCCTGATCGTGACGCTGTTTTAAAGTCAATTGAGTAAAAAAAGATGGTATCCCACCCACCACCATTCACTCGAGGGGCGACTAGAGCACATGCCATTCTCGCCTATTTTTATCCGCTTTGTTTAAAGCTTTACGGTCGGCCATGGCCGGCGGCGGGCCGCATCAGCGAGTCAATCTGTAGGGGAGGGTGGACTGACAAAGGGGACCTGGGCCGGAACTAACTTTGAGGATAACCTGTATTTTTCACCTTTTCCTTTTTTTATTACCCGGCGAAAAAAAAAAAAAAAAAAAAAAAAAAAAAAATTCCATAGAATCACTTTTTGGTTGACATAATAACCACATTTATCCCTCTAGATGGCGATTAAGCATGTGCCGCGGGCAAGACAGACATACGCAACATGTTACTGTATTTACGCACCAGCCACCTAGTCACACCGTATAACCTTCTATATCTTTTGCTTGCCTTGAGCAGAATAGTTTCTGATTTCGTGTCGAAGAGGGATCATGACCCTTGTCAAATGTTGGACTAGGGCCGGGGATCCATGACCTACCCTTTACATAGTACGTATTTAAGAAAGCCACATTTACTACGATCCGTGCAGTGAGCTCGAGCAAAGTTGTGGGTCCCTTAATAAACATGGATGGCACATTGGCATCGGTTAAGTTTGATCTGCTCAATGTCATACCAACATTCTCCTCCCTCGTGCGCACTCATCTGCGTGGAAACGAAGCCGACCCCATCCGGTTTTGCTACCTTAAGATGGAATATGAATAGCTTGGTGTGGCGACAATCTACACTGTGATTTTTTCACTCTTGCAAACACCCCATGTCATATCGGAAACCCTCTTGCCGATAATCAATAGTGTCCACAAAGATTGCGGCCAGGCACTCTACATTCTAACAGAAGGATATATCGAAGAGAGGTAGGCAGAATAACCATCTCTTAACCTTTCAAATGGTTCCAGGGTGTAGCCAAAAAAGTACTGACCCATCTAGCTCCTATTTGACTGGCTGTTCAAGATTCCTGTTCTGTAACAAGTTCAATACTGATATCAATACACCACGACGGATGGAGAAATAGACATTCCATTCGGTACGCTTGCCCTCCCACAAACACAGACCTGCTCTGCTATCATACATACGCCCCTGACATTGAAGATGAGACTATACACAGCATCGCCACGGCTGGTTAGTGTGGCGTGTGAAGGCTGGATGTTACTTTGAACAAGCACTCACGTAGTGTTGACAAAGGCCCGACTATTCAAGTGTATTGATCTGGAATGGTTGCCTTATTTTTCTCCCCGATTTATTCGGAAATATTATACGGAGAAGCTACGGCCCTCCCGTACCAAGCTTACTGCTCCGCCGTTGTATCCAAATGATCTTGGTGTGCCACCCAGAATTACCAAAGGTATGGTAAGCTTCATGCATCAGGGTATACATGTGCGTCAAACTTGTCCATGGGCAGCTTTTTATGGTATAATATTAAGATTATACGCCCTGCCCACTGACACTATCCAAACTTACCTATAAAGAGTGGCAATCTTCTTCGTGTCAAGGTATTTGTCGTTTGCCCAACCTTAATCCAACGATCCGGGTCATAGTCTTGATACGTTTCTCGTGACATAGGGCATTTTAACCGGTCTCAAAGCTCTCGATCAAATCATTTTGGTGGCGCATTCTGCATTTGAATCCCAGCTGAAGCCAAGCCTTGACACTTAATTATCTCGGTTTAATCATGCACAAAAGCTTCAGCGCCTTATCTTATGTGCAGTTTAACATGTTTGCGGTTCTGGTCATGTGCGGATCCTCCCTGGCGTTCTTCGTCTGCCCCTTGCGAACATACCTCGACTATATGCCTTATGCTCGTCAAACCGCGGTCTATCATTGGTGACAAGTAGTTCCAGCCAGTTACCGTGCGATCCATTTTTATGGCACGATTCGAAGCGGCGCTGCTGAACATCTTGACAACATGGAGCGCTACATCTGGCCAGACAACTGTTAACTTCCCACGAATCACGATGGTTAATTTGAGACCTGGAGAATGGGATCATTTTATGGACGAGGCCTGATTGCTCAGGATAAAGAGGTCATGATTTGCGGGGCCAGTTGTAGCACTTACACTTGAACTTAGGGTCCTAATGGAGTGTAACAAATTTTTGGGTGCAAATTGATGCTACGTTATAAAGGCCCGAGTTATGCCAGGCTAAATAAATAGCTTTTATTTACAACCTCTAGCACTCTCCTATAACGCTGCTGCTCTTCGCCTTTCTCTTATTGGAAAAAGCTGGGTTTTCTGGCTGTTTGGGATCTCCTGGGTATCCCTCTGGCCCTCTCCCTGTTTCTGTGTATCCAGAATTTCCGCTAGCCAATTCGCAGCCTCAAGCCTGCATAACTAACTCCCTTGCCGCATAATTGAGATCTACCTGCCGCCCTCTAGCAGTTCTGCCAATCTATATACAGTTTCTTCGACCGAGATCTTAACCAGCTGGCGTATAATTATACCCTTTTGGTATCACCTTAATTATTCAAATCCCACACATGCATATACGGATCTCGCATACCGAAGCCGCCTTCTATGTGGGTCGCTAGTTAGATCTTCTACAATTCATCAAGGTGTGCGAAACGTCTTTAGCCACAGAATCCGCTTTTAGACCAGGGCGATAAATCCGCCATCGGTGGCTAATAGCTCTCCCCCTCCCCCTTGCACATAGGTATTCGGACTGACATACTTTCTTCTGTTATCTAATTTTCTTTTTTTATCTCCTTTATGAGATAGCATGGTGACCACTGACCACTAGCCTTTTTGCTGGTAGTCGTCACAATACATTCCCCCCCCCCCCCCCCCCCCTAGATTTACTATAAGTTGTACGGCCCGCCCAGCTATAAGGAGCCTCGGAGACCAATTTCATTTCGTCAGGTCAGCCTCGCCAACTCTTATCGTCCATTCTTCGAGACGTCACGCGACCAGGGGCTGAGAGCGGCTCCCATTCAAACGAGTTTTATCGGTGTCTCAGTACCACCTTGCTTCGCTTCGGGCGCCCGGGTGCTTACAATACTGCGAGAACGCATCATAAAACTGAATCGGATCACTTTGCAGTGCGGTGTCATAGCTGAATTACTTGCCCGAACACTGTGCAGTAATAGGCTAAGCCGGGGCTGTCTTTTGTTCGGAAAAATAATCCTAATCGTGGCGGGTATATACTGAAAGAGGACACCGTTGCTCGATCATCACTCAATCATCCTATTTTTATTATAAAATCCGACAGAAAGGCCAGCTCGGGAGGGGCCCCAATAACCAAAGGCAGGGAGGTCTTCAGCCCTACGGGGTGGTCTCGGTTTGACAGCAGCAATTATGCCTCCAAATCCAACATCATTCACTGCACTTAATGTGCCGTCGAGGTATACACTACCAGAAAGCATGGAGTATTTCTCTCTTGCGGCACGTCCAGACACAGATCTTTGGCGCAAGCCGCCAGACCGTGAAACCTCCACTGCTCCGATATTATATACGTCTCTCCAAAGGCCATTTGTTCTCGCTGAAGTAACAGTCACAGCAGATTGGGAGATGGAATGGGACCAAGGAGGCTTGGTTATATTTTCCGGTCCTCCTCCGGGACGAGGTTTAACAGTCCAGTGAGTAACAGTGGAAGTCCTTAAAGAGAATGAGATTAGTAGCTAATCGACCGTATTCATCGCTAGACCCAACAGCAGAAATGAGTCTATACCAACCACAATCATCAACCTAGAAAATAACGGCAGTGTCAGCGATACCAGGGAACGGGAGCAGCCTCTTCAACCACCACCGTACCCGGACTTTAACTTGGGGCAAGGTAAATGGGTGAAGGCCGGCCTCGAGTTCTCTGCAGGAACTGTCAATGCGTCATCTGTCAGTGCCACATCTGACGGAGCAGACTGGTGTCTCTCTCCATTAGCGCCACCCAATCAACCGACGAGCATAACCTCATTGCGAATTAAACTTGAACGCATCGGCCACTCTCTCTGGATATGGTATCAAATCCCGCCATCCTCATTCTCAACCGACCAACAAGCTAGTCATAGCCCCAGATCAGCTGCCCAATCATGGCGGAAACTGCGCGAAGTAACATGGTTTTTCTGGGGTGTGGAAGACAAAAGCGTACATGTTGGTGTCTATGCTTGTCGACCAGCGAATATCTCCATATCTAACACCATGTGGGCAGCGAGAAACGGACACCATATTCATGACAACAGCCCATCATCGAACTCACTTGTAGTAGAGTTCGAAGACCTAGAAATATTTTAGCCTTTTCGTTGTTTTGATGTCAATTTCTGGCTTGTTTGTAAGAAAAATTCTTGCTATTTACCACATTCCGCCCTGTTTGCTTTTTTTTTTTATAACGACTTAATGAATATGTGGGCTTGTTGCAAATGCCCGCTGCTTATACATAAATATATGAATACTATATATATATATCGCTTGTCTTTCCGAATTCTCGAGACTCTGCCGTTGAATATAACCGTGACGCCGTGATACTCCGTTGGTTAATTAAAAACAGCTAAACTCTTTAACTGTAACTAGGGATCAAAAAGTGAAGCGGGACACGGTTTATTGAGATCGTACGCAGGGTTCTTCGTTGGTAACGCAACCGCTTCGCCTGCGGATCAGCGGCCATACTGTCGTATTCCTCGATCGCTGGGGAAGTTCGTCCATCCCAGAAATTCTGACTTGAGCCACGAATTTTGTTCCTTATGTCTTGGCGCTAGATTAAGTTTGTCGGAGCGTCCCGTCCCGGGATCCGAGTCCAAGGACTAGTGCATCACGTGATAGCCACCAATCCTAGGCGTGGAAGGACTGTCACAGACATAGATCTTAGATTATTGATGATAAAGTGATGTATCCGGGTTCTTTTCTTCTCTGTTCAACCTTGTGTTAGGCTAATCGATGGTTTACAAGAAAGTATGCATTTACGTGAAAGTCCCGAGCACGGAAGTTGTTAACTAATGTCTCTCGCCTCTCCTGAAGTATCCTAGGTAACTTGAGCTCCTACCTTGGTGAGCCATTCCTGGCGTGTCTCCGAAATGGCATAATGCATGTGATTCGGTCTTTCGTAAGGTCAAATTTGAAGGAAAGGGATGCTTTCTCGTCCCTTCATATAAATATTAAGATACCAAAGTATAGGGAGATGGTAGTGCATAGATGAACGTTTTTTCCTTGAACTTTTGGCTAACGTGGTATCTCGCCTGCTCATGCTGTTTTCAACTCGGTAGCATTGTGTCTCTCTATCCAAAGATTATAGCTATCCAAACCCACAACCATCATCTCCTACACGTTCGCTCACCCTGGAGAAATCCCCGCACAAGATACCATGGCTTCGATGGTTTTTGAGTTTCTAGGCATATCAATATTTACCGTTGAAAACCGTCTTTAAACTGTTAATAAGAAACGTTAATATAGATATATACGTCCTCTTTTGAATCTAGAGCAACGATGGAACACCAGAGTGTAGGTCGACTGATTGGAGAAGGTAGGATGAATTTTTTTCAGCATGATCAATACTGTTCCAGTATACATGTGGGCGTGATCATGCAGGAATATCCCATATTTACCAAGTTACCATTGGGCTGATCAAGCGAATAAACCAATGAACCGGAATAGAAATGGAGCTTGCCCTTTTATCACCTGGGCTTCTCGAGGAGGTTTCTTGCCCCTAAAGGCCCAACTAGGACACTACTAAATGCGAAGTTTGCTACCACTCCGAGAATATGGAGACAAGAGCTTCTCTTGTCAATCCATGCAACACAACGCTTTGACTGCACCTTGCTATGGATCCGCCACGGCCCCGTTGGCCGACCTTGTGTTCTCTCTATAGAGGAATATCTATAAAGCTGTCTTCCTCTGTCAAAGAGCAAAACTCCGATTGTTTTTGTATGAAGTCGGGCACACACTGTATCTTTTTGCGCAGACATGCTTTCTCCGTTATACTTTATCAGCTCACGCTGTGAGTTCATATTCAGTATATAAGAAGGGCTGCTACTTCAACCCATCCAATTCACAGTGCGCTCTCTCACCGCTAAATCCATATCTTGGTGGGGCTCTCTCTCTCTAGATATTCTAAGGGCCCAAAGTTGTTATGTTGCTCCCCAAGGTTAACCCATTTGACAGACGGTAAAAGAACGATGGCTATGGGAGAGGGGTTGGAAGTATGCTTATCTCTATGCCAATAGACCCAGGACGATAAGAAATGACCGAACATCTCGTATTTCCTAGCCTCGGATGAGACCATGATCTTCGAATTATCTTTCCAGCCAAAAAAAATCTCAACTTTTCTCGCTCTCCCCATACCGTATCACATGACCCCACCAAAACCCATCCATGTCTCAACTCCTTTTTTATATGATAATAACAATAATGTAATTGAATACTTTTAGAGGTTATGAAATAAAAAAAACAAATGGTCATCTCCCTCTTAGTGTGGGAAATGTTCCTGCCCAACTCGCATTGCCATGCCTCGCCTCCTGCATGCCTGAGGTTGCTGCGTTCTGTCCGGTTAGGCCGCTGATGGGCATATGTATGTATACGCTATGCTAGCTCAGCGCACCAAGTAAACAACCGGTGTCGAAATATGGAGCCTTAACACATACATGGTAAAGAGAGAGAGAAAAAAGAAAAGAAAAAAAAAAAAGGAAAAAGACGGTTCGACATGCTGTGAGCTTTGCAGCAAATGAGCTCTGCCAAAAACTTTTCTGCTCACGCTAACGGGCCTTTATCCCTATGACAACAAGACAAGTTTAGCGCTAGCCGGTTGAGGTAGGATGAGGATGGTCTTCTTTTTCTCGTGGTGGAGTTGTAGAAAAAATTTTGATGTCCTTGATATTGCTTTTTGTTTCTTTTTTCTTCACAAGCAAGCCATTTGCCTATGATCTTCTTCCTCTTCTCTCTTAAACCAATAAACATTGCATCAAGTCCCCCCCTTGGGAAGGAAAAAAAGAGTCTTGCATTTACCTGTTCTTCAACTCCCCTCTCCCATCTGCTTCCCCTCTAGTTTGTCAAGGGAAGGACAAAAAACACCCACAGCTTCAAGCGACCTTCTTCACGATTAATACGAAAAAGTTCCTTTGCCTGTTCTGTGCTGTTGATTTTCTTTTCTCTTTAGTTTCGTTCTCTTTTTTTGCCTCTTGATACCCTCGTCGTCTTTGGGGGCAATAGTCGTTGATTCCGAGCTCCGATTTTTTTTGTGAACTGCGTTGTAATAATTCGCTGCAGAATTCCTCTATTTTATTCTCCTTCTTCTTTCTGTATATCATAGGCTAGCTTAACATTAACAGGCTTCGACCGACTTCTCAACGGCCAACGACGTTACGAGTTTCACGCAGATACACGAGATAGAAAGAGACCGACAACTGGAAGAGGAAAAACAGCCAACTCTTTAGCCATGACTGAAGATATCAAACACCCTATTACCATTGCCATCCGTCGACCAAGCAAGACTCCATCTGTCTTTGTTGCCGCCTCATTCACAGACCCGGCATGGGAGCCGGTGGAGCTGACTCCTGAGCTTGTAAGCTCGAAAGACGCATCGACTACCGAGGATAGCTCTACACGGATCGAAGAGTACGAGTTTTCAAAGAAATTCGAGCTACCCGAAGGCAAGCACCAATATAAATTTCGTCTCGACACTGATGAGAAGACTTGGTTCTGTGACGAGAAGGTGGAGACAGGTAGGTTTGGATTTCTCTTCAGCTTTGCATACCTTGATGTTGTCAACATGTAACTGATAGATATGGATGTTTTCTCAGTGGTCACTGAAAATGGAATTTCCAACAATCTCCTCGTTGTGAACGAAACCTCTCCCACCTCCCAGACCAAAGATTCTAAATCCACCAACGGTACGTCGGGCGATACCGAATCAAAGGAAGTCACCAAGGAGGAGAAGGGGAAGGATGAAAAGGTCGAGGCGGTCGAAGAGGCACCGGCAGCCGCCATCATCACGGATAAGTCTGACGACAAAGAAGCCCCCGTAGACGTGGTAGACAAAGCTGCTCCAGCAAAGGAGGAGAAGCCAGACGACCCCGTGAATCCTGTTGTCGAGAAGGAAGCCACTGGGAAAGAGTCGGATGCTTCACAGGAAATAAAAGACCTACCCTCGAAGGATGAAGTAAATGCTTCTCCTGACGAAACTAAGCAAGATTCCAAAGGTGTCAGTGAGGGAAAGGGTGATGATAAAATAGCCAAAAAGGAAGAGACTATTAAAAAGACTGAAGAGACCATACCTGCTGGCACTCCTAAGGTGGAACAGGTTTCCGTTGTCCCTGAGACGGTGAAGACAACAGCGGACGAATCCAAGGCTATTGATTCAGAGCCTTTGCCCAGTATCACATCAGAAACTGTGGATATTCCAAAGTCTGCTGATAAGGAATCAGAACAAACGCCAGAGCCAGTTACAAAGGTCCAAATTGAAGATACCCTGCCAGAATCTATAACGAAGCCGTTGGAAGAGCCCAAGGAGTTAGAAAATGGCCTGGAATCCAAAAAAGAGCTCCCAGAGAAAACGGATGTCGTCGAAAGCTCTGACAGAGTTGAAGCTATGAAGGAAGACACCACTCACAATGTTGTAACGCTTCCTGTGGCCGAATTCGGGGCTGACACTGAAGAGCCGAAGAAGGAAGCCCTTGAACAACTGGATTCTGCAACTGCAGGGTCGGAGAGCATCTCTAAACCTGACTTGGTGCCTGAAACTACCTCCAAGGCTGTCGAGGAGCCAGCCACTGACGAATCGGCCGTGACAGCCTCAAAAGAGGCCGCAGGTGAAGAACTGACCAAGGGCGAGCCTCTATCAGAGACCATCAAGGAAGAAGCTATCCCTGACTCCCTAGATGAACCAACTGCCGCAGAGCCGGAGGCCACTTCAAAAGAGCAAACCAAGGATGAACCAGCGGCTGAGCAAGATGTAACGCCGAAGGCTACGCCTGAGGTTACGGAGAAACTCGCTTCAGATGAAGTTAATGAACCTGCTGCTGCGCCAGAAGCCTCTCAGGCTGAGCTGATCCCGGAGACCGTAAAGGATGAAATCCTTGTCAACACCGAGGAACCCGTTTCCACAGATCCAAAGGCTGCGGTTAACGACCCAGAAAGCACCCAGCTACCTCTGAAAGAAATAATTCCAGATAAGGTTGTCGGCCCTGTTACCACAGAAAACGAAATCAAGGAAACGCCAGCACCCGGGTCTGATCTACTCTCGGAATTTGTAAAAGAAGCCCCTGTTGACACTGAAGCATCGGCCACATCGGAAGCAAAGGCTGCCGTTGAGGAGCCAAAGGTTTCTGAAATGACTGAAGGGGAGAAGGTGGCCCCAGTACCGGACACCACTACTGTAACAGAGATTCCTGTAGAAACCGAAGAACCCATTGACAACAACACGGAGGCAGCCACCGAAGCTTCTAAGGATTCTGAAGTCAACAAGGAACGAGTTACCAATGAAGAAATCTCTCCAGATAAAACCCCTGAAAATGACGCCACAGCACCCGATGAAGCTACTGGGGAACCAGAGGAAACCTCACATGAGCCAGAAGCACCCACCGAAGTATCAAAAGAAATTGTCCCCGAGCCAGAACCTGCACCAGTCGAATCCAAAGATGAAGAGGTTCCAGGCACCACTGAAACTCCAGCTGCTGACAAACCCGAGTCAGAGGAAGTCGTCCCAGCTACTGATAACACCGAAGCGACTCTTGATGTGTCGAATGACGCTGCCTCCACTAATGATGTTGAGGGTCCTTCCACAACAAATGAGCCAGAACTAGCTGTTGAAGAACAAAAAGACGAGCCTGTGCTCGAAATATCAAAAGAGACTCCTTGTGATAAGGTTGAAGAGAGTTCTGAAAATGTAGTGAAAGATGTCTCTCAGCCTGCCCCAACACCCGATGAAGCTAAGGACGAACTCACCAGTGGAGATACTGAACCTTCTCCAGAGCTTGTAAAACCAAGCAAAGACGAATCTAGCACTGATAAGGCCGAGGATATTGCAGAAAAGCCAGCGGGAGACATAACCGAGGCTGACACCGCCTCGGAGGAAGTGGTTAGTGAAACCAGTAAGGAGGTTGAAGCCGCTGCTGAAGAACCAGAGAAGGATGTCAAGGAATCGGTTCAGGCCTTGGAATCAGCTGAGGGTGACGTTGCCCCTGACAACATTCTGGAAAAGGAGCCAGAGACTACCACAGAGGAGCAGCCGGTGAAAGCCGATGGCAAACCAACGGAGGAGCTGCTGCAGCCCGCAGTTTCCATGGATGCTTTAGAACAAGTCAAGGAGAAAGCAGATACTGCCGTAGACGAAACTCCTGTCCAAAAGGATTTAGACATCACTTCCGAAGAATTATCAAAGGATGCTTCTGGACTTGAGACCACCGAAAAGGAGGCAAACGATGTGCCTGCCGATACTTCCGCCCAAGTTGATGAAACTGGCCTTTCCCATATTTCTGCAACAGAGAGTAAGGCTGCTTTTGTTCCAGAAAGCAATGACGTCTCTAAGAGCCAACCCGAGGTCACCGGCGAGGAAATTGTTCAACCTGCTGAAACTAAGCAAGAGACTGGCGATATTGGTGGTGGAATTGTGGATCCTGCCTCAGAACCTGTCTCTGAATCTGTACCCGAAATTACAGAAAACCAAACTAAGGACACCTCTGCCGGGGATATTCAGCCAGATAAAGAGAATGATAAGGCCTCTAAAGAACCTGTTGTTTCTGACTTGGCAGCAATCGAAGGTGTTGAGAGCGTAAAATCTCAACTAACTAGCCCAGAGGTTTCCGAACAGCCAACAAGTGAAGCACCCCAGGATAACGCCGCCACTTCTGAACTTCCAACTGAGTCGAATGAACCTACTGTAGAGGAAGATTCGCCTGTCACTGATGCACCTAAGGAGGCTAGCCAAAAGATCTTAGAGACCGACGGCTCCAAGGATACGGAAGAGACCTCAGAAAAAGTGCCTGAACACATTATTGAGGAATCAAAGACGCCAGATGAACAGAAAATCTCTGAAATCGAGGAGCCAAAGCTTGAGAAATCAGCCAACGACACTGTTCCTAAGGGCGAGACACCAGATTTTGCGCCAATTGAAGCAGAAAGCAAAGAAGCTGACTTACCTAGTGAAGATGCAAAGGAAGAGACAGGTCAAACAGTAGACGAGCCCTCCGACAAGCCGGCTGTTGAAGTTTCTGAAGGGTCTCGAGAGCTCGATGTTAGCCAAAAACCTGAGGAAGTTCATGACGAGCTGTCCATTGTCCAGGATGTTAACGAAGAGATGAATGCTCAACCTCAAGCAGAAAATGTTGTGGAAGCACCAATAGATGTGCAAAAGAAGGCGGATGTTGCAGTCATCGATACGCCGCCAGAGGTCCCGAAGGATTCTGATGAAATCCACAATGACGTCACTATGGCCGGGGAAGAACTTAAATCCGAAACGGAACGGAGCTTGGACCACGTTGCCAAAGTTGACGACAAGGAAGTCAAGGAAGCCGTAGCAGAAGAGCCCCCCACTGAGAAAGAGACTATTGAAGCTGAGACTGGACCAGAAAACCAAGATACCACTCCCGCTGTAGTTGAGCGGGTGGCGAACGAGACTCCTGTGCAAGAGCCTGAAACTACTGGAGATGACGCCCCCAAGCCAGAGAACGTAGAAGAGGTTCCCAAACCATGCGATACCACTGAAGTAAAGAACGACGTACTCGAGCCTACCGAGCCAACGGTGGCTCCTATGCAGGAAGAAAAAGATGTTACCACGGCTGAAGTTGAGCTTCCAGATGCTCCTGCTTCAGAGGTTGAGACGCAAGATACTGTCTCTGCCCTAGCTCCCAAGCCCGCTGACCAGCCTGCCAGTAGCTTAAATGATGAGCAGGCGGTTGACACTTCTGCCCCTGCCGAGACCGTAACAGATAACCTTGAAAAGACCGTTGCGTCTGAAACTGTGCCTGAGCCTACCAGTGAGGTTTCAAAAGAGGTTGATGAAGTCTCACAGCCGCCAACAACCAACACTGACCCCGAGCCTGAGGTGCATATGAATGAGGTTGAAACCACTAAAGAAGCCTCGGATGAACAACATGCAGAAAAAGTGGCCCAGGAAGATGAGGGTGGATCCAAAGCTGACCTGCCCGGTGTTTCAGTAGACTCCATCCAGGGAGCTGACCTTCAAGGCAAACTCCAATCAACTGATACCAAAGAAGAGTTTGTGATGGATGATGCAAATCTTGACGCGACTCAACCAACGGAACCTACTACAGAGAAGGGGGAAGAGCCTGCGGACGCCCCTAAAACTAATGGTGCTACGATAGCTGCGGCGCTCGGGGCTGCTGCTGTTCTTCCTGCGGCGGCACTCCTAGCGGCTCAAGTCGGCAAGTCTAAAGCTACTGATAGCAAAGCCACTATCCCTGAAACAGATGCCCCAGAAAACCTTCAGCATGTCAACACGGACACCGTTCAGGATCAACCAGAGGCTGATGTGAATGGCGAGTCTTCCAAAGATGCTCGATCCCTCCCTGTGCCGGAAGATCCAGCTATTGTCAAAGATACCTCGACTACGGATGCATCGTCCGAAAACAACCAGGCCGATATAACTGAAAATAAATCTGCCCCTGTACAACAGGTGGAGGAAACATCTACTGACAAAGATGCGCAAGAGGCTGTTACCACTGGAACAGAGCCCGTCCCTATAACTGATGACGAGTCCAAGAAAACAACTGCAGCTGAGGCCTCTAAATCCCCAGAGGAGCCAACTAGCAGCAGCACCGCGGACGCCGATGCCTCTGCCGTCGTGGCCACTACCAATGGTACCAAAACTAATGGCACTAAAACCAACGGAACTTCTGATGAGAATCGTCCTCCTACTGGCAACCAGTCCGTTAGCTCTTTCACGGCCCAGCGGAGGGATAACTTCCTCAAGGCTTTGTGGCGTGCAATCTTCGTCAACTTTTTCGGCAGCCTCTTTGGATTCCGCCGCCGTGACACCACTGCTTAATAAATTACTATTTTGGACTACCCTTACCACAAATCCCTCCTATCTATTGGAAAGATAGGTGTTGTCGATATAACCCAGCGGCTTATTAGTTGCTGTGGTAGCTCTTTTGAAATGGCCTCCTAATTTTGCGAATTTTTCATGTTTTCTTTTGTTGAGTTTCCTTTTGTATCCCTTTCATATGTACTCCCAGAATAATCCATGATATCCCCATTTTGTTAATGAATCCTGTTATGACTATTTCTGTGATGTATGAATTTTGATTTTCAACTACTCTTTTGGAGAATGGTGAATATCTGTTCTAGTCAAATAAAACGATATTATATTGCCTTTACCTTCCCTTTATAGAACTTAATGTTCTATATGACTAGTTTTGGATTTTATATACCCAAACAACCGCCTTATTCTTCTTACCCTTATGATATCCACAAACTCAGAGTGAGCCGGTCTTGGAGAAAAATGTCACAAGCCTATAGAGAGGTTAGGTAAATGACAGCAGCTTTGTGATCTATAGGCCCAATAACAACAGCCAACGAATGGAGGGAAAGGGGTTTTAGGCCATACCTTCTTCTACTAAACTCTTCTACTAAATATCTAGTGTCTAATGGCCTGCAAGCTCAAAATATGATACTATGAGATTAGCTTTAGCAAGATAGGTATTGTTCATACCTTTTCTTGTCAAGACAGTTCTTTATATTTCAGTTAGCGCCTCGCTAGCGCTATATTAAAGGAGGACAGCTTTGATAACGGAACCCTCCTTTATAAACCCACAACACACTATTTGGAAAGGCAAAGTAATCTCACCTATTTCTTTAAATATCTGACCTATCTATCTACCCTGGCTAATATCTGCTGTTTTCTTCACTGCTAGCCCCATTTAACTATCAATTTCTCTAGCTTGAAGCACAGCCTCGTGAATATTCCCCTTAATTTTGATACTGTCGTTTATCTCATCTACTCCTGCAATGGAAGGGCAAGGTTGCCAGCAGACTTCATCAGATTCGCCAGAGTTCCAAAGTGCTCGCCCAGCACTAGTCCAATTTCCTAGGCCAGCAAGTTTCTCTATCGGTCAACATGACCTTAGTGGTAAGTGGAAGGTAAAGGGGGAGGGTTATCAGAAGAGCAAGCCCAGCTTGAAATCTAGTTCTGTACCCTATCTTAGAGTATATGGCCCACCAGCCAAAGGACTATTATGAGCCTTCTCTGCTCATTAGCTATTATCCTTGAAACAAAGTGATGAATTTTGTGCTAATCTATATATTTATCAAGCCCTTGAACTTCCGAGCTTCTACCGCCACAGACAAGCCAACAATGCAGGTGAAAGGAAATTCCAAGCTCCCGTTATTTTCCCTGCCTTGAGTGAGACTGTTATCTGGCCAGTCATATACCCCAGTACGTTAAGAGCAAAGCTCCACAGAGACAAAGCCCGAGATAGTGAATTCTAATGTGTTTGTCAGCGAATTTGGCAGCTAGCCCAGAAGCTAAGGATAAAGAGAAGGGTACTACTGCTGCTGCTATAGAACCTGAACTTCCTCTCACACCAGTCAAACCAGCAGAAACTGAGGATTTCAGCCCATCCTTTGACTGCCCTAGTATGTTGAAACATTCCCTTAATGTCTTTCATACTGAAGCATGGCGTTTTCTTTTGTTTCATTTCAAAATTATTTACATATATTGCCTTACCAGCAAACCTGGTAATCCAGAAGAAACGTCTGCCAGATCTTTCCCATGCTCAGGCAACTGCTTTCCCCCAGTGGCCTTTGCATGGAACAAGATCGAGGTACGCAACAGCGCCACCACGAGCTCACCTCCACCCCCTTCCTGCTGCCCCAGCTATCCGAAAGCCAATCAAGAGGAGATATAGGGAGGTGTCGAGAGAGAGGCCCACCATCCTTACCAAGCTCATGGAACAGTTTAATGTGAGAGACTGGTCAAGGCCAGAGACTCATCCAGGAGTGACAAATGATAAGGATTATGCCGGCAGAATCATTCCAAATGATTCTGTTTCAAATTCCTCTCAGAACACCCACGGCGAGGTGAAAATTTACTATCCTAGGCTGAAGGATAGTGAATCTAGCTCTGCCCCACCGAAATCCGCACCTCTCGTACAATCGGCAGCTGACAACGTATCAAGGCCATACAAAGCGCTACCGGTTACAATAGAACGAGGAAAGCAACCAGGTCTGCGGAAAATCTCATCGGCTCCAGCTTTACCAAGGCCGGAGGTGGATACTGAGGAGTTAACCAGGCTCCTGAACTGCGATGTCCCTCGCCCGTCAAATATTGAGAGCATCATATTGGAAGGCCCGTTACTTGCAGCCACCCAAAGGGACTTTCATTCAATAGATGAAATCCCCAAGCATGTTCAGGTGCCAGTTACTCCTTGTATTCAAGGGACGTTTGAAGGAACGGTGGCGCCAGTATCGCCAGCAACGATGCCAACTGAGCCCGCAGTAGCTCACCCTCACATCAGTGATGTTATTAATACCCATTTCGAACGAATATCGATGGCTCAAGCTGCCAATTCAGATGCCATCTTGAGAAGCCTACAAGGGCTAACGAACGAAATCAGGGCGCTGCGAGTGGAGGTCAGAGCAAATACCAACCATCTCCATCAGCTCAACGGCAGAGTTGCCGCCGTCGAAGCGAGGTTGGGTGGCCTACTACAGCCATCTGGAGGCATGCCGTTGACAGGTTACCAGGGACTCGCCAACGCGCCCGGCAGCAATTTCAGCAGCAGCCAGCCCCCAATTAGGCACCCAAACCATCGTGACAGTCAACCCAATGACAGCGGACCTGTTCGCGATGCCCAGCGTGGTGAACCAAGTGAAAGGTGTGTGTACAGCCAACAACACGCCGTACTGTCCCCACGTCTAGGCATGACGTCGAACCCGCTGTCTTCGTCCACTGAGCCGTCAACAAACACGCCACCCCCTCAGAAGTCTCAGGTGATATCGCGAAATCGACAATCCGACCGGCAACGTATCCCTCGGTCCCGGGATGCCAGTGACAATAGCGAATGGGGTGGAACTTCAAACTGGTACCGAAAGGCTTGTGCAAACGCCCAGAGAAATTGAACGATGCTGTAGCAGCTCACCATCCGTTTTGCATGTACATCTTGCCGAACCAGTGCTCATGGGCAATATGTCATGTTCTTGCTACTGTGGAAAGGGACTAGCAGGTTTGGTTTGTGAAGTATGAAACTTCACCTTTCTTTCTTTTTTCAATGGCCGACAATATGGCGCATATCTAGGCTGCTTCAAGCGTTTTGGTAATAAACTTGGAGTCTTCCTCGCATCTCAACACTTCATTTATCCAGCATTGGTATCAACAGCACATTCTTCAGCCACGAGCAGGACCTTATCCAGATTCGGCATTACGGGAAAATGGCAGGCCCGTTATCTCTCGTGTCTTTGTCAGTACTACAGTCAACAAACGTGAAGAATGATCTGGGCGAGGATAATCATCGATATTTATTCTACAAATTTATTTGACAGTGGCTATGGCTTTTTCAACGTCCTTTGCAGCCTCCCTAACCTGTGGGCAATAGTGTAATTTTAATAATTCCCCTTCCCATATAGTTGAAGCAAAAACATTGCTCCTTTCTACGTCATCAGCATTAGGGTCATATATTCCGTCGCCTTTCCGCTCTTCCGTGTTCCATAGAGGTGCAATCTTTCGTCCATGTAGCTTCGCAGCACGAGTAAGAAGTGACAAGACTGCTAATGCTGATTTCTCCGGCAGCTGGAGTGCCGAAGTCATGAGCCGTTTTGTGAATCCTGCAATACGAATTGGAGGTGGCGCTTTGTTGGCCTTTGCAGTTAAAATGGATTGGAGGCATCGAATAAGGAGTACGGTGGGAGTTTGGAAGTCAACCTTCTTTGCCTGTGTATTGCTATTCGAAGAAGTGTTGTTGTCGTTTTGGTGGTCATTGTATGGATTTGGGTCGGGTAGGCGGAGTGATTTGTTAGGATGGAATTCGATATCTGGGTTAATGGATAAAGCATGTAGCGACTGGTAAATATTACTTATGAAGAAGCTCAAATCTAGATGGAGAGTTGAAGCCGCCTTGCTTGCATCTTGGCCTTCGAGAAGGGCGAATGCAGTAGTCGAACATAAAAGAGCATCCCGAGTAGCATTTCGGGTCTCATTCATATTGGGCCAGCTATCATCCTCCTCCTCGTCATTGTCCCCAGCCTCAAGCTGCGGGCTTATTAAACTCGAGCTGGTAGAGCGAGAGATCAAATCTCTGAGGACTTCTAATAAATCTCCAAAGAAGTCTTGATTGATAAGATGCGAAAATTTAGCGAGCCCCTCTAGAACAGCGCCCACAAGTTCAGGGTTGCGTGTCTTTAGAGTGCGAAAGTAGGTAGTGAATACAAGCTTTAGTGTTTCCGCTTGCATCTTATCCCGATGTTCATGGCTTACCAGGGCGTCAGCCTCCTTCATGTCCTTCTCAACAAGTTTTCGCTCTTTGATCAACTTTCGTTCCTTTTTGGTTCGAAACTCTCTTTTTTGCTTTGGCTTCTTTCCAAAGTTGTTTCCCTCTGGTTCTTCCTTATCAATCGCATCCTTGGAGCCCTTGGACGAGAATTCGGAAAGCAGTCGCAAGTGAAGGAATGTATCAAGTACGCCTGGTCGAATCCTGAACTCCTTCGCTTTGATTGCCTTGGCCAGTAAAGTCACAGCTTCTAGAGAGATGGTGCCGTCATCATCCTTGGAAAACACCTCCTCCATGGTTTCACGGCACTTGACAAACTCTGCATCTATCTGTCGACGCGCCAACTGTCCAACTAGAATCTTCAGCAACTCCCCACGGAAATTGAAATGCGGAACGGAAGTTAGAAGGCTGCAGGCACAATTGACCGACAAGCTCTTCAGGCCAGAGCTATACGCCTCACTCCCTCGTTTGGCTCGAGCCAACAATGCAAGTTGTTGTACATATTCGCGATAGCCTGAAAGAAGCGATTGCTCGAACGCACGGAGTTGTTTCACTTCTTTAGAGACTTTTGCCGTCAGCTCTTCGCCTTCTAATGGCCGTATCCGATAACCAGGTATGACATCCTTGTACACTGCCGCCTGGGTGGCTAGCGCAAGTTTCTTCACTGCTGGGAGTGACGCAGATGCTGTCATTTCCGTTAGTTTCTTAAAAAGATCCATATGCTCTTCTGGCTCTTCGTTTATCTGCGAGGCTATCCGAGCCAGAGCTTCTTTTGCTTCTAGTATCTGGATCTTGACGGGCACAGAGGATTCTGGCGCAGGAACTGTTTGAGCGTTCGAAGCAGGTTCATCATCTTCCACATCAGATGAAAATATGTCGCTCTCTGAGCTTTCCTCTGGCTTCTCATCTTCCTCCAGATGCTCCAATGTGCCCTCCTGCGTCTTTATCGGCAACCGGGTCTTTTCCTTGCCCTTCTTCGTTTTCCGCGGCCTGCGCTCGTAGTCCTGCTCGAGGTCCCATTGTGCTGCCTGGCTGTAAAACTTGCTTTTCAAATTTGTTGAATCGCCCGACGGACTCAGCCGCCTCCTTTTTACAGAGACACTGGCCGCCATCATATGTGAATTAAAAGGGTCGTCTTTTTTTTTTTTTCTTCCTTATTTGATATCTTGATGTGAAGAGTAAATAAAATTTCTTTCTCGGAAAAAAAGTTGCCAAGATTTCGCAACTCTAAAAATTCATATCGATAAAGGAAATATTTCTTCAGCAAGATACCGAAACAGTCAGATTTCCCGCCATCAAGTCGGTAGTCTTAATTAATACGGAGCACCAAGCTGCCTGAGAGCATACTGAGGTCTAGCTACAACGAACACCCAGCCATGCGCCCACTCACAGAGTCCGAGACTCAAACCCTCTTCACAAAGCTCGCCAACTACACCGGCCGATCTCTGAATCATCTTATCGCACCACCCACCTCGTCCAGCGACGAGTCCGCAGATGATCGTTATGTCTTTAGACTGCACGGCTCGAGAGTCTACTATCTCCGCGTCTCTGTGGCCAATCTTGCCACGTCGATTGCGAGGCCGAACTTGTTGTCGATAGGTACCTGTCTTGGAAAATTCACAAAGACCGGAAAATTCAGACTTCATATCACGGCGCTAGATGTGATAGCACCGCATGCCAGGTATAAGCTGTGGATCAAGCCCAATGGAGAGATGCCGTTTCTCTATGGCGGAAATATCGTAAAAGCGCATGTTGGCAGATGGAGTGAAGATTGCCCGGAGCACCAAGGAGTGATTGTGCTGTCTATGGATGATACGCCTCTTGTAAGTTTTATTTTATACCTTTTGTCTTTTCACTTTGTACTGCAAAGTGCCAAGCAGTTATTTGTTACAGCAGTTATTTGTTACAGCAGTTATTTGTTACAGCAGTTATTTGTTACAGCAGTTATTTGTTACAGCAGTTATATGTTACAACATTGTCTAATCTGTTATTCTCGTCCAGGGCTTCGGAGTCACTGCTCGATCTACCATGGAGGCTCGAAAGTTAGACCCAACTGGCGTTGTGGCATTTAGGCAAGGGGATATAGGAGAATATTTAAGAGAGGTAAAATTTTACTCATATCAATTGCTATACCAATGTTCCTTGCTGACATATTACTTAGGAGGATACCCTTTTCACTACGTAGCTTACGTTCAATGGTCTATTTGCAGGTACAAAAAGCGGGCACTGATGTTTTTTGCGCTACCGGAGTTCTATAGTGGCACTGTACTTTATAGATAATTATAGTTTCTTAGATGGGTTTGAGATAGCAAACGTTTATTATTGTCAAGTGTCACATCTACTAAATCCAAATTTAGTATCTCTGACCATTCTACTTTTGTATTCTACCGTTGAAAGCTTGAATTTCCATATGTTTTCATTGTCTTTTTTCCTTTTTATATGCAGAGTCAATGGTTCGGCTTTACTTTCCGTTTAAGGACGCGTTTATGTAATCAATTTAACCTTATTCCTACCTCAAAATAATGTCACGTGCCTTATCCCTCACCTTCTTTAGGTCCGTGCGTTTTTCTCTCTTTCTTCCTTTTCAAAGTAAACAAATCAAGAAGTAAAAGAAGAAGAATAAGGAAGAAAGGATATTTCTCTCCTTTGAATAAATCAGTGCAGCTTGAACCCTGATCTTCTTCGAAGGGGGTGCTTTTATTCCTATCTCTCTGCATCAAACCTGCAACTGTGTACCCCTCTGATACCCAACTGAAGAGCCATGCCACCAAGCTCGAGTCAGAAAAGTGCTATAGCACAATTTGTTAGTGTCACTGGAGCAAAAGATAGTGTTGCCATGAAGGTATAACATTGTCCCAGTTTATTTTTTCATCTATGGGCTCCTTTTCTGAGAGCTCGGATTTGCTTCTCTATGCTAACTATACGTGACATCAGTGTCTCAAAGCAAATGGTTGGAAGGTAGACCAAGCTATCGATGAGTATGTATCACCTACTATCCTATCATTTATGTCCATTTCCAAGCCCTCTTATTGCTGTTTTTAATATATTCTTGCTGCCCCTCTTCTGCCCGACCTCTGTACCGGTTACCGAATCTGTCAATGTGTTAGATTCGATTCATCGAGCGTGATTGGAAACCCCTTCTAGAGTGGGGTTTTTTGTTTGAATGTGGGTTTTCTAACAGCTGGTTTCGCTTGAAACTGGAGCATACTCCAGCTATCTGATGGTTTCTGCCCAATATCTATATAATACATCATACTACTTTTAACTTATTTTATTTACCGGTGTTCACTACAAATTTCTGCAAAGTACCATTCAGGCTCTTCTAAATTCCATACTAACCAGGGTTTTCAATATTAGCTACTTTCAGAATGGTCAGTCCGGAGCCGTGCAAGACAGAGCAGCCGCGGTGAGCAAAATATTCGACAAATACAGAGGTAGAGCAACCATCCCGCCCTTTATTCCTATCGGAGCTAATAATAGTGGTAGACGACCCCGACAGCCCCGATGAAATTGGTATCAATGGCGCTATGAAATACTTTGGTGATATTCAGGTCAGGTTAGATGAGGTTGCTTGTCTTGCCGTGGCTGAGTTACTACGTTCCCCATCCATGGGCGAGTTCACTCGGAAGGAGTTTATAGAAGGTTGGATAAAAACAACAGAGTATGCCAGCCCCTTGACACCTTTTGCTATTCTTATATACTTACGATGTCACAGGTGTGACACTATCCAAAAGCAAGCCGCATATGCGGATAGCCTGCGTAATCTGCTTCTGGCAGACTCGGACTACTTCCGACGAGTATATCGCTATACTTTCCTTCTGTGTCGAATGCAGGGCCAGCGCAATGTCAACATAGAAATTGCCACGGAGCAGTGGCAGCTTTTCTTCACATCGGAGAATGGAGGGATTGCTTGGGAGACGGAATCCGTGCCATGGCTGAAATGGTGGGTCGAATTTATTGAGACCAAACACAAACGTCCAATCAATAAGGATCTGTGGGAGCAAACAGAAGTTTTGATGCGCAAAACTATGGAGGATGAATCGATGGATTGGTGGAGCTCTGATGCTGCATGGCCAGGGGCTATCGATGATTTCATTGCCTTTGTAAAGGAGAAACAGGGGGCAGGGGTAACACAGCAATGATAAGTATAGAGATATGTAACTTGCATTTTGCATATACTTCCCTTCTCTTCATCCTTTTCCATCTACTTTTTCGGTGGGGGCAATGCTTGGAGTAGTATTACTATTTACATTTACGTTAAGAAGGCCAATACATAGAATAACTCCTTTGGCTATTGTTTCAAGGCATAGTACTTAGTATATATAAATGCTGCTATGTACCAGAACCCAACAATGAAGTAGTGAGCAATCACATGTAATTTTTCCTATAATAAAGAGTTTAAACTATTCGATTAAAAACAATAAAAAAAAGTATAAATATGATAGCAAACAATTTATAAAACTGCTAAACACTAAGAGCTTGTGTTCCATACACCTTGCAGCTGCAAACAAGATATTCCGAAAGCTATTCCGCCCAATCCCTCATTTAAAATGGTGATGGGTAGAAACTGGTATAAAATTTATAGGACTACACGTAGTTTGGGGGCTCGGAGAAAAGAGCAGGGGAGTAGTAACGTTTAAGCAATGCTGGGGGGTAGGGACTTGCCTATGTAAGCCCGGCTCGGTATACAGCTGAGGGAGACAAAATAGGCACGAACATTGCGAATGAGACGCTTCAGAAGCTTGGTCATCCTGCTGTTTGCTTTGGCAAGAGGAACATTGCTGTGATTTACCATCATTGTCTTTTTGTCCTTTGGGATCGTTTGTTTGCCCAAGGCTAAAGCCCTGTTTCTGTCCCAGAACGGCAGCTGTTTCGTATAGTTTTGATATCTCAGGGTGTATCTGCCGAAGTAGCTCCAGCTCTGAAGGCGATAGGTTTCCCCTGGTGCCAGATTGCCCTGGGGTTTCTGTAGATTCTTCAGTTTTTCGATTCTCTCCACTATGTGCAGTTATACACGCGAATGCTTTTTCAAGGACCAAGTTCTCGAGGGCTGCTGTATAGTCTATATTGAAAAGTCCATTTTTCTCCCGTAGTTTCGTAAGGTTACCTCTCCACTGCTCAGCCTGCAGGATATCAAGGTTGGTAAATCCTGTGTTTGAGGAAGTTGCTTTAGCAAGGAACTCTAACACCCATCTGCGTAGCCTATTTCTGTCATCGTCATTCCTAGTGGGGCTGTTGTAAATCTCATCAAAGATCGAGATCGGATTGGCATGTGTTTCACTCAGCGAATACATTCTCTCCATTGCGCTGTTTCTTAGATCAGAGAAGTCCAGCATGCTTGCTAGGCTAAACATCCTGATATCGGTTGCCAAATAATTCTCGATTTCAGGGGCATAGGTCAATATGATGGGTGGGCCCTGAGCAGTTGTAGTTGTGAGATAAGGAGATGTGACTTTGACTAGCTCTGGAGGATAGTCTCCATTTAACAGATATGAGTAGAATGCACAGAATATCTGATGAGACGGCGCGGGTATGTTTAGGAAATTGACATCTTCGGATAATTTAGAAGCTAGCGAGCAATCCTTTCTTAAGTTGGAACGTAGAAATGGGACAGCGAAATTTTCATAGAGTAGTTCAACGTAATCCTTTGGTGAGGAGTGGTATTGTGTACGCAATACGGGGGTGAACCTCTGGTTCCCAATATCCACGATGTGGATATAGTGTGATTTTGGACTGATGTTAACCGTTAGTTATGTAAGTGTGCGAGGCGGTTCTTTAAACTTACTATGGATTACCGAGATCCGACTTCCCATTATTTTCCTGTTCTGGTTTTAACTCCTTTAAGGTCAAGGTATGATGGTGGCAGGTGTTTCTGTCTAAGAAATCCCTTGAGTGGTAGGTACAGCATTTCCCTGGTTCGGCCAAACTAGCAACCGCCCTTCCCTGACGACAAAGTTGATGGTGATTAGTTGGGTGATGTCGAGTACGATCAAAAATGAACAGATTCGGCATCTGTTTGAATCCCCGAGGCTGAAAGACGTCCATGATTTTATATATCAGGGTGCTGTAAGCTAGATTATGGCCGAGATTCTGTCTTTCTGAACCGTGTTTATTGTCGCTAGGAGGTCCACAGCAGGCAATGAAGTATGCGTGGGCCATGTGATGTATCAAAACTGATATGATTCCTTCAGCTGAACCCTCTTTTATCAGGGTGTTTTGAAGGTCAATAGTGATTCTCGTGTCCCTTGTTCCCGGTTTGCTGGTCAACCCATGAACGGCCGAAGGCAGGATATTCGACCACCTGAGATAGACTTGATCTTTGAGTAAGCCTCTAAAGAGGCAAGAATCGAACGTATTAAATAGTCGGAAAGGGAGATATTTAAACCCATGGGATGGACAACAAGGTATCTCCAAGTGCGGAGTCCGAAAGTTCTCAAGAGCATCAAGGGCCAGTTTCGTCGCTAGAACTTCACTGATCCCTAGGTTTGGGAGCGAAGATGCCTTTAAAGCACGTAAACCAGAGCCTGATTTTTCTCCAGCCGCCTCAGCATAGTCTCGACAAGTACACCGTAGATGACGCATATTAGAAATAGCAGGGTAAAGATATCGTGAAGGTAGGATAGGTCAAGTGGTGAAATCGACACTATAAATCTAACAGCTTTGAAGGTGGAAAAGTCGGGCTGTGTGCTTAAATACCATGGCTCAGGAAGAGTCTCGACTATACACGTTAATATTATCAGGTAATACTAGCGTTGGGGCTCCATGTTTGATGTCACACGGTGCGGACCGCTTGGACATCAATGGCAGGAAATATATTTAAAGCGTCCAAAACACAATCTGCCCAAGCTATCCAGAGTAAAACTTGCTAGTAAATAAACAGGCCATCATAGATATGGGGGTGTCAGAATATCATCCTATTCTGTATATCTATGAACACGGCAATGTAAAACGTAGTAAATATTCGGTCGTCATCAGGGGCTGGAGCCTATAAGATTCAAAGGCAACACTCGCCTGCTTAACTGCTATAGTTTGTCAGTGGAAACACGAAATCATTACTACCAGGCCGGCTAACTCACATATTAGAAGCCCAAACAGTGAGGTATGCCTCGTCCAGAAACTTCTGGCCTCTTTTGCTTTGTATCACGGCCAACCTTCGAGCGGGAACAAATACCCATAATCAGGCGGACACGTCACGGAAAACTGAAGAAAGGTAGTATAGAACGATGTTAAAATCCGATATATGGTTGCTCTCGTGTTTTCATGCTGGACAGTAGAGCTGCTTTGGTCACACTGTGAGTATTGGCTGGGCGTTTGCAGAGCGCAAATCCGGATGATTATAGGTAGTAAGTTCTTTGCACATGTTGGGTATGAGTTAGGTGTGGTAGAGCAATTCAACGGTGTGGTGATGATGTATCCCCTAAAACAATATAGATCAGATATCCATAACTAATGGAAAGAACTCACATCTTATTATGCTGCTATCACAGACATAAAGTAGACCATTCCGGAGACAACGTTACTAGGCCAGGGAAAGCAGAAATTCATTCAATATCACGTAGAATTAAGTCGGGACCGGGCATATATAGAGGTACATGAAAACAACAAAAAGAGGACAGATAGGGGCCGGGCCGTACAAAACAGAGAAAGACATTGAAAAGGTCTTGTTCCTCTGTTGCAATTCGCCACGACGGTCCAGTCTGTAAGAACCAAGGGGGAATGAAAAAAAAAAAGCGGAAAAGTCAAACAACAAAAGCAAAAGGCCGTATAACAAAGGAAAAGAAGAGGGAGGGGATATCGCAGGTTTGATACTATCTTGGAAACTAAATGGTCAATATATATCGATTTGGCGCGGACAGATGGGGGGTGAAAGGGGAAGAAGGATCCGCGTTACAAAAGAATATACATGACTGCAGGCGAGATTTTGAGACTTTTCCTTTTTGCTGATGTAGTTTCCAGAGAAAGAGATTTCGGCGGGCGAGCATGCAGTGTCAGGGAAAATGTGATGCTGCATTTAAGGTCGTGCTGCTGAAGACTTGATACATTAGCCCCGCCCACCGTAGGGAGTATCATGGAGATACGACTGAAATTAGTAGTCGCGGCGTGGTGGTGGTGGGTAGTCCTCTGGGCGGCCGGTAGAGCTCTTTCCGGAGCCAAATTGCTAAAGAAAAAACGAATAGGTTAGATATACGATAGGTTGCATTGAAGGCATACGGGTCCATACCTTGCGCTTGAGGGCTTCGAGTCTCTTCTTCTTGGTGTGAGCGTTGATGTAGGTTCCGATGATGAAACCGACGACGTTGAAGAAGGGCACCCAAGCCTGTTCGGGGAGGAACTGCTGGGCAAAGGCCAGGGAGAGAGGAGAGACGATCCAACTAATCTTCATGACGGGCATGAAGCCAGCCTTGACGGTTGCGCGGACCTGGTGGAAGGTGCGTGCACCTGCAATGATGGCCATTGACGTGAGGTATATCACGTTCTGGATGGGAGAGACCTGTCGTTAACCGTTAGCTATGGCTAGTTTTCCCACGGTCAAGCGCCGGCAAATTGACGGATAAAAACATACGATCAGGTTGCTGATGAGGATCTGGAAGATCTTTGCCTTCAAGCTGGTGCGTCCGGCAAAGACCTTCTGTAGGATGCTGATGAGCAGGTGACCGAGCGGCGCGCTGACGAAGGCGCCGTAGAGTGCCATCTTGGGGATGCGGGAGTTGAGATAATGGCCATGCTTGCTGCGGTCGTGCGCGATCCACGAGGCGAGCAGTTCCTGGATACCGAAGAGAGCACCGGACGTGATCATCTTCGTTCGTAGCGGGTTCGACTGGAGCTCCTTCAAGTACGCCTATAGACAGGTCCGTTAGCCAGGTTGTCGCCAGCCACCGGTAACAGAGGCAACCCAGCGGTAAAAGAGGACGAGAACACAACATACAGCGAGATAGCCATTCTGCGTCTTGCCTCCAGTCAGCCGCTCACCGACCGCATGCACGATGTCCTCGCTGGCCTTAGTAGCGGCGGTGCTTGCGTTGCGGACGGTGTCCTTCTCGAACTTGACGGAGGTCGTCATGGTTACAGGAAGGCTGGGCCAGGGAGGCGAGGAACAGGCGCGAGCGAGAGAGAGAGAGGTCGATGGCTGGTTAACGATCGATTGAGAGGATGCGACGGTGCGAGAAGACCAGCGATCGGAGATGTTGTCGCTTCCAATTTGCGGGTGGTTTGGATTGGACCAGGCGGAGGGGAAGAAGAAGAAGGGGAGTTTTCTTTTGGTCGCGTTCGAGCCGGGCTGGGAAGCTTTTTAGCGTTTATTTTTGTTTGTTGTGATCGCAGCCGAGGTTGGCAAGGATGATGGACGAGCGGAAGAGCAGAATAAGAGCAGAGTAAGTGGTGGACGGTGGATGGCAGAGAGTGTAGTTGGTAGAAAGTCGAGGAGTGAAAGAAGTTGAAGTTGGAGAAAAGTTGAAGCTGAAGTTGGTTACCCGATTAGGCAATTCTCGATGTATACAAAGATTTGCCTGTAGAATGCAGAGAAATAGAAGATGGATGCTACGGATGATGGATTATAGATATTGATATATAGATATTGTATACAGATAGATGCTGTAGGGATACCGGTGTATATAGCTAGTATTATGTATCCTGTCTGTGTAGATGGACATTATCTATATCTTTGCAACTACAGACCAAGGATATGTATGAATGATATGAATACACTCATCTTTATACAATAATCTATTGAATAATCATCTTGAAATAGGTAATATATATATATACAAAGACAAAATGTTTGATCTATGGCTGTGCTCGCCCAACATAGAGGACAGTCTGGATATCTTCATCTCTCCTCTCCTCTACCATCATCATCTTCTTCATCTTCTGCTGGTTCTTCATCTTCATATTCGTCTTCATCCGCTTCTGCCTGCTGGTCTGGCAGCTCATCTTCATCGTCAGAGAGAACCAGAGTCGATACTTTATAGCCAAATCTTCAACATCCGGCTCATCCTACCAGCATATCCGCCATCTTCATCCACCCCTCCAAGAAGAAGACAAGAAGAAAGGAAGAGAACAAAAGGATGAGCTTGGTACGAGGTCAAGGAGCCCGCAGCTGGCACGCAGAATGCACCCACACAACCATGACCCGCGTCCTCGATGTCGACGGCAGCATCGGATGTTCTCGCTGTGGCGTATTCAAGACGATGCGGTGGGTGTACATCTGCACCGAAGACGAGCAACGCTCGCTCAGCGACGAGTTCATCCGTGTTCTTGCTGCCCCCGTCTCCTCGAGTGACTCGACCAAGGCATCCACGCTGCGAGACGACCAGCTGTTGCCACTGAACGAGTGGGTGTCGGAGGCCATCGGCAAGGGATACTACACAGACGAGGAGATCAAGTCACTCAGGGAACAGCGTGCTGCAGTGCTGGAGAGCATACGCATGCAGTCGACGCGTAACGAAGAGGAAAAGGAACAGGCACAGTCGACCGCAGAGGCCCTTCGACGGTCCCTGGTGGCGCCTCCTAATACGCAGGGTATTGCGGCAAGACAAGAGGCATCAGAGTATTATCTTTCTGCAGAACCAGGATATCATCCAGAGGCAGACCACAAGACCGTCATCCCGCCATGCACTACATCATACTGCCATTACTGCCGCCCAAGTGGCTGCGAGAGGTCGTGGCAGAGCCTGGCGGGACTGTGCCATAACTATGACTCTCTAACCCTTACAGAAAGCCGCAGCGGGAAACCGGTGACCAGCATCTTCGACATCCCCATGAGTGAGATCCGCCGCCCAATTCCTCGTCGTGTCCCCAGATACGGTAGCAGAGAGGCCCCTGGGGGCGAGAATACCGACCCGGCGGCCCCCCCAAGCTCTCAGCATGGGGACGAGGGATCCGAAGGAGATGAGCAGCCTACTGAAGAAGAGGCCGAGGTTAAACAGGACTGTCCAGGTAGACAGGCCAGGCCAACGAAGCGGCCATGCCTGACAAGGAGACCAAAATTCACTGCTGCGCAGCTCATCGAAAGGACGAACAGAACTGCTGGGACAGTCGATACAGGGGCGGTAGACGAAATAGCAGAGACGGAGGAAGAAGAACCAGCAGAGGAAAAGACAGACGAGATGAACTAGATACTTGGACTATATCCTGTCTTTTAATAATGCTTAATGCTAATACAATGATAATAATAAGCCGAAGATGGAAACTAACCTCGGCTGAAACTCGCGGAGAAAGGTTGCGCCTTTTCAGCCATGATTTAAATATTCAAACGAAAAAGGAGAAACTCCTTTCGATTCCTAGATAACATCGAAGGAACAAGATCAATTCGATGGAGGAGAGCTTGACTGAATCGACCGTCCTGGTGGACATTGCGCCCTCAGCGCCTCAGCCTGCCAAAGCGGTCGAGATGGAGGACGAGAAGCCGTCCTCTACGCCATCAGCCATAGATTCTACCATCCTGCGACTGAACAAGTAAGTAGTGAACTATTAAATCGGGGGAATACAAGACTAACAAGAGTAGATTCATCTCCAGCGCCCATGGGACAGAACGAGCTTTCGCAACAGTCGGATACTCTGCGCATATCCTCCACTACGCCCTCACTCATTCGCGCAGACTGAATCATCTCGCTCTCTCTGCCCTTGGTAGAAAGACGCCGTCATCAGCATCATCAGCAGCATCATCATCTTCTTCCGCATCCTCTGCTCACCCACATCTTCTCGCACTCGCATCTCTCGTTTCTGAAACACGCACTTCGCTAAGGCTGCTCGGCCTCATACCGCTCTGGGCATGGGGCTCGTCTATATGTAAATCACCCCCCGCAGACCCTGTCCTGCGAGCCATTGCGTATGGCCAAGTGATATCCTGCGTTCTCTTCCAGTTTCTCGAGAACGTTGCCTTCCTGGCTTCCAAGGGGGTCCTTAGCAAGCGGGCGGTGGAAAGATGGGGCAGTCTATCCAAGTGGTCTCTCTGGAGCATAAGGGCATGGCTGACGCATATCCTGCTTGAACTTGTCAAGCTTGTGAGGGAGAGTCAGATTGCGGCTCAGGAGCAGAGGAGAGGGAGGGATGATGCTGCATCGGCTGCTGAGAAGGGGGTCAAGCAGAAGGGCAAGGAAGAGGCTGCAAAGATTGCGCTGAAGGCAAAGGCGTGGAATCAGAGACTGGTGAACAGTCTTGCCTGGCTGCCGCTGTGTCTGCACTGGAGTGTTGACGGTGGAATCGGTGTCCCTGCGAGCCTGGTAGGCGTGCTCAGTCTGACGGCTGGTGCATGGGGGATTCATGACTTATGGCTTGCTACTTGAGCCAATACGTTTTTAACATATTCGTTTGGGAGAATGATTATTAGAGCGTTTAATGCCCGGTTCACGCTTTTTTGAGTACTCTGTATAAACATTATGTATTGTTATATCTATATAACTCTAGCACGTCTATCTAGATAGCAATTCAGAGTTTGGCGCAGTTAGAGCCGACATAGCCCTTTGGAGTCTGTGCAGTATCAGTTAGCTCATATCTGATATGATTGATATCAAGGGATGTGACTTACCAGGCTGTAGCTCTTGCAGCAGACGGGAATGAGGGGCTGGCCGGGAGCCTGGCAGTAGGTAGCTCCTGGAGTGGCGCCTATATTCCGGTCAGTCAAGATGTTCCGGCTTAGAGATAACAGTCCCTACTAACAGGTATAGGCGTTTTTGTTCTCATTGAGCATCTGGCAGCAGTTGACCTGGGTTCCGGCAGGGCACTCAGCAGCCTGGACGAAGGCAACGAGGGAGAGAGCAGAGAAGATGAAGCTGGAGACACGCATCTTGACGGTAGATCTTCTTTTGTTCAAAAGATATATATGTATGTATGTAGGTTGGAATGGGCTGTTGGTATCAAGGAGGGACTTTTTCCTGTCAACCAGGACAGAGAGGCCCTTTTATATCCAGCAAGTAGATCCCTTTACGGCCAGACGATAGATGTCTTAGATTGGCCCCAAAAATAAAGTCGATTCAACATGTATTGACTTTCCAGCTCTTGACATTTTCCACATCTCGTATTTGCATTTTGGCTTGGATTCTGTTGGACGAAAGGACAAAACAGTGATGGGCTTTCCAAGCCGTCAGCTGGATCAGCATCTATCAGATTCACTATTCCCATCCAGGCCAGTCGAAGGAAGAGGAAAAGGGGGTGCTGCTGGGACTGGGACAGTTCTTCCAGTCGGATAGGGACACATCTTTGCGCTAGACACAGCCCAAGTCCGCGAGATCTCCGTGGGCGTTTGCTTTCTTCTCTTTTCTCTTGCCAGAGTGAACTGCAACAGGTACAAAGCTGTACCGAGTGCGGAATATTTCAACCCGAGTTGGCGTCTTGTATGTTCGTTTCCGTGCTGGAGGGCTCCGTAGACAGACACCATGTAGGCCGTATCATCCAGACAGTCGTGTCAACATGAAGACAGACAGGGCTTCAGAACATGCAAGACATGCTGCCCGCAACGTTCAAGTCGATATGTAGCTGCTTGGGAGGAGAAGAAAAGGTTCAAGCCACAAGGCTGCGGCTGAAGGGAGCAGAAAAACCATGGACTGAGGCAGGACTTTTTGATAGAATACCGCCATCCCAGGACGTTGAAGAACCGAATAAACTAATATTCCACAGCCGTCGATAATGAACAAACGGAGCGTCTTCACGACGGTGACTCCTCTGCCGGCCTACATCACCCGCGAGATGGTGGTGAGGACGCTGCACGAACACAGCGAGATGATCAAGCTGAACCCCCTGGTCATCGACTTCAAGAAGTGCTCGCCGCCATCCCACGCCCCGCCAGACGAATTCCACTGCATCTGGTACGAGCTGACGGACAGGGTGCAGTACCTGCCTGGCGGTCTGCTGTCCGGCAACGTTTCGTACAAGGCCTGCTTCCACGACCTGCCCGGCGGCCTACAGACTCACGTCTACGCTCCCACCGGCCTCGACATCCAGGAGAAATGGAGTGTGGGGGGCAACATGCCGGGCGAACCTCGAGAGACGGTCGAGCTGGGCCTACTGGGGGCGCCACGAGAGGGACTCTATCTGCGTGAGGACGTCAATATGCGCTGCAACGTCCTGACGACGGGTTTCGTGAAGAGGACGCTGCGCCGCGCGCACAGCGTGCTGGTCGACCGCTTGATATTTAGGGCCGATATCGAGGAGCAGAAGCGGGCAGGCTCAGAGACGGCAACGACGCCTTCACTCTCGCCGTCGCTGATCCACCAGGAGCGGATGGCTCACTGCTCCAGCTGGGCCAACAGCGTCAACAGAGCCTCGCAGTCGATGTCGATATCGACGGACCACCAGCAGCAGCTCTCCCATCCGCCGCTGAGTACTAGGGGTTCGATCTCGGAAATCGACAGTCAACATCCTCCACAGACCGCACAGAATCAACCGAAGGTCTTTGAGCTGGCGTGAACCGGTTAGTTTTTATCTACGGAGTATCTGCTTAAGGCGCCTGGAGCTGGTTGTCGTTTCTATTGTAGTTTTATATATGGACATGAATGAATTAGAGTCATCAATAGGGATTCTTCTCTTTATCTATTAATGGAAATATTGAATAACAGCTATCCACCGTATGGGTGCTTTATTGTAAGGATGTCTACAGAAAGTTGAGACTTCAACTTCTTACACCTACACGAGAAACGGCAAAGACATCAACTCGACCGAAAGTATTCTTGTTTCTACCTAACTATCACCTCCTGACTATCTTTTTGTGCTTTTCTACTGTTTTATTCTTCGTGCCGACGTTAATATCGCTTTCCAGTCGGTAGATTCGGAAGTACGTGGATAAAAAATATCCCAACTTCATCAGATCCAGATTTTCGATCCGAAGTCGGTCAGACCAAACTCCAGAAGTTGATCTTGTTGTAATAGCAGAGGACCTGCAGGCTTTCTGGCGAGTTGTTTGAGACTCGAAAGACTCGCATCGACAGGTTGTGCTCGTCCATCTCCTCCGGCTGGAGACTATCTGCCAGTCTCTGTCCATGCGTTCCCATGAGACGGTGGAAGATCTTGGGTCGCTCGTTGACGCTGTCTGGTCCGTTCCCTGCCATCAAGCGGACGGCCTCCATCTTGTGAGCGACGGTCAGGACGATGCGGCGTGCGTTTTCTTCGTTGCCTTTGCCGTGGAGCCAGAACAGGTTGAACCACTGCTTGTCTTCGTTCTTGGAGAGACACCAGATGGCATCGAGGATCTCTTCGTTGGCGCTCTTGCTGAGCGTGTCCTCCCAGTCTCCCATGTGAGCTAGCAGGGCCCGATACCACCAGAGTCGGGCTTCGTGCATCTCCAGCAGGTCACTGGCACGCTGCATGTGGAATGCGGCCTCGTCTGTGGCATCGATACCCAGCTTGATGGCCACCAGTCGTGTGTGAGCCATGCAGAGAGTGTCTCGCCAGAACTTGGGGAAGTCCGGGGAGATGCCGTACTTGTTGATTCCATTGATGAAGAAGAAGCTCCATTCGGCCATCTTGACCTCTTCACGGCGCCAGTCGACCTTGTTCACGTCGGAGTTGAAACAAGGCAGATAGTTCCTCAGCATCCGGATCAGCTCGTTGTCCTCGAAGCGGGTTTGCAGGTGGTTAAGCGGAGTTACCGAAAGACCAAATTTGATGTCGTCAACCACGATAGTCGCGCGACGAGCTTCATCGCCTGGCTCGAGGATGCGGAGTGGTTCGAGCATGTCGGCAATGCGGCTCAGGACACCCTGCATCCGCGCATGGGAGAAGTGGTGGTCGACTTTGACCCGAATGACGATGTTCCATGGTACCTCGCAGTATGAAATCAACATGGCCACCAGATCCCAGACCCCGTCCACAGCCATGATGAAAAACTGCTGTCGCGCTGGGTTCGCATGTGGCTCTCTTCCGACAGTGATGTCGATTGCAAAGTAGTTCACGTCGCCGGAAAGCTCACCCAGGCCAGCGAGATTCCAGTCTCCAGGAACAGGAATGGCACAGCCCATATCTTCCATCCCTTGAGCAATCATCCTGTCTTCAATGCGGAGGAGAACCCATAGATTGCGTCGGCCCAGGAAAGGAGCCGCCTCCCGATAGATCTGATTGTTCACCTGCAAGATCGAAGTGCTAAAGTTGTATTTAGTCAGGCGTGGACACATGGACCAGACCCAGTCCGTCGGAGTGTCAGAGTCGGCCATGTCATCAATGACCTCAATGGTGTCCCATTCTTCATTGATTTGATGCTTCATCGTGACTTCACAGTCGAGCAGCATCCTATAAATGTTTTGACGGATATGAATAGGCAGAGCCAGGAAATAATTAACTGCAACTGGCTGCTGGACTTGTCCTACTGCTCCAGAGGCAGTGATGGCAGCCATAGCAGTGAGAACAGAAACATCAACTCCTGCCAAATGGTCCACGGCCGGCGTTGCACCCTGTGCATACACGTCACCGGCTAGACCTGTCTGGCCCACGACTGTCAATATTTGCCCTTCTATATCCCAATCGAGATCAATGTCTTCTAAATTCCAATTATAGCCCATGGGAATCTCCATCCTGTCAACCTACGTGTTGATGTTAGCCCTGAGCCCCGACAGACACCAAAACTGGACTACATAACATACCTTTTCTTTCCCCTGTCCTTCAAATATTGATACCCTTGATATGAAAGTGATCCTCTTCTATGTATCACCATTAGCATACACCATTGTAAAGAGAAAGAAGATCAAGTCCAAGGACCTTGACCTTGACTCACCTTGAGAAGAGAAGCCCCTTGATACCTTTGCTGAGTCCCGCGTCACTACGGCGCTTCTATCACTTGGTCAGCTATACCAATGGGTAAAAACAACTACTGAAACCGCCATCTGTGCCCCTGAAAAGGTTGAAATTTGAAGTCCAGAGTTGAAACCTACCTTTAGAAGCCCAGCCAGGAGGAGATGCCTTCAAGATACCACTCCGGATAGACAGCCAAGTTTGAAGGAGAAGACTGCCACTCTCAGTGGTTAAATAAGGTGAAAGAAGTAAGACTTGCAGTCTGAAGAGAAGGAGAAGATAATAACAGTATGTTAGACCGACGCATGAAGAAAACTCTTCCGCTTAGTCGCCAGAAGGACGTCCTCTTCACAGATGAGTTTTTTCACACCACTCATCCTTGAAGGAGACATCATGCTAGTTTTAATAGAAGAAGGCAGTGTGACTCAAGATGCAAAGGAGGAGCATATTCACTGTGAAGAGGTTGTTTCCTAGATTTTTTTTAATAGGCATCTACCGTTTGTGTATTTTGCCTCCCAACTTAAAGCATGGAGGTTGCCTATAAACTGGTGATTCTAGCTCAGTCTACAGTTATATCCCCCCCAGGGCATCTGCCTCTCTAGTCTACAGGTTCATATTAAGGGTTAAATCCATGCTGGATCTAATATCATAATACCTTTGTGATTATGAAGTGACTGACAAGACAAATTTGAATTTCAGACGGAAAGGCCTTGTTCTATTGTTGTTGATATTCAAAATAAGAGAAACTAAAGGGGTATTGTTTTAATGCTCCAAAGTACATAAAATGATTTCCAATGATATCCAAAAACACCAGTTACCAAGATATCCAGAGCCCCATATTTAGTATTTCCACTTTTCTGATATGTAATGTCAGCATATATATCAAATAATGGGATGGGGGGGCCTACTATCGAGTGTTACTACCCCAAGAATCACCCCCAGCAGCTGGAGACTAGCATGAGTCGTATCCTGATGTGGTTTTCTCATACCAGGGACCCAAGAGGAACTCATCAATCCTCCACTGCGTTGCTGGAGCCGGGACTATTCCGGTATCTGTAGTCCCGTTCCACACGAAGGCTCCTGCATCGATAGTGCACAAGTTACCGTCGTCTAAGATGATTTCAACATGCACATTTCTCAGCTCTATTTCGTTCGAGGCCTCCAACTCGTGTATCCAACCTCGTCGTTCCGGTGTGAGGTTGAACACAAGCATGCCATCCACGTAGTCCTCTGTCTGAGTAGAGGGCATGACTAGTGGGAGGTTGACCCCCTGGAACAGGTACAGCTTATGGCACAAGAGACTCGCTTGTGTCATGTGTATGGCCTGGTCCATACAGCTGTCCGCGTTCGTCATGCTTTTGAGAAAGGATGGCAGCATAAGAGGTCCGAAGAAGAATAGAGGCATTGAACCTGTGAGATACTCGTGGAGTTGACGCTGGCTGAGGGTATTTTTGAGAGCCCTTCGGTACTCCCGGGGGTAATGGTCAAGTATCACCAGTCGTTTGACCTCCATCCTGTGGTGCATATACGCCCACGATGTCAAATGAGAATGGATCTGAGAAGACCTTGTTGAGCTGGTGCTTAACTGCTCTTCTGCTTTCTTGTTAGAATGGTTCTCTATTGTCTTGTCTGCTTTGATAGGTTGGCAGGGAGAGACATGAGGCCTGTAGAAGCAGACAATCAATTAGGGGTGTAGGAGAGCTTACCGTCTTTGCTTTGACAGGCTTTCATAGGCATTTTGAGATCTTCTTTTATCATAGATGAGTGAAGCAGAGAGCGTGGACGGCTAAATGGCCGTTCACTTTATATAAAGAGCCCATTCCCAGGAACCATGGATAGACGAACATGCTAGGTCAAACCATGGTAGGGCTAGAAGAACCTGATAAGGAGAAGCACTTTGCAGAAAAGCCATGGTAGACTATCTACATGTTGATGACAGAATGCTTTTAGAATATGGGAAGTTACTATGTTTTTTTCACAAACAAGACTGTTGGGAATCTGAGTGGAAAGAGCAGCCATCTTTGGTTGCCAGTCTCTTTTTCCCCTCCTATTCAAACTAGTGTAGAGTGACGGAAATACTTATTATCATAATTTTTTATTTGATAATATTGGTAGCGGCGTACCCAGGGTTGATATGTTCTCCTATAACGTCATCAACTCCTGAAATCTCGATATACCGAACGGGAACTACGGTCAGCGAGGGCAAGGACTTGAGCTGCAAGCTACGTGTTACATGCAGAAACGAAGGACTGGTCGTATCCATAAGTCATAGTATTATGAAATTTTATGTTGACATTCAAGAGGTAACTAGGTAATGGGAGTCACTATGAGACGTAACACATAGAGAGAGGAAGCCCAATCTCGAACAAAATCACAAAACCCCGGTTCTCCTGCTCCTCTTGCAATTAAAACTCTTTGTGTAGGCAGGCTGCTTTTTACGCAACAAATACCAAATGAGAAATAAAGAACATGGTTGAAAAAGGGGATAGATGAAACTAGAGACTACCTATGTCTAATCGTAAAGGCTGTCATCGTTTCCAGCATCACCAAATCCAGTCTCGGCAGCACTGATTCCATCAGATGGGAACTTGAAGAAGTTGCTGCCGGTGTTCTTCATGCTCTGCGCAAAAGCTTCGTATCGCCGGATCTCGGTGTCAGTGACGGATCGTCGGGCATCCTTCATGGCTTCCTCGAAATGAGCCTTGGTGAGTTCTGGAACTGGATCCTCGTCGTCCATATCGTCATCCATGGCATCGTCGCCTGCGGCTTCACGTTCCTTGGTTCGTCGGATGGCGGTTGCGATAGACTCCTTAATAGCCAGCTTGACAGCGCGCTGGGTAATGAATCCGAGATCGGCACCAGAGAAACCATGAGTTTTGGAGGCAATAAAGGCAAGGTCGACATCGCTGGCAACCGGAGTCTTGCGGAGCTGCGCCTTAAGGATAGCAGTACGTTCCGGCTCGTTGGGCAGAGGAACATAGACTAGGGTGTCAAGACGACCTGGACGGCAGAGAGCATTGTCAAGTTGTTCGGGTCGGTTAGTAGCACCAATGACGAAAACGTTCTTCTTAGAAGTCATTCCGTCCATCTCTGTGAGAAGCTGGTTGACAACACGATCAGAAGCACCACCAGCATCACCGGATGAAGCACCTCGAGACTTAGCAATAGAGTCCAGCTCGTCAAGGAAGACCACGCAAGGAGCTGCGGCACGGGCTTTGTCGAAGATATCTCGGATGTTGCTCTCGGATTCACCAAACCACATACTCAAAAGTTCGGGGCCCTTAACGGAGATGAAGTTTGCAGCACACTCGTTTGCAACAGCCTTAGCAAGCAAGGTCTTACCAGTACCAGGAGGTCCATAGAACAAGACACCCTTGGATGGGGAAAGGCCAAACTTGAGGAATTTTTCGGGATGATCGACAGGGTATTGGACACTTTCGATAAGCTCGCGCTTGACCTCTTCGAGACCACCAATGTCGTCCCAGCGGACGTTTGGAACCTCGACGACAGCAACTTCGCGGAGGGCGGATGGGTTGGAAACACCGAGGGCAAATCGGAAGTTCTCCATGGTGACACCAAGAGAATCGAGGACCTCGGCATCGATGGTATCTTCGTCAAGGTCAATAAGGTCCATCTTCTCACGAATCTGTTGCATAGCAGCTTCGGAACATAGAGATGCAATATCAGAACCAACGTAACCATGAGTTTCGGCAGCAATTGATTCGAGATCAACATCTTCGCCCAATTTCATGTTCTTGGTGTGGATTTGAAGAATCTCAAGACGGCCAGTTGGGTCAGGAATGCCGATATCGACTTCACGGTCGAAACGACCGAAACGTCGGAGAGCCGGGTCAATAGAGTTAGGGCGGTTAGTGGCAGCCATAACAACAATGTTGGAGCGAGCCTTCATGCCGTCCATGAGAGTCAAAAGCTGGGATACAACACGTCGTTCAACCTCTCCGTTGGTTTTCTCTCGCTTGGGGGCAATGGAATCAATCTCGTCAATGAAAATTATAGCGGGAGAGTTCTTCTCGGCCTCTTCGAAAGCCTTTCGCAAATTGGATTCGGATTCACCGGCCATCTTTGACATGATCTCGGGGCCGTTGATCAGGAAAAAGAAGGCACCAGTCTCGTTGGCAACGGCACGGGCCATGAGAGTCTTACCCGTACCGGGGGGCCCGAACATGAGAATACCTCTTGGAGGCTTAATACCAATAGATTTGAACAGTTGAGGGTGACGAAGAGGGAGCTCAACAAGCTCACGGATCTGAGCCATCTGCTTGCGGCAACCACCAATGTCGTCGTATCCAACATCGTTGAGGTTACCTTCCTCATCCTCGCGTTGGATTGGCTCGCCCTCGCAGTGAATAACAGTGTCTTGGGCGACAATTCCATATTCTGGGGGGTCGACCTCTACGACCTTAAATTCAACCTGCCTCATACCACCACGGACGGTGAAGAGGTCACCTTGTCGGACTGGTCTATAGGCTTCACGGAAATATGGGGCAAGGAAGACGTCAAATAGTGAACCGGTAAGTCCTTCGACGGTATCTGCAATAGGTAGTACGGCAATACGTTTAGCCTGTTAATAATTAAAATTAGTTTCCTTTATCTTCCTTCTTTTGATACCGGCTAGAATAGAGAGTACTTACGTATTTGATATCTGGGCAAGGATGGACGGTGACAACATCTCCGTGCTTAACCCGTAGGTTATGTCGTACAACTCTGTTGAGACGAACACTGCCGTCGTCAAGATCATCGTCTGCCAGTACGATCAAGACAGTGTCTCTTCGCATCTTGCCCTTAACTAGGACGGTATCACCACGGAAGAGCTGGAGTGTCTCCATGGTGTTGTTTGAGAGAGCAATGACGGAGTTATCATCATTGACAGCATCAGTAACACTAAGAATAAGTTAGAACCGAGCTGTAGAGCACTCTCAGCGGGACCAGCGGGTAAACCGGTACCGAAGTCACTCACATCAATGAATTTGGCTTTTTCTTCTTCTTAAGGATGGCGGTCGAAGTGTCAAGCTCCTAGTTGGAATGTTAGTAGCTGCTGTTGCATTCCGTCGTCATAGAAGGTAAAAATCGAGGGCTCACTTCATGTTTTTCGGCGCCTGAAGGATCACTATCAATAGAGAATGCCAGATGTTAGCCTATATACCTCATCAACCATGTACCTGTCAACAAACGGTCAACTCACTTCAGGTTAGCCTTGTGCTTGTGATCTGGCTCTTGAGGCATCTTGAAAACACTGTATTCAAATGAAAAGATCTATGGAAAGGTGAAAAAAATCTCAGAGGAGAGAGGGCGAAGCTCTGGGTGGGAGCTGTGAGTAGCCTGGAGGAGGTATTCTGGTGAGAGAGTTATCAGTTTAGTTTCCAAAGAGGAGAACAGCTAGACATGCAAGAGGACTTACTACTCTGCTGCTCGAAGAGTCCCTTTCTCTGTTTTTAAGACGGGGAGAGGAGGGAGAGTGGCGGGCGAAGAGGAGATGGCCGTTTGATGGTTGTTGTTGGTCTTCCGAGATGATCTTTTGTTGGCGATAAAGATGGCGGCAAGCTTGGGGGAGCTGAGTCAGCAGCGTTCCCGGAAGAGCCCCGTGACCTCGTTGTCTGCAGGGTAGGATAGCATTAATCAGCAGGTGAAGCCGTCTCGGCCAATCAGCATCGAGCGGTGAATGAACTTGGAAAGCGCTGGAAGGCGCTGGACTGGGAGGACAGAAAGACCACGCAGCGCTGGAGCCTGGCCAGAGGCGCGGCGGCCCGGGGAGGGCGCTAAAACGTGCAGCCATTTTATGACTAAGCAGATATAAATCTAACGGACAACTACTTTAACGGGGATACAAAGGGATATATAATATGAAGATATATGAACAAATCTCACCGTTAACGCGCCAGGGCCTGTTTAGATGCCACATGCCATAATACCTGTACATACATGCAACAAAAAACGAAACGTTATACCCCATGTAAATGAAAACAGCCATAATATTGGAAAGCCACCTTCTATCGATGTTTCCCCCCACCACCACCTGAAGTCCACACCCCATATTAAAAGTAGACAGAGTGAAAAGGAAATATGTATTATCGCAGCGCCGTTGACCCTAGATACGCCTTGTACGAAAAGTCACGAATGGAATAAACAGCAATAAACAGCAAGACGGCATACCCCGGCTAAGCTCCTTTATTGCTTTTCGGCAAAGGATGGCCGTTGGTCTTGGGCTGGTCACTAGACTTTTTCTTCATTTCTTTCCTTGCAATTGGTATATCGTCGTCACTGTCTGGGTCATGGCCCCTGGTGCCGTTCGGCTGGTCTTCGCTATCAGAGCTAAATAGCTCATGCATCGAGTCCTGTAGGAACTTAACGCCGCTATTTACCGCCCGTTCCGGGATCTGAACGTTATAGCTCGTAAGAATGTCCGGTGATGTGTTGCCGTTTGGACCTGTGGAGCCGTTCTCGGGCATAGAGTTGCTCTCCGCCACCTCTTTCTTCACAGTCACCTCTCCGCCTCCATTCGTAGCAGCGTTTTGTTTCACGCGTTTGCCGTTCTTGACAGCGCCATTGGCCAGTTTTGAATCATCTTCTCCATCACGCTTCCTCTTCCCTAGCGTAGGCGAGCTTGAGCTTGCTCCGTTCCCTGAGGTCGCCATGCTGACGATAGTATCAACCACGTCTTCGAAGCGGTTATGATTTTCGGTACGGAAGAGTTCAAAGGCAAGGTTGCGTACCCGTTCGGTCCAGCCGCAGGTAGAGAGGGAGCTGACAAGCGAGGCCTGTAGGTCCTCGAGCTTGTGTGTGGCTAGCAGGTAGTCCATAAGATGATCTGTTGGGTCGGCGGAATTTGCCATCTGGTCGTTGGATTTCTCCGCGATGCCCGTCAGTTGGAAGTGTACGGAGAAAGGAGTAATATTGTAAGGATACTATTGAAATGCCCTTGTAGCAGCTCAAATAAACTGTGAGTCGGGAACATGCGCGCAGGCGGAAGAGATTCTGGAGGAGATGAACAGGCATCAGCAGAGGGCCAGATGGCGGGCTACTTGGGTATAACACAAAAATGTACTCACTGTACAAAGTGAAAAAAAGGCCGGACTGGTTGTCTTCCTATTGTATAGCCGCAGTCATGGCTCCCATTCAATGAATGCTAGCTTCGACGGTGCCAGGTTAACAATGACGATATCATCCACCACCTACAAAAGAAAAATAACAACACCAGTGGCCGTCTTCTTTTTTTTTTTTATTGCTTTGTGCCTGCAACCCCTTGATTCACGACCAGTGGGCCGGTTAGCCTCTTCTTCGCATCGACTGACGGGCCAGAAGCCTGCTCCAATGCGAGGGATCCAGGAAGTCGTTCTTGTTCTAGCACGAGAGCTTTCAACTCAACGAGAAAAATAAAGTCGGATGTCATTTTGCCAAGACCGACGGTTAAACTTTTAGGCTTTGCCGCTCTGCAGGGGTTTTTTTCTTTACTAATATTTACATCAAGTCTACTACATCTACATGGGCCGACCTAACTGCTGTGTAAAGGCCCATGGTTGCTGAGGGGGTGTGCTATGGATGACGGGGAGATGGCATGAGATGGAGCTGACCGTGTCTAGGTATGGGCGGGTGATGCTCGCACTGTTGCTGTTTGTGCTTATGTATCGATTTCCTGCAAGTCCCTATGCTGACCAGGTTACAACTGCAACAGTTTCAGTCCAGCGCTGGGTTCTTCCGAATAAGCAGACACCGCGAGCTCCGCGACGGCTGCGTCACATGGATCGAGTTGTGGCTTGGGCTGTGCCGGATCCAGCCTCGCTGGTATTGAGGTACTGACATATGCATCTATACGCACATATGTAGTATATATATCTGTGAGGCTGACGGGATTGGGCCGACAACACTGTTCTCGACGCTCATTTGTGGCTTCCAGAGAAATCTCCCTTTTCACGGCGCCCCTTGATCCCGTCCAATTGCATGATTCTCGGAGGTATACTAGTTACGACCAGCCTGTGCTATGTAACCCCAAGGCTGCGAAGTATTATCGGTGACACCCCTTGACAGCCTTGCGCATATTGCCCAGCCAGGCTTGTCTTCCACCGTAACCGTCTCCTCCTCATCTCCTTTCCGGCGTCTCTTCTTTTATATCTATAACTTCGTGGCATCCAACGTTCGCCCAAAGAGGAAACGCATCTCTGTATTATATAATCATCTTATATAATCATCTTAATAATATGTTACCACTATTCCTCTTATGGACAGGTGTGTGTTACCGCCTTGTATAAATATTACCGTTTTATATCCTCACGTGATCATCCGTTTTGGGAATCACAAAATACAAAAAGAAGAAAAAAACTTCAACTCGAGCAAAAAGAAAAGCGAGAAACAGACAGAAAAGAAGAAGAAGAGAAGAAGAGCAGAAGAGAGAAGCGAAAGCTGAGACGAAAACTAAGACCTGCTGCTGGCTTGTGGTGGACTCGCATTAACAATACCGTCGAAAACTAGCTTACTAGACTCGCCTTACCCGCCTATCTATACCCACCTTTTCGATAACTTCAATTTCCCTGGCCTCGCCCTGGAACATCTCGCGACAAGAGAAAGAGACAATAATAATAACAGAAGAAAGACGACGCCTTAAACGTGCAGTTGGATGAACCTGGTCTGGGGGCGACTCTCGTCAATCGACAGGCGCACCTTTCCCCTCCCCGCTGTATCATCTCATCGACTCGAGCCCTTGGAACAACAATCCTTGCCATTTCCCTCGAAACCCAACGCCCGCCCTCCACCCGCCACCACCACCGCCTGTATTTTCGTCCGTGGTCACTCGATATAGCCTCCAGAGAGAGCCCTGCAGAGCCCTGGGTGGGCTTTTATGCACCGTTGGGGCTTACTGTGCCGCGTATTGGTTTTAAACGCCGCACGGTTTTCGACTTTTACAATAAACACGACTCCACGGCAGCAGGTTAGGCAGCTCAAGACGTGTGCGCAGCAATGGCCTTTGCCGACGCCTACCTAGGCGACTCGGACGCAGACGATGAGTATGAGCGGAGCGTAGTAATATCGCCTCACCTTGCCGAGGACTCCGAAGCCTCTCCAACGGACTCTGAAGGGCCTTCGACGGAAAATACTCCTACTTACGGCAAGACCGATGAGCGTGGCTCGCCCAAGGCCGTCATAACCGATTGGACAGCAGAGGAGTGTGCCAAATTCGTGGGGAGTCTGGGCCTGCTGCAGTACCGTGAAGCGTTTCTGGGTACGTGGAACGGAGCCGTGTTGAAAGGAAGTCGTCCTTTTTTTATTATTATTGTCTAGGCTAACCGTGTGCTTTCTGCTAATATAGAAAACGAGATCGTTGGAGAGGCCCTCATTGCTTTAAAACACGATGAATTAAAGGAGATCGGAATATCCAGCGTTGGACATCGGCTGACCATCCTTAAAAGTGTATACGAAGCGAAAGTAAAGCAAGGTGTACCTATAGACCCTGACCATTATGTTCCTCTATGTATGTACCAGTCCCTTGGTTGCTATCATCCTACTCCCTGCTAACACATCTTAATAGCGGCGGATAAGAGCAACGCGAAAGACGCTGCTACCCAGGACGATATTGCCCTTCTCATCCAATCCATCAGACGGCGAGACGACAGGCTCATGGCTGCAGAAGCAGAACTGCGGAAGCTCGCAGATGACTATCGGAGGCTCCGTGAGGAATTGCTACCGGTTTTCAAAGTCGCAAAGGACAAATCAGCACCCTTACCATACCAACCCCCGTCAGCTGTATCATATGGTGGATCCACCGCTACCGCATCCGAATCATATATCCACGACCCTGCAACCTCACCCTCATTCCTTGGCCAGGAGAAGGCCGGCAGTGGTCTCACTCGAACAATCTCAAGGAAACTCTTCGCCGGCGGCTCTACCCCAAAGACCAATTCCCCCACGCATATACCACAGTCCATACCTGAAGGGAGAACCTTCTCAGACTCATCCACCCTTGATCCATCCGCAGCTGCCATGGCGGCCTCTTCTCACCTCACAGCTTCTATGACCAGTGGCCAGCCCTCCCCCAAGGGCATGCCATCACCCACCTCTCCCAACAGCTTCTACACCCAGCAAACTCTAGCCTCACGATCATACACCCGCGACCCTCCATCCTCCACCAATAACCGCACAGCTTACGATCACTCCGAAGAATCACAAGGACAGCAAAGACAAGACCTCTCCGGCAACCAGACCTCAAACTCTTCAAGCCGACAAGAGCATCCCGCCATCAGCACCTCCAGGAGTGGAGGATCAAGCGGCAGTGGGGGCCAATCATCCAACAATGCACAAAATTCATCAGATTCAGGCCCCAGTGTCGAGATATTCAAATCCTTCCGTGTCTCGATGGATGACCCATGCTATAAAGTTCTTCCCGCCGCACTTAAGAAATACAATATCCACGAAGATTGGCGGCTATATGCTTTATATATTGTCTATGGCGACCAGGAGCGGTGCCTATCACTTGAAGAGAAACCCCTAATCCTATTCAAACAACTTGATAAAGATGGTCGTAAGCCAATGTTCATGCTTCGACGACAAGCACAAATGGTAGACGGGCAGGTCCCTGGCATATATACCTCAGGAAACGGCGGTGGAACGACAATTGGCTTCCCACCTGGCGGCAGTGGCTTCGACTCTGGCAATACCAACACATCTATCTCTTTGGGCGGACTACCTTCTGGGGGTTCAGGTGGTCAACCAAGTGCCAGTCTAAGATCGCAGCCTACACAACAAAATTCTATACAGTTACCTGGCGGAGTCTTATAAGGACAGGGTTTTTGGAATGATTGGGCTGTCAAAAATTATATATCACTACTCTTCCTCACCTTGCTTGCAAAGCTAACGATCTGGGCAGAGTAGAAAACGGGTTTCTTATCTCTCTTATATTCTTTCTATCCTTTGACTACTCTTTTCCTTATGATATCCCCTAACCAGCCCCATATGGTTTGGCGTCGTTTTATATATACTTCTCGATAACAATACTATCTTTTAATACCATCTGGTAACTAAACCTGGAGGTGTCCAGAGTTTACAACTTCTCGGTATATTACAGAACTAATCATAATCGTATCAAACATAACCTATTCATTCATTGCTGTTGAGCCATGCTGTGGCTCTCTATCTATTTTAATATGCATACCTAACAAATAATACCACAAATATATATACTGTGGACAGTGCCATAGGCAACTGGAATTGAGGCAAGAAAACGCTTGTAACAAACAGCAGCACAGCGCTATTTATTCTAGTTACAACCTAGAAAAATGTCCATCGACAAACTAATATAATAAATAAAAATCAAAACGGGAAAACGAAAACGACAGAAAGAACGGCAAAAAGATGAAAAAAAGAGAAACAAGATTAGTATAGATGATGCGTCGTTTGAAAACGATGCTGGTCATCAACGACCTATTTCACCACCCCAAGATATCTTGGAGTTATTTCGAGGAGTAGTTTCGGTCCCGTTACCACCCGCCTCATTGATGCTTCGGCTCGCAGAGCCTGGCACGGCACCGTTGTCAGAGAAAGGATTGTCTTCAGGAGCATAAACTGCAGGGGGAGCGGCCGGGGAGTCCGGTAAGAGAGCGCCACTGGACTTTGGGACATTCTGCTGCATAGGCGATTTCTTCTTTGCTGGCCTCGTCCCGTCCGCAAATTGTACCTTACCCTTAACTACACGGGGTTCCCCATCATCCTCACTATCCGAGTCATGCTGAACACCAAGGGCAGCGAGACGACGTTTCCGTTCTGCAGGGGTTTCGATCTCATTGTCAAGCTTAGAAACATGTTTGCTATTGCGCCCGGAAGGCAGAGCGGGCGAGTTTGAGCTAGGTGATTGCTGTCCTGCGGCAATTGCACGACGATGGGCTGGAGGGATTCGTTCTGTGCCATCATCCTCAGAGTCATGACGACTGAAAGAAGATGCCAGGGATCCGGGTGCAGATAATATGCGACGTCGTCTATCGGCAGCAGAGCCTTCGGGAGCTGTATACTGAGATAGCATCGCTGATATTTCTTGGGGCGAGGGAGCGCCTTCAGCACCTTCATGAGGGGCCTCGGGTATTTTGGTAGGCGTATCGTGGTAAGGCTGTGCCTGCCCTCGGTTGCCGTCACGTCGGAAAATGTTACCTAGTTTTGAGGAGCCGTCGGTAGGTGACTTTGGCCCAAGATGCTGCATTTGGTTGATAAAATCCTGTTTACTCATTCTGCGACCTCTCAGGTGGTGTTGAACGTCGTCAGACACAGGTACTGTGAATCGAATACCCGCATCTTCTTCCTCTTCGGCCTTCTTTGCTGCTTCTGATGACTCGTTGCCTGCATCACCAGTCCAAGTTCCAAGCTTAGTAAGGCGGCGCAACAGTTTCGGGCGGTCCTCTTCAGCTTCAGCTCCCGTTTCGGTTGTCTTTTTTGGCGATGAAGGGATAGTGTACTTCTTAATAACTTCTCCGTCCTCATCCTCAACAATAATGGTGTTAGCGAACTGGTATGCACGGGCAGAGCGGCGGGAACGATTAATTTGAGGATGGGATTCATCTTTCTGGGCATTGCCAAAGCCAGCCCAGGAAGAGAACTTCTTCATAAAACCTCTCATAGTTTCACCCTCATCGGTAGAGCTGAGTTTGTTGTGTCCAGGCTTTCCCTTGATAACTTTGTCAGGTTCAAGTACGTTGCCTTCTTCATCTTCAACGATGAAATCATTCCCTTCTTGGTAAACTTCGGCTTCTGGCATATTTGTGTTTCCTCCCTCCGAGTGTTGTCGACGTTCTCTCGGATCCTCCAACGCCTCTGGTTCTGGAGTTGGGGGCTTGCTTACGTGCGTCTCTCCCTCAGGTCTTCGCTGTGGAGTAATGGCAGACTGACTAATCGGTCCACCAGCTCCTTGCTTATGCCGCCGGCTAGGTCTCCGACTTGAGGCACGACTAGGTGGTGCACTATAGTGATCATCATCCCTTTGTCGTCTTAGAAGGTTACCAGGTACTCCAATCGGGCCCAGTGTTCCAGGGGGGAACTCTGGTTTCTCCAGCTCCCAGGAGTCCTTTCGGATAGAAAGAGAACTTTTCGATGTAGACTGGATTTTGGGAAGACGGTTCATCCAAGATGGGCCATCCTCGTGAGCTTGCGTGTAAGACATTGTCAGGGTCAATGTGTTGATGTGTTTACCCAGTGTGAAAACAGCTACAGATGATCCATGGACAAGAATGGAAGAGATGACTAAAAACGTTGTGATAGGCCATATCACATAAATGATGAGGTAGTCCTTGCTGCCTGGTTGAGGGATATCCGCAAGTGGCTGCGCTGAGTGGTTCTCGAGTTCAGCTCGAGCTAGAATACAGGCGAAGATGGCGCCAACGCCAACGGGGCCGAAGTGGCCGGCGAACAGTGCTTCTCGCCATGTCTTAATGTCGGGAATCAACGGTTTCATCATCAGCATAGCAGGTATTCGGCGAAAGCAGATGACGAGGATCGCAAGGACGACCAAGCGCCATGGAACCAAGCCTAGGTCCGGTAGGTTATACTGTTCCCATGGGATGATGGCACCAAAGTAGACAAAATATGTAAGATTGAGCAATAGGTCGATAACGTTGGAGACGTGGGATTCTTCAGTTTTTTCCGTAAACCAGCCGTCATTACTGAAACCGATACCAGCAGAGAAACCGATAAGAAGGTCGTCCATGCCAAGTGAACTACCAGCACCAGCGCAGAAGAGAGCGAGAACGAAATAGAAGACAAGGAAACTCTCTCGGTCAATCAACTTCTTATTCTCGGCGAATCTGATGGCATGTCGACCAGCGTAGCCAATAAGGAAACCGAATATGGCACCAAAGATGCACTCGTATAGAATAGTTGTTAATATCCAATGCTCGGCCACCTTAGAGGTGTCATTGCGGTAGGCCATCAGGTATAGGGAGAGATAGATGAAAGGAAAGGCCATGCCGTCGTTGCATCCAGATTCCGCGGAGAGCACATCTCGGAGATGTTTCGGCACACGTTTGGCGAATTTTCCTTTACCGACAACGGAAGAGGCCAAGACGGGGTCGGTGGCCGTAACGCATGCAGCACAGATGAGACTCTCGAGCCAAGTCAGCGGCTCAATCATCCACCAGATAAAAAGACTAGTCACCAGCCATCCCGCAGTCATGATCGGGAGCAGCAGCATGACGACTGACCGCCAATGCCTCTCCATGTAGGACTTGGGCAGTTCAACACCAACGGCGAAACATTGCACGACTAGGACGATGCGCGAGCACTCGAGCGTAAGTTTGTCGACATTCCCCCACGATATTGGGTTGAAAAGGTTTGCGGCGTGTGGTCCGAAAATAACACCACACAACGTGGCAACGGTTGCTTCACCAATGTAGAGCTTTTCCTTCACAAACAGGGAGCACAACATGAAGAGACTTGTGAACCCGCCAAGGATCATGTACGCCAGATGTGGCTTATCTATATCGAGGTGGTCCCACGCCATGACGGAGAAATAAAATCAGACAAGATGCAGCCAGTCAACGGGCCTGAAACCAGCCAGGCAAAATGAGCGTGGGAAAATAGTTGAGTGCTTGTCGTTCTATATGGGCTCAGGCTTGTTTTTCCTCCCCTACAGCTAGTAATCGATAGCCTGTGCGACTCTATACCACATCCGATGAATTCCGATCAAATAGAAGAGTCCACCAGAGGCCGCTAAAACGTCATGTATCCAAGCGTGGCTTTTGATCTCAACATAGCCTCAAGCTATGGAGGGTATCGAGCTCAAGAAACAGCGTGGGAGGCCTTCGATCGAGCAGGTGCCGGCAGGTGCTCCGAAAGACGGCTGTTGTTTTTTAAACTATTGGCGGACCAGACGGGGCGAGAGCGCAACTATTTAACCCTGAGAGATTCGCCACGGGTTAGAACTGACAAGGAAGCTGGAAGGAATGGAATGGCTTGGTTTCAACCCTCCAGGGCTGTTGCTGGCGGTACCCACCGGTAAAGTTTCTGCACGCTCGACCAGGGCCCCCCTCCACCCCTTCTGATGGTTGATCGGGCCGATCTCTGTTTCTGCTTTTCGTTCATGCAGCCACTCGGTAACTCATCACCCTGTGAACTATCGTCAGCAGAGAGAGGGCTGTGGCAAGAAGATGTTCGAGTTGGTTTGACGTTGATATCTTTTCTATGTAAGTAAAAGAAGGAAAAAAAGAACAAAAGAAAAAGAAAAGAAAAAAGAAGCACTGACCCGAAGTCTTGGCAACTGGGCGGAACGCCAAGAAAGGAAATCACGTGGATGCGGAAGAAAAAGATGACAAAAAAAATAAAACGAAAAAAAGAAACGAAAAAAATATCGACATCAACAGTCAAGGAGTAACAAGATAGACGAAATGATATGGCCAAGGGTTGCCGCAAGTCAAGCATTGAGACAGGACAAGTCCGTCGTTTGAGAACAGGTCCGCTGTGCTGGGATTACCGGCCCCAAAAGCTTGTCTCCAGCACTGTTCGCTCCTTATCAGACAATTCGTTAAGTAATTCAATCTCATCCTAGGCCAGGGAGAGAAACGTGGTGCGATATGTCGGTCCGTATCTTCTTAGCAGCAGGATTCATCCTCGCAGCTGGCGCGCTTTGACGGCCGCGAGGCTGCTGTGTGACCCCAAGGACGAGGAAATCTCAAACATGAACCATTTTGCGCAATCGATATCATTGGCTCATCTCGTTTTCGCTATCCTCGCCACACGCGCGAATGGCGGGAATGATAGTTAACGAGGGGACCTAGGCCCTTTACAAGATCCTAGTAGGCATCAACACATGGTATTTCCTGACCACGTCACCCGGGGGGCTGTTTTCTCTCCAACTGGAGTTCGTTATTCACCCTGAGTCACATATATTCGATATATGACGGGGGTTTATGCGGAGGCGGAAGCGAGACTGCTTCTCGCCTAGCCGCAAGACACGGAAGCTGTTCGACGGACCCTGAACCCTTTGTGTTGATGCAGAGTACGGAGCAAAGCAGCGATCTTCACTCAGACCAGGTTCTGGAGTCGCTTATCCTGCTGCCTATCCTATATATCTAGTGGAGAGGATCTTCCGTCGCCGGGTGGGTTTAATCGCCCAGGTTGGTGTTTTAAGAGTCGCTTGATAAGACGGAAGGGGAGGCTTGGATGGACAGGATGGTGGCTGTCATGAGACGGCCTATCAAACGGGGGAAATTCCATTCCGGAACCTCAATGTTTTGTCCCTTGAGAGATCAAACAAGATAATACCCTCGATTTAATTCCGACTTTTCTCCTGAGATCAGAATGGCGGTAGCCCTTCTCTCCTGCTCTTCCAAAACACAGTCTATTTTAGCTACAGGGAGCTAGAATTTGACTCTCGTATAGATAACTATTCTGTGGATGAGGTTTAAATCACGGCTCGGGAATCGAAGCAAACAAAAGCTAATGACTTCTCCAACGGCTACGGGTGATACCCACAAAGCCAAATTACAGAGAAACGACCCAAGTCGATCTTGACAAGTTACTACCCAATACACACTCTCCCAACAGACTGCAGCTCCAAAATGAATATGTTATATATGTATATCACAAACTTATTAACTGACAGGTGTTTGTTTGTTTTTTTTTTCGGAAAGATCCAGAGCAGCACAGGGGTATATATCAGATGGAACATGTCTTGGACAAAAAGGAAAGGATTAGAAATTACTCAAACTGATCGCTGATTCACTGGAACAGCGGGTTCCATAGACTATCATATTATCCTAACTCCGAATATAGTCGGGTAGATAGGGGGTGCGTGTAAGAGATGGAGGCGTGAGTGCATGAGGGGGAGACACGCTGTTAGTCGGAAGTAGGCATGCCTTCGACCACATCGGTGAGAGCTCGCCAGTTGTCAGCTTGTAGTTCTGCATACTTGACTCTCTCCTGGCTCCAATCCTGGTGCAGAAGACTAATTCGGTACTGGCTTCGTTGGAAAATGAGTATCTCGTCGCGGATGCATTCCTTGATGAACACTCCACGAGCGTGTTGCTGGACAATCGACTCCTTGTCCTGTTCAAAACGCTTAGTCGTACCGTTAGACGAAACCGGAATGGCAAAAGACGTACCTTAATGATAGCATCCTCAACCTTCTTTGCTTCCCCAGGTTTAACCGCCTCCTCAGGCTTAGCGCGGATGGCCTGGAGCTTTTTCTCGTTGTTCTCGATACGTCGTTCTAGCTGCGGGATGTTATCCTTTGCAAAGCGGTCCCTTCGATCGAATACGTCTCGCATAGCAACTAGACAGTCACGCTGAGCTTTGAGATCCTCAAGGACGCCCAGATCCCAGGCCTTCGCTTCGTCTTCTAACAGCCCCTGACTTGTTTGCAGGTGATTGGCAGTCGCATTAATGCCGTTGTTTAATAGGAGGACATCACTAGTATCAGCGGCATATGTGTCCATTGTGCTTTCAGTAAGGGCGTGAAGGGCTCGAGAGACTCGGAACTGCTCTGCGGCCAGTCCTTGGTGGCGTTTTACTAGCCGATCCATCAAGAGGCATAAATTTATATGGATGTCAGCTGATCTGCGAACACCAGAGCGGACGGTATCAAAGGTATCTGTCAGGTTAGATGGAAGTGAGTCCTCCAAATCTGGGGGTAGCGGTTTATCCGTAAACTCCTCCTGTACGGATATCGAGGCTTGCTTACGCCAAACAGCCAATTCCTAGACCCAGTCAGCCACATTCCCCAGGGTAGATGAAAGCGTCAACTCACGGTGGGAACTGTAAAGAACATCACAACCAGTTGTTCCTGGCTCAAGACCGGGTGACGCACAAGGGCATTAGCAAAGCGGACAAGACCCCTGCGACGTTTATCCAAAAAGGAGTTTGAATCCGCTGATAGGTGAGTGCCATTGACTTATAAAAAAACATTTGTGAGCATTTTGGAAGGTAAGCTTTCCACCTGTTAGACGTACCTGCAACCCTCTTAGGAGGGAGTAATGGGATCTGCCGGAAAGGGTACTTTTTCTGTAAGCAGTCCACTAGCCAAACAAAGTCGCTATACCGTCGAATCACGGAGGTTGCCTTCCGCGCAGACTTCACCTCATAGTTGCGGTGCTGGAAGAGGAACATGCCCTCCTTCTCAGGAAGCATTTGGATGGTAATTACATCCTCCATCCCCGGATTGCTTATATGACCATCACCCAACGATCTTGAGAAATCATTACGGCTGGAATTGACTTGTCCATTGTCAGGCTGGCCAAATCCGCTACCCAACGCGCCTTGATCATAGTTTCCAAAGCCGCTTGCGGACGAAGGGTTCCCAAACCCACCGCCTCCCCATCCAGATCCAACACTTGAGGGGCCACCGGTTGACTCGTTTGATCTTGGACCAGCAAAACTTCGAGGTTCGGTCCGGGTGTTGGGCTTCGAGGCTGCCTCAGGTTCGGGAGCTTCATGAGCAGAAGAGAACCCGTTCGACACACCTTGGTTGGGGCGGTGGGCAGGCTGGCGGTTTACCGGGCTTCCCCATGGGTCTGCTTCCGGTCCAAATGAGTCCTGCCGTAGCCTACGGCGTGTCTGAGGTATCTGAACGGGCTGCTCTTCCGTAGGTTGTCGAGCAACTGTTCCATTACCAGAATTTCCAGCATTTCCGGTCTGCACACGAGTAATATAGGGAATGTTGGGTTCTGGTAGTCCTAAATAAATGTAAGATGATATATAAGTATGAGGTCTTAAAAAGAGAGATCATATATATTATAGATAGCTAACAGTTTGGACTTACTCTTTCTGCGCTCGTCAACGCTATCAAAGGTGACATCTTCACCTTCCTGCGCCAGCCCTACCAGCGCCAGGAGAACGTTAAACTCGTTCCTCTCCAGACTCTGCTGAGCTCCGTTGTTTGTCACCAAGTTCAAAATCCCTGCCTGCTCTGAAGGACTCAGATGTGTGCTTCCAAGAAGACTTTTCGCTTCCTCAACGCCGATGCCTCCGTCGCCTCCGGCAGCGCCAGACTTCTCAACCAGCGCGTCAAACGCATCTATATAGCTCTCCGGGACGTCAGTGGAAGGTAGGAGAGTTTTAACAATCTGCTGTCTCGAGCCAGATTTCCTTGGTGTTGGCATGTCCCAGGGCGTTGAGTATCCGTCGTCGTGTCTGTTATCCCCGTTGTCAACAACACCTCTAGCGTGGCTATTGCTGGTATTTCTATTGTTGCCGTTTTGAGAGGAAAAGCCTTCGTCTGCTCCAAATAGAGAGGATGCATCCTCTGCAAATAGGGTTGATTTCGCCCGTGATGATGACGGTTGCGCGGCCTTGCTCGCTAGCGGGGAGTCCTCGGGAGAGGAACCGAAGAGCGACATTGGAAGAAAGGCGGTCGCTTATATTCGAGGGTAGAAGGTATTTTACAGGGGTTGTAGGACGCGCAGGTTCACAGCCTTTCTGTATGTGTTCAAACCGCGAAACAGGGAGGGATGGTGTTTTGAGATGCAGGATGGCTATGCAGCGACAAGGCAAGCTAGGATCAAACTAAACCGCCAAGGTTCCTCCGCTAATTATTTGATAATAATAGATAGATGAAGACCAGCCCCCTATAAACAAAATAATGGACGGTAGAGCCAGGGTAAGTTGAAGCGGTCGGGTCGCAAGGAGGGAGAAAGGCGGTTTTTGGTCGGCGTTGAGGATATGAAGATGAAGGTGGAGGTTTGAGCTTAACCAATAACGGTAAACAGTAAACAGCTAACCAGTTAAGCTTCAACGGCCTTTTCTGTTTACATGATCAAAATGACGCCTACTGTGCATATAAACAAGTCTCTTAGTGGATGGAGATGCGAGATGGATTACTTCGTAGCCTATTGGCAGGTCTCATTCATTACTCTAGATCAGTCAATTAGTTATACAAAGTCGTAGATGTTCAAAAGGATCATATATCGCCAACACTATCAGAGCATTCCACCGTCACAAAGACCCGCCGGAGCAGGACGCCAAAGCTGTCTGTTCGGGGCGAATATTGTTTGTATCTCTGCCAGGTCCACTGTTGGGGGGTATTGCAGGATGGTTTCCCACCCTGTCCCTCCAGTCGCCATGACCTGCTCGGGGATAACTCTGCCGGAGAACCATCGCCCACGTCTGATACTTGCCTTGTCAAGACCCTCAACTGCTGCCCTGCTTGCCCGCGTCGTTCTCGGTCTCTTGCTTGGTGGCCCTTCCTGGGGCAAAACGCCACTGAGCTGTAGCCGGTATTGCTCTAGATGCTTCTCAAACGAAACAATATGCCGAATATATGGCGCAACGTCCTCGGCAATGACCGAAGTTCCATGCTCAAATGAAAGGGGTCGGAGCCCGGACACTGGGGCAGAGTAGTCGGGAGGTTCAATAATTGCTTGAAAGGCGTCCTGGAATACCTTCTTGTAAAGCTGTTTTGGTCTTTGGGGAACTGCTCGTTCAAGGACGTGCTCCAATATATCATCTTGCTCCCCGATGTGTACCTCAGCAGAGCTGAGGACTGTTTCAGCAAGGACGCTTAAAGTTGCTCCTATTTTTACGGATAGCTGGTCGTACTCTGTGCGGAGGTGGTCTGATTGGAGAAGTTGGTATCCTTCGATATAATCCAGCCGCTGCTTTTCGGGGATTGGTGGAATAGATGGATCCAGCGGATACTAGGTGCCCATAGTTAGTATTATAAGGTCTTAAATTCGAGAATCTGGTTCTTAACCAACCTTGGTACCATGATATTCTTCGTCACACATGAGATCCAAACAGCTCCTTATATCAGCTGCTCGGCCCATCTGCTCCAAACTATCGGTTTGTCCGATGAGTCCGCCGCTAATTCGTCCGCTTCCCGTTTCAAGCCAGCTCGTTAACCCGATACCCCATTGGTTCATGCCTTCTGTCAGCAGCTGCAATCGAAGCTCCAGGTGATCCTGCTCACCCACAACAGTATCTGCGCTATACCATCCCATGCCTTCCATATAGGTATCGGAGCTTACTGTGCGAAACAAGTCACCAGAATTCCGAAGATCCAATGCCTCCTGGCTGACCATCCAATCAAGGCCTGACTTCCGGCTACCTACGCCCATTTGGCACCAAAAGTTCAGCTGCATAATAGTAGCTCGAAGGTCTTTCCCTAGAGCTATATATAAGTCCAATATGGCTTTGCGGTCTAGAAGGTGGCCTTCATTTGCGCAGAGCAATAGCATATAGTCTGCCGCAAGATTGGTAGGCGGCGGCTGAAGTCGTAAAATCGCATGCAGAGCCAAACTTTCTAAGGGGAGTATACTCTCGTCAGTGCAGGTCATGATAATGGGCCTTTTTGACTGTCCGATCAATGCAAGCACTCCACTCCAAAATTGCTTATCCTCGTTAAATAAGATGTCAACTTCTTCAAGCAGTATCAAAGACTGCTTTTGGTTTATTTGAGACTTTGACGGTTCGGTGCTTTCATCTCTAGGCGGCTTTTGTATTGCGTTAGTGTTAGTAGGCTTTGACGCACTCCTCTTCACAAAGAAGCTAGCCATCGTGCTCTGTTTAGGGCCGTTGTCATTATCCAAAGTGCCCGGGCTAACTTGGTCCAATCCACCGTCTGTCTTGCTCAAAAGTTGGACAAGATGATTTTGGGTCATATCACCCACGCGCTCGACGATGTCCCTTGCACTCCTTCGCGCGCTAGCATTTATTTCAAATACCTCGAATCCCAATTCGCCTGCTACGGCATAAACCGCAGCAGTCTTTCCACACCCAGACGGCCCACTGATGAGTATAGTATTTGCCGCAGGTCTCCTGGTTGAATTAGCTCCAAAATCATTCGATCGAATGATTGACTTTGCCGTAGGAACAGTAACCGCTCCCGCCAATTCATCTTCGTCAGAATTCTGAAGCTCACTCATGACACTATCTTCATCTTCACTAGAAACAATAAAGCCATCCAAATCTTTCGGCTTTTTTCGTTTCTTTTTCCGTACTGCTTTGCTGTCCGGGGTTTGTCTTGGGCTGTTTGTACTTAACCCCGTATTGACTGCCGACACTTCATGGTGCTGTAGCCAACTTCGCAGGACTGATGTTTCAGAGCCAACCAGAAGAGCCTCAGCAGCTGTTTTAGGAGCGTATTTTTGCGGCCACGTGATATTATCATATTCACCCCTGTCAAAGGAGCTGGTCGCTGTATCTAGGGATGATGCAAGTTTGACTAGTGCAGGATGTGATGTTTGAGGTAAAGTATCCAAGGGGCTCTGCTCTCCCTGTCCAGGATTACACACTCCAAGCTTTTCTATAACAGCCGTCTTGAACTCGTCACATTTAAGAACATGCTTCTTTGGGCGTCGTAAAGCTTTTGAGTGTTGTCGTTTGGAAGTAGACCCCGGCTCCCCGGAAAATAGGGAGATTGTTGAGAGAACAGTTTCAGTCTCAGGGATGAAAACTGTAGACTGCTTTGCCTTCCTTCTTTCGAAGTTTATTCTGGGTGGAGGGTCTATTGGTTTGATGGGACCACGGGCGTGTACCATGCCGCGAGATGGCCAAATCGGATCATGAGATTCTCCCTCCCCGCGCGCTCTTGGCTTTTGTACAGTTGACGGAAAAGAAAGAGGAGAAAAGACTCGTGATGCTGAAGTAGAATTTTTAGCTTTTGGCTGCATCAAATCTTGTAAAAGTGTAGCGGCGGTTGGCGCGCTATGGGGCGCTGTATCTGAAGACTGAGGAGCCTGAAGGGAGGTTTGATGCTGGCTCTTTGGTAGGAAGAAAGGGTGGGTAGGTTTAGGAGAACCTGTAAGTGTTGGTTGCATCCGAGGTTCTAGCTTTGGTTGTATTGCTCGTCCTTTAAACGCTGAATATGTGGTGCGGCCGCTCATGATATCGTCAATGACCTGTCCAATATTCTGTTTTGGTGTTTCATTGGAATTATATGTCATCTTTACAATCTTGACCCGATTAATAAATTTTGCAACCGTGTTTAGGCGAGACGATTTCCTGCTACTTTGGCGAAGCTGGGTACTCTCAGAGTTACCTCCTGGCGGGAAGGAGCTAAGTAATTTTGAGTCCAATCGTAGCCGCATTGTCTTCCTGTCTCCTTCTTGCCTTTTGTCAGATGTCGTGAGGTTTTGGTTTTCAGGATTTGGGCCAGTCGACGGACCAGAGATGGTGCCCTTAGTAAACTGCACCTCAGCAATATGACCAGATTGAGAGGTGGCGGGAGAAGCGTGAGATTCAGCAGCTTGTTTGCAATTTGAAGAAGAGTATAAAGTGGCTGGGCTCGTATTCTCTGAGTCTGTTATTTTGCATCTTTTCCTCCGATGACTAGTTGCTGCATCAATCCCATTCGAACATGTTGCCTCGAGGGGCAGAGATATGGCTTGGGTTTTGCCATCCCTATCCGTTAGAGCGGCCCCATGTAATCCATCCGGGATAGCCTCTGGGGTATGTTCAGTAGCTCTCGATTGAGCGGGAAAGCCTTCTGCGGGGGTATGGGGGACTTGGCTGTCCTCATGATGGATGAGTTGGGATTGTGTTTCTGGTAGGATAGTTGGATTTACGCCCTGGTCTATAAACGTTGTCAGCCAGTTTCCCATAGCGCATATATCCTCAAAAAATAACTGACGCTTGCTGAAGAACGGAAGAAGTGTCTGTTGCTCAACAGCTCTCCGTACCATATTGAGCGTCATTGACAACTGCTACCTGGTGTTCAGTTCCAGGACGAAAAAAAACCGGCCACGGCAGCCTTATAGGACATCATCCACGCAGACTACAGCTCATGGCAACCTGCTCTCTTTTTCTGTTCCTTGAATAGTTTTTATATGATGAGTGTATATAAAAATGTCCTAATTCACGCTCTCCCAGCCGAACTTCGTCGCGTCTTTTCCGCGTCTTAATGACGTCCTGTCGGATAAATATTTCTCCTGCCGCCGCCGAAACTCAAAATTTTTGGATCGCAAAAAAGAAGAAAAAAGTGAGAAAGGGAACAGTTTCGAGGTCAAAGGCGTCAAGACAAGACACTTTCACACTTGACAGGCTACCAGACAGTGAATATAAGTGGACATGTCTCTTCCGGCTCCGTCCCTGTTGGCTCAGCTACCACGGCCGCTGGCCAATGCTGGCGGGAAGATCCAGTTTGCAGAGGTATATGGCGTCCAGGGCCTCAAGAAGCGCAAGCGACATGAAATCGCAGCTGCAATCGATGGCGAGGGTGTGAATATATACAATGTATGTAAACGCTGTACGCTAGGGTCTTGTGGATGACATCAATCTCTAACACCTATAGGCTCAATTCCCCAAGCTGGTGACCTCATACGCCATCCCACCTCAGGCATCACATTCTTGTCCACCATGCTCAGTACGACAAAAACTCCCAACAAACTCCAGGATTAAGAGGCAGACATACTGCGCAGTAGAAACGTCAGGAAAGGAAATTCAATGTTTTATTGATGAGCTAGTTCCGGGTCGAAGTACACCAAACATTTCAACCGTCTCCTTCCCAATAAAAGACACTGCCAGCAAACCTATCTTTGTTGGGACTATTCCTACAAACACGCCACCTGAGAATGTCTCTGATGCTTTTGACGTTCTTGTTGCGCACCAGGATGGCCGACTAAGGAGGCTGTCTCCTGACTTGAAGAAGGAAAGATGGACCATTCATTCACACAGTGTCTGGTCTTGCCGAGAGCTTGCGGCCTGCTTCACCTTGGGATTTGAAGACGCTCGTAAATTACTATTCCAGAAACGCGAGGATATCGTTGCTTCGGTGCTAGGAGATAGGTTTGGAACTGACCCTAACAGTTCTACTATTTTGGTGTTGGTGTCTCATGCCACGACGGGTTCATTTCAACTCAGTGACGTACAAGTCATGTTCTACTCAATTCCTTCTCACGTTCAGGCTGATGGTGTTCAAGCCCTGGCCTCTGAGCCTTTGAAACATTTAATGACACTCAATTTGCCGGCGCATCCAAGCCAAGATTCGTTGACTACACAGGATTGCCAATGGAGTTCCAACTTTGTTTCTGGAGAGCTGTCTCTGTCTTACAAATCGGGATTTATAAGCTTCGACATTACTCAGTTCTCCCCCAAGGTATCCTTCTGTGTTATTATGGAGGATGAATGTTTTTCCTCGATTATGCGCATCTCCTGTCAGTCAATAATCGCTGGGGGCAAGTCACTTCTTTCAGTATACGATGCACATTATCAGTCTCTCCAGGCGGCACTTCCATTGACCGAAATTCCCAAGTTTACCTCAGGCAAAAAGCAAGGAGTTCCGAGTGTTCTCGAATTTATATCCCACTTTTCTAAGCTTGATGTGTTGGTAGCCGCATATAGTGGCAGCTTATATAGCTTCGATCTTGCCGCTATTCAAAATGATCGCCATGTCTCCCGGAAACGGCCACGAAAGAGCCTTTTAATTGACTCGGTAGGAAAGGGTATTATGCCAGGGGGGGGCGAGGCGAAGAGACAATCAATCAAAGGATCAAATATCACACATATGCAACCAATCGGGCTTTCGGGGGAACTGCTCTCTGATCAGTGGAACGACTTAAAGAAGGAACTTGCTACCGCACCAAATCAGTCCACATTTGATGCTGTTATGGAGGCAAAATTCTGGAGCCAGTCAGGATATTGTAAGGAGAAGGCTGAAGGGTTCCCGCCGGAAGGAGCCTTTATCGATCCTGAAAAGATAAAATTTCTAATTTCGAGGATGTTTAAACTGAAAACTGCCGGTGATTCGGCATCAGTAAAACTTATTACCACCTTTATTCCCAGGAAAACTTTCAAATGGCTTGTCAATTCGAAACACCTGAGCGCCGCCAATATTGAAGCCGCTCTACGACACACAAGTGCCCCATATAATCTCCCCAAGATTCCAGACGGTGCTTTAGTCCAGGCTCTGGCCTCCCACGACCATTCTATGAACGTACTACTCACCTTGCTGCGTGGACCAGGATACTTAGAAGCTGCTGAGTTGACGCACGCAATTTGCGAGCTTCTCAAGGTCGCTCGACAACAAACAAACGCCTCTGAAGTCTCGCAGAAGCCTGTTACCGAAGTTGCCCATGGCGAGACTACAGACAACGCAACCGTGCTCGCAGAGAAGCAAACACCTGCCCCAAGCACAGCCCTTGTAAACGCAATTACAGGCTTAAACTTAGCCCTCATAAAGCTCCATACCCATCCATTAAATAACGTCACTAAATCCATCAGGTCTACGCTTTCAAATACTGACGTTCTTTCCATCATTCACCACCTTCGTTATTCGCTTGCAACTAGTGGGCACACCACACGTTTTACAGAAGAGCCACCAGCTGCCTTTATAACGTCTAAATTCCCTTCCTTATCTCTCTCGGTAATAATTGACTTATTAACTGCGTGTATCGATGCTGTTGGGCCCAGCGGATGGATATCAGCAGCTGGATTTGCCGGGGCAGCAGGGAGTGAAGCATCTCTTATAGCAGATATGAAGAGTGAAATTGCTGCTACTCTTGCTTCTATTGACGAAGCTACTTATTTAAAGGGGATATTGCGGGAATTTATTCGATGTTGCGAAACCTCTGCTCACCGTCCAGCTGCCATTACTCAATCCCAGCGTGCTATCGCCAATGGCACGTCAAAGACACCGAGTAAACGGCCCAAGAGAAAGGAATACCATAACGGAGCTCAGATCCTAGTTTATGGAGCTCCTGATAATTCAGCTGGGGTAGAAGGAAGTGACTCGAAAATGTTACCATTATCTCTAAAAGTAAGCGGCTCTCAATCAGGAATTGGTGGAGTGAGTGACGAATTGACCCGGAAGAAAACGCATAAATCGACTGGAGAGGTCAAGCCTAGAAGCGAACGAGAGATGGCCCATAAGAAGCACAAAGCTGTTGGCAAATATTCTTTTGAGAGAATTGTTATTTAGCCCTGTTGTACATATATAACTGCAAATAATAAAAAATCAGTTTTTTCGGCAAATTGTTACTCATTCTCAAATAAGAATCTGGGTGAGAGAAATGGAGTAAGTATATTTCTTAGAACATTATTTGGTTTGAAACAAAATAACGGTATTATCGCAAGCAAGAATTCTTAACTGCAGTACATTTAAAGGGTCAGCCCCATACTTCCAGTTAGATGCCTGGTCCTGTAATATTCGTCACCCTCACCCATAATCTTCTTGCTCACGGTAAATGTGTTTATGAAATCGTACATACTCAAGGGGGAAAGGTGCAAGGATGAAGACCAGGAATCATAAAATGGATCCATATAAAAAAATGTACATAATAGCATTCATGAAACAACTGTGGAAACGAGACAAAATATGTGAAGTCCCACAGAGGCAAATAGAATGGAAATAGGCGTATACGATCAAATGCATTTGAACCACAAGTAGAAAGATGCCGAACGAACATTAAAAATATGTAGCAACATAAATCAAAACGAAATCTCAAGCAGAAAGGGTAAATATAAAAGCAGAATGATCAAAGTATCGTCAAAGGATAATAGAAACTGAACGCGCATGCAACTCCGGCGCAGCGAATAGATGCAACCAAACACCAACCCACATTCTTGAACAGTCGTAACAGGTGGCCCGTAGCAAAGGGAGTAAACTCTTGAATAAGTAATTCACCGAACACTTTCAGAACATTGTATCATAACGAAGTACGTCAGAGGGGTCTTGAAAAACAAATGTACAAGTATACAACGTATCAAAAGATACGTGGCCAGGGAAAAGAGGCAAGCAGGATCAAGGGACAATAGAAAAATTCTATACAACATCAATGGAGTAACGACCGCGATATGGCGCTCGAACCATACTTTTTTTTCGTTCGTCATTTTTAGTGTTAAAACCGTATCCCGAGAAATTCCTGTTGAATAAAAATCGGTTCACGATCTATCGCTTGGGTTCTGATGTTGTTTTGTGTGGATCTGTCATTTGAGATTTTGTGTGCACTTATTCTTCTTTTTGTAGAAGAAATTGCAACACAGCATGACAGCGTAAGGCATCACCAGGCAAAATTCTGCATTGAAATTTACCAAAGGAGTGTGAGGAATATCGAGTCCAATATGCTCAGCTTTAAAAGCGAAACAGCTGAACAGAGCTCCACCACCAAGAATATAGATGTTTAGAAGTGGGTTCCAGCACCTTATCCGGAACAAGAGTTTTGTGCCCTCAATTTCATCTTCTGGCCTTGGGTTTCAAGTGCATTGGACATTAGTTTAATAACTATATGTGTATTTTTGTTAGTGGTCATTTTCTGGTGTGAATGTAAGGCCGGAGGAAGAGGGCTTACCTGGCCAGACACCTGCGTTGTTTAGCAAGAAGGCAGCTGAGAGAACAATCTTCGTTCCATATCCACCATCAACCAAACTGGGCAGACGGTTCCACGACTCTGATCCTGTAACCCCAATGTGCGATATCATGTTCTCCATTTTATTCTCAACATTGTCTAGGATATCCTGGATCTTCTGCAACAAATTGCGATCTTCGTCTTCCAATAAGACAGTAGCTGGAACCTCATTGAAATTGACATTGTCTTGACCCAGAATTCCGATGTATGGGCCAATACGTTCTTGGACTGCGGTAACCCATTCTGCTAAAACTTGAGCAGAGTCGAAGAGACAAATGGCACTTTGGATTGGCAGGTCACGGGAGGTGAACTCAGCAAATGTGTTTCCCCATTCATTTGACATGGACATGGAGTCAGCGGCATAGAATGCAGCCTTGCGAAGAAGACGTTCACCCCTAGAAGCTTGCATGTTATTTCGCGCGCTGGCAGCAAGTAATGAAAGGTCATCATTTGGTGAGCCAGATATGGTGAGGTCGGCTACGCCATACTCTGCGAGCGATTCTAGCATTTGAGCGGAGATCGCATCATCATGAGTTGAGAGGGAAAATTCCGATTCAGGGTTACTATCGGAAAGTGACACTGATTGAACTGCTTTCGTAAGCTCATCTGCCATGCCGCTCCAATCTCGCTGCCAAAAGGCTTCTTTGGACCGGCCAAGGTTGACATATAATCGAACATAAGCCAGATCCAACAAGGGGATGCTATCTGCAGACAAGGGACTGGCACCAAATGGATTAGGTCGTTCTAAACTGTGCGTAGGGTTGCTACTCCAAGCTCTTTGCCAAGCCCTGATTGCGGGCTCAATGTGTACATGCATTGCTTCCGTTTGGTTTGACCATTGCTTTCCCAAGTGTAGTTGTCGTGTCTCCCAGACATAGTTATGCAAAGCATGAATTAGTACCAAACATCCAAAGGTGCTCGGGCGCAGTTCACTAGAAAGCGACCCATCTGATTGGATAGTTGATCCATATTGGTTTTGGGACGAAGCCTGGCCTGCAGTGAGAAGTGTCTTGAGAGCAGTCGAGAATTCGATCGTGGTTTTCTCGGCGCCTCCCATTGCCTTCCAAGCTTCAGGAGACTGCGCTGCCCATAGTTGTTCTTCACAAGGTAGAGTAAGGCGAATTTCCGAATTTGTGAGGGCGGGGGAGTGGTTGTACGTAGAAACCAACAAGCTGGACAGAGTGAAGATGGCATAGAGGGTTCGTTTTCTCTCCTCAACAATTTTCCAGTTAAGCCATTCTTTCCTTTCACTTGAAATATCTACCTGCTGGCCCATCCACATGTCCCCGTTAAGCCCCGACAAACCATTGAAAGATGAGTTATACCCTAACTGCTCCTCGGGTAGGCTCTCTGGTGGGTGGTATTGTGTTAATTCCGCAGCACGCGCTAAACTAATAAGAGCCGCACAGTGTGTACTCGCAATATCAACCGCTGTTTTGTCGTCACAGTTATGGCCGTATATAACGTTAAGCAACATCGCTTGCACAAGCCAAAGTGGTGTATTATGAAGCGAGTTATCGCGGCTATAACTAGAGCGGTTAATAGCAGCGGACATATCTGCTCTTCGTCTCTCCTCTAGATAAAGCTGGATCATTTTCTTCGCAGATTCGAAAAGCTCCTTTGATGTGGCCGAATCATACTCGTAGAGGGCACCAATTGCAGCCATGGAAAGGATAAGACATCCACCACCAAGAGCAATATTGCCAGCACCAGCTGACCCAGGATTTCCTGAATGCTCCAGAGCGGTGAAATCCAAAGTGGAAATATGTAGGAACGGTAAGTGTGGATGGAAATAGGTAACATATGCAGAGATATATCGCTGGAGATCATAGGTACTGGGTAAATTGCAAGCGTTCTGGGAGTTTCCTAGCATGTTTCCAGGGCTAGGACTCATGCGCGACGCACTGAGGGAGTGTTGCGAGAATCGACGATTATTGAAACCCGAAGGTTGTTGTAAAGTCCTCATCAAAGCCTGTCGCGTCGAATCAGTGATAGAACTTAAGTAGGCTGGTTGAGAAGTTTGATCATAGCCAGATCCAAAAGATTGGAGGCCATTTGTTCCACCCACGGATGAAATTTGGAACGTACTGGTAGGAGCTCCCGAAATTACGGGTCCGTTCATTGACGCCAGAGAAGTGGATGTCGAGAATGGCGGATTAGAAGGATGACCTTGCGAAAGGAGTGATTTGGGGGACACAGTATCGGGAGGTGCAGCAAACTCAGGAAAGGTGAGATTGGCGAAATCCAAAGCATATTGTTGTGATTGGCTTTGGCCTTGGGAGTGCAGTGTACCGGCCCAGGCTGTACTACCGGCAGATGTTGTGCCAGCCTGGTTGGAAGCGTCGAGAATCGCTTCACTAAGACCACTTTGACTTCCTGTGCTCATGGCAGATGGTGAAGAGCCATCGATTGCTGAGTCATTTGGTGGGAACGTCATAGTATTGTCAAAGCCATTTAGCCATTCGTACTTAAGGTCATCTTCAATGGTACTCTGCGTAGCAGTCATGTTTGAAAAGCTCTGTGAGAAAGGAGAGGCAGGGGAATCGGCAAAGCCATGCGGCGAACCAGCAAAATGCAGCTGTGCAGGGTTGATTGTACTTCCCTGACCAACCATAGCGTCACCCATACCAAATGGAAGATCAAAGCTCCCAAATACCGGCGCAGTTCGGAGGGCATCAGGGAATTCGCCAGTTAAAGCTGCGGTGTCGAGCTTTGAGAGTCCGTTAAGTGAACTGATACCCGAACGGTAATCAAAGTTTGGAAGGGTTGAGAGGCCTCCAAGACTAGAATGATGGGTGTGGCCTGGCTGGGTTGGTCTGGAGGATGAATTTCCAGATCCTAGCATACCTACAACTGCTCCTTCGACGTGGCTGATAGTATTGGCTCTTGGTCTCATGGTATTTGTTCCGCCAGCCATCGAGTTCTTCCGGACTCTCGTTGAGCTGCTCATACTTTCCCTTCTAACGTTCCGCGGGCGTGATGCGGGCGTGGTAGCCATATGGAGTTTCTGCTGGTGCCTCAAAAGGAGGTCTCTTCGTGCAAAACATCTTGTGCAATCTGGACATTCGAAAGGCTTCTCCTTCGTGTGGGATCGTTCATGGCGCTTTAAATGCTCCAGGCGCGCAAAGGACCTTGTACAGGTCGTACACACATGCGGGCGTGGTTTGTCTGTCTTTGGAGGGGGCACGTCTGAGTTGGAACCCTTTTGTTGATGTTTGTGGTCAGGGATATGACCAGATGGAAAGGATACTGCAATCATGATAAGCACCGTTCGGGCAAAAGCAACAAACGATGGGATGCCGCGATGTAACCCTTACCAGGACCATTTTGCATAACTTCATTGATCGCCGTCAGGTCCTGACTTGGCTCATTATTAAGAGTAATCTGATCGGCCATCATGGTAAAATTGGGTGTCGTGAATAATTCAATGTTGCCCACAATGTGTTCTCAACAAATGATATGAATGCGCGAATGTAGAGAGATAGCTTAGACTAGGAATGCCACGTTAAATATGATGGAATTTGAAATAATACACAATCTGACGATAGGTACGGGACAGTCGACATGTAGGAAAGCTATAGTTGTGGAGTTAGACCGAACGGGGACATTGACGGGTCACACAGGGATGTCTGTAACATCACATAAGATGAAAGCAAACGAGTCAGCCATATTCAAATTCCACAAAATGGCGCAAAATACATAAACGACAGCAGCATAAAAAGCGGGAGAGGCACAGCAATTAAAAGCAACTTGTCAAAACGAAATGAAGATGCGTGGGATTGCATCTGCATTGAGTTGGGGGATATGGAGACAAGATGCACTCACAAGAGTAAAGATAGCAACCAGTAAAATGCCTGAGATATAGAAGCTCTCAAACAACGATGAGCAACCACACCAGGCCAGGAGCTCTTCTTGGAGGACCCCACCTAGTATCACAAGGAGAGCACTTGTCGTCCGATTTATGCAGTGAACAAGCTAATCAAGGGCTTTGTTATGCATCATATAGCAGTGATCGAATGCTGAGCTTCAATGTACCGATCAGACCGGTAAGGCTGCGCCAGCGGGAATTGATATCAGACACTATATTTTAACACCAGCGGTAAGAATGGCTAACGGGTCGGAGACGAGCGTGCTGCTGGCAAAGGTCGCTGCGGCGATTCAAAGTACGGATCGCATGCGTTGTAAGGATGTTCATTCGTTGGCGGGGAATTGTGCGGTGAGCGAGATTAAGGGCGTGAATGCGTGGATGAAGATAAGTGTGAACGAGCCCTTGCGGGAAGTGTGAGCGGCAAGAGAAGCAGGAACACTTCCTGCGTTTGGTATGAAGCGTTTCAATTGCCCGCGAGAGGCCGAGGATGGATGCAGCACGCAGCTGGTAGTGTTTCAGCACCAACACAGGAGATGAAATGTATGAGATGTCAGCGAACAACAGATGGAGAGAGGGGTGGGAGACGAGGAGCAAATGAATGTAATTGCGATATGGCCTTGGAATGAGGTAGAGAACAGGCTGTCCTACAGCGCCGGATCAGAGTCTCTCAGGCTATCCTGCTGTCGTCCTTCGTTTGTGCCGCTTCTTCTGCTCTCTTTGGCGTCCTGCTGCTTCTACTCTGCCACTGCTCTGCTGCAGACCTTGTCCTTCTGTTCTGGCTGTGCTGCGTATTCGGCCTTGAGGCTTAAGTATATTATTATTGGTGGCGGCGCTCGCATCGTCTTACATGGAACGACGGTACATTCTCCAGCGGTTCCCCTGTATCATGTTAGCGTCGTTCCACATTAGGACTGGGGTCGCTCGTACTAGTATTTCCTTAGCGTTGTGTTATTTATTACGCCGTCAAACCAAGATTGCACTGGCCTTTGATGAGATTTATGTCTGCCAGACATCGCACCGGCACCAAGAGCCATGGTTATGCTGAGTATACCAGGCGAAACTTGGAGTGAATCCCAGACATCTAATGGAATGTCTCGAAGCCTCGAAGTCTCGATGTCGTCCGGGTTACTCGATGCGGAACAAGCCGTATCATCGTGTACTCCCGTACCTGGTATTTTACAGTAAAATACAGACGCTCAGGCAGGGCCGTAATTTTAATACCTTTTTCTTCTTCTTCAAAGTGTCTAAGGTAAACGTTTTGTTCCTGGAAGTTTCTAGCAAGGAGACATAATTAATTAAATATGTGGTGGCCCTTCTACGATGTCGGCGTCTGGCCCTTGAGGCTAATACATATGTCTATACTATAGATATTTTCTACGTAGCACACTCGAGCTGTCGCCGTAGACACAATACACTTCTGGGTACTGCAGGTGTAACGGGCAGTAATTACTCCGCTCGACAGCAAGGTCACAGCCACAATGCACGCCTTTTCCAAGAGAGATGCATAGCAAAACAAAGATAATATATATATGCAGGTGAGAGACGGAGGAGTATTCAGCGGGAGACAGTGCTGCGGGCGGGCTCTGTTGATCCATCCGCTCTGGCTGGAGGGAACGAGCGCCCAGGGCTTGCATACTGTGTGGAATCTGCAGTCTGCAGCCTTCAAGTTCGAAGTGATCCTGCGAGGAACCAGAAGGAAATCTGGTAGCTGCTAGCTCATGTATAGATATTTCATGGTTGGGCATGCACGCTGTGTAGATCTCCGCGCTCAGATAATAAGACAGAAATGCCAGAGATGACATCCAAGGACCTCGACTTGGTCCCTCGACGTATCCCGCCACAAGGCAACCAGGGTTTCCATCTGGACGGGAGCAGCATGGACGTCGTGTCTCGTTCCACAGACAGTTCATGTTCATGCAATATTGACACCTAACCCTTGGAGAGAATGAGTACGTACCCCATAGTCAAATATCCTCTTTGTTTCTTTTGATAAAGCCCAAAAAAAGAGCGACACCGGATAAACTGCAGCTCCATTTATCCGGTACATCCTGGGAAGTTACACCCGCGGGCTTGGCGTTGTGTGATTATGTCATCACATACGTCCACTGGTAGGAAGCGAACTTCCATCTCACTTTCTGCAATATTACGGGAGAAAATTCTGGATTCCAGTTCCATGTGTGTATACGGAAACGAACGTCTAGAAAACCAAGCAAGACAGGCTGGTGATATCTGAGTCCCTGGATTTGAACTATTTATACTTACGTTTTCGTGTTCGCAGGCCCACAGAACCGGAATAGACGAGCACAAAAGCCTAGGCACACACAACCATCCAGTCGTTTGTTTTGAACTCCGGATGTCAATGGCTGCACGGCCAACACGAGCACTTCCCGAGGTTTTGAGATGAGTTCCTACGGCTACTTCCCCACAATACCAATATTAGCTGTCCTCGCGTGGAGTCCGGGGGCGCAGTGGATCCTCCAGGCATTCCTTGGTCCTTTATCCATACTTCATATATATATATATATATGAGAGCTGGTGGACTCTTAACATGGGAGAGAGGAGGACGGGGAAATGAAAAAAGAAAACCGGAGGCCAATGACTGCTTCATTTTCCTAGTGTGGAGTGTACTCTCCATGTGGCAAGATGATAGCTTTGTTGGAGAATCGGACGTGAAGAAGACCAAGCATTCGGCGTTGGCTTGCCCCAACCAGAGTTACGGGATACGCTCATACATATCCCGAGTCATAATACAACATGTACTCCAACACAATCCTCGGGAAAGTACGCACGGCTCGGTTGAAGTCTCTCCCTCTGTAGGTTTGAACAGCTGCGGCTGTAGCTAAGTACGCCCAAAGTGGCCAATGCTGCAGAGTAACTGTTGGTACACCTCATAGCCTGTCCGTCCGCCTTTGCAGCTTTCAGCAGCTGTACCTTGACAATGTTGTCAATTGATAACTCTCTCCTCACGGATGAGGAGCTCACTCACACAGTGTTACCTCGGCATTTGGCCGGCCAAGGCCTATAAACCCGGGATATCTGTGTATTATAGATAGCTCTCGAGCTTTGACAGCGATCGATGGCGTGTTGATCCTGATAGCTGATAGAATATCCAAAAAGACTACTCTGTACTGATACATGGTCCTGGTATTTCACTGTATTACGAGTCGGGCGGTGTATTGATACGTGTCCGTGACACTTCCAGATACTCCACGGCTAGCTTTTTTTGATCTAGCGGCGGCATTGGTAGGCGGGAAGCTAGACTCTATTAGGAATGAGACTGATCATGTGTTGGCATCCAAAAGCGGACTAGCGGCGCGTATCGAACGAAGCAAAGGCGGAATTACGTCATCCGTCGACTTTAGCCAAAAAAACAACTTCAACGTCGGCTTTTCTTCTTGCTTTGGTATCACTTCTGCTTTCTTTTTTCGCCATTGTTCAGCCTGTGTGCTCTCCTATTCGATACAAAACAGCACATGCAGTACTTCATACAAGAGGCGTCCAAACGGAGATCATCAGGGACAGTCCGTGGTTCACCATTGCAAACCAGACAGTCTTTATAGTTCACACAGGAAGTACATAGTATGGCCCTGCCTATCAAAATGCAGGGAAAATCCACCCCAGCCAGCAGGGTCGGGAAGGTTCATGGTTAACCGTTTAAACCCAGCTTCTCGATAACTCTCTCCCGGCAACAAGGGCCTGCCCAGGGTAACTGTCCTCGGTACGCTTATGTATATAATATAAACCTATATTGCTACGGAAGAAGCCCAGCTTGTTGGGATAGATATGCAGCCATACAGGTTGCCAATACGAGAGTCGACGCCACCTCAATATCTCAGTGGCTAGTTGTGTGTACAGACGAAAAGACTAATCATTGAAATGCACGTCAGAACTTAGCTTGGGGTGTATAACCATCACAGGCAATGATAGTGTGTATACATAGTACGTGAGTCCGCTTTGGGGTCCCCGTACGCTTACATATTATCCCGCATCGAACACCGTTCTATTCCCGAGCTTCTGGGTTACAGGCTTATCTTTACATATGTACTCCGTACGTATGTGCAGAGGACAGGGTTACTGTTATCAACACGCGGAGATCATGTTCGAGCCCAGGGGGTAACGAAGACGGGGTCGGTCTTTCTCCGCAACCCCCCACACCCAGCCAGGCTCGAAAAACCCAAAATTCATCCTGCAAAAACATCAACGAATTGACTGTTGATGTCATGGTGGGCTATTATTACCGGACAGTCCACGATTAACGCCCATTCCCACCCATTTCATGCTGATAATTGAATGCTCACCAACACCGTAATCAAGGTCTGATCATGCCTGACATCTAGTATGAAAACTTCAAATTTAATAGCATAATTGGCAACAATTCATTAATACTTTTATACACAGCGTTTAAAAAACCACCTTTTAAGCCTTGGCTAATAGGGTATAAGAAAACATTCTGTCCGAGCCCAAGGCAACATCCATATTCACTTAAGATCCCCTGCCCGATCATGCGGAGTTAATCCCTTTCTCCGTATATTCACTTCAGCTATATCACGGAAGCGATCCAAAGAGAGTTGATATATATCGGCTGGGTTTCTTCCGGTTGGTAAATTAACTCCCAAAAATTGCTTGCGAGTTATCGGGATAGTTTGAGTGGTTGAGTTGGCGGGTACAGGGAAAATGGCCTACTTCTAGTTAGATGTTACTTAAAAAAAGGTATAGGTTGTATTAAATCATAGCACCTCAGTCTGCAATAGCCGCATCCCAGCGCTATCTCTTCCATAAACATCGATAGTTCCCCTCACCGTATTATTCGAAACTTTAGACCACTTAATTAAGAGGACGAGTTGTACTTCTAGAGAGCCGCCTTGTAGCCAGAGATCTTTGTCTCGACTAAGCTTAGCCCAGGACTCGGGCCAACCTGTTTCAATAACAATACAAGGCAAAGATTGGTTATTTGGGAGTATACAGGCATCGGGTTCTTTAGATGAATTAGTATAGGGTCCCCGAAACCCTTGAAACGCTATATAATAGTTAAAAATGTAAGTCCAAGGGAGATAGGAATGGGGCGTGGATCATATAATTATACTTGTGCTAACAAGAAACTGAACCGCGTCAAGTTCCTGTTGAGTTAGAAAGCCCGTTAAAACCATACGCGACATCTCCTTCACAATCCATGGCTGATGCGCATCATGAATTAAAGTGGGCATTATTCTGATATCAAGAGTCTGGGTGTAAGAGTTGTAATTAATCCTGTTATACGCATTAACAATTGATCATAACCGAGATTTCTAGAGAAATACCAACCGGGGACAGGCGTTTTCTATGTCTGCATCCTCGCCGAGAGAGTCTGTCACTTGCAGCCCACTCTCGGCAGAAATATTCTCAAAAGATAAATCAATAAATTCACTAGCTTCAAGGATTGCCTGACGGATGGTGTTGAATAGCTTCTGGGGAGTTGGCGTCGAAGGTAAAAGGGGTGCGTTGCTTCTGAGAAGGCGTGTTAGAGGGTACTCCCCAGGCTTTGATATGCTACCCATTTTCAGAGTGACATAAGAAAAGAAAGCCAGGGAGGGTGTAAAGGTGTACTTCTTGAGAAGCAAAATCGGGTTGATATCGAAACAAGCAAATGTGAGAGCTGACGAGCGCCAAGTGAGAATATGAGCTTACCTAATATATTACCATGCACCACTTATTGTAAACGCCGACGATACCTAATCAGTAGGCGGCGGCGTCATTGACTCCAAGCAATAGCACTGTCAGTGTTTCTCTTTACCTCCACGCCACGCTGAGTCTCCATTGCCTCAACGCATACATCAGCCGTCAGATTCGACGACGATTCGTCATCACTCATCTGGATAACAGCTTCAGGGGGAATTCAGTCTTCATGATCCCTGTGGCCAGGCTCGGCTTGAGGAATCTGATTTGGACTCAGCATAACCCTGGGATAATGGGCGAAGTGAGTAGTAGATTGCCATGGAGAGATTTTGATATGCTTTAATATTGCTATTGTCCCTTGAGAGTCTCCTGAAGGCGATGGAATAGTTAGCCTAACCAATAAAAAGTTAAAGAATCTAGCTTGCTTCTCGCAAGGGAAATGTCAGGCAATGAAAGATGGCACAAAGAGGGATGTAGGGCCTGGTGAATCATAGTTCAGATTGACCTGAAATGATAGAATATAAGCACTAGCTGAAGAAAGCCATAAATATATGTGATCATTTCTTCAGGTAGGTCACTCTACCTAATACAAAGAGTTTGGTAGTTGTGTTTTGCTAGTTTACTTGCCATTTGTTGGGATTTATTCTTTTATAGACCCATTGTAGGGTTCACTTACTATCAATCCTCGAGTATTTTGGGTTGGGAGATGCCTTGGACTCGCGTTATTGTGGCTTCAATGGTGCGAGTATTCTTTGACTAACGGCGGAGAAATCAATATTGAATCCCATAATTGCAAAGGATTGGGAGAATTGGTTATAAGTGGCTGTCAAAAACGGTTTCCTTAGATGAGTGTGTCAGCAACAACATATGATCCCGTAGGACCTGCCTTTATATTTGATATTGGACCTTCTATTTTTAACTGTTCCCCATTAATCATAGCTTGAATAAACGAAAGGCTAAAACTGCTGTCTGTAGGCTTTATAACTTTTTGTTGGCTTCGAATAATTATTTCACGGATCTTAAACACTAATAGTTTTGAAAACGCTACATATGGAAAAGTCAGTGGATTAGCGTAAAAACCTTACACAATGAGAAGGAAAAACTTACCTGAAACCATTACCTCCAGTAGCCATGATGGTACCCGGCATCTGCTCCTGCCAGTGTAATTCCTTTACCATCTCCATGTAATGAACAAATAACAGTTGTGACGGAACATCAGCCAGGCCGGCTTCTTCCCGGGACTCTTCATCGTCCAGCTCTACCGCAAGATCCCAAAGTGTAAGCGTGTTATCTGCAGAACTAACAGCAACGACACTGTCATCAGTTGGATGCCATTCGATACTTGTGATTGGCTCTGTGTGGAAATCGAACGAAGCGACTGCCTCTGGTTTGATCTGAGAAGAACCGCCATTTGAGGATTCGGGCTTCCATTGCCTTAAATCCCAAACACCCCACTGGCCATCATCGGCACCCGTAGCGAGGAGGTGGAATGTTTGTTTAGACCAACTCATGACGTTTATGTCTGTATTGGAAATTTTGACGTCGACCGCTGGTTTTCGAGACTTGGACCTAACATCCCAAACTTTAATGGTCCCATCGCTGCTTGCAGACGCGAATACATTCTTCTCATTGGGAGACCACTGGATTTCCTCAACCGATGATTTATGCCCAACAAATGGTCGGGAGTCAGTAACCCATCCGCCGCCTTCGGATCGAGTTGTTACGTATATTAGGCCGTCATTGTCACCTGTGAGAAGTTTCCCTAGCGGATAAAGCGGAGACCAATCAAGAGCATAGCCTTCTGATTTGTGCATCCGTAGTGTAGAGAGCGGCTTGGCTGCTGACGGTGGGATAATCAAGCCTGGGCTGTCAAAACTAGCAAGATGCTGCGATACATCGTGGATTACAACGTGTGTGTTCTCTAGCATGCATGCTGCAAGGGTCTGTGGTAGTTTTGTAGGGTCACCAGATGCATGTGGTGTTTGGTGTGACCGGATCCGATTTGTTGTAGAATTGAGAGGTATCGACTTGGACTCAAGGATAGGTTCTGAAGAGGAATCATCATCTGAATCTGATTCATCATCTGAGTCTTCGTTGTGTTCACGTTCCATTCTGCTCAGTCCACTCAATTTAAGGACCATAAGCTCATTTTCTTTCATTCTCCTCGAATCTGCCTGTGTGCCAGAAACCGCGTATACTGTGGCAGGGTACAATTTTCTATTATCTCCCAAGCTATCCCTCACAATATCGAATGATAGACATGGCCATGGTGTACTGAGTGTGTGAAGCATATCGTACGTAGATGGATCAGGCGACAGAGTCTCTCCTGGAGCTAATTTCGTTCTTCCAGGGATAAATGTCTGTTTGTCCACCTCCATTGCATCTATTCCAAAGCAAGAAACAAACCACAAGTTAGCATTTATTCTCTCCACTGCCCATAGAGGGGAATAACATAATAATTAAAATCAGATTGGTATGCACACCGCAGAACTCGACTCTAGGGCAACCACGTACCCCTCTGCTCTTCAGCTTCACGCTCTGCATCTGGGCGGCCGTCAACTCCAGCCTCTATTATATCATCTTCGCTCTCGAATTCATCTTCAAACTCATCCTCAAAGTCCCCTATCTCATCAGGTGGTGCGTCTTCCATGGGCCGGTCGCCAGCTTTCAGTGCCCCGCTAGGCTCATCAGCTTCTACACCGCGCTTCGGCATGGTGAAAGATAGTTTTCTCCGTTTAATTTAATAGAAGCAATGCAATTCAAATATATAGCACAAGTCGTAGCGAGAAGTTGCACTTGGCTGTGTTGGTTATCGATAAATACGGGAAAAAAAAATCGTTTTACTATCAAATCTTTTTTTTTCTCCCACATGTTTAGGCGGAAATGCGGGTCCGCGCTAGTCTCGTTTTAGGCCAATCCCAGCTTGCGTTTGTTGGTTTTCGCTTTCGATGAACTTCGCCTTTCTATGATTGACAGACGCCGGATCAAACGATTTTACGAAGAACAGCAAGGTTGCAGCAAGTGATTTTCTTTGCTCGGGAGACAGGCTAACTCGTTTCGACCTGAGACCCGGCTTTCAGTCTCTTGACAGCTTCTCGGCCGCACGGCTTTACCGCGGTTTCCTCGATTCCTACGCGCTTAAACCTTGAGCTGGATCAAGCTCCCCTGGTTAAGGGAAAAGGAGAAGTCTGGCGGTCTTTCTCTACGCCGGAGTGGCATTCATTGCACATAGGGGCTTACCCTTATACTTCCTGCATGCGCAGTTCTTTCATTAAACGCCGAAACCAACAGTATTTGCCGAAAACAGACAATCTCCTTAACACACGAGGGGCCTTGGGTCTATTTATGTCTCTCCTTTAACCTGGCAACTCTCGTTATACCACCTCTTGATACATTGTGAAGGTTGCTCTTGAAGCCGGGCGCAGGGATGGATACGTTAACGAAGGAGGTTGACAAGCTCCAGATGGAGGACGAACCCACCGTGACACAGTTCACAGAAACAACAACGAACGTTGAACAACTACCTCCCCCAGCTGAATCCGAACCTGTATCCATGCCGGAGTCTGTGTCTATACCAGAACCTGTATCTACGATAGAGCCTGCCCGAGAACCAGAGTCCACATCTGCCCCTGAGAGTTTGGTTCCACAAACACCAGAGCAAGACAACGAGGCTTCAAGTTATCAGCAGAACTATAACAACGGCTACAGCAACGGACAACAAACTCATCACTCGTCATTCTCTCCCGAATACGTTCAATCGACAACACAATCCCTACATGCACATGAAAGTGACCTTTCACCCGCATCAAGGCATAACTCTCCCACCATGTCTTATCAACAATATCAGCTACCTTCACAGCCCGCCTCTCGCCCTGGATCAGGGGTATCGAACGCCGGGGATAGATATGGCTACTCGCAACAATATCAAGATCAGAACCCGAGGCAACAGCAGCAGCAGCAACAACAACAACACCAGCAACAATCTGCAGCCCCAAACAAGAATAGTGTTGTGATTAAAGTTGGAATGGTTGGGGATGCTCAGATTGGTAAAACGAGTTTAATGGTCAAATATGTCGAGGGTAGCTGGGACGAAGATTATATTCAGACGTTAGGTTGGCGCCACTGTAATATATTCCAGCCTTGTGAGGCACTAATTACTAACAATACATCCAGGGGTCAATTTTATGGAAAAGACCATTTCAATCCGCAACACAGAAATCACGTTTTCAATCTGGGACTTGGGCGGGCAGCGAGAATTCGTTAATATGCTCCCTCTTGTCTGCAACGATGCCGTGGCTATCTTGTTTATGTTCGATCTCACCCGAAAAAGTACACTTAACTCTATTAAAGAGTGGTACCGACAGGGGCGCGGTTTCAATAAGACCGCCATACCTTTCCTCGTCGGAACCAAATATGACCATTTTGTCAACTTCCCCCGCGAAGACCAGGAGGAGATATCAATACAAGTAAGATCCTCATGTCTTTCCCTATTTGTTTGGCGGCACATATTCTAACTGGCTCTGTCAGGCAAAACGATTCGCCAAGGCAATGAGGGCGAGTTTAATATTTAGTAGCACCAGTCACAGTATCAACGTGCAAAAGGTAGGCAGGCTGTATCTAGCAATTGCTGATTCTGCTGCTAATTGTACTCTCGTTTAGATATTTAAAATCGTCCTTAGCAAGGCATTTGACCTTAAATGCACGATTCCCGAAATCGAGAATATTGGTGAACCCTTGCTACTGTACCAATCCGTCTGATTTGAAAGCAAGGTGATGATAGTGACGACTCTATATATCTCCATGATGTAACGGGCTAGCATCTATAACTGATGAAGAACTTGCTACAAATTGCCCGAGGCTGAACAGAGAATGGCCGTTTCGATAGCATCTGAGAGCCGCAAGCGGGAGTTGACGGAGCTGGAGATTTCTTCGTCGTATGCTGGGGGCGTTTGAACAGCTTTAATATCCGAGGTCGCTGTCGTTGTTCTTTTCTTGATGGTGTATTATCTCTTGGGCTATCGCTATTCCGGAAGTTGATCCCGGTTAGCTATAGCTGTTTTAGCGTAGTCTTAAATGATATATTTATATCTACCACCTTTTTTTTCCCCCCTTTGTTACCTCCATTCTGGCATCGTCACGGCCTTCCGCTTTTAGCCAGCAGAGCCGCTCTAATAACTGACCAATGATAAATGAATTTTCCGCTTATTCAAACCTTACTCAGGGTTACTATCTATATTATTGGCTGGAAATTGAGTAACATTCTGCTAGACCAATAAGAAACTTTTAAAGCGGGCCCCAGTTGCTTACTTAGCTTAAGGTTAAGTTTGGCGCGGGAAGCAACGAGCATGTGAAACACCAACGCTGACGCAGCGCAAATAACAGAACAGATTTCAAGGGAGTGAGATGCACGAAAGCGAACCCAACAGGAAAAGCCAGACATAGTGACTGGGGACCTGGGCACAGTGGGGGCCAAACGGTTTGTTATTTGACACTCGCAATGTTGTAATATACCCCCAAAACTTGCTTAATCCAACATAACAGGGAATAAGTCCGTTACTCCATATATATATATTGCGATGACTCGTTCGTCTCCAGCCTTCTTCGCCCGCTATACGTGCCACGACGACCGGTAACTCCTTATAATCAAGGAGCTCTAGGCAAATGATTCGAGGAAAGGAGGTTCTCCCTCCTCCCGTTGTCACCAGAACTGGGCAGAAAAAGCCTCCTCCACCTCCTCCATCCAAGGGAAGCAAAGCAATCTCAGCAGGCCCTCCCTTGCCACCGAGAAAGAACCCAGAAGTCTCTTCACCAGTTCCGCCAGCGCTACCTCCTCGAACACCGTCAGACTACAGCCGGACTTCTAGTGAGTTTACGCCCTCGAGCGCATCTGTATCTTCCAGTTCCTCGGGGCCAGAGACCAAACCTGATGTCTACCGCCTTTGTGCCCCAGCTTGGGGTCAGACTGAATTACCTTGCATCACACCGTGGAACAGAAATGCCAGAGATAAGGATACCAGCACCGAGAGGCAGAAGGAAGAGATACAGCGCAAAGCAGATTTCGATAGTCAAAATGCGAGCGGAAAGATAGCAGCATTACGGGATCGATTGGCTGGCCATAAAATCATTTCTCCTGCTACGGCACCGCCGCCAAAGGCTGCGAAACCGAAACTCCCTCCTCGCATGAATTCTACACCTATCCTCCAGGCATATCAACATCAGCCCCACCAGCACAACCAACCCCAGCTAGAGAGAGTCGAATCGGCGCCTCCTACACAGAGGAAACTGCCCCCTCCTCCGCCGCGAGGGGTCAACCTCGAAACAATCAAGCGCGGGTCATTTTCAACGCTGAATAAAAGCGCCAATGGCACAATGAAATGCAATACCAAACAACAATTGGAACCCTCAGTGGATGCTAAAATAATATCTCGTCTTCCTCCTCCTATACCTCTTGCATCCCGCCCTAAACTACCTCTAGTACCTACCAGCTCTAAGCCTCATGCCACTACAACGCTCTGTATTAATGCAGAGAACCTGGCGATTTCGTCAACTGTGTGCCTCAAGTGTCGCGATTTTTCCGCTCCTGATGCTCACGCCGCTAGGTTTCCTCGTCAATCCCTCCCATCGCACGATTTAGCCTGGTTATCATCTCAGCTCACCTCTCCGTTTCCGTCGCTCACAGATAAAGCACGCGTGATCTTTACGTGGCTCCATCACAACGTACGCTATGATGTCGAAAGCTTCTTTCAAGGCAGAAACATGCCACAATCGCCAGAATATGTATTTACCCACGGCCTTGCCGTCTGTGCCGGATTTGCATCCCTATTCGAAATCTTAGCAAAAAATGCCGGCCTAGAGGCTAAGGTGCTGAGCGGCCACGGCTCAGGCTTTGGTCACAAACCGCTTGCCCCTGGAGCGCCATTACCTCCGTATGAGGGTAACCATGCATGGAATGTAGTGCGCATTGACAATGGACAATGGAAGCTGATTGATAGCTGCTGGGGTGCTGGCCACATAAAGGGCAGAAACCTACCCTATGTCCAAGAATTTTCACCCAAACACTTTACCATGTCGAACGACGAGTTCGGCCTTGACCATTATCCTAACAATAAGTCCGACTTTTACCGTGAAGACGGACGCACCGATATCACATGGGAAGAGTATATCGGAGGCGGCCTCAGAGCTCAATTGAACATACCTTCTGATCCACCCACTCTTTTCACAGCAGCTACCGAAAACCATGGTATTGGGGAGTCTACCCTCCAGCCAAGGCTAAAGCCCATCTCCATCAGGGAGGTTTCTGGGCGCCCTGTGCACTTCCAATTCGCACTCATTTGCGAGCATTGGTCTATCATCAAACATGGCAATAAGTGTGCGGCGGCTTTCTTCATACTAGGTACACATGGGCTCGATGGCAGAGAGGACAAGTTCGTCCCATTCAACCATGTTCGGGGTACTAACCCGGGTGGAGGTGGTGACTACTGGTATCTGGATATCCCTGATGGTAGGACCTTAGGTTGCGCTGGTCAGAAACTGATGGTATACGAATTAACTAGCTTCGGAAACCGGTCCAATGTGCGCGGTATGACGATGGGAGAATATGAGCAAGGAGTCGGTAGAGTCGCGATGGGCTTCAATGGAGTTGCTGAATGGAGTCTTGTTTAGTAACTCCCTTATTATTCTTATCATTTCCCTTTTCTTTTGACTATGACTAGCCAGTTCGATATTTTATGTCTGTTTTTCTAGCAAGGGTAGTGCTCGAGACAGCGCCTAATGTATATACAACTTACGGCAAATATAGAGAGCAATATTAAATGACAATCTTTTGGCTCTTAGGCAAGTGTTTTATTGTATAATAATATGGTCTACAATTATATCCTGATCAGCCTCTAGACTTAAGGATAACGAACATCGAACGCTGCTATTAGATGGCAAATGCCTATCGCCTATCGATTACCATTCAATATATAACTAGTAACTCCTTTAACGCCGTACCTATCAGGCCTCCTAGGTCCCGTTGACTTTCATATTACCAGAACTAAAATAACATCTAGCTACAACTCGCTAGAACTTTCTGCCATGCACTCGGCCTTCCCGATATTCCGGCAAAACTTTCGACAAGAACCAAAAGATGGACCAGAAATACTATGTATGTGAGGGGGCATGGATGGAGCTGTTACATCCCAGGGTGTCAGTGGCATGCTGGTGGGAGAAGCTTTGCCACTGTGCAAGCTACGAATAGGAGCTTTTCTCCTCTCTAGTTTCCGGCGGAAAGGACAATGGTTCTTAGTGGTTGTGCATAGGCGGGTACTGGTACTTCTTTTCACGCGGCATTACGGCGGTAAAAAGACGTACCTGTACCTCAAAGTACAGACAAGCAATTGTGGATGTTTCGTTGCAAAAGCTCTCGGCAAAGAATGTCGATCCTGTCCTATGCACATACATCACTTTCTTTGCTTCTTTTCCTGCCGCGAATGTCAACGGTCAAAGGGAGATGAGAGAACCAGCAGTGTGGATGTAGTCGCTGACGCTGGCTGTTGTTCTGGTGGTAGCTGGCTTGACCACTGGAAATGCGCGGAACCAAAATATCACAGTGCCCTCGCTGCGGTGGCACATGAGCACGCGACACAACCTGTCAAGTTCCTCGTACAACCCATGATACAGCCTTTACTTCTGTGTGATAGAGGAAGCACTTGCGGGGGGGCCGCCGACAGCAAGGGTCTGCGGGGGAGCCACGCCGTATAGTAGGGGGAAAGTAACTCTGAGGGTCCATCGTCATTGATCCTGCGTTATACTAGTCGAGAAGTAGGACCGCTACCATGGTAGCTTCCATTCCCCGCAGCTGTCTATATAATAGTCTCCAGTCGTTTCCTATGCGGCTTCTTTTCCTTTTTTCCTTTTTTCTTCTTCCCTCTCTCTTCCTGTATTAATATACATATGTTAGCCTATGTTGCGCCTCCAGGGAGGAAGTCCTTTGCCTTCTTAATAATAATAAAAATAACCCACCTGAGAAGATAACGCAGGTGTTTCTAACAATGTTTAATACTGGGAACATCTATGTTATTGCGGCCGTCTCCGTCATCGGTGGCGGCCTCTTCGGTTTTGACATCTCGTCGATGTCTGCCATTCTCGGCACCGATCAGTACAAGTGCTACTTCAACCAGTATGGCCCCGGCCAGTGTGGTGGCCCTAAGCCTGCTGTGCAGGGCGGCATCACTGCTTCCATGGCTGGCGGATCCTGGCTTGGAGCGTTGATATCAGGCTTCGTCTCGGATTTCCTTGGCCGAAAGAAGGCCATCATGGTTGGAGCGATAATCTGGTAAGTCAACACGCCGGCTTAAGGTGATTCTCTCATTAACAGTAGTAACCACTAGGATTATCGGCTCCGTAATCACTTGTGCGGCTCAGAATATCGCTATGCTGATTGTTGGCCGAATCATTAACGGGTTGAGTGTCGGTATCTGCTCTGCACAGGTACCTGTCTATATCTCAGAAGTTGCACCTCCTACCAAGCGTGGCCGTCTTGTCGGATGCCAACAGTGGGCAATCACCTGGGGCATTCTCATCATGTTCTAGTAAGTTCCAACCCCCCCTTTTTGTTCAAATGTGTGAAAAGGTTGCTCACCAAGCAATAAAGCATATCGTATGGATGCAGCTTTATCAAGGGCCCCGCTGCATTCCGTGTCCCGTGGGGTTTGCAGGCCATCCCGGCCGTCCTTTTATTTTTCGGTATGATGCCGCTTCCCGAGTCACCGCGATGGCTGGCTCGTAATGACCGCTGGGATGAGTGCCATCAGGTTCTTACCCTAGTCCATGGTCATGGTAACCCAAACTCGCCATTCGTACTCCGTGAGCTCCAGGAGATCAGGGATATCTGCGAATTTGAAAGGGCAAATGCCGATGTCTCCTACCTTGAGCTCTTCAAGCCAAACATGATCAACCGCACCCATATCGGCGTCTTTACCCAGATCTGGAGTCAGTTGACTGGCATGAACGTCATGATGTACTACATCACGTAAGTCCACTTGAGAGTTCTGCCCCTTTGCTTTGAGGTGTTAGTTTCCCGTCTGACAGCTGGTAGATATGTATTTGGAATGGCCGGTTTGACCGGCAACACCCTCTTGATTTCCAGTAGTATTCAATACGTCATCAACGTTGCCATGACAGTTCCAGCGCTACTCTGGATCGACCGCTGGGGTCGACGTCTCCCTCTCCTTGTCGGAGCCTTCCTCATGATGACCTTCCTGTTTGTCAATGCTGGCCTGCTGGCCGGCCGTGGTCATGCTGCTCCACCAGGCGGCCTCAACGGCGTCGAAGCCGAATCCTGGGAGATCACCGGCGCCCCAAGCAAGGCTGTCATTGCATGTTCCTACCTTTTCGTTGCATCGTTTGCTCCCACCTGGGGGCCCGTTTCCTGGATATACCCTCCCGAGCTGTTCCCCCTTCGAGTCCGTGAAAGGCCGTGCTCTCGCACTCAGCGAACTGGCCTTTAACTTTGCACTTGGCTACTTTGTGCCTCCAGCTTTTGTCAGCATCCAGTGGAAGACGTATGTGCTCTTTGCCGTCTTCTGCGCCGCCATGTTCATCCATGTCTTCTTCATGTTCCCTGACACCGCAGGCAAGACGCTGGAGGAGGTAGAACAGATGTTCACTGATCCCAAGGGACCCAAGTATATCGGTACTCCAGCCTGGAAGACAAAGAGCAGCTTCAACCGTGCCACTCAGATTGAGGAGACTGGGACTGCTCACACAGACAAGCTGGAACCCAGCCATGTGTAATCTGGCGGCATGTTCCTAACAAGTAACTAGCCCAGTAGTGAAGTGGTAATTTGATGAAACGGTGAGCGAAACTAGGATTCGTTCAAGGTTATGTATATACGAATAATACTTGGGTTGAATGAATTGAGTTGGCACACCATCTCTAGCTCCGTAATACGGCTGACATCAAGCCCAACATGTCTTCATCTATGAAACTCGAAATCTCGTCCTTTTTCTACTTTTGATATTTAAACGTCAAAATTAAGCTTCTTATGTAAGACAATGACTAAGCGCGCCTTTAGCGACAGAAAAAAAAAAAAGATGAAGAAATTTTGACTTGTAGAACTTCGTCTCGATGGATTCGATGACCGTTTCCGTTAGTTATTCTAGAGTCCTTACCGCTGGCTAGGCGAGGGGAAACCCTTACGAGAGTTCCCGCGGTGGTCTATATCAGATCGAACTATTGATCTGTGAAGGAAGTAGGAAAATAAAAGCAGACAAGCAGCTTTGTGTAGTTCTGCAGTGTTAACATATTCAATATCGTAATTATGTCATAGCCAGTTATTCTGCATCCTCTTCTTCGTCTTCCCTGCCATGTAGCCTTACGATGTATGAAGGAATGTCGGAGTTGTATGAGGTATACTAGAAAGTTAAAAGGCACACGCGACAAGAAGTTTTCATCCTTCGAACCGTGGAAAGGCTCCGGTATGAAAAAGAAAAATAGACATGGCAGATATAAAATATAAAACAGAATAAAATAAAAAACGATAAATCCAATAGACGCTGTGGTCGAAGCTGGCGCTGAGGATCGACGGCTTCTTCTCCCTATTTTATCGTCCTTCCGCGGGCTTCCTCGAGAGAGAAAAAACTTCTCCACCGTTCACTCGCAAGACGACCAAGGGAGTCCCTTCATCACACAGGCACACCATGAAGGACGACTCGAAGATGCCGCTCATGGCTGGTGGTAATGCAGAGTCCCCCCAGCATAAGGTAAGCTGGCTTGTCTTCTGCGCAGTCCCCCCCCCCTTTTTTTGGTTCGAGATGATGAGGATCTCTGATATTTTCTTTGCGCTCCCCCGTAGATGCGACACCAAAACGGCCTCTCGAGCAAGCCTCACTCTAAACGAAGAAGAGCAAGGTCCTGGCTTCGTCGTGTCAAAGATATCTGCTTAAAATACACCTGGGTCTTACCTCTCGCCCTTCTGACGGCCCTCCTCGCCGCATACGCCGTCAACCCTTCAGAGTCCAACCCGATACACCATGGCATATTCCTCTCCTATCCATTGCCTCCGGAGACACCGGGTGGACCAGTGCTCTACGGCAAAGGAAAGCTTGACATCGCTTTCGTGGCCTTCTACACCATTGCGCTCTCTTTTACTCGTGAATTTCTGATGCAGTGCGTTATTCGGCCGTGGGCTCTCTACGCCGGCATCAAGGGCCGCTCGAAGATCACCCGGTTCATGGAACAGGTGTATACGGCAATGTACTTTAGTGTGTTCGGACCGTTTGGTCTGTATGTGATGAAGCAGACGAATATCTGGTATTTCAACACCACCGCCATGTTCGAGAATTTCCCGCACAAGGCCCATACTGCGGACTTCAAGGCGTATTACCTTCTGGAAGCCGCATATTGGGCACAACAGGGCATCGTGCTGTTGTTGCAGCTTGAGAAGCCCAGGAGAGACTTTAAGGAGTTGGTCGGACACCATATAATTACCCTTGCGCTCATTGCGTTGAGCTACCGATTCCACTTTACTTATATCGGTCTCGCCGTATACATCACCCACGACATCTCTGACTTCTTCCTTGCTGTGAGTGTTTTTTCTGCATAATCAGCATTGACCCTGTTTATCTCTTCTTTTACTAATGGTCTTTTCCAGACGTCAAAAACACTTAATTATCTTGACTCACCGATAATCACCCCGTTCTTTGCCCTCTTCGTTGCCGTCTGGGTCTACATGAGGCATTACCTCAACCTCCACATCCTCTGGGCCGTTCTGACCGAGTTCCGGACCGTCGGGCCTTTCGAAGTCGACTGGGAGGCCGAACAGTACAAATTCTGGGTCAGTCAATATATCACGTTCGCCCTCCTGGGTTCTCTCCAGGCCATCAACCTGTTCTGGCTCTACCTGATCATTCGCATTGCCAAAACCTACGTCTTCAGCAACGCGTTACAGGATGAACGAAGTGACAACGAAGAAGAGGATGAGATCGAAGAATCGTCCCCAGCCATCGGGGATGGAAATGGAGTCCCTATACCAACCCTGCTTGTCAACGGCCATGCTAGCAAGGAAAATACAGATCTAATTGGAAATGGATCATCTACGGGACTGACTAACGGAAATTCAAACGGTGCTGCCACGAAACGCAAATGAATGAGCTACTATTATACATATGAGAACTTACCGGATGACCGGTATGCGCTTCCTTTTTGTCCCCCTTCTTATACCCTTGAATTGCATGGCCTCGGTAGGCCAGGGTTCTTCGTCATACATCCCTCTAATTATGTTTTTTTTATCCCCCCGCCGCCCTTTTTTCTTCCAATTTTGTTATATTCCCTTTGTCCGTGGGCATAGAAGCCCATGATATATATATGGGGGCATGGGCTCAGTGTCTCGTCTACGAGACCGGCCATAGCATCGGCGTACGGTTAGATGGTTTTTTCCCTTACATATACTATCTTTCTCTTTATGGCTACGGCTTAAACACCCGTATCGGCCATCAAAACCCTCACCACAAGGCAAAAATATAAAGTATACGTTCATACCCTGCGCCTTGACGACGATATTTAACGGTGGGGGGACGTTGGGCTTTACGTCTATACGATGAATTCCTATTGTTCTATTTTCTTGCTCACATATACTTGAACATGCCCCGTTGCAACGTGGTAGTGATTATTATCATTACCCTATGTCCTTTAAATAATGTAATACATGTCTAGACTGAATGAAAGAGAAATGATATAAAAATGGATAATTGGAACACATCTATTCTAATGACCTAAAAATGAAAACTGGGTGAGCGATAAGGAAGTAGGGGTTCTGTACATGCTCTTTGTATGGGTTTTATGATCATGTCATTCACTTATATTACAGCACAATGGTAGTAAAATTGGAGGAACTGTTATAGAGAATGGACATATGAAGGGGGGCTGTTGTCTCTTCCCTATCTGGTTGGTATGCGCATCCCAATATAGTAGCTCACAAGTAGGCCTAGCTAGATTTGGTGGCTGGCTCCTCGGATGGGGCCTTTGGGTTAGGAGTCTTGTCCTCTTCAGGTTCCTCCTTCACTTCCTGGGCCTGGTGGCAGTGTCAGTCGTGAATCCCACTTGCGTAACAGAAGGATAAGAAAATGGACTCACCTTTGGTTTTTCCTCTTCCTCGGTCTTCTCAGCAGGGGATTCAGCGGCCTTTTCTTCTTCCTTAGGCTTCTCCTCAGCTTCAGTGGCCTTTGGTGCTTCTTCAGACTTTGGCTCCTCCTCGACCTTGGACTCTTTGGTCTCGGGCTCTTCGGGCTCAGGCTTTGGCTCAGCAGCTGGCTCTGGCTTGGCCTCTTCCTTGACTGGCTCGCTGACGACCTCCTTCACCTTCTCAACTGCGTGTTCAACGTGTGCGTGGGCATCGTGGCCGGACTTCCCAGCGGGGCCTGACTGATAGAGGTAGTATGCGGCCGGGAGAGTGAATGCAACGGAACCAAGCAACCTACAGTAGTCAGACAGAGCAATTGAGTTAGCCAATATCCGCATACCCCCAGGAGCAATGAAAAATCCATGTCTACAGGACTGCCACAGGTACAACCGATAGATGGGGTGATCGGATAGACTCCAGCTAAGTCTTCACACATGCAAGAGAGGGGCCGGAACTTACCAAGGAATATCACTTCCAGCTTCGTGAGAGCCATGTCCGGCGTGGTCGGCATAGCCTCTTCGAGAAACTCGCTGCCATGCTCGAGCAGTCGGCACTCTGGGAGCCGAGTACCGTCTCGACTGAGCCCAGAGTGACCGGAGGGCGGGTGATCGTGAGAGAACCATTGTGTACGTCGTCAATTGCTGGGATCGAGCGCAATTGGGCTGGAAATCGGACGCCTCGGAGGGTGTAGAGAGTGCAAGTTGATGGACTGGAGATGCAAAGACAAGACTGA